AGTGTATTGGCGAGGTTACCTATCGCCGAGATCGTATTAGGATGCTCCTCGCCCAGAATCCGCCGCATCTTCTCCAGCACCTCTTTCTGTATTGTGGCCGCCTCGTCGAGATGGCCTTGATCCCCAAGCGTGATGGCGAGGTTATTCATCGCCGAGATCGTATTAGGATGCTCCTCGCCTAAAATCCGCCGCCTCTTCTCCAGCACATATTTCTCAATGATATATCCCTCCGCGAATCGTCCAATGTCCGTCAAAAATACCCCGGTACTGACGAGTGCGTCAAGTATACCCGCTAGCCTGGAGTCTGTCCCCTCGTTCACATTCGCCAGCGTTGCAAAGTTCGCCATCACGTGTGGCACCAACCGGAGCTTGTCTTCAGCCCGATCTGAGCATCCACTAACAGCATTCCTGATTAACTGAAATGTCTCCCTGCTGAACGTATACTGCTTATCCCTGCAAAGCCGGTCGTACCCCCAAGCATGTACTAGCTTATGCATCGCATAGCTTTTTTGGTCCTCCTTCCACTGCACAAAGGAGTAATTCTGTAGCAGCTCAAAACACTCCTCCAACTGATGGACATTTCCGACTAGAATCGAGAAGTCTTCCGCTACTACATCACCAGATAGTTCATGACTCTCCCGTTGGCCATCAACACCAAGAAGCTTGAAAAAGATGTCGTCGGAGCTGAAGAATGACAGTATTGTCATGAGAGTTGCTGCTCGAGGGTTCTGCTCGTGAATGGCCAGGTATGACGTTTCCCACGTCGTCAACACGCTCTCGCTGTACTGATGGATAAGGCTTTCGGGCTTGCGCTGGAGTAGTTCGCGTCATCTTTGTTTGTATTCTGGAAGGTATGCCTTGATGTCGGACTGCAACCGCGGAGTCCGGCTCACATACGTCGCTGCCAGTATCACGGCTAGCGCTAGGTATCCTAGCTCTCGCACAATGCTCTCGACCTCACTGTCCACCTCTTCATCGTCACGTTGCACTTGGGAGGATCGATAGAACAGCTCTGCCGCCTGTGCCACTTCCATCTCTCCGACGGCCACCCCTGCTAGGGGTGTCATATCCTTCGCCGTACTGCTTCGACTGGTAATGATCACGTGAAGGGACGGCGCATCCGGGATAAAGTGCTTAATGTCAATATAACCGGCACTGTCCCGCTTTTCAATCACATCGGCGCCGTCAAATACCATCAGCCACGAGCCTGGCCGGCTAGAAAACCAGCTCTTCACTCCCAGTACCGCATCTTCAACGCTGACCGTCCTCGTCTCACTACCTATCTGCACACGGAACAACGTCTTGTAGAGAAGTATAAAGTCGCGTTCCAGGGACTCCTTCTGGCCGGCTTCGATCCAGAACGTGGCGTGATAGTCATTCCGACATTGTTGCACGTAGTTAAGCACCAGCTGTGTCTTCCCTGCACCACCTAGTCCCCACACCACCAGGACCTTCTTCGCATTATTGTCATTACCATTATCGCCACGGAGCTGCTCCCTGATCTGGGTGTGGAGGAGCGGTCGTGGCACGAATGCCTTAACGGGCCCAAGCGAGGAGTGGGAGAACAGGCCGGCGTAGTCGGGCCGAGCCGGAGCTGTCGAGTCTATATTCCGTCAGCTGTGGACTTGATGCTTTATACGAGATACAATAGTATGATCTTACTAATAGTCAAGCCGACAAAATTGCCTTGCAAGGCCCATCCACCCGTCACCTGCGTGGTGCCGAAGCGCGAACCACCTTGGTGGATCGCCCCGTCATTCGGCAGTGGGTCTTCTCGGCGGGGCTGAGCTTCACGTAACCGTGCTGGCGAGTCCATCGTCGCAGGTGCAGCTGGCATAGCTCGTTGTCAATGCTGCTCCGAGACGGTGTCATAGTCGACATCTTGATGATTGAGCGCGAGCATGTCATGGGAGGGGCAGTCAGGCTGAGGTGTCAGGCTGAGGTACGGCGCTTCTGCAGACCTGTCGCTGGGCGAATGGTATTGAGTGAACGATGTGGGATAGTTTGATTGGTCAATGCCGTCACGCTAGGCATCTTGTGACTTGTCCAGCCTCCACCTCTCGCCCTTGGAGACACGTGCATAAAGCACTGACACAGATAGCATGTCCGCTGATTGTGGAGTGAATACACCCAAGTTCTTGTGGAGAGAAAAATGTATCGCATATAGTTGAATGCTGTCACCAAGTGCTATAATGTAACCATTCTGTTTCCTGACCTTACTTAGAACGGTCCACCATTCCGTCCGATATAGTTTCCCTGGAACAATGTGCCTCCGTGGACAAAAGACGGCCCTTCAAAGTGCGAGCCGCCCTGGGTTATTCCAAGAACTCGCCGTCCGTCGTCTTCTCCGTTCTCATTGCGCCGTGCAGAGCTCAACCCACCGTCCCGCGGTGGCATCCATTCCTTGATCCAGCGGCGAAGCTCGCCCACAACTGCCGTGAAACCAGCGTCATCTACATTTCTAAATTTGGTCATGTCCATATGGTTGGCCCGTATCCCGATGGAAATGTAACCGGGAAGGATGGCTGAGTCCTTCGGAACCACCTATTGCAGGGTCAACTACCTGAAGGAGTCGAATAAAATCCTCCTCAACCTACCGTACCGACACCAGATAAGGGTAACTCTTCAAAGAAGCACGTAATCTCGATTGGCGGCAGCCGGTCCTGGGCTCGAGACCGAATCATCGTGTGAAACCCGGCCTGCACCCGCTCCAGAACCTCCGAGTCACTCTTGAGGACGGCCAAGATCGCCGGGTTCGTCTGCTTGAGCACACCGATGGCTTTGGCCAGTTTCTCTGCCCAGTGCGCGAGGTCCGAGCCATGATGCGGAGTGCCCAAAAACACGATCCCTCGAGTGCACAGGAGAACTTGTTTTAGATGTCGTTCCGGTCTCTGTTGTGCTGTCGACAGGGCCTATATCGGTCAGATCAGGATCTCGATTATATCATGGGAGGCCTCACGTCCTTGCAGACCAGACCGCCGAGACTGTGGCAAACAAAGATAAGGGGCCGGTCGTTCTGACAGAATCAGGTTATGTCTGTCATGTTGAGCATTATGAGTGTCTCACAGTGTCATCATCTTCCCGGTACGTCGCGACGGCGGCGAGTAGATTCATCGAATGGTTTCCAATTCGATTCTTTGATACCACACTTCGCCAGTCAGCCACGTAGGCGTCGTATCCAAATGTCAGTATTCGAGCGTGGGTGACTCTAGACGGGAGGAGGGTCTGAGGCCAGGGCGCGGCGGCGTTCTTGGCCTGCCACGTCTTTTCACGATCTCCAGTCAGGCCATGGACAAAGATGATACTGTGTACGCGCATCATTAGCCAGTGAACATCAGACTGCGAATGGCTGCCTCACACGCGGTTCCACGTGCACGTCGGCCGACCGGGGCTACTTACTCCACAGCGCATTCCTCACCATCATGGAGTAATTTCAATCCGGAGGGAAAGGTCTTTCTTGCTGGGACCGGTAGTTGTGGTGTCGCCTGGGTGGTGCTGGCATTCTCACCCAAGGTTTCGTTATTGTCACGAGGCTCCCTACGCGACTGCCACGGCCATTTCCCCATCGCTTGTGACTGCGTGCAGCTCTGTAGATCTGCACTTTGCAGCCTCAGAATTGAAGAAGAAGTCTTTGCATTGATCAGCTTTGAGGTTCAACCATACTCAATGGCGGACAGGTGGAAGATCAGGCTGCCGCTTCGCAGCTGGACAGCTGAGTTTGGTGTGCCACGTGGTTGGACCCATTAGCATGAGCGGTAGGTTCAACGGACCCCCAGGGAGCGAGCCGCGCCCCACAACCCAAAAGACAAGCACAGCCACCTCGACCTTCTTTATGGGACCTCGGTCACTGTCCCCAAGTGTGGCTCAGTAATGGAAGGCTCCAGAACATCTCGAGATCCTGCCTCGTGGTGTCGCCCTCGATGGACGCAGACACATACGAGGATCCACGCAACAACAGACCGTCCTGGTGACGGCGCACGCTGTCCGCAAATGGCGCCTAATCTTTCGATGTCGTACCTACCTCCATACTCACCAGATCTGAACCCAATTGAGGAGTTCTTTGCTGAACTAAAAGGCTTCATCCAAAAGCATTGGAACGTCTACCAAGACGACCTAAATCAAGATTTCAGCGTGTTCCTAGAATGGTGTGTTGAAATGGTGGGAGGCAAGGAGACAAGTGCACGGGGTCATTTTCGGCATGCAGGGTGGAATCTTGCAGAGCCCGATAAGAACGTATAATTGAATGCCACGGGATCTTCCCTGTGCAACTGCTCCTCTCCTGCACTGAATTTCACTCCAGACATGTTGCCAATAGAATCCGCCAGCAGATCCACCCCAACTCAACTCCAAGCTCCTCTTTGGGTCTGATTCCACAGCAGTATGTCACGAGGGAAACGCTCTGCTACACCGAGTATCACGCCTGCTTGGACAAAGAAATCGCCATTCTGCTTCTCATGAATTAGCTCCAAATCAAAGCCCACCTTGAACGCCGCATCACGAGCTTTCCCAAATTCCGCCTTGAGCAAGGGATCTCGGACCTTGGACTGCTGCCACGTCGTGTATTCTCGCAATGCGTCATCACGAAAACCAGGAATGTCGAGTTGTAAGGTTTTGGCTGCGGGCGGAGAATGCACATGAGATGCCACCCCTTGGTGTCCGCCCTGCTGCGATGGTTGCTGCGAGTGACCAGGCAGAACGTTCGTGATATTGATGGGAGGTACATTAAAGGGAGACGGCACATTTCGTTTGACCCTTCGATCCTGTCTCTCCTGTTCCTCTTTGTACAACTGGCCTCGGACTTCCGGGCGGACGTCGTCGTGGGTTTCGAGAATGCCACCCCGGTTGACATACTCAATAAGGCTTCTGAAGTGTGGCGCTCTCATCCTGTAATGCTTTCTCCCGTCTGGATTGATCCAGCAGTAAGCACCACGATCACATAACCCCGGACAGCGCATGAGAGCGTACACTTTTTGCCAAATTGCTGGATGACCCGAAGCCTGCTCTTCTGCTTCGAGTTGTAAGTCCCGTTGTACAAGCATGAGCCTGGTGGCCGATGTCGACCCTCTCTTGTCACCCTTCCTTGTTGCCCGCGCAGCCGGCCGCGTCGTGTCGACGTAATTGAACGAGAGATTCAACCTGAGTTTCTTGCCTTTCTGGAAGTACGCGCCCCAAGTAGACAATTGTTTTTCCACAACAGTCCAATCGATCCTTGTTTGATTGGATCGTTTTGTGAGATCTCGTTGTGAACGATTCGTGACAGAGACCACCACCGTGGTATCGTCAGACTGTATATCTCGATTTCTCTAAAACTTGCCCTGTAAGAGCTCCTCGAGCCTGTCTTGCAGGACCAGCCGCCAATAACAACTAGAAGCGAGCAAGACATCAGGTTCTGTATCTCTCGAGATCGATTTCCCGTTCAATGTCACTTTCCATTCGATCGAGTAATGAAGACAATTTGGGGAGTCACTGTCATATGACTGATCTGGATCCCACTCTGCCTCTTGTAAAAATGTCAGCTTCGATTGAGATGCGCTCTGGCACTGGCTCAGTGCCTGCGGAGTATCATTTGGCGCCACGCTAGGAGGGACGGATTCAGGAAGAGGGGATGTAGTTGGTCTGACGCTCAAACCAGTGTTGGACAACTGCGTAGAGCGCTGCGAAGCCCATTCTTGAAATTGAGACAAATCGTCTAAATTATATTCCGCATCCATGGCGTGGACCCATGGCTGTGCAGGTGATGGAAAGAAAGGGCATGATGTCGACGGGAGTTGTGATACCGTGGCATCCAATCTGGATTTCGTCAGCAGGGTGAGCAAAGGTGAACAACTGCGCATCTCGGCCATTTCTTCTTCTTGCGCTTTGCCCCCCAGCGGGACATTGTTGTGATGCCTACCATTATTTGAGCAACATGCACCATATGAAACCGTGGGAATGCACCACTCTTTGGCCTAGGCATAGAACCGCATTCTGTCGGAGCTTTGTGATCATCCCCCTTCTTCTCTCCTCTTTCGCCAAAACGGTACATCACACCTTCGCGTCGTTGCCGTCGGATGAGAAAGCGTCTTGCCTGAGGTACTCAATGGCCTCTACGAGATCTGTGTGCCTAGAACGGGTCGCTGGAACTTCGAGTGTTCCAAATGGCTGTCGAACACGGCGACAAAACCATTCGCATTTCCAAGCACGCTTGGGGGCATCGCTGGCTTCTCCTAAACTATACTGGAGGATGAGAGAAAGAAATCGCCTCTAATACAGGATGAAGTCAATATATTTCTCCAATAGTCATTTTTCACTGTTGATTAGATCAGCACCTAATTGCTCCCAATGAACTTTCGCTCTAACAGGGCCGCGGATCAGCGGATTGGATTAGCGGTTGTTAATAGGTATGGGCGGGCACCCAGACTGAATTTGTGGTGCTTCAGTAACAGTGCACTTCTCGCCACACCCAACATACAAAGGAGACCTTAACCCACAAAAACCAGTGGCGTTGGAGTGTGCATGTTATGCAGGGCCAGTATTTTATATGGCTAATATGTGCACCGATTTTGAACGCTAATTGGTAGCCGGTACAGGGCATTCGGACCTTCCTCAATTCGCGCAAGGCGGAAATAGAACTGCCGACACCGGACAAAGTGTATTTCCCTTCGAGAGGCTGAACTGTTGCAGGCTGGCCAATTAAGCGATGCGCACCCATCCTCTCCGGTTAAGGCGGTGACCACGACACTTCTCATAAAAGGAAAGCCGATGCTTCTCCATCCCATATACGGCTCCGAATCGCGCTTCACGCTAGTCGAGAGACGCCCACTTTTCTGGACGTCTAGTTGGGTACCGGACTTTTCTGATATAGGTGTTAAGTAAAATAGATATATTACCAGCACTGTACCTCGGCAGTCCTGTATAGTACAATATGAAATGGACATACAGTATTATTTGGTAACTACGGTACTGGATATGTAGGGTCCATCACGGACCGGACGATAACGTAAGGTTGCACTGGGCCGTCTGGCAGCCTTTTCTCGTCCGAGACGGAGAGCAGATCTTATCAGGAAGCTTGCCTCTAGTTGTTAGAATTTGTACTACTTATATCTAGAGATTATACTCTTAGATGTTTAGACTATCTACTGCTGTATTCAAGTTCTGCTACTTGTTCAGTGTTCACGGATAGTATTGGCGTACCTCACCTGAATATAGAACGAGCTGTATATGTTAGAAAAATGGACAGAAATCTACAGGCAAGAGGGAGTGACTCTCTTACTAGCCACGGCTCTACTAATCAAGCCCAAGACTCAGCAGATATCCCAACCGCGCCCGACCTCTAGCCAGGATCCTCGCTATAGGAATCTTAGACCAAACACAGTCATTGCAACACCCCATCAGCAGTCCGAATTACAATCAATCCACTATGCTTGGGATATTCGAACTGCCGTCGAGGAAATGTCCCGCCAAATATACCGAGTCTCCAACAACGTGGATAGTTACCAAGCAGTCTCTCAACGGGCATTCGAGAACATTGTTCACCGTTCAGATAGGATGCATTCGATAGTCGAAGATATCTACGCAACCTCGCGTGAGTTAAAACAGGGTCAAAACGAACTAGGGAAGGATGTTTGCCAAACGCAAGAAGACTTTATGTGTCTCATTCAAGAGGTTGCAGAAGAAATTTTCAAGTCCAAACAGCAACCGCCATCGGAAGAGGCATCAGATCCTGAACGATCCAATATGACACCTTCGGCCAGCAGCGAGGACACGAAAGCAGGGAGTTCTTTATATGCACACCACTAAGGAAGGGCAAGTCGTTGCAAAGCCTTGTTATTTATCGGCATGGCTGCTGATAACAAAGCTCGGTCTACAAATATATAGAACGTGAAGTCTCAACTTCTCTGTCTCTATATACTACTATATAGTCGTTCTTCGAGAATGGTCAGATACTGTGTAAGCTTCTAGTAGTTACTACTACTAACTGTCGATACTCTTTAAACTACTCCTATGTATTCTATAACTATATCTCGATAACCCAATAAAGTCGACTCTAGTCAACAGAGCGTGGTAAAAGCGACGGCGCGATAAAGGTAGGCAGATAGAAGTCAGTTGATTAGCCGAACAGGCCTACTAATTAGGCCTGCCAAGTAGGCCTACCAGAGCGATCTAGCTATCTCCCTCGCAGGTGTAAGAAGGCAGATAGAGAGAAGTGAAGTAATCAGCCAAATAGGCCTGCCGGAGCGATTTGCCAGTTCTCGCATGCTGTCGCAGAATAGGACTAGTGCTTTGTAGGCGGACTTAGGGGGAATCCGCCCTACCCTGTATTTTTATATTACAAGATAGAGTGGTAAGTAGAAGTCAAATGTCCTGCTAAGAACAAAATGCATCGAGTTCTACGTTAATAGCTCTAATATTGTAAAAATAGTACCCTTCCTAGATTGATGTGAAAATGAGGTACTGGGCCTCGTCTAGCAACCATCCTGATCGCGTAGGAGATGATAAATAGTCCAAGTATTCTAGTCAAGCGGCTTGCGAGGTGCCAGTGGTACAATGCTGGAGCGCTCGGAGCGCAGATATCTGCAGGGCTACAGCCTTGTGCGGAGATAGGCAGTAGCCTCGTGCGGGGTAGTAGGTGCTGCAGGTGCTGGACGCGCCGCGAGTAGTGCAGGCTATGAGCGCTCTGATTGGTTGAACCGTAACATCTAGAGAGCTGGGTCGGCAACAAGCCCAAGGTTCAAGAATGGTGCTGACATACAAGTTGTAGCAATACGGGATCCGAGAGTTAAAGGGAAGTTAATTTATCAGGTGTCAGGCGGTTGGTTGGAGATGGGAGCCCTCAAGCAGGAAACGCGCAATGGGAAAAACATTCTCTTGTCTCATGAGAAGCGCATCTTTGTGTATGTCCAAGATGTACAGCAGTAAAAATCTGGAGCACCATCATGGACATCCAATCCTCTTCAAGGGTTAGCGTCCAGCACTCGGATCTAATTTCCATTCGGCCCACACCACCAAATGATCTCCCCTTTTATAGGGAATCTATACCACTCGTTTATCTCCCTCTCGTCATGGCGAATCAAAACGTAGTATTTCCTTTCAATCTCCATATTAGAGAAGGAGCAATTCTGAATCTCCATCATCTCGGTGATATATCGGTCGAAACGAAACTCACCATCGCTTCATGGCTCCCGTCTGAGTATGTGAGAAGGGCGCCGAGGCACGTATCGTCTGCCGCCTTGACCTTGCAGAGTTGAACTATGATGCTCGTTTCCAGGCGGGCTCTGCTGAGTCACCAATCTCCGTTCGGAGCACCCAAATTCGGCCGCGGAACATGCAAATCAGGGCAAGTATTCCAGCCCGGTCGGCGGACACAAAACGTGGATGAGGATAACCCGATGTTAGAAAAAGCAGGATTATAATGGTGGACAGAAGAATGGAATATTCCATCAACCGAGTCGGAGAAAATGGGGTAAAGGGCTTCATACTCGAAACAATGGTCCTGTAATGGCTGAGGCCCGAAAGAATAAGTTCTTCCCCAGCTCGTCGCGATCTATTGAGTCTCTTAGTGATTGCTTGATAGCGATTATAGGGAATATACCTGAATGACGGGATTGTTGAGCAGAAACCAAAAGCCGTCAATCCAACAAACTCCGACATTGCATATAGTCTCCGCATGATTGATAGGAAAATAGAGAAAGGTTGGGGGGAACCAAGGAAATGTCGCCTCTGTTCTGGCCGTAAACGATTAATAGCGAGATATGAGAGAATCTTGTCGATGGCAAAAGAGGCCGACCGTTCTAGAGCTATAAACGGCCGCTGAGATGCCCGATATGTTCCTGAGGTCGTGATATTCGTATCGTGGAAGAGGATTGATAGGTAATGACAACGGGATCGAAAATCGGAACGTGGTCCGTGGATTTGGGAGAGGTGGTATGTTCCATTCGACCGTGCGAGAACCGGGAGACTCGAGATTTCGGAGGAAGAAACCCTACTGGAGTTTAGTGAGGATATGCAGATGATTCTCTGATACTGACATCGCAAAATCCGCATACCGTTACCATTTTGGTACCCACTTTTCGGAGAGGGACTGTACGAAAGAACATGCTTGCTTCCCACTGAGGAGCTTGGTCACTAGCAGAGTAGAGACCGCGGACGCCAACGTTGTCCCTACCAACAATCAATATGTCCTGAACCTTGAGCATGTGACTCTGGTTTGGGGGCGGGTCGACATCCAGGCCCGTTAAATAGTCAGATCCCTTGAATCTGCTGAAAGTCATATATAGAGTTGTCCCCGTCTTAACTTGAACGCTTACCCAGTGAGGTTGAGAGAGCTTCTCATGGACTGCCACTACTGACGCGACGTGGAACAACGCGCGGAATGAAGTGAGATGACCAAGGTAGGACCAGATTAGTTCACGAACTTCAGCTGGTAGCCTTTCGAGAAAGGTGCATGGAGCATATTTTACAATGGCGTCGGGCATGGAGGGCCAGTAGTGGTCTTGAGGTTGTACCAATGGCCTGGCTGCAATAAGAGATGAGAGTAGATGGTCGAAAGACGGCGCGCGGTTGGCATCTTGGAAAGCTGGAAGGTACTGCTTTACTGTAGTGGCACAGTAGGAGTGGAATCCGAACAACTGTTCTCCCTCCTGTCCGTAGCATATAGGACAAATAGGGGCCGTAGGCGGGGTCCTGAGTAGTTCAACTTTGTCCTCTGTGTCGGGAGTGTCCTCAAGTTCAAGCTCCTCGGCTCACCGCTATGGCCTTCCATTGAGGGGTAGTGACAGAGTAGGCATCGAAGTGGTCTCCAAGGGCAGCTGCACAAGGTAGTCAAGGCCATTTCAATCGCATTGTAATCGGCGATTTTGACGAGAATTGGAAGAAGGCGTATGTTTCTTGTAAAACTAGAAAGAGTTTGAGGGAACGACTCTGCGATCTGATGAGATCTAATTTGAGAAGGTATAACGAGGAGGTCTTGGCGTCAATATGCGAGGCCATCGGTTTTTTCCCCTAAATTGAATAATGCTACTAATCGCAACGAAAAGGACTGGTTCGAGTGACGTGGCGTTCTGAAGCGCTTGAACCATAGGCCGCTATTAAGGGTTAGGACTTCATTCTACCTTACCATTTCCCGGGCGCCAACACTCTAGGTGTCAACGATTGGCCTCGCATCACGCATCCATTCCGTAAGCTACTTGTCGCCTGAACCACGGTTTGTGCCTGCCATAGTCGGATCACTTTATTTTGAAATCAATTCATCACTCTGGTCTCTCATTTGACAACGCACCCGCCCTTCGACTGTTAGACGATCCTTCACGCGCTTTATTGGCCACTCGGGGGCCCGTAGCAAGATGGCGCAGGACGAGAAGAAGCCCACCGCCGCTGAGAAGGGCAAGGGCAAGGCTGAGGATGTTCCAGTTGCCAATGGAGACAAGAGCACAGAGGCAGAGAAGGATGATGGCAAAAAGGCTCAGGGCAAGCCGGAAGAACATCCTGAAGAAGAGCTGAGCGAGGAAGATCAACAACTCAAAAGCGAACTCGAAATGCTCGTCGAACGACTGAAGGAGGACGATGCAAGTCTATACAAGCCCGCTATGGATGCCATCAAGAATTTCATCAAAACCTCGACTTCCTCGATGACTGCCGTACCCAAACCCTTGAAGTTCCTCCGACCCCATTACGAAGAGCTCACTGCTCTATACGACAAATGGCCTCCCAGCCCCGACAGAGACTCGCTGGCTGATATGTTGTCAGTGTTGGGGATGACTTATGGCGATGAAGAGAAGCTTGAAACTCTGAAGTACAGATTACTGTCCAAATCAGACGATCTGGGCTCCTGGGGCCACGAATACATCAGACACCTTGCGCTCGAGATTGGTCAAGAATATCAAAACCGGCTGACCGATGACCGAGAAGTTGGGGACCTGACAGAGCTTGCCTTGTCTTTGGTGCCTTACTTCCTGAGCCACAATGCCGAGGCTGATGCGGTGGACTTGCTCAGCGAACTGGAGATGATAGAAGAGATTCCCCGATTCTTGGATGAGAACACATACTCGCGAGTTTGTCTGTACATGGTTTCCATGGTCAACCTCCTCACCTACCCCGAGGACGTGTCTTTCCTCAAGACAGCACATGACATCTACATCAAGTACAAGAAGTTGGCGCAGGCAATGGTGCTCGCAATCAGACTGAACGACCATGAACTTATCAGGCAAGATCTGGAGTCAACAGACGATGCGGCGCTGAAGAAGCAACTTGCGTTCCTCATTGCTCGGCAAAGAATATCGTTAGATGTGCCTTCCGAAACCGAAGACGAACAACAGATCGCCGAGTGCTTGGGAAACACAAAATTGCCAGAGCACTTCAAGACTCTTGCCAAAGAACTGAACATTTTGGAACCCAAAGTGCCGGAAGACATCTACAAAACACATCTAGAGAGTGGGCGGGGGAGCACCGCTGCTGCAGACTCGGCGAAGCACAACCTTGCCAGCGCCTTCGTCAATGCCTTTGTCAATGCGGGCTTCGGCACTGACAAGCTGATGCTGGTGGAAGGCGACCAGCGGCCATGGGTGTGGAAGACAAAGGACGACGGAATGCTGTCCACCACTGCATCGCTGGGCATGCTCAAGCAATGGGACGTGGAAGGCGGTCTGGACATCATTGATAGATTCCAACAACTATCAGAAGAACCCATCAAAGCTGGAGCGTTGCTGGCATATGGTGTTGTCAACTCCGGCGTGCGGATGGAGGGTGACCCTGTCATCTCGCTGCTGAGTGATGACGATATCCTCGAGAGAGGGAAGCCGTCGATGCGTGTTGCCGCCATCATGGGTCTAGGCCTGTCGTATGCCGGCTCAAATAGGGAGGATTTGCTGGACTATCTGCTCCCTATCGTTGAAGATAGCTCGTTGGAAATGCGACTCTCTGCCATGGCCGCCGTCTCCCTTGGCATGATCTTCGTTGGCTCATCCAACCACCAAGTGGCCGAAGCAATCGCCACCCAACTCATGGATGATGACCGACAGAAGCAGTTGAAGGACAAGTGGGCGAGATTTATGGCTTTAGGTCTGGCCCTGCTCTACTTTGGACGGCAAGAGGAGGTCGATGTCATCTTGGACATTCTGAAAGCTATCGACCACCCCATGGCTAAGCCAACCGCGATTCTTGCTTCTGTGTGCGCATGGGCGGGAACAGGAGCCGTGCTCAAGCTGCAGGACCTGTTGCACATTTGCAACGATCACATCGAAGACAAGGAAGAAGCGACAGGCGAGCAACTAGTCCAGTCCTACGCCGTCCTGGGCATTGCCTTGATTGCCATGGGCGAAGATGTGGGTCAGGAGATGGTTCTTCGACAGTTCGGCCATCTCATGCATTACGGAGAAGCCAACATTCGGAAAGCGGTGCCGCTGGCGATGGGTTTGATCAGTCCCAGCAACCCTCAGATGAAGATCTATGACACCTTGTCACGATATAGCCACGACAACGACAACGATGTGGCCATCAACGCCATCTTTGCAATGGGATTGGTCGGTGCTGGCACCAACAACGCTCGTCTCGCGCAGTTGCTCAGACAGCTCGCTAGCTATTATCACCGCGACCAAAACTCCCTTTTCATGGTGCGGATTGCCCAAGGTCTTGTCCACATGGGCAAGGGCACCATGTCTCTGAATCCGTTCCACACCGATCGCCAAGTCTTGTCGAGAGTTGCTGCTGCGGGTCTCCTCACAGTGCTTGTGTCATTGATTGATTCGAAACAATTCATTCTTGCCGAAGCTCACTACCTGCTTTACTTCCTTGTTACGGCGATGTATCCGCGATTCCTGATTACTTTGGACGAAGACCTGAAACCACTCACAGTCAATGTCCGGGTTGGTCAAGCGGTGGACGTGGTCGGGGCTGCTGGCCGACCGAGGACGATCACTGGTTGGCAGACCCAAAGTACGCCAGTCTTACTTGCATACGGCGAGCGCGCTGAACTGGAGGATGAGGAATACATTTGCTTGAGCAGCACCTTGGAGGGCTTGGTCATTCTACGCAAGGTCAGTACTTACTAGAGCAATCCCCTCACTAGTTACTAACGTCTGCCAGAATCCTGAATGGGAAAGCACAACCTGAGCTGGCTTTACCGCTCATCTCGATGGTCAAGGGCACTTACATACTGAATGCGGTGGACTGCCAGGCAAGGCTGAATCATGAGAAGGGCTGTACTAGTATCTCAGGTACCTTAGTTTAGATGTGCCCAGGTGGGCACTAGACCGTGCCAATGCAATGTCCACAAAATGGATCCTTGAGGACAATTGTTCTATAGACTGGCCCATCATTCTAAGAACACTTGCAGTTGTATCGTCGTGCTTCGGTCGTTCGGTCCAATCCGGCGCGGTGTCGCGTTGCCCGTATTTGCGTGCCGGAATTGCATCATCGGACATTGGTCGACAACCGACATTCGACCCTACTCTGTACATATTCACTGTTAGTTGTTGATGACTCTACCATCCATTGACGCCCCGGCTATCCACACCCTTACGAGCTGTGAATGTCGAGAGTATGATGTGGCAGAACTGGATGCTGGCCTTATGACCTCCCACTTCTCTTTTATCGGACACACTTCCTGAGAGTGAACAGGCGCCGGTTATCCTTTGGAAGGATGGCGCCCACCTCGCCCGACCCGAATCCGCGCATCACTGCCGTCGACTTTGACTCCCATCGCAGACACAGGCGACATTCTCATGAGTCCCGGCCCAGACTCGGCGACGATGACTTTGACTTCATGGGTCAGGTTGCGCAGGAGATTGTCGAGCGGGATCGGCGCAAGATGCGCAGAGAAGTCGTTCGAGTTCTGAGCTTCATCTGCGCCGTTCTGAGTTGGTATGCGGCATCTTCTTTGGACACAGACGCATCCCCTGGTCGTTCAAATGCTGACTCTTGTGCCTCTCTGAAGTCTATGTGCAGGCTCAATAACCTCATTCTCGCTGTACGGCGCGCGCTTCTTGACCGATCTCCACTACACCCAGTTTCGAGTCAACGCCGTCTCAATCGTCGCGGAACTGGCCATGTACCTGCCTGTGCCTTTATTTGGCTACCTTTGCGACCGATACTCCCCTCCACCGCTATCTCTCCTCTCTTCCGCCCTTTTCGGTGCAGGTTACCTGCTGGCCGCGTTCACCTTCAAGTCGGGGCCCCCCGCGGATGCTACGAAGCCCGGACACGGATGGCCATTTGGTGTCATGGTTCTGGCTTTCATCGGCATCGGTGCGGGGACGAGTTGCATGTATCTGTCCGCCGTGGCGACCTGTGCAAAGAACTTTTCGACAGCGAAATACCGCGGGTTTATGCTGGCCGTGCCGATCGCGGCGTTTGGCCTCAGCGGCATGTGGGAGAGCCAGATTGGCGCCCACTTGTTGTACCAGAGACTACCGGACGGACGGAAAGGAGAAGTCGATGTCTTCAAATACTTTGTGTTTCTGGCTGGGACGTTGCTGGGCGTTGGAATACTGGGAGCCTTGGGCCTGCGAATTGTCGACGAGGAAGAACTCATCGAGCAAGGCGTGGAGACTCTCGAGCGAAGCGGCTTGTTAGACGAGAGCGAGTTCTTCCGCGACTCCCCGGACCCGACGCCCAGGACCTATGGAACTATGGGTGACGGTGACGAGTCAGACTCTGGGTCTGGCACCGCGACGCCTTCTGACAGAGACTCGGAGGCGGAATTCGACCTGTCTGAATCGCAGCTCCTCAAGCGACGGGAGCAGGACCATCGCCTGAAGAAGAAGAAATGGTGGTTGTTGAACCACGCAACGCACTCGTTTCTGACGGATCGCACCATGTGGCTGCTGGCCGCCGGATTCTTCCTACTGACCGGTCCTGGCGAGGCGTACATCAACAACCTGGGCACAATCATCCCGACATTGACGCCAAAGAACTACTTGGACCTGACGAGTCCACCGGCAGGACACGCCGCGACGCACGTCAGCATCATCGCGCTGGCCTCTACCTTCGCCCGCCTCTTCACAGGCACTCTCTCCGACCTGTTCGCGCCGCCATCGCAGCCCGATAACCCACCATCCACGCGCGTCAGCTTCTCGCGCCTCGTCTTACTCATACCGTCTGCTTTCCTCCTGCTGCTGTCCTTCCTGAACCTTGCTCTCCCGTTCTTGACCGCACAGCATCCCAGCCTCTTCATGTTGTCGTCTGGCCTGCTCGGCCTCGGCTACGGCGCCTCCTTCTCGCTCGTCCCTATCATCATCTCCGTCGTCTGGGGTGCCGAGAACTTCGCCACCAACTGGGGCGTCGTCGCCATGATGCCCGCCGGCGGCGCTGCGGTCTGGAGCATCGTCTACTCGGCCGCATATTCGCGCGCCAGTGCGAGCGGCCATGATTCCGGAGACGTCGCGGAAGGCGAGTGCAGTGGATACGCCTGTTTCGGCGGGTGGGCATGGGGTTGTGCCGCGAGCGTCGCGGTTGCCATCGTCCTCTGGTGCTTTGCTTGGAGGCTTTGGAGGAAGAGGAACGTTGTCGTGTAGAACTTGGCCACTTCGCTGGCTACCACGACTAGTTCGACTTCGGCTTCTGTGACATATGACGGTTACACGCTGCTCGTCCGGGTCACAGCAGTGATTGTTCTGTCTGGTATCGAATGACTGGGTCTGGTCTGGCGCTGATGGATCAAATGCCTATATCCTCCCCTATAGCGTCGCGACAGATTGCTGGTGGTCGACAGTCGTTGAAGAGATGGAATCTCATCTTGTTTGGACGTGCTTCTCGGATCCATAGCGGACACAAGCTACCACCGGCGTGTGGGCATTGTACGGAGCAATCCCCGTTTGTCATGGCGAAGGCGTTTTCGTGGATACTTCGGTCTCCGGAAGCAAGTACTCCCCTCTCAGCCTCATGTGCTCTGCAGTCGCTACGATTGGATATATATATAGGTATGCACCACGATCCAGAGTGCATGGCCTGGAAGTAGTCAATATAGCGCAATGAAAGGAAGGTTTAGGAGGCCTGGGAGTAAAGCGAACAGTGTATTTATGCTTCTTTCTAGTATTACTTGCTTCTGCTTTCTGTCTTTTGCCGCGTCTGCTGGCCCTGTATTGGCGCCGCGGGGTTTCGAGGGTATATCTTGTTATGCTAATCATTCATCATCATTACGTCCATCGTCAACAGGATTCATGTTGATAAGAATCGTCATTGTTCCCAATCCGGTTCCAGTCCCAGTTTCTCTATCGTTTCAATTCATTAATCCTGGCGTGCATAGCATGTTGGCGAGCTTGTATGCCTGTGATGCTCCAATAGAAGCAACCGCTGCCATCCACGGCTCAACTCGTGATCGACGACTCCCTGCCGTGGCCGTTGCCCGCAACTGGCTACAACCAAGGTGTCTGTCTGCTGGGGAGCCAGGATACGGTAGAGTAATAATCATAGAGAATAATTTCAAACCAGATCCCATGCAGCAATACCCACAAACCCCATACCCACTCTGCCCTTTCCATCACGGAACTCGCGCACCGTCAAGCCCCGAGCATCCTGTCGGTCGCCGAAACTCGTCACCGCGAAGAGTGTGAGCGTCTGCCCAGGCGCACCGAGTTCTCCGGCCGGGATATCGACGATCCACATATCACCACCTTGCCCAGCCATACCGGGGTGATGGTCCATCGGGATATGGTCCTTATTCCGGCCATCAGCGCCGCTGACGGACACGATAAAGACCGGCGGTGGGCCTTTGTTCGCATGCTTATCCAGCGTCCAATGCGGGCAAAGCAGCCCAAACTGGAAACGGACCAGACCTTGTTGGCGGACGTTGATTTTCCTGGCTCGTGGATGCACCGTCTTCTCGCCGATAGAATAGTCTTCTTTGGCGTTTGTGAAGATGGTCGGCCCTTCCACGGAATCAGGCCACCAGGCCGGGTTGATGACAATGTACTCTTCCCAGCTCATTTGGCGGCCTCCTGGCAGGAAAAAGAGGTCCTTGTTGCCTGGGAAATGCTTGGTCGCAAATTCCTCGTTGGGCATGGTGAAACACTCCGGGCTGAGTTTCTTGACGTACGGACGACCTGCACCTTGGACATAGCCAGCGCCCCAGCAGCAATCAATGAGTTTCCATTCGCCGTTGTCGATCTTAACCGCATTCCAAGCATGTCCTGCATTATAGGCGGGGAGTGGGGATCCCGGAGCAAGCGGAGCAAAGCCATATCCCTTTCCGTGGCCGGATATCACCATAGACTCAAGGCCGGCGTACGTGGCCAAGTTGGTGAAAAGCGCCGCGTAACCCTCGCACACGGCCAGGCCGCTCTGCAGGGTCGATTGTGGGGTCGATCCTTTCACATTGTTACCAAAGAAGCTCACCACATCGTAAGCGATATTGTGGTGAAGCCAGGTAAAGATAGCTCGGGCCTTATCTGTGGGGGATTGGAAGGGTGACGTTAGTTGTTGCGCCAGAGTTTGTAACGATGTCACCTGGGTCCTTGGAAAGAGGGTTGCTTGGTGATCCGGTCCGGAAAAGTCCCGGCATATGAGACATCTTGTAGTTTGCAGTGACGCAGTTGTGTTCGGTAACGACGTGCTTGCAATACTTCTGGGTTTGGTCGCTTGTATGGCCGACAGATCTGGCGGGGATGAGAGGGGGATTGGAGGGGGTGACGACTGATCCTGGGTACTAGGTGGGAAGACGTCTCTCACTGAGGGGGGCAGATTCTCCCTTGACAACAATGCAGGGGTTTCTTGGGCAGGGTAAGTCTTGTGTTCCCGGACAGGCAATGGTATGTGCGGCTTCGCAGGTCGAGGTAGACCAACCGGGACCGGGACGATGTCCGGACGCACGTGTTCCTTGGCCGGTGTGTGAGAAACTGTCGACTTTTGGGCCTGCTCAACAGATTCAGTGGAGGGAAGTGGTGGGATCTGTCGAAAGTGGGCATTCTCAGCATGTTCATGGTGTTCCACTTCATGCTTTCGAGAAGGCAGTCTGGGCGGAAGAGAAGGCCTGGCTGGAGGAGAAGGCTTGACATTCGGTATCCCGCTAGACGGTATCACAACAGTATTTGAAAGAGTCCGATCAGAGTATCTCAATCTGTCATCCGAGGTTCTCCCTGTGGCTGTCATCTGACTGTGTGTACTCTTGGGAGGTAGCGCAGGGAGTTCACACTCTCCCCATGCCGGAGCTTTGGCTCGATTTGTGGAATCGGTCGACTTGGTTCGCGTGGCTGGTACTTTTGTGACATGAAAAGTGATCGGCCCGCTGGGTGCGATCGATGCTGCCGAACCCCTCCTTTGTTCATCAAGAGCGTTCTTCCTGTTAGGTAGCGGAGGAGGTTGTCTTTTTGCCGGCGGCGGCGGAGGAGGTGCAGGCTGGTTGCCCGTTTTGTGGTCTGTGACTGATCCAATGACTCGTTCGGGTGGGTTATTGACGGTTTGCTGCTTCAGAAACACTGGTCGTTTGGTAGGGACAGGAGGAGTCGGTCGAGAAGGTCTAGGAGGGTCGCCAGGGATGTGGCCGATATGGGCTGCGTTCAGTGCTGCGATACGCTGTTGGAGGGTCAAAGGTTGTGGATCCTCCGCCATGGCTAACAATCTCGCAGCCTGAGATCAAAGACATTGACAGTAAAGTAGAGGGTATCAACATTTCGTGGTCATTCCAAAATGGCCATGACTTCAAGTTGTAGGAGTGAACATGTTGGAAGGACGACGATGGCTGGCGCAGCCCAGCTATTGGAACTTTAGGCTGGGGAAGATTGTTGTGTCAGACAAGGAGGATAAGTTGTGTCTGACACTGTATACTGTCAGAAATCCACGGATAGGCCCCGCTAAAATCAGGCCTGCCCTTGCTGTCAGACAGTAATTGTTCTTGATGCTGCAGCTGTTGATTATCGAGGGCCAGAGGAGCCCCTCCACCGTCTCAGCCTTGCGCCGCCACAAGGCTGGAAGCCCCTGGGTCCAAAAATATGAGCAACCCCAGATGACCTCTAGCCCACACTATTTGTTACAGATGGTCCGCTTGTTTTTATTGACCTTTCGGAACAGAGTGTAATCCGGTTTGGAAGTTACTGGCCGACACGCAAGCAGCATCGTCAGCCTTGATCGTGTCCTGAAGGTGCCCGGCGGCCCATTTCACGAGGTCGAGTGAGAAGGCATAATTGCCTCAAAAATCGTGCGAGCTTCGAGGTGTCAAAGTGCCATGGAACCCTGACTGTTACGTGATATTGAGGCGGGAACAACACTGTTGATAAGTAACGATTTGTTTCATCTAGGTACCCGTACTTGAAAGACAACACTCTCGCGCAATCGCAGTACCACCTGGGGCCCCCTTTCGCTTCCTCCTTCGCTGAAAGTAATCACATGTGGCAGTCGGCGCATCCAAGAAATACAGAGCCACGGGTGCCGGCTCATTTCTTGTTGTCGAGATACATTTTGGCCAGACTGCTCACCAGCGGAGCCACAGTCTTGTAATGTTTCTGTCCTTGTTCGTAAACCTTGCCGAGGTCGTCGATAGAGAAGCCCTTCTTTTTCCGGCGATCCTGGTCGTGATCGCCGTATCTGTCTCTGTCTCTGTCTCTGTCTCTGGAGTCGTAATACCGCCGATCTCTATCTCGGTCTCGGTCTCGGTCTCGCTTGTCCCGGTCATGGTCGCGATAGTCTCTGTCCGAATGCCTGACTCGGTCTCGATCACGATCAGACCGTCTGTGCCCTTTGTCGGATGCATAGCCATCTCCTCCGTCGCCGCGATACCTGCGGTCATCAGACCGGTCATCGTCCCTTCTACTACTTCGCCGGAGCGCATCACGACCGTCAGATCGGTACCCTCGATCTCGGTCTGCATATTTATCTTCCGGGCTGCGGTAACGGCGCGACGACCTGGGCGGTTCGTCGCCGTAGACATCATCTGTGCCCCGATTATGGTGATCGGGCTCTCGGTAGCTTTTCGCTCGACGCGGCGTTTCCGGTTCGAAATCAGCGTAATCATCCTTGGCTGGTCTGTATCTGCTGGGCCTGGCTTTCCTGGCATCGTCCCGATCACTCATGGTAGCTTCAGCTTCCGGTAGAGGTGCACGGTAGCCTTTGGACCGACCGAATGCGACGCCGCCACCACCACCCTCAGCCCGCCTGTGACTTTGTGTGGTAGCATTGACATCGTCTTCATATTCGTCGAAGGTTGGCCTTCTCGCAGCGCCGGTGTTAGACTTCCTCGGCTTTGTGTCACTGGCATGGTCTCGATGGCGGGAAGAGCCATCCTTCAGATCTCGATATGCGGCCTTGGGCTCGACGTCTCTCGGATCAAAATCTTTCTTTCGGCGTGCCCCATCGGAGCCATATGGAGGCGCGGGTGAATCCTCGTAGCGAGAATGCCGCAGAGGGGGCCCGGCAGGTCTACGGCTGTCTGCGGTGTAGTCATCGTCGTCTAGAGAGCGAAGGGCGCCATCTCGATCGTGGCGAGGTCGGTCCCGACGGGACCTAGGTGCGTATTCGTCGTTAGAAGACATTGCTGCTTTGTCGCTCCGAAAATTGAGGCAGGAGGCAGGAGGCGAGAAAGGGTTCAGGGACTGATAGACTGGGGAAGGATCAAAAGAGGTGATTTGAGGTTCAAGGGTATGTGGACATGTGTGGACTCGCACGACTTCGAAATCAGAAGACTGAGATTGTTCCAGGACGGCCTGAACAGGGTCCCCTGTCTTAGTAGTCCAGAAGATGCCAGTATCAGTAGGACAGCCGTGGTTTCATCAACCCGGTATGCCGCTGTTGTGTGTGGCAGGGCAATGCAGTGGTAGGTAATAGGTACTACTACTAGTAGTACTAGTAGGGAGTGATCATGGTCGCCTGCAGTGTGGTTCACCTGCGCGGTCACGTCACTACTGGACAGGCGCGCCACCTCCTCAACCCTTTCGATCTCTCCCTGATTTCTACCTAGGTATCTCCAGCTCTTCAGCCCCTTCGTGTCACAAGACTCTCCCGTCCGAAGCAAGGATGACGGATAACACAAGAAATGGCCACTATCGAGCTGCCCGACATCGTCCGACGCGATCCTTGCTGCCTGTGGTATGTACCTACGTACCTAAGGTAAGTAGGTAGGTAGCGAGGTAGGTATGTTGACGTGTCCGCCTCCGGATTCAACACCACGTTCCACTACGTACTACCGGTGGTTACCCCGGGTTAATGGGTTTCGGGCGGCGCGGTTTTCCCGCTCGGGCCTCTGGGCGGCACGGTGCTCCCTTCTTAAGTTGAGTATCTCAGCGGATCCAGCCCGTGTAGGCCTCAACAACTTTGCTCTAGGTCGCCAGGAAAGGAGTCTTACATTCTAGCGACCCCATTCCCATAGGCAAATGCAGATCAGAAAGTTGGCTAATATATTGAAGCGGCCAGCTCTTCGAACTGCCTCACTGTTACCCACCTGCTCGTTGGCATCAACCTCGAAACCGTTTCTGCACGTATTGCGCGGCGCCGCCTTAATGCAGCCAAAAGCAATGGTCTAGGGCGCACCACAAGTTTGGCACTGAGAAAAAGGGACTACAACAAGTCGAATTTTCGGAAGCATACATCTATAAACTCATTATCGAGAAGCTTTTGTAAGCTGTTCAACGCATGAAGGATGTCTTCCTGGTCCTTATATGTGTTGCCGCCAGGGTGCTACACGGCTCTGTCGTACGAACGTAGGTGGGCTTTTGAAATATATTTCGCAGAAACCACCAAAGCTTACCTCGTTCACTCCCTCTTCACCTTCGCAGAGATCATCTTCTGAGCCTTGCGAAGTCCACAGAAGAGAAGATGCGTGTGCAATGGTCAGCTATTTGCGATGCATCTTTCACGACTCCTGCCCTCCGTTGGCTTTCTGATTACAGACCACTGACCTGGATTGCCATGGTCACACCAGTCGAAAATTAGTACCTAGCCACCGTCAACCCATCAAGCACCTCCTTGTGCATGTCCACATGGATGGCTGCATGGATGGCCTCAGGTCATCTAGCGCAAGGTTTGTCTGATTAACCTGGGCTTATCTCGATTGGCCAGTTCCGAGGACGTCTCTAGCCAGGGTAATGGACGACTGAGAAAGCGAAGAGCACACAGGGTATACCCTGTATCTCTCGCTTGTGCACCAACCTCAACCAGTCTCAACTAACTGTGCCCTCGGACTAGATGCCCTGCGCAAGCAACCATCGTTGCTCCCGGACATACTAATAAGGTTTTCTCAACCGTCATGCAGCTCCGTAGGGGCTATTGTTCGGGGTCAAATCAACAACGTTGGACACCAAGGTCGTTCTTCTTGTCTGCTGGCGGTCGAGCACGGCCAAGCCAACTCAGCCTCAGCCGTGAGCTTACTACCAGCGAGCTTTCTGCTCTGACGATGTAGATTACTAAGAGCGCTTATTATGAACGTCTGATGCAAGATTGTGTCACTTATAGAGCCTATCAGGAAATCGGCTTGTGAGGGCCAGAAACTCAGCTCGAGCTGCCTGGTGCAATGACGAAAGTACATTAAGCCGCTCAAGCCCATGTCAGGATTGTCCTTCTCATACGGACCATCTTCAACAATCTGGAGTGCGTCGGTCTTAGGTTACGCATTATGGTATATGCAGACATGTCGAACAGGCTTACGTTCATAAATCTATCCAGCTCTGGAGGAGTCAATCTCGGTAAGGATGAGGACACCAAATCTCGAGTGCGGTCTCAGGTAATGAAGAACTTGAGGAGGAAACAGAGACTCGAGGACAAGCTGAGTCAGTTGCATGATTGTCCAGACATCGTTCAGGCAGGTTTTCTTACTAGAGCCCAGAGTTCGAAGAAGCACAAGCCGCCTCAGGCAGTACATCCTTGTCGCGAAAGTCATCACCCAGCGCCTCAGAAGATAAAGGATGGGCCCAAGCCAGCCTTTTTCATGAGCACCTGGGTCCAGGCGGCCAGGCGGTGTCAGCTTCGTCATCGCGAGTTATCGACGCTCCTCTTACTGTGACACATGCACGACGGCCGTTGTCGAGCGAGTCTCCGATTATGCGGCAGTACCAGCTCACCGACAGGGCTTCTCGGTCACGCGATCGGTCATCATACCAACAGCAATGCAGTACAAGGGCAATGATCTCAAATCTGCCTGCTTCCTTACATGGATGGCAAGCCGGTGGGGAGACCACGTCGTCAACGGAACCCGAGCAGTTCCATAAGCTTCTCTATACAGTGGAGTCTTGTAAGTCCGCTTTTGAAGACGAAAGAACTCATGGACTAAGATGCAAAATCACAGATGTTCGGTTCCTGTCTGAACCATTGATACTTACGTTTCCCGTGGACTACAAGGGTCCGGGGGGCACTTCCAAGCTAAAGGCCTGCTTTGAAGAGAATGCCTCAAATGAGTTGGTGCTCTTTACCACACATCTCGTCCACCTGGGTCACACCACCGCCATCAAATTCCTTGAAGAGAACGTTCCTATCTGTGTCTCCGCCAAAGCTAAAGCTCTCAATCACTTGCAGCAATCTTTACGGGAAACGGTTCTGGACCCTGATCCCTCATTGATCGGAGCTGTCCTTTTAGTTCTCTCCTTTGAGGTGAGTTTGCTTCGAGCTGACTGCTGGGCGACCTACTGGCTAATACTGAATACCATTAAGATGATCAGAGGAAGCAACGCGATCCCTGTTCACTACGCTGGTTTGTTGAGACTTCTCGATCTACAGAGCAAGAGTGTAGAGGTGTCCTGGCACGCTGCGGCTCACGCCTTATTACCTGCCTTGATTGCGTATGTACATGAACCTGCACCCATAGTCAATCTAACCTCGTCACGCACTGAGCATCAAAAACTCTAGATGTGATCTTATACTTGCGGCAACTTCGCCCGACCGAACCCCTGGAATCGTGAAGCTAGAACTACCCCTGTTGTATCCTTTGAGTGCCGAGGCAGGAGCTGGATTCTATCGAAGCTCGCCGCTGATGCTTGTCGAAAGCTTCGATCACCTACGTTGTCTTTACCGCGGTGTTCCCTCGGCCTTTGTTGATGTTCTAAGCCAGGCTTTTCAATCAACTCAGACTCATCTATCAGCTCCCGGGATACGTCAATCTGCGAAGCACACTCAACGTGAGGACGGGTTGTCGAGATCTGCCACAGTGACGGACACTGTGCCTTACCATCCACGACCCTCTGCATGTTCCGGTGTCTTGTTTCCAACCAGTGTCCACCAAGCAGTGCTTCTAGCGGCAACAATCCACTTTCGTGCAACTAGGCTAGGGATTCCCTTCGAGAGTCCCACGAACCAAGGTGATGCTAGGCAGTTGGGCCAACTGTTGAATGAGAATCCTCTGTCAGCTTGGCGTGGGATTCCCTACATCTATCTGTGGATGTATGTTCCCGTCTTATATCTCACAAGCATCAGACTTTACTGACGGGCCCGCAACAGATTGCTTACGGGGGCAGCCGCTGCACAATTCCATCCAGAAAGGCAATACATGATGGCAGAACTGGTTAGGTTCGGCTTCAGTGTAGCACTGGAGCACGTGGACGACTTCAAACGTGAGTTGACAGCCATGACCGATGCACATGGCATCTTCCTTTTCTCGAAGTGGTTGACTCACGGGATATCTCCAGAGATCCTTACGAACTTCATTTGGTTGAGACAAGGTCTGCCGTCTGTGTAGGCCAGTGGAGACCGAAAGTTGAGATGGTGGCACAAAAGTGTGTATCATGAGGGCGGCCACAGAGTACACACAGCCATACCAACAAGCGTTCAGATGCAGACAACGGAAAGAACCAATTAAGTCCTCGGCACTTTACATTCCCTGTCTGGAACCGGCCATGCCCGCCACGTGGTGTCTCCCCAAATCGCTGTTCAACATGGAAATATGCGGGTCTCCTGCACACACCCATCGGCATTACACCCTCACATTTCGACGTTGAAATATGTGGCGGTGACCGATCCACATCATACAGGGCAAGAATGCCCTAGCGATGACGGTCAATCATGTTGCCGCCCCTGATGAGGCTAGGTGCAGGAATCTACATGTGGCATCTCAGCAGTCTCAAGTTTTTAGCTTGACTGAGATTATATCTCGCAGCCACTGTTCCCTCAGGCGGCTTCCGTACTCAAGTCGTTACATCAAAGATGGCGGAAGAGCATTCTCCCTTCGAATATCCTGACCGTGAAACCGTCGAACTTCTTCTTAACTTGCAACTTGAAGATGTCCAAGACCTCCGCAACCATTCGAAAGACAAAAACCATGGTGAAGACCTGAATGACTCTCAATTAGCGCTATCGTTCCTGGAGCAGGACCTGGAATGCATTCGCTCCATCATCTCTGACCGGTTTTTGGCTCAAAGCGTTGCCCAGGCAGTTCAATCTGATGGTCCGTTGATTGCGAACGTTGTGCGGGAAGAAGAAGTGGCGTGTGAGGACCATACCCTTGCACATCGAATGAACGGGTGCAACGTCACTTCTGAAGTCAATCTACAGTCCAGTCTCGATGAGGAAATCCTCTCAAAACTCGCTGGCCAATATGTGTCTGAGGATGCTGGTCGAGAACTCTGTACGGACTTGCAAGTTGGGAAGGGCAGCGTTTCGGATATCGCCTGTCGAGCAGAGAGCTCTACTCGAGCATCAAGCCGGGACGACCATGCGACCAGCCACGAACTTGTATGCGTTGCATGTCGCGAGACGAAGAAGTATTTGGACATCATTGAAGCAGCTTGCGGCCACGGATACTGCAAGCCATGCTTGCAGGAACTGTTCGACCTTTCCACCAAGGACGAATCACTCTTTCCACCCCGTTGTTGCCGCGAGCCGCTGGATTTGAGCGAGGTCCAAATCTTCCTTACCAAGGAACTCAAAGACAAGTTCGAGCGAGCGAAGGTGGAGTTCAGCACTGTTGATAAGACCTACTGCTCCGAAGCAACATGTTCTGCTTTCATACCGGTAGATGCCAATGCAGGAGATGCCGTCTTTTGCTGGGAATGTGGAACGGAGACCTGCGTCACCTGCAAAGCAGGTGCTCACATCGGAGACTGCCCGGATGACACGGCTCTTCGCGAAACACTTGCTCTAGCGACCGCGAGCGGCTGGCAACGCTGTCTCTCATGTCGCCGGCTGATTGAGTTGGAAGTGGGATGCAATCATATGACGTGAGTATTTCTTCTCCTCCGAAGTATTCCTCTGAGCTCTCCTTCCGCCGTGGTTCCTCCGAAGCCATGCTTGATAGACTGACAGACGAACAACAGTTGCCGATGTGGTGCCCAGTTTTGTTACGTCTGTGGAGTGCCCTGGAAGCAATGTGGCTGTGATCAATGGAACGAAGACAGACTCTTGGCCAGAGCCAACCGTCTAGTCGATCGCGACGTGCCACGTATAGGAGTGAACCACCCTGGGAGGATCCAAAGAGTCGCCGATGCCACAGAGATGCTCAGGGACAGACACAATTGCACACATGGGACTTGGAGGTACATCGAAGGTTCGCACAACTGTGAAGAATGCCTTCATACTCTGCCCAACTATATCTTTGAATGTCGACAATGTCGGATTCAGGCTTGCAATCGCTGTAGAAGGAATCGACTCTGAGATACAGAGATATATCTACTGCTGAAAGGCTTTACTTGACAGATGTAGTGAGAATATATTTTTGTTTCTCCTGTCATATTCTGATCCCTACTTTCTCTGTGCGTTAAATGTCCAAGTAATTTTAGCCTTGGGGACGCCCAACGGCCAACTTGAACGTCGAACAAGGCTGAGCTGCTGTCGCCAGATGCTGTCTGCTTACTTAACCACGTCTTCAGGGGAAATCATGACGTCGAACTTGGGCTATGGATTCGCAGTGTTCTGATTGGCGGATCGAGAATCGCCGCAACTTGAAGGAACTCGAAGTCGAAGTCGGCATCTTGCAATGCATTATTGTTGTCTTTACTTTCAAGCGACAAGGACCGCCGGTAAAAGTACAGATTCATTCGTGAAGGACACACGCCTTCTTTTGCATGGTCTAGTTTTCTTCCTCCATACTATTCAAGCAACGGCGAGCTTCTCCCTTCGGCCACTCCTCACCTCTCCCCTGGCATCCTAGCATATGCATCAGTAAAGATTCCAAGACTCTCAGTTTGCCATCTTGCCTCTCTATACACGTCGAGCTACAGACCACATCAAGCGACGAGAGGGACGATTCCCAATACTGTCAACGATCGTCTTTGCTTGCCCTGATGCGCCCCTCTACGCGTTTCCTAGCCACAACGACGCCGACCCGCTCGCTCAAAGGCAAACCCCGTGCCCCTCCCATCTCTCTCGACCACTTCATCCAGCGCCAGCGCGTCTTGTCGTTGTGGCGCACTATCCTGCGCGCCGCGTACCGCGTCCCGAAAGACCTTCGGACCGAGACACTGGCCTATGCGCGCGGCGAGTTCGAGCGGAATCGTCATGTCGAGGATATTGGGCAGATCAGATATCTGATAAGTACGGGGAAAGCGGAGTTTGATGGGATGCAGAGGTATATCGATGAGATGGCGGCGAGGGCGAGTGGGTAATAGGGGCAAGAATGGAGACAGAGAGACACCGAGACATAGAGACAGAGATACACAGGGTATGTGCTATGTTTCTGTTTGTGAATTGGAAGTTGGATGGGAGAGGAATGAGGAGCATATCTACGACATTGAAACAAAGACACTGCCGCTTCTCTGGTTCTCCGGATCAAATGGTGGCGACATGTGAGCGCTGCCGACCTTGCCTCTTGTGTTAATTTCAAATGATGACAGTTGAATTCTGCTCGGGTTGGGCAGAGATTCAGTTGTTGATGCTACCCGATCGACCGGAGCAGCTACTTTCTCAACCGATGCTTGAGGAGAATGGAACCTTCCTTCTCGGGTGTCGAAGGGGTCACGAAAAGGAGAAGGAAACGGAAACTGGAGTACTCGAACTAGGAGGTGGGCTGGTTGGAAGCGAGCACCATCAATTTCGGTCAAGACAAGGAGCACGTCCAGGAAGCGCTGCCACTGAAGTGGTTTCCAGCTTGGCCGCTTTGGCTTCGCATGTGAGGTCCGTTTCTGGCTCAGTAGAGCTTCCTTGATTACCCTATCATGCCACCTATCACCGACGCGGAGAGACGAAATATTCATTTCGGCATAAGGTCCAAAGCATGTCTGGTGCTGCATGTGACTATGACCGCGGAACTCTCTGAAGGCAGAGCAAAGCACATCGAACGACATACTATACTGGAAGCTCCACGGAGAAGTCGGTCGGTCGCCTCGGAGATACTGCACACTTCACAACACGTCGCGTACCGAAGTGATGAGTAAGTGCATTGACCGTCAGATGACATGGCGGAGATATCTGGTCAGAATCGAGTGGTATCGGTAGCGATCTGATAGTGATCCCAGGAATTTGGACCGTATTCCGAAGGGGTATTGAATAATGAGCGAGGACTTTTCATAAGCCTTTATGTATATACACATGGACAATCTCGTACAGGGAGAAAAGAGGGAGTCCAGTCCCCAATGATGCTGTTGGTTACCATCCACTTCCTGCCTTTCGTTATACTACCCTCACATCAAAACCTTCTCCAAGCGTCGCTTGTTCTTCTCGCCCACATACCCGGACCCCAGCCGTGGGTAACGACTTCTTCTTTGACACTCTTATTCCAGAACTGCCAACTCTGCTTGTCCTTTGCGGACGACTGATCAACAGCGTCGGGCTGGAAGGCCTCTTTACCAGTCTTTTCCAACTTGGTCACCGTATCCTTTGCCTTGTCCACCGTGTCCCTGACCCCCTGATCGACGAGCTTGGTCGAGTTTTCAATGCCTGCCCTCCACTCCTGATCCTCGCGGTCACGGGCCTCCAGCTCCCGCAGCCAGCGGTCGCGTTTCTCGGCATTCTTCTTCTCCTCCAGCGCGCTCTCAAACACCTTCCGCTTGATCCGCTCATCCTTGTAGAAAATGCTGCCGGCCACCAGAGCCAGCAGGGTGAAGCCCTGCGCGTAGATTCGCGCCCGGAACATCCGGTTCGTCTGGTGGTGGTCGCCCGCCCGCATCGATTTCGTGGCCATGTACAGCGCGTAGCAGGTTGCGGCGCAGCCGAGCGGGATCAGCGGCTCTTGTCGGAGCTTGCGCCATAGTTTCTGGGATCGTGATTCTTCAAAGAATTCCGGTTCCGTGTCAAAACTCGATGGCACCGGGCTGCTGGACAGCGGGGACGACTCGCTGGAGTTGGACATTTTCGGCTCGTTTCAGTTGGTTGATGATTTGTTCTTCCTGCTCGGATGTGGTTCGTGATCGAGGACGCGGAAGTGAAGATGGCTGTCGTAGTGGTGTTGCAATATATTCCTCTCTTTCCAGGAATCTAGTGCGGACTCGAATTCGGCCTTCGACAACCAGGACAGTCAAAGGTCAAATGTCAAAGACGCAACTGCGCGGGTTACGCCGATGTAGAGGGATAGTAGAAGGTCAACCCCTCGTACTTGATAGTAGCAGCCCTCGAGATCACGATCCGACCAGGAGGGATGTTTTGATCAAAGTCGTGACGTCGACGTGCAGGGTAGGTCAATTGGATATTCCGCTGCTCGTGGATGCGGAGATATTGCTTGACTCGTGGACGGTGCTCGGGGGCGTGGACTTGGAAAAGGTCGTTCGCCGCCTCACTGAGTCGATCTGCACAGAATCGGTGCACAAGATCATGTAAGGGAGGTAGAAAGACACACGAGGAAAGACTCTGGTTTGTCCCTCCAAGTTCTGAAAACAATCACGGTTGGCGTCTGTGGTAACAGGTTATAAGTTGTTGTAGCAGTAGCAAGACTCCCTGGACTTCCGGTAGGTACGTGAGGAGTGATTGATCGACCGTATTGTCGGTGCGGGGAATTTGCAGCCCCGAGATTTTTATATTTCGACTCATTTATTGCTTTGAAGACGATGGAGCTCCGAGCTCACTGATTCAACTGCGCTGTTTCTTGCTACAGAGTAGAAGCGAGTTCTTGTCGCAATTCCGGCAAGCTACCCATACCCAGCAAATCCAGGTTGAGGGCATGTCCTCGACTGGCCAACCGTCCGCCATGGACCTCGACCATTCCCACGTCAATGGGACAACCACGCCGTCTACACCCAAGCCGTCTGGACTGGCATTGACCGAATACACCGCCAACCCTACACCACCTTCTGAACGAGCAGATATCCCTTCCTACGACGTGCCTCAAGATTTCCTTCTCCCCACGGGCTACCCAGATTACCTCCGACTTATCCTGACGTCCCGAGTCTATGATGTCGTCTCCGAAAGTCCCCTGTCTCATGCCATCAACCTCTCCAACCGCCTTGAGTGCAAAGTCCTTCTCAAGCGAGAGGACCTACTCCCTGTCTTTTCCTTCAAGCTGCGTGGCGCGTACAACAAAATGGCACATCTCCCACCCGAGGTACGGTGGAAGGGAGTGATTGCTTGTTCCGCCGGAAATCACGCTCAGGGCGTGGCGTATTCGGCCAGACATCTCAAGATCCCCGCTACAATCGTGATGCCCGAAGGGACCCCCGCGATCAAGCACCTGAATGTTAGTCGCATGGGTGGGAGCGTGGTTCTGCACGGGCAAGACTTCGATTCGGCCAAGGAACACTGCCACATGCTGGAGAAACAATACGGATTGACCAATATCCCGCCCTTCGATGACCCCTATGTCATTGCCGGACAGGGCACTATTGGCATGGAGTTGCTGCGGCAGGCCTCTTTGCAGAACTTGCAGGCTATATTTTGCTGTGTTGGAGGTGGTGGCTTGATCGCTGGGATCGGTATCTATGTTAAGAGAATAGCACCGCATGTCAAAATCATCGGCGTCGAGGCTTCGGAAGCAAATGCCTTGGTAGAGTCGCTGAAGGCTGGCAAGAGAGTGCTACTACGGGACGTTGGATTGTTCGCCGATGGCGCAGCGGTCAAGACCGTAGGCGAGGAGACGTTCCGAATATGTCAAGAAGTCGTGGACGAGGTAATCGAAGTCAGCACAGACGAGATCTGTGCTGCCATCAAGGATGTCTTCGAGGACACTCGATCCGTGCTGGAGCCTGCCGGGGCGCTGTCACTGGCGGGCCTGAAGAAATGGGTCGCAAAGAATCCCTCGGCAGACGCCAATCGAGAACTGGTCGCCGTGGCCAGCGGCGCCAACATGAATTTTGACCGCCTACGATTTGTGGCGGAGCGCGCCGCCCTTGGTGAGCAGAAAGAAGCTCTCCTGACCGTGACGATACCGGAGCGACCGGGCTCTTTTGCCCAGTTGATCGAAGCGGTGCTGCCACAAGCCGTCACGGAGTTCGGTTACAGGTATTCGGGTCCTTCTCGGGCACATGTACTGATGGGCATCTCTGTCTCATCGGCGACGGCGCGGGCCACGGAACTCGAGTCGCTCTTCTCCCGACTTTCGGCTGAAGGCATGACCGCGACGGATGTCTCGGACGATGAGCTTTCCAAAACTCACATCCGACACCTCGTTGGCGGACGGTCAGGTCTGAAAGACGAGCGACTGTATATGTTCGAATTCCCCGAGCGCCCAGGGGCGTTGTTCAAGTTCCTCCGCACTCTTCGCCCCGGCCAGAACATCACACTGTTCCACTATCGCAACTATGGCGGCGATGTGGGCAAGATTCTTGCTGGTATACAGTGTCCCGATGCGGAGAGAGATCAGCTGGAGGACTTCCTGAAGGACATCGGCTATCCGTTCAAGGAGTGTACTGACAGTCCCATCTACAAGATGTTCTTGCAAGAGTAAAGACGGAGATTCTTGCATGGTTTGATCTAACGATACCCGGTACGGCGTTGAGTGGAGATAAAACAAGGATATTGGCACGAATAAGCAGGCGATAGAAGTTGTTAAGAAGTCATTGTTCTTGTTAGATGAGAGGTCTGTATTCAAATGGATAAACACTGTGCCAGCCCAACCATAATCCGGCGCATACTTGATATACGCTTTTTACTACCACAACGACTTCTGTTGTGGCATTGTAGGATTCTTCAGAAGATCGAATGGGACAGTCCATGGTAATTGATGAAGAAAGAGGACGGTAGCTTAAGTAGTAACAACAACTGGTTATGTCTTATCATATTCCTGTGGTCGCTGTTTCTTGTATCTGCCTGCGAATAAAATAGAGCAAAACAGAACTCGTCCAATGTCTTCTTCCTGTGCCTTCATCCTGCAAAATACCTAGGTACCGTTCACTTGATTTTTTTTTGACATCTCGACGTCTCGCTCGACGGTAATAAGTCTACAAGACGTACGAAATCATGGTGTAACCTGCTGTGATCTCCTTATCTTCTCTTCTGCGGCCCAGATCTGTGCTATGGAACATTTCAACTCGTGTCACCTGGAGCATACGGAAGTATCCTCGACTTCTGTCGATTTATTGGGGATCTCGGGTATCTATCGTCACCATGAGTTCAGGTCCCAGCCATGGAAGCAATCTAGTTAACAGGTCATCTTCACCTGGTCCTCTAATTCCTTCCTCACCAGCACGACTAAGTATCTCTGGTCTACACAAGGCCGATAACGCAATCCCATCCACTCCAGCCGCGCAGCCAATCATCCCATCTTCACCAGACAATCCTTTTGCTCAAGGTGAGGATGCGAAAACTTACTTCACCCGCTCCAATCGGTATTTCGGACCTGTATCAACGTGGAAATCATGGACCGAGGAAGAGAGAACAGTTGCCCTTAGTTTGGACCGCCTCAGGAGTCAGGACTTGAGTCTACACCTGTTCAACGCGTATCACCTCAAACGGAAGGCCGCCAAATCGGCACGCGGAAGGAAGCCCAAGAGGAGCAGGAAGGGTAAGGAAAGGGCGGCATCAGTTGCTTCGATCACAGACGACGCTATTGCAGGTGATCAGGAGGCGCCTGAGAGGCAGTTCACTCTCCCCAAAGCCTGGACAGCTTGGCCTTTGCCGGCCGACCGGGTTCCTAGAGAGGAATTGCTTCCTCAGGCCGGAAGCGGCGCGTTACGTGCAAAAATCGACTTTCGGCCGAGCGCCAATTTGGAAGCATGGCTTATTGCGACAGCGACGAAACTTGCTCGAGAAAGATGGAGTGACAGGCAGTGGGAGAAAAAGGAAGCTAACGTGGAAAATGATCACAAGGAATCGGACCTCGGGATTGACCATGCGCTGGATGCTGAGTTGGAAAGTGAAGACGAACATGAGGGAGAGAATGCACAACCGGGCTTCCAATTGTTCTCATCCCAAGCCGTTTCCGTCTCAGACGAATCAGAAGGCAATATCAGCACAGAGATGAACGAAAAGACCGATGACGAGGAACGCGAAACCGATCGACCTCCTGTACCTCTTGCGGACGATGACACGGCAAGACGATACTTCATTCCCAGTGCCCGACATATTCTGTCCAAGCTTGACCATCTTCTGCTCGGCCTCCACCGTGCAAGGCACGCCTACGCTGCGAAGCCGCATGGGAGGTCACGGGGCAGAAACATCTCTCGGACATCTGGAAACCAAAGTAGTACTGAGATCGAAGATCGAGATGAGGAACCACGCTCCACCTCGCGCCGCGGACGTCGGTCGTCATCAGCGAAAACAGATGTCTCAAGCAGTTCCACTAAACCCAGCAGAAAGCCTGAACGTGCTGAACATTTGGGACTACGAGACTGGAGTGAGGTGGTCGGTATGGCTGCTTTGACTGGATGGGATCCGGGCCTCGTGGAACGAGCAAGTGAGCGATGTGCAAGACTCTTTGGGGAAAACATGCTGTTCCGTACGTTCTACGAGGGTGATGCCAAAGCAGGCACCACGTCGCATGTCACCGAACGCTTGGCCGTGGACAGCGCGAGTTCGGTCAGTTCGCTGGAAGCGGATGACGACCACATTCCTGTATTCCGCACATCGGCGCCGTGCGAGGCGTGTCGACAGTCCAGATCGAGGTGCCAGCCTGCAGAGTCACAGCCCGGCCTCTCGCGGCCGTGCGGGAAATGTCAGGAAACAGGAACCTATTGCTCGGGTATTACGGTCCAAGACAATGCCAGCATAGGAGCTGGGACTGAGCGCCATTGTCCATATGAATCATGTCCCAGGCACAACATCCCCTTCCGAAAACAATACCACCTCCAAAGACACCTGGACAGCGTGCACCGTAACTACTCTGGTGCTGGAGACCAAAAGTGGCTCGCAAGGTCATCGCCAAGCGCGACTGCCAGTGGCGACGTTAGCGACGCCGACACCGACTTCGATATGTCTCTTGGTTCGACTCATCCCATCATCTGTCCGGTCCCTGGCTGTCCGAGAGGCAAGAAGCCCTTCCCAGAAGGAAGACGACTGTATGAACATGTCAGGCGGATGCATCCCGAAATGGATGTACAGGATGTGAAAGAGCTGGAAGCTAGAAGGAGAGGAGAACGCAGAGGGCGGTGGAGAGATGAGAGACGAAGGAGGAGTGTCAGTACACGCAGGTCGGCCAGCCGGCGCGCCCGCCTTCGCGAGGCATCTAGCCTGGTCAGTGAAGGTGACGACGACGATGCTGACTACAGAGAGTAACGTTAGGCGTGGGGCCTGGCCTGCCAAGTCCTGTTTCATGTAGGATAGGATACTATCACTATCTCCAAACTGGGACGAGATTACACCATCAACGAAACCATGTCGTAGGTTCTGTGTGTGATTTTTTCCATCTATATCAAGAAGGGCCGGTGGTTGCTGTGGATGGGAACCTCGCTTAAGTAATCAGCCTCGCAAGGCTCTACTACGGCTCTGATATTGGAATTACAAACTTGAATCCCACCACTTCCATCTCTCAACGCATCACCATCTCTTCCCCAGTTGTCTTTTAGAGTGGGCAGAAACATATTCAAAGGCTGGCTGATCAGAGTACATGTTTTGTATTGATGCCGCCTACCGCGTATATTCAAGGACCTCTTCTTGATCTTCCGTCCGGGATTTCGATGACCGCTTCCTTGCGTGGCCCGCATGGAAACAGAACCATCGACAGGAAACATGACGACCACTGCTCTTTCGCGGACGGACAATCGAGTGCCACCGTTAAGGCAAATGCGGAAGGGCACCAAGTCATGTCAGGAATGTAAGTGGCCTCGCACGACTTGTTAGTGTTCCGCGGCGTCTCCCCCCGATTCCAGGAAGTGCTGTCGTCCTCACTCCACCATGAAGAATGCGATCGCTATGGTTGTGGCCCAGGAAATGTCCCCGAACATTTGGTGCCAGTCAGCTGCTGTTCTGTAGACATTCATTGGAGAAAGGCACTGCTCATGACTCGCCTATGGGTGGTTGTGCCATCTCTTCTCTTCGGATGCATGAATGCAAAACGTGTATCAGCATCTCACTTACAAGTCACAGGTCGACGCCGCAAGATAAAATGCAACTACCCAAGTCGATCTGATTCGCCCCCCGATACTCTTCCAACCAGGTCCAACGTCATTGGCAATGCCACCGGCGACCCGACGACGATATCTCCCACGACGTCAACCGGCGCCACAACTCCAAGTACGAGCGCCGACATGAAATGTATCGAATGTCTCAAGTACAACCGCGTGTGCGAAATACAGGGCTATGTGGACCCGAAGCCTGATATTTCGGAGTCGAATGGAGTCTCACGATCCAGGAAGCAAATCTACAAGCGCCGGAGAGAGGCCACGGACAGTTCAGCCTCGCCGGATCATGACAGACGTGTTAAGGTCCGCGTGCATAGAATGCACTCCATGGTCGAGAGGCTTGCTCGAGAACGGGGATTGCATTCGGCATCTGCAACGAATGGCTCACATTATCTTACCAGAAGGTCTGAAGCGTCTGGTTCTGACGGAACTCGGTCGATGCCTGTAGGTGAAGAGCCCAGCGAGGCTCAGACACCCAAATCGCTAGCGTCCCATGGAGGCTCGCAGGCAGAGCGAGCTTCGAGGCTGCCGAAGTCAAGTAGACAAAAAGGCGCCCTCCCAACAATCAAAGCCGGCGAAGAGTCGATAGAGGAGCAGAGCCCGCTCCTCTCACAGCTATTCAATAACGAAGTGGTATGTTGTGTTCCGGAATAGCCTCAAACTTGCCCTCTTCAGCTTCCACCCCTTTCGTTCCCTCCAGATAGCAAGGACTCTTGCCCTTTCTCTCACAATGCCATTCTGACATTGTCTCTCTTTGCTGTCTAGTTCACACAAACTCCCTACACTCCGGCAGTCCTCATCGAGAAGAAACGTGTCCTCAGCTTCTTGGATGGCGACTCTTCAACAGATGTCGAGAAACTTCGCTCCACAATCGCTTCGGAGCCGGACATTTTCAAGGCCCTCGACATCTGTGCGCACTGGTGGGTTGCCTGGCGTGACCAGGCATTTGCTCTGCATGAGGCATTCTTCCAGCCGGCATTGTCAACGGAGTCCTCCAGATCAGGATGGTTTGGCTCATTTAACGAGCGTATAAGCTCTAGATTAAACCTCCGCAGCCAACCGACGCAAGTTTCGCTCCAGGATTTCGTACGCATAAAGCTCTCCCAGGACACCGCTGTCTCCGTCGCCACCGGTCTTTTCTGCATTGTCATGTCATTGCAGCAGCTCCGACCTGGCGTGGACGATCTCGATCTCCACCTATCTACCTCACCGGCCGACCTGGCCGAACGGATCGTCATGGCTGTCGATGCCATACTTCTCTCTCGTTCCTCGAATCCAGCTTACAGACGTGAACCGGGCATCTTACTTCTGTTCATGATGCGAGCGAAGATGTATGCCGAGACACACCAGCTCCGTAAATCATGGCTGATGATCCGGAGAGCGACTGAGACCACAAAAGCAATTGGTTTCACCGACGTCAAGAACCTCCCCAGCTTGTCTCCAGACAGTTCGAGTCCAACGGAGGAGGAAATCAATCTATTCCATCGGCAGCGCTTTGTCGGCTCCATCCTCGAGCTCGAGCGCCTGATGAGTATGGTATTAGGCCTCCCGCACGCCGAGGACGAGAACTTTTCCGACCGTCTAGCTCTTGCCGTGCTCAGAGGTGAGATCCCAGTGCCGGGCCAGGACCGTGAGGCACCACCACCGGCCGATATCAAGATGCGTGCACTGCGCCGAGTTGTGGCCGTGGCAGCAGGCCGTGTCAATGACCGCAACGCCAGCTCTGAATCGCTGGAAACGAAGCTCGAAGCTACAATGAAGATCCAAAACACTCTGGACGAGGCCACGAGCGCGATGCCTGCAGGCTGGTGGAATGAGAACTCCCACCTGCAGTATTCTGACCAATTCGCTGCCTACGAGCATCTCCATACACAGATGTGGTATTGGCAGGTCCAAGCCTTCCTTCACATGCCATTCATGCTGACGCCGGCGTCCACCTCTCCTCAGGCCAATGTCTTCTCTTCGACTGACCGCAATCGCGACCGCCATCACATTCCTGCATCCCCGGACCCTTACCTGCTGAACAGATACCTCTGTCTTCAGGGCTGTCGCAACATGCTCTGCGTCTTCAACCTGCTGCGTTCGGAGCCGTCGCTGGCCGTGTACATCTGTCCCTGCGAGGACTTCCAAGGTGTCTTCAGCGCCTGTATTCTCATGGTCGGCTTGCTTCTACACCGGACCTATCCGCATTCGCTCGCTCCCACGCCCACGCTCTCCACTGCCGCGGCTCCCGCAGTGGCCAATCTAGATACTGATCTTGCCCTCATTGAGGACGTCAAGGATGTCTTCCGTTATCGAGCACCGCAGCAGGGCGGTGGTATTAGCAAACAGGGGCTCAGGGTGCTTGAGGTGCTGGGCTCGTTTCTGGTGGAGGACTTTGAAAGCACTGCTTCCAGAACGAGGACGGTGGTTCTGCCATATTTCGGTGCGATTCATCTTCAAACCAAACAAGCTGTCTCTACGGAGGACCCAGTCAAGGGCGCAATTGCAACGGATCACCAAGACCTCTCACAAGGGTCGTCGCTGCCAGAATCGGATCTGTATGAAGATGCCACATTCCAGTTTCCGATGGAGGACTTTGACCTGAACTGGGATCAGTTCATGTTCGGCGATGAGCTGGGCCAAGATTGGAATCTTGATACCCCTGACTTCCCGATAGAAGATGGTCAGTGGGAATAGGTGCTGCATGGCTGCTCTGGACTGCCATGATAAACATGTCTTTATGCTGTATTCAGCAGGCGTCCGATAGTCGACTCTGTCTGTGTAGACACGGAGCTGATTGATGACACGATCACAACATATAGACCGGACTGGTCAGCTTTAGCAGAAGCTCATGCCGTAGAGAGCAGTATCATGGCAGCACTGTGGTAGTATATCAATACCCAAATACCTTAGGTACCTAGATAGCAAGTGTAGATAGTCGATAGGTACCTACTGTGGTATCTCCAAATCTGTCGTCGGTGGTCGGTGATCGGTGGTCGGCGATCTTTACCCCGAACGTCCGTCCGTCATTCGCTGCGACTCGAACTCTGAACTTTTTGCGCAGATCAAACGAATTGCATCGCATCACGACCGACAACCTCAAACGCGCATTTGAACGCGAGTCGAGGTCGCTATGCCGGCCACCACTCCTGTCCGTACCGTGCGACACTGCCTGTACGTCTGTTCGAGCTGCCGTCAGCATCTCTCCGCGAAACAATCCTCGAGACCCCTGGGAGTTCCGGCTCAGAAAAGATGGATTTCCCACGGCCATGTTCGAAAGATTCAAGAGGCGGAGAGAGAATGGAGGACGAGGGCGGAACATATCGAGGCGGGAAAGATAAAACCGATGCTGAAGATGCTTGAAGAAAGGGGTTATATCAATCAAATAGTTGGGTATGGATGGCCTTCGCGACCGTAGTGCGCAAGACCGGCTTTTCTAATCTGTCGTGCAGTTTACGGCAGGATTTGGAACAATTACTGACCCATCGTCGGGTCGGGGTCTATGCTGGCATAGACCCTACTGCGCCATCGATGCACGTCGGTCATATGATTCCTTTCATGGTGTTGGCGTGGTTCTACGTCCACGGCTACGATACACACTTTGTTGTAAGCACCACCTCTCCGAAGTCTACAATGTAACTATCGAGCGGTCACTTACCGGTCCAAAAGCTGGGAGGATTCACAGCCAGCATTGGTGACCCCACAGGACGGTTGACCGGCAGAGAGACTCAAGCACCGGCGATCCGAAAAGCCAATATAGCATCGATGCATGCGCAGCTCAAGAGACTCGGTGTTTCCATTGAGAAATATGCCCATCGGCGGGGCTACGTGAAGGAATGGGCCTGGCGGAGGGCCCTGGACAACAACGTTACTTGGTGGACAACCACTTCCGCGAGAGACTTTTTGTCAATCCTGGGTCGGCACGTCCGCATCGGCCCAATGCTGGGCAGAGACACGTAAGGACGGACACGAAGCGAGAGTAGAATCGGCAAGACGAGGCACTGACACAGAGCACAGAGTCAAGAACCGAATGGAAAAGGGGGACGGCATGTCCTTTGCTGAATTCAGCTATCCTCTGGTCCAGGCCTGGGATTGGTGGCAGCTGTTCCAGCGCGGCGTTCAAATCCAGATCGGAGGAGCAGATCAATTTGGCAATATTCTGGCTGGGGCTGAAGCAGTCAAGCAAATCGCCAAGGAGTCTCACGAATATCAGCAGACCCTGCGACAGACCCAGCTCATCGACGAAAACAACGGAGTCAAGGTCACTTCGGACCCGTTGGGCTTCACGGTGCCGCTGTTAACCACTGCTTCTGGCGAAAAGTTTGGCAAGAGTGCGGGAAACGCCGTCTGGCTGGATCCGGAGCTGACCAGCATCTTTGATCTTTACCAGGTGAGTATGGTCACTATATGTAAAATATTGGCAGACTGACATGTCGAACAGTTCTTCTTGCGCACCGCCGACGCCGACGTCGAAAAGTACTTGAAGTTATTTACGTTTTTGCCTCTGCCGGAGATTCGCGAGTTGGTTCAAGAGCATGAGAAGGATCAGTCTAAGCGCGTGGCCCAGCATAAGCTGGCCAAAGAGTTCGTCGAGCTTATCTACGGACATGAAGCGGCGGCAAATGCCGAGGCCGAACATCGACAACTGTTCAACAAGAAACTCACTCTAAGCGATGTCACAGCGAGCGTGGCCGAAGCCCGGTCGGCCCAGCCTGCCATGGAGCAGCAGGGTTTTATCAATCCTTCCTTGAACAAACATGCCCAGCCACTACGGCGGGAGGACAATGTGGCTGTTCATCTCAAGTTGCCCAAGAGCCTGGTCATTGGGAAACCTCTAAGCCATGTACTCTGGGCGGTGGGCCTCGTTGGATCTCGCGCCGAGGGTCAGCGCCTGATCAATGCCGGAGGGGCGTATATCGGTGCCAACGCCGATGCAAGAGGTGGAATGGACGATGCGCTCAGCTTCACGCCGGCGAAGACGGCGGCGTGGGAGGAACTTTCCAAGTTTATCATTGACGGGAAAATCCTCATTCTCCGCGTCGGGAAATGGCGGCTGAAGATCATCGACATCGTGCCAGATGAAGAATATGAAGCTGCAGGATTGACTTGTCAAGCCTGGGAGGCGCTGAAAGAAGCCCGGGCCGCAGAACAAGCGAGCGAAGGCAGCCAGGCCACGGAGCAAAAGGCGTCGTGAAGGCGGGCATGTTGACCAAGGCGCCAATGCTGACTGACCTCTTGCTGTATCAATGTTGTAGTCTACCACTATATCATGTACTCTCCGAAGAAGAATATACCCGATTTCTGGTACTTTGCTCGAGTGGCTGGTGGGGGGTTGGTAAGAGGACAAGGCTAAAGGGGAAGGGATGACATTATACGGAGGAGTTAGTACATGAAAAGACTAGCACTCACTCACTATACGCGTCGCTTTGTCCCTTGACGCGCTAATCTCCTCCACGCGATTTCCCATCACCACCGGCACCCGAGAACACCTGCTGTCCTGCTGTGACTTGCTTGTACTCCTTCGTGTTCCGTCTCTGTATTTCATCGTCGCTCTCTACACGACTCATTTTTCTGCTCTACTACTTACAGAAGTCAGACGGCTGTTAGCTGTCAATATGCCCAAAAAGACGTCCACTCCCACTTCCTCCACGCCTACGTTGAAGACGTCGTCTTCCTCAGGTGGACAGAGGACTCTCCTTGGATTCTTTCAGAAGACACCGTCCACCGGTTCCCCAGCTCCGCTACCTGCGCGACCAACGACTGCAACACCCGCTCCGACAAAACCGCGAATCAAGTCTGTTGGGACGACCTCCGCTTCTACCCTGACCCCTGCTCCCAGTAGCGACGCAGTCGACCTAGAAAATGAGGACGACCAAGTGAAGGCAAGTTCGCCTGCTTCCAAAGGTCTGCCATCGCCAGCTTCGACTGACGAAGGGCAGACTAATGGAGTAGAAGAGCTGAATGCTCGTGGGACGCCAACGAGACGTGTAATACCCGATCCCTATTTTCCATCTGTATGCTTGGCCGCTGACGGATGATTTAGGCAAAGAAGAAGACCATCAGCTACATCGAGTCTGACGACGAAGGCACGGACGATGACGACGTCTTCAAGCCTACACCTGCAGCGCGCGCGAGGCCTACGAAACGAAGACGACTCGACGATAGTGCCGACGAGGATGTTTATGAGCAGGAAAAAGAGCCAGAACAGGACGATGACGGTAAGTTACCGACTCATCCTACACGTCTTGTTGCGGCCCGGCTGACCTTGCAGATATGGACGACTTTGTTGTCCCAGACGACTCGGAAGACGATGCACCACGAGCTGCGAAACGCAAGCGACCATCCCAGCCCGCGTCTCGCAAGATTTCATCCCGTGTGACGCCTTCCACCGACAACGCCGATGTTGATCTAGACCTAGACATGGATCTTGGCGAGGGCTCGACAGCTCAACAGTGGAAGTATGATCCTGTGAACCCTCAACCGTTACAACCGCGATCCTCCAATATCCCCTCCAAAAAGCCGGGCGGAGACGGGAGCAAGAAGCAAAAGGCACACCTGACGGAGCCGGAGCAACGACATGCTTGGCTCGAAGACATCAGAGACATTGATCGAAACCCACCAGGCCATCCCGATTATGATCCTCGAACGCTGTACATCCCTCCAATGGCGTGGGCGAAGTTCTCCCCATTCGAAAAGCAGTACTGGGAGATCAAGCAGAAGTTCTGGGACGCGATTGTGTTCTTCAAGAAGGGCAAGTTCTATGAACTGTACGAGAACGACGCCACCGTCGGGCACCAGTTGTTCGATCTGAAATTGACTGACCGCGTCAACATGCGGATGGTGGGCGTCCCGGAGTCCAGCCTCGAGATGTGGGCGAATCAGTTCGTGGCAAAGGGCTTCAAAGTCGCCCGTGTTGACCAGCAGGAGACTGCACTGGGGAAGAACATGCGGGAACGGGACGAGAAGCCCACTACGGCGGGGACCAAGAAGGGGAAAGAAGAAAAGGTCATCCGGAGAGAGCTTGCGTGTGTTCTGACCGCCGGCACTCTTGTCGACGGCACCATGCTCCAGGATGACATGTCAACGTACTGCGTGGCCATCAAGGAATCCGAAATCGATGACATGCCAGCATTCGGTGTGGCGTTTGTCGACACGGCCACCGGACAGTTTCATATCTCGCAGTTTATTGATGACGCCGACTTGACCAAATTCGAGACGTTTGTTGCCCAAACTCGCCCACAGGAGATTCTTCTCGAGAAGGGTGAGGTCTCTATGAAGACGCTGCGAATCCTGAAGAACAACACTAGCCCCACAACCATCTGGAACTACTTGAAGCCGGGCAAGGAATTCTGGGAAGGCCATATCACGGCAAAGGAGATTGAGGCGAGTGACTACTTCCCCCAGGATTGGCCCGAGGTTCTTCAAGAGGCCAAAGACAAGGATCTTCTCATGTCTGCGCTTGGTGCTTTGATCCAGTACCTGAGGACACTCAACATTGAACGGGACTTGGTCACTCTAGGCAACTTCACTTGGTATGACCCCATTCGGAAAGCCACCAGCCTGGTGCTGGACGGTCAGACCTTGATCAACCTGGAAGTGTTTGCGAATTCATACGACGGAGGAATCGAAGGCACTCTATTCCAGCTCCTCAATCGGTGCATCACGCCCTTCGGCAAGCGCATGTTCAAGCAATGGGTCTGTCATCCTTTGATGGACACGAAAAAGATCAATGCCCGGCTCGACGCGGTTGATTCTCTCAACGCCGACACCAAAATCCGGGACCGATTCACTTCGCAAATGACAAAGCTGCCGGATCTGGAGCGGCTGATCTCGCGCGTTCATGCCGGCACCTGCAGAGTGCAGGATTTTGTCAAGGTGCTTGAGGGCTTTGAACAAATTGACCATACCATGTCTTTGCTTCGTGATGGAGCAGGAAAGGGAGCAGATAGTGAGGGTGTCATCGGGCAGCTCATCGCTGCGATGCCCGACCTTCAGCCGCACCTGAAATACTGGAGCGACGCGTTTGACCGGAACAAAGCCAAAGAGTCGGGCGTTTTAGTCCCCGAGCGGGGCATCGAAGAGGATTTCGACGAGTCCCAAGACTCCATCGATGCCATCCAGGACGAGTTCAATGGACTGCTCCGAAAATGGCGCAAGCAGCTGGGGTCGAATGCCATCTGTTACCGCGACAGCGGCAAGGAAATCATGCAACTCGAGGTGCCCGTCAAAGTCAAGGGCATCCCGAAGAACTGGGATCAAATGTCGGCCACCAAGCAGGTCAAGAGGTACTACTTCTCCGAGTTGAGGTCGTTGGTCCGCGAGCTCCAGGAAGCACAAGAAACACACTCTCAAATCGTCAAGGAAGTCGCCGGTCGCTTCTTTGCCCGGTTTGACGAGAACTACGACATCTGGCTCGCCTCCATCCGGATCATCGCACAGCTGGACTGCCTGATCTCCCTGGCCAAGGCGAGCAGCAGTCTCGGCTACCCCAGTTGCCGGCCCGAGTTTGTCGACGAGGACCCTACCAGCGGCAGATCGACGCTCGAGCTGGTCGAGCTCCGTCATCCGTGTCTGTTGGCCAAGGTCGACGACTTCATCCCGAACGACGTCGTCCTCGGCGGCGCAGCAGCCAACCTCAGTTTGCTGACTGGAGCCAACGCGGCGGGCAAGTCGACTGTGCTCCGCATGACCTGCATCGCCGTGATCATGGCCCAAATCGGATGTCATCTGCCGTGCCGCCTCGCGCGCCTCACGCCCTTTGACCGGATCATGTCGCGCCTCGGGGCGCAGGACCACATCTTCGCGGCGCAGTCGACTTTCTTCGTCGAGCTCGCCGAGACCAAGAAGATCCTGTCTGAAGCGACGCCGCGCAGCCTGGTGATCCTCGACGAGCTGGGCCGCGGCACGTCGTCGCACGACGGCGTCGCGGTCGCCCAGGCGGTGCTGCACCATCTGGCGTCGCACGTCGGCTGCCTCGGCTTCTTCGCCACCCACTATCACTCGCTGTCGGCCGAGTTTCGCGGCCACGCGGAGATCCAGGCGCAGCGCATGAAGATTTTGGTCGACGACGAGCAGCGCCGCGTCACTTTCCTGTACAAGCTCGAACCGGGCGTCGCCGAGGGCAGTTTCGGCCTGCACTGCGCCAGCATGTGTGGCATTCCCGCCAGCATCGTCGACCGTGCCCAGGAGGCCGCTCAGCAGTGGGAGTATACCAGTCTCATGGCCAAACGCCTCAAGGCCGATGCTGGAGAAGGCGAAGGCGAAGGCGAAGGCGAAGGCGAAGAAAGCAGCAAGAAGCAGGGAGAAAGCGGGAGGACTCTTTTGCCGCTTGGCATCCTCAGCGACGTGGCGTGGATGCTGCAGGACGATGCCAGCGCCAATTCCAATGCCAATGCCGGCGCCGCCGACCGGCCCGTGGTGACGGAGCGCAGCATCGATACTTTGGTCAAGTATATCGAAGCGTTGTGAAGTGAACAGAAGGTTCATGTTTGAGAGTACTACCAGTACATGGTTGTTTTATCACTGATTGCTTGAGGATTGGGGAGTTGAAGGGGAAGGGGAAGGGCGTTGCTTGCTTTCCCGTCCAGACCCCATGTTAAGAGAACAGGGGTTGTCCGACAGTGGTTACCTCTGAGAGCTTCTGTTCTTCTTTTCGTGCGTGACGCGACCTGGCTTAGGTAGACGGTCTGATTTGTTCCAAGGATGGCGATGGCGAGGGATCTTGCTGCTCTTGCTTTCTATCTGATTTCGGACGGGGTTGTTTGACCATGGACGGTTCGTTTCCGTTTCCTGTCTGGTTGTCTCTGATCTGTCTAGACACCTCAGGTATGTAACTTAAGATTCTCAACCTATGGGTAAAGGCCGGTTCGATTCGGCTCGGCTGTGTGCGAATGTTGTCGTTGTCAATACCTGTGAGAGAAAATAGGAGGGAATTAGGGACGATATCCCCTCCACTCTGGATGCTTGAGCGAGTTTGCTTTTCGCTTTCTTCTTTTCTCTCTAATGCTCGCGAAACTGCCGTTCTCGTCTCCTTTCTCCGCCCTGACAGTAACGAGAAGGAAGAGCTCTTTACTCTTTATGTTCAGATCAAAATCAACAGGGAAGAGAAAAGTATCGATGATCTTGATGCTCGGAATCGAGAAAAGAAAAAAGGAAAAAAGAAATGAATGGTACCGGGTTTGACTGAGAATCTCTTTTCGCTGTCTGCGGTCTGAGGTCTGCGGTCTGGTCGATTGAGAGGAGGGATCTTACTTCCAGTTGACATCCGTGGCACCATGATGGGCCTCCTTAGCCTAAGGACCAACAACAACCAACCTAGGAATGCAGTTTCACCACTTTTCGTCTCTTGTGCAATTCGTTCCTCTGTTTTCAGCTACCTAACCCACCATTGATTGTCCTGGACGGGATCACAGCTCAATCGACCATCTGGCAATGCGATGCAATGTATGGCCAAGTTCAAGTCAAGCTCATTTCCGTGTCCATCTTCGCCTTCGCGTTCATGCTCATGCTCATGTCTTCGACCAACTAACTCTCTTCCCATTCCCTCAACCGGCTCTGCAAGACAAGACAAGACAAGACAAGACAAGCCACAATATGAAGAAGCTGCTATTGTGGCGTATGAGCTTCGTTTGAAGACGAGAGAACAGTGAGAGAGGGTTGCCATGACTCTGGCCGACCTAGACAGAGCTGTCCACGCCATCGACGGCCTGGGACTCAGCCTCAGCCTCGTCAGCAGCAGCAGTAGCATCTTTGGCCTTCGGACCGTGACCATGACCATGACCATGACCAGTGATCTTCTTCGAGGTATCGACTTCAACAGTAGAACCAACATCTTCTGGGCTTCTGTTTGACAGGCTAAAAGTTAGCAGGACTTCCCACAGGACTGGACAGGATATCTGCGAAACAGAAAACGAGACAAAACATACTCAGCTGGAAGATTCGCCACAGAAGTGATCGGTTTCTTGCCAGTCAAGAGATCATTTGCCTCGGCAGCCTCGGCGGCAATCTTGTCGCGACGCGCCTTCTCGACATCGTCCAAGTCTTCGTCGGCATCATCAGCATCGGCGACAACAGGGGAAGAAATGACGGTTGCAGGGGTTATTGGAGCCTTGCGTGGTTTGGTCGCCTTCTTGGCCTTGGTCGGAGTTGCAGGCTCGACACCGTCGTCTTCATCGTTGTCGTCGTCCGCAGCTGCAGCCGCTTTGGCTTTCTTGACGGGAGTCTTGCGCGGCTTCTTGGCCGGCTTCTCCTTGTCCTCGTCAGCCACGGCCTCACCGTTTGCTGCGGCCTCTGCCTCCTTTTCAGCCTTGGTCTTGCGGCCTCGCTTCTTGCCAGTTGAAGTGGTGACAGCTGGACCGGTGGTGGTGGTCTTGGGAGTAGTTGGAACATCTGGGGACGGTCATGGTCAGTATATCTGGCCGTGAGCCGACAATGATCGAAACACCCAAAAGTCGTTCGATCTATCGTCGTAGCTTGAGACTCTCTCACCTTGAGTGCCTGCGCCAGAGTCACCATCTCCGATCTCAGCTTGGGCAGTTGCATCTCCCGCAACACTACCAGCATTGTCTTCGTCATCTTCCGCCGCCGCCGCGGCTGCTGCAGCCTTGCTAGGCTTTCGGGACTTTGGAGTCGCGGCTTTGCGAGGAGTCTTGGGTTTGGCCGGACTGTCAGACGGAGTTGCGCCCTCGAAAAGTTTCTTCTTAACCACGGCCCAGACCGATCTAGCGGACGCATCACCCTTGAGACCCAGTTTGGTGGCAAGCTCGGTGTAGTCGATCTAGAGGCCGGTCAGCGTCAGCTGCTATTTCGGCCTAATCGTAGAAGAGATCGAAGAAGAAAGGCTACGACGAAGAGACTCGTCAAAGCCAGCAAGCTGCAGCTACTCAACTCACTTCGATGTTGCCAGTCTTGAGACTCTGGAGAGCGGCCACGACGACTTCCATCTCACGATTAGTCAACGACGGCTTAGGCGGCTTGGGAGTTGCGTCAGCCATTGTGATGTCGATGTTGACGTGGTCTTGGTTGTAGACGTTGTGCACTGGGGAAGGAGGATGGAAATGGAAGAGGAAGATCAAAATGTGGTGTGAGTGGTAGGTGGAACGGAAGAGCAAGTCTCAGGATGAGTTGAGAACCGCAATATATAGTCTGTAGGTAGAAGCTCAACACAGAGTGACTTTGGCGGAGACGAGTGACATTGGTCCCAGAGAAGGTGCGTGTGTTAAGCAGCCGGTACTGGCATGTGAGGTGCGAACTGAGGTTCAAGCGATTTATTACAGAGGCAACGCAGTTCGTAGTTCATGTCATCGGCGCCATTTGGAGACAACACTGCTTTCCATCCCCGTGAGTCGCTCGTACACCTTGCTCCAGAGTCCAGGAGTTACGTCTCGTGCAGCTTTTCCATTCGCAGACTCCGGCCGGACGTAGAATTGAGTAGGATTCCGTCTCAGAAAGCCCCCCCTCTCCACCAAAGGACCGAACCATTCGAAGCTCACAGGACGGAAAGAGCTTTTGGCAGGCCTGGTGTTTGCGATTTTCAGCGTGACAAGATCCGTGAGAGTTGATGCCCGCATGAACCTCAGGTCCAGCGCGGAGTCAGCTGGTAGACTTTTGGCATATTCCATTGCCAGTTTAGGCGAGTGTTGGACGGAGGGGGGAAGCCGGAGAAAAACTTCCGTCACCATGGGTCTCAGAGTCCAGTTCACAAAAACAAAGGGGATGAAGGCCGCCAGCCATACTGTAGAGCCAATATCAGTCAGATGACAACTGAAGACAGCGCTGAGAGACACATACCACCGGCAACCAGCCAGATAGGGCTTCCATTCAAATAGTGCGCCGGAACAACAATGGCTGTGACAAAGCAGAGCGCAATGATGGTCGAAAACCGGAGGAAAGTGAGCATGTAAATCCTGCCATTGCCTGCAGTGTATATGCGAAACCTCGTTTTGTAGACTGCAACGGGTCAGCCTCTGCTGTGATCTATAGCGTCGTTCTGTCTGGCGTCGTACCTTTGGGTTCACTTCGGGGAGGCAGCCTCCTTGTCAGTTGCTCGATGTGAAGCCGCTCCCTCGGCGACAGAGTCAAGTTCGGCGCAACCTCAGCCTTGGGTATGACCTTCAACGGCACTTCCACTTTCCGGCCACTGTCCACGGCGTTTTGCTCCTCGCCAACAGGGATCAGTTCCTTGCTGGCTTGAGGGTTTGGCGGGAGAGTGGGTGAGCTCTGCGTTTTCTTTTGAGCTTGTATTTGACTGTGAACCACCTGGATGGGCAAGTTGTCGGCCTTTGTCACGGGCTGTGACTTCTTTAACAGCGGTCGGAGGGTACTGAAGTGCGTTCTTCGAGTAGAGGCATATTGTCTGGCGCAGGACTGAAAAGCGATGCGCACTTCAGCAATCAAGACGGCTGGAATGGTGCCCATCTGGGGAGCCGTGCTTGAGTATTAGTATATCGTCTCTTGAGACCGTGGACTGGTCTGCGATCTGCGTCGAGAAAAACAATGAATGTCGGAGTTTCAACCCAGTTTCTGAAAGAGGGAAACTGCGCCGAGCGACATTCGAGGCGGGAACATCTTCATCTTGAACTCACTGTCCGCGATGTCTGATCGTTACCTGTGTATCTGAAGGCCGTCAGTCAGATCTCACAATGGCCAGTGACACTGACACCCTCATGATTATACGTATATCCTTTTAACGCCGGCCGCAATCATGTCGTGCTGGCGTTGGAACGGGGTCCTAACCGGCCTCGTTCTCCTGTCCCTTCATGTCCTCGCATATACGCCTCTCTCCAATGACACCCTTCTAAATCTGCTCCCTCAACCGCAACCTGCCGACTTCGACATCAAGACCGGGGCTCTGCTGGCTCCGATACTGATACCTCGAGTTCCAGGCACCCCAGGATCTCAGATCGCTCGACAGCACCTGGTCGATTTCTTCCAGCACTCACTACCATCGTGGTCGGTGACATTCCAGAACTCGACATCCAAGACTCCCACGCACGGGAACACCGAAGTGCCTTTCGTGAATGTGATCGCTACTCGTGATCCGCCATGGCTGCAACCAGGAAACGTCGGTCGACTGACGCTTGTGGCGCACTACGATTCGAAATATAAGCCGGACGGATTCATTGGGGCGACGGACTCTGCGGCGCCCTGCGCCATGATCATGCATGCTATGAGATCCATCGATGCGGCTCTGACCAAGAAGTGGGAGAGTCTTCAGTCCGCGGGGGATCTTGATCTGGACTTTGAAGAGTACAAGGGCATCCAGGTCTTGTTCCTGGACGGAGAGGAGGCTTTCCAGAGTTGGACAGCCACCGACAGTATTTACGGGGCCAGGTCGCTCGCTGAAGAATGGGAGCATACCATGAACCCGGCCACGAGCATCTACAAGAACAAACTGGATTCAATCGATCTGTTTGTCCTGCTCGATCTGCTCGGCTCGCCAGAGGACCTCCCCATCCCCTCGTGGCAGCACACTTCCCACTGGTCGTATGTGAAGATGGCCGAGGCCGAACAACGACTCCGAAAGTTGGAGCTGTTCAAAAGCACCCCTTCTCGCACCTGGTTGCCGGACAAGGACAAGAAGGAGACGGATATCTTCAGCAGCTATGTCATGCAAGACGACCATCTTCCGTTCATTGCTCGAGGAGTTCACGTGCTGCATCTCATTCCGTCTCGGTTCCCTTCGGTTTGGCACACCATGAAAGATGATGGTGAACATCTCGATGTCCCCACCGTGGAGGATTGGGCACTGCTTACCACTGTCTTCGCCGCCGAATACATGGAGCTGGAAGGATTCTTCGAGCCTCCACCGGCCACCCAGAAGATCAAAAGACATGCCGAAGAAGTCATCAGCAGAACGGAGTTATGACCATAAGATTTAGGCGGCGGGGATATTCTAGACGGGTCCCAGCTCCTGCATTTGACATTCCTCATCTGCGGGTGCGCTAAGACACACTTCGTGCTCAGCTTTGGTCGGCCGGACTCGACATGCTACCGGCTAGAGGCTGGACCCCTATACAGCGCCGACCCATACTCTTCACTGTTGTCAGCTACTTCTTGCGATGGCGAACGACGTCCGCTAGTTGACGTGGTCCGATCCTCTGACACTTCGCGTCGACGTGAGCAGAGAACCAGCTACGTGGAAGGCATTACAGACATCTATGTCTTAAGCTGCCGCAGCTCAAGGGTCTCATATCCTTCCTCCCACCCTTGGAATCACAAACGAGTAATCGTCATCGAGATTACTGGAGGATAGCTTGAAGCCTCGGCGGCTTGCACAGCGGCAAACCCCAAGGAAAATGCGCACCAAAAAAGAGCAGGGATTCGGTGCAATTCTGTGGTACCACGAATTAATGAGGTAGCATCCCCATCCACGGCGACACAAGCCTTCTTCGTCCTGGCATAGCGATCTACGTGGCGAGGCACGTCTTTCTGGACATCCCAGGATCCCGAGGAAGATTCACGCTGATGAGGCGCTCTATGCCAGGATCGAGTGGAATGGCTGGAACTGGACGTGCGACTCTGACCGGGGCTGGGGTCGGACTGCCCATCCTGTACTGCCTAATATACGAATCGGATCCATGACTGTTAACTTCTTCAACAGCCTCATCTTAGAAGCAAGCATCATCATGCCTGGCAGTTTAATCGTTGTCACGGTTTTCACAGGTAGCGAAATGCATTAAGCCTTACATACTTGATCTGAAAGTTGGCCGGTAGATGAATAACCGGGAGAGAGGGAGTCAGGTAACTTGTTTATTTGAACACCGCAGCCATGTTAGCATTTTTATCGACACACCCAGACGTTCCCTCGAGTACCTTGGCCTGAAATAGCAAGCAGTTGGTTGCCAGTCGACTCTTCTCTTTCTTCAGTCTCAAGTCACATAAACTTACTTTCTCAGACAGCAAGAGTAGTAACAGAGTTTGGAATCAAGTGGGCAACGGTAGTAACCAGGGTCGATTTCTCAGTCAGGACCTGCTGAGGATCAAATGCGTTCCCAAGCACCTAAATCACTTCCCATTCGCAGCAGCACCGTTGGACCCTTTCTCTTCGTCGTTGATGATTTTCTCCAGCTCCGCCCTCTCGCCCGACGTCTCGACCATATCTCTAAACACGCCGCCTTCCTTCCTCATCAGGTTGGCAGGGGTGTCGAATTCGACGGCCTTGCCTTCGCCGAGGACCAAGATGCGGTCGAAATCGGCGATGGTGCTGAGCCGATGGGCGATGACGAGCAGTGTGCTGTCGGTAAATTCCTCGCGGATGCTGCGCTGGATGAGGGCGTCGGTCTCCATGTCGACGGCGCTGGTGGCTTCGTCGAGGACCATGATTTTGGGCCGGGACACGATGGCGCGCGCGAGGCACAGCAGTTGCCGCTGGCCTTGCGAGAGGTTGAGTCCGCCTTCGGAGATCTTGGACGATAGCGAGCGGAAGATGTTTTTGTTGGGGATCGGATTGATGGTCGGTGTATGATTTGTCGCTTCTTCATTGTCGGTAGGAGTGGCGCTGCCGCTGGGCACGACGGATGACGGATTAGTGCTGGTGGTGACGGCGGAGGGAGAGGCGATTAGGTGGACTCGGGCAAGCGCTTCACGGAGTTCCGTGTCGGAGTGCTCGTTGAAGGCGTCGAGGTTGCTGCGCACCGTGCCTGAGAACAGGACAGGGTCTTGCGGAATGATGGCCAGGCGGGATCGTAGGTCGAACAATTTGATGGTGGAGATGTCGATGCCGTCGATGACGATGCTGCCGGACTGGGCTTCGAGGAAGCGGAACAACGCAAGCGTCAGGGATGATTTGCCGGCTCCGGTACGACCTACCACGCCGACGCGCTGGTTGCGCGCCACACTGAAGGTCACGCCTTTCAGCACGGGCGGCAGGTCTGGAGCGTAGGTGACGACGAGGTCGTGCACTTCCAGTTTGCCTTCTGTGGGCCATGCCGCGGGAGCGTCGGCGCCGCCTTGATTCTCGATCGTGATTTGGCTGTATTCGACGATGCGTTCGGTCGCGTTCATGTCCAGCTCCACGTTGGAGTATTGTCGAAGCACCCAGATGACGCCTTCCGAGAGGCCGAGAGCAAAGCTCAACGCAAATCCCGCCAGAGACGAGTCGATGGACGTGATGCTCACAATCAGTGCCGCTGTGATGGCCGCAAATACTGCGCCGACCATGTTCAAGCGCCAGCCCATCCAGCGGTTGAAGAGCCACAGGTGCCAGTATGCCCGACAGTGCTTGTCAATGCGGGCAAACATCCTGTCCAGGTATGCGTCGGCCTTGTCAAAGGCACGGATCGTGCCGATCCCCATGAGGACGGATCCGAATTGCTCGAAAACGGGCGACTTCGCGTTACTTTCCAGTCGTTTGACTTCGCGAGCCCCTGACAGGTACCGAACTGCGTAGATGGTCGAAATGACAAGCAGTGCAATGGCAAACACGATCATGAAAGGCGACACAAAAACGGCTGCAATCACCACGGACAGAACCTGCATCATGTTGTGCAACATGAAGGCCAAATCCATGGAAATGCGCGAGTCGAGCATGTTGAAGTCCGAGGTGAACCGATTGAGTATCCGGCCAAGGGGCACCGTGTCCAGCCAGCGCAGCGGCGCCCGGAGCACCGCGAAGGCCAGCTTTTCGAAGAGCACCTTGGATGCGCGGATCGAGGCAAGAAACACGCAGAAGTACCGCACTGTCCCGATCACCCAGGCCAACAGGGAAATCCCTAGGTAGACGCTCAAATAGTATCGCAGGTCCGGGTCGAGCTCTGTGGCTGCAAGTCGAGATTGTACATGGTGCAGAGCTCCCATGGATTGTTGCAGCAATCGACCATGGAGGAGTGATTCTGTATGATAAGATCGTGTCCAGATGCTGATCCAGTATGAACGGGCCAGATAGACAGCCACCCAGAGGCCGAAGACGAACAAGATGAAAAGCCAGTAGCTGAAGCCACCACATGCTCGAATATAAGCCGCGTAGATCTGGTATTTGATGGCACCCGTCTCTCGGCCTTCGTCTTCGGTAAACTTCTTGGGAGCGCTGGGCTGCTGAGAATCATTCAAGTCGGCTCGAGAGCGTCGGCGCGTGATATCTTCTCCTACGTCGCTGAGAGCTGATTTCCTTCTTGACCGCCTTGATTGATTGGTGAGTAGTTTCTGCAGCCCACCGCCGTCGTCGATGGCGAGGGCTTGCTCGCGATCGACTGCTTCCTCCTCTTTTTCTTGTTCCTCCAGATCTTGGGCTAGAAGAGACCCAAGCTTCCCGCTCCGACGCAAGTCTTCGGTTTTGCCTGCTTCTTCGACCGTGCCGTTCGTCAGGAGAACACTGTAGGTTGTCTTCGGCAGACAAAGAGCGGCATGATGGGTGACTAGAATCCTTGTCCGGCCTCGTCCGAGTTCTCCCGTCAAGGCCTCCTCGAAGAGATGTCTCCCAACATGGGCATCGACTGCAGAGAAAATGTCGTCCAGAATTAGAATGCCGGCTCTGGAGTACAACGCCCGCGCAAATGACACACGCCACTTCTGGCCGCCACTCAGATTGATGCCGTTGGCGCCAATGTCGGTGAGTTCGCCATCTTGAAGCATTTCCAGGTCTTTTGTGAGGGCGCATGCTTGAAGCACCTTCTGGTACCGGTCGTTATCCAGGGGCAAGCCGAACAAGATATTGTCTCGGATGGTTGCATTTTCGATCCAAGGTATCTGAGCCACAAAGGCAATTGCAGACGGGATGATCCAGTTCCCCTTGTGGGCCTGGGCGTCGTGTCGTTCAGATGTGGGTGGTGCTCTCGGAACGACTACTTCGCCTTCCAGGACATCGGCCTCACCAATGATGGATGCGAGAAGTAAGCTCTTGCCAGATCCCGTGCGGCCAGATATCACGCTCAGTTCGCCCTTGGGGAACTCGAGATTCAGATTGCGCAATGTGAAGTGGTCCGTTTCTTGCTTGTGATCGTCTGAGGGCCAGGCGACTGTGGCATTCCTGAAGGATACTGTTTCACCAGGTTTGGTAGTCTCCGTCCGGTCAGGTGCATCAAGATACTCCTGGACTCGTCTGGCTGACACAACAGCATCCATAAGATCCGTTACCATTTCTGGAATGACGGCCAGAGTCATTTCGATCGCCTCGTAGACTGAAATCGTGGTGAAAGCTACAGAGGCCGTCAACTCCTTATTGATTAAAGCGTAAGTCGACAAGGAGATCGCTGCGAGCATGACAGGTCCAAAAATCCAGATGCTTAGCAAAGTGGTATCGTAGACGAAGACTTGCCATTGCGTCTTCAGCTCTTTTCTTCTGGTATCGAGTATCTTTTCGTACCAGTTTCGCTCCAGAGCACTGAACTTGATCTGCCGAATTCCCTGGAGTGCTTCAGTCACCACAGCCATCTTTTGATCGCGTTGTTTCATTAATCTCTCCTGGGCATTTGCATACCGACGAGAGGCGATGATGTTGATTGGCGTGATGATGACCGGCGCGACCAACCCTGCCAGCAGTGGGATTGGACCGATCAGTTTCGCCAGGAACCAAAAGGCAAAGGCCAGTTTGACCACAGAACCAAGGATGATGTAGTTGAACGTGGCAAAATCCGCGATTCTCTTCGCATCGACACCAACCAGGTTGATGGTGCTCTGTCTGGACTTTTGGAAATCTTCATCCTCGTCAGCGGGAGCAGTCAGATCTTCACCCTTTTGACCCGCGTTCTCGTTCACCACGGTTTCGCCGTTTAGAGCGTTGCCAGTCGGCGCCGTCGGTTCGTGCTTCTTGCCAGCACCTTTGACATCTTTTCGTTTGATGGCCTTGCCAAAGACCACAGCTGCTAACTGCTCATAGATGGGGACACCGATTTTCATGAAGACCACAAAGAACATCCAAGCCTCCAGCCAGGACGAAAAGGTGACGGCCGTACCGAGCCCGATGACCAACAGCCATGACGTGAGAGCCACATTTTCTCCCTGATCCCGAGCTTCCAGCGCACGCAGAATGAAGTAGAGCGCAATTTGGGGAAGGAAGTTAGTGATAGAGCAGACGATTTGAAAAGTCCACTGTTGGATGAAGGCCCATTTGTGCGACAAGAAGAGGGTTTTCCATAGCTTGTCCTTCCTTCCGACGGCCTGAAAGCGTTGTCTCAACTGTCGTGAGCGTACTTCGTGATCTATCTCTGGAAGATCATCGTAGTCAAGCCCCCTATTCTTGACCGCATAAGCGAGGATTGGGGAAGGCCATGAGAAGGTGAATTTTTCGAGGACAGAGACTGTGTTCTGACGATCGACGGGTTTCCCGTGCCAAAATACATCTGGGCGACGGGGAATGGAGAGACTAGCAAAGACAAGGAGCAGTCCACAGACCAGTTGGACGATTGAGAGGATCAGATGAGCATTGGTTGGCAGCGGGCTGACGTTAGATTGCCACAGCGATATGTTCTCAACGGCCACGGCCACCACAAGGGAGAGAGCAGAGGCGCCCGACAAAAGCCCTAGATTGTAGCGACGTAGGGAGGAGGGGGTAAAGGAAATGGCGACTGCTTGGAAGAGTAGCAGCAACTGGTCACTGTCAGCACAAGAATATAAACATGAACATGTAGATGGGAGATTGCGTACCCAAGTTGTAAACTGAACCCACTGCTCGATTGTGAGTGACAGTTGCGGACGAGTAGTGGTCAAGACGGCAGTGGCCAGGGCATCAAGACAAGCGACAGTAGATATCAGGACCAGCAGCAAACGCGGAATAAAATCAGAATAGGCCTCTTCAGATTCTGCGGTGGCTATACCATCTTCATCCTCGTAGTGATCCGACGTGCTCTGATGCTGGTCTTTCCTCGCCCGCACCCTCGCGAGGTACTGGGACAGTGCAGGGACCGAGAATGCTGCAACCAGTACCAGACAGGCTATGGATATTGCCACGGAAGTGCTCGTGTGATGGGCGGCGGTGCTTGAGTCCATCTCCAGGGACAACTGATCAACGTCCTCCTTCACTCAGATTGTAGAATAGGCGCAGGACAGCATGCCATTGATCGCGGCCAGTAAAAGCCAAACGACGTTCAGAGATGGAAGAAGGGTTCAAACTCAGGATTTCATCTTGGGCCGAAGGTGGCGAGCCTATGACGATAGAATTCTAACGGGGTGTGATGATGGTGGAGCTCAGCGTCGTTGGTGGAACAGGCAGTCTTTTTGTGCTGCAGCTGCGGAGAGAGGATGAGGTTCATGCAATTGAAGGGATCTTTCTGCAAAGATTGTCAGAAATTGCAAAGAGAAGTTGTGCTGGAATATACCACCTCCTACTGACTGACCTAGAGGCTAAGTCGTGGATCCCCGCGATATAGTCGACCAGCATCCCCCCTGGTTGGTACCTACGTCGGCCTTCTTCGTACTCGGGAGGCTAGCAAGAAAAAATTGGACGTATAGAAATGCTGCTTTTGGAGAACAAAAAGAGAATCAAAGTTGGAGATTGGCGATGTCAGGGATCATGTTGCATTAGCAGCTTGTAGCTCCCTCCACTTGGTGTTTGGCACTCAATCAGCCCTTCAATGGCTTCAACGGGCGTCAGAGCGGTCAGCAGAATGAGTCAACGCAAGAGAGGACAGAAAAAAAGGACATAAAAAATAGGGAGCAGTGTATTGTTTGGTTGTTGTATATGCTCATAATAGACATGTATTCGACTGTCGACCTTTGCGCCTTCAAGCACTATATAACCATCACATGCGTCTATACAAATTCAATCACCTCGTTTACCCTCCGAAATTGGGCGCATCTACCAATCACTCCGAGTCAATCACCACGACCTCGGCCTCTGCCGCTCCCACATTTTCAACCTGGAGCATGTCGTTTGCATTGACATGAGTCACATATGCTCCATCCCCCTCTTTCAAGACGGCGTCTTCGCGTCCGTCCAACCGTATGCTGGATTTTCCACCCTTCGTCTCCGGTAGGTGGACGTACACTTTCCGATCCGATTTGGATGTCACTACATCCCCAGCACCAACCTTGTAGTGGAATGTCTCACCAGGCGGGATGATGCCGGCACTGAACACGACGTCGGCATGGATAGGGATGGTGCCTTCCTTGGTGGGCACGGCAGCCTTCTCATCCTCCAAGGTGGCATTGGGACCCGCCTTCAACGGAGTGATGATGTTCACAAAGCCCTTGCGCTTGTCTTCCTCGGGAAATGTTCTGGTATGGTAGGTGGGAGGCAAGTTTCTCTTCCAGGGCAGAACCCAAATCTGTAGAAAATGTACCCAGTCCCGATCGTGTTCGTTGTATTCGCTGTGCGAGATTCCCCGGCCACCCGTGGTAAATTGGACGTCGTTGCGGTGTAGCCGCGAGAATGTGTTCTTGTCATCGGCTTCTGCGCCCTTCTTTTGCATCGAGTCGCGGTGAGTCAGCTCGCCAGAGAGAATGTAGGAGAAGATCTCGGCATCCTTGTGGAAGTGGGTTGGGAACCCTTCACCGGCTTGGACTCGGTCTTCGTTCAAGACGCGGAGGGATCCGAACTGGACATATCTGGGATCATACCAGCTGGCGAAGGAGAAGGTGTGCTTGGTGTCGAGCCAGCCGTGGTTGGCTGTTCCTCTGGTCTTGGAGGGACGGGGAACGATCTTTGCGTGGGTCAAGTTGGACATGGTTGTTTGCAGGATTCTGGATGCTGTCATATGAGAGTCTGCGCTGTTGTTGTGGCTGTTGTTGTGGCTGTCGCTGAGTAGGTAAATAGCTGCTATGATGGCAATAACGGCTGTCACTATCGTCAAGAGTGTTGTGGATTTTGGATGGAGCAGATTCGACAACATGGAGGAGAATGCAGAGATAAATACTTAGACCTGAGGGAAAGCTAGAGGGCGAAAGACGAGACCAGAACAACCTCGAGCTGCATTATGAAAAGCGTGGTCAGAACCGACGAACGTATTGTATGCCAATTGATAGTAAAACGAGAACTGTAATGGCCGTGTTCGCATTATACAATCATTGTGTAAGCGAGAGGCAGCTTTGTTGAAGGAGGAGAATTTGGCTTGCAAATTGGAGGTGCAGAAGCAGCGGGGATGGAGAGTGGACGGGGAGCGCAGGCACGCAGGCTGACCAACAGATTACTCATGACATCACTTGCTCCTCCGCCAATCGGCTTCCGGTAGCGCTTTTCCGCTTTCGTCTTCTTGAAGTAGTATGCCAGTGCTAGGTATATGCTCTGTACTAGTACTACGTATTGCACAACTTGCGCTGCTCTTTCGCATCTGTCAGCGGCCAAGCGGTAATTCGTGCTGCAACTCTCATTCCCACTATGCGCGCTGGTCGTGTTGATGAAGAGACACATCGTCGACAACCCATTTGTCAAGCCCGAGAACCAATCCTGGGAACTGTCGCCTCCAGCGTCCCTCCAGCGATCCATCTCTCCTCCTCCCACGAATAGGCATCGTCAAGAAGACGAGGGGAAGAGAGCAGAAACCCAGTCCAGCTCTACTCTCATTGCCACTCCAGCGTCCATCAAGAACGGGAAGTCAGACACTGCTGCAGTCGAGGCGGGCGAGATCCAAATCGACGACCATGTCTCTTTCTTCTCCGTCAAGCTCCTTGCCGCAAGGCGCCCTGAAATCAAGGGCCAGCCTCGCCTTGCCCACGACCAATGGCTGGAACTTTACCGGCGGAACCTGAACGACAGGGGGCACCACTTTGTAATTCACCAGCACGATCATCCGGTCGCCGGGACACACTATGACCTGCGGCTGCAATGCAATGCTACAAGCTCCATCAGTTTCGCCATCATGTACGGCCTTCCCGGTGACCCCAACAGCAAGAGACTCAACCGAAACGCCACCGAGACTCGCGTGCACAATCTATGGAACCACCTGCTTGAAACGGCATCCCATGAGACCGGAACCATGCTTCTCTGGGACACTGGTGAATATACCGTACTCCCATACCCAGCTTCCGGCGCCAGGACTGCAAACAACGAGACCGACACGTCGACAAATTCAGATTCAGACTCGGATCCGGACCCGGCCAGGGCATACGAAGAGCCCGAACCCGCCAAACTCCATAGCGCTTTCCAGAACCGCAAGATCAAACTACGTCTGAACGGCACACGTCTACCAGGGAATTACACCATCAGTCTCCGCCTCCACCCGGAGAACGATCGGGTCGGTCAACCCGAGCCACCCTCATTCAAACGACGGCGGACCAATCCATCCTCTTCCGCAACAGCACGAAGTCGACGAGCTGGACCTCGCGCTCGACCACAAGCTCAAGTCGACACAACATCAGACTCAAGCCGGTCGTCTTCGCCCGATCATCCAGATCCCGATTCCGAAGACGACGCCCAGAAGAAGCCGACCAGACGGCTTGCACGCACGAACAGCACCGTCCCATCGTTACATCGCACGGCCTCCCCGCCGACACTCACTCGAGTCAAGTCAAGCATTGGACGTCAAATGACGGATTCAAACCCGGCAAACGCATCAACGAAAGCAACCCCCGATAGTCTCAACAACCCGTCCAGCACTCTGCAAGGAGGTATACTTCACGGCAACAACCACGACGACAAGAATACCAAAAGCAGTGCAAAGTCCAACAAAGTCCAGCAATCTGTTGACGTGGATCAAGATGAAGATGCGCAGATCCGTCGGAACAACGCCTACCCGGGCGCCACCAACAGCATCAACAGCATCCACCAACGCCGCTGGTTCTTGTCCCTCGACCGAGCGGCCAGCGGATTTCAGCCGACCAACGAAATGGCTTTTGGCCGTCGCATTTGGGAACGCTTCCCGATCGGGACAAGGATCCTGGGAGACGCTACGAGTACTACCCAAGGCAGACCTCGAAACGCACAGTCTTCCACGTCGATGCCAACATCAATGTTGGCCAACGGTGCTGGAAATGCCGAAACCAATACACACAACGGCCGTTCTCGGCGGGAAGAAGGAGAATCATTACCCCTGGCCGGCTTTGAGCCCTTCTATGTTCTCGGTCGGGACGTGGAGACGAGTATTGTCACCGGCCGCACGGCGGCAGATGTGGCCCGGGACGAGGGATTGGTGGGATACAGGCCGCGCGGAGGGTGGAGGCCGGTCACGGATTGAAATGCTACCTTAGGTAGGTAGTCTAACGAAGCTCGAATACTGGAGAATGACATGTGATGGAGCATACGGGTATATTCCTGCTCTGTTCAAGACGAGGAAATTCTTCAGTTCAATTTCGACGTCCCGGCACCGCCAATCCAGGCCGCTTGGGACTGCTAGCTATGTAGCTAATGTAGATCAGACACCAGCCCGTCCAAATCCTCTTCCGGAAGGACAACCCCCATCATTCCCAATGCTGCAACAAGAACGCCAAATTCAGCCCTGTTGGAATTGGGCATGCCCATGTCAAAAGGTTCTTTTGCTCCATCTTCTTCTCAGACGCCCTGCTGCGCTCGGAAGGGCTCATAAGCAGCCCCTCTCGGGTGTTGATAAGGCGGAACATAACCACCGCCATGGTTCCCCGGGCCGAGATTGGACAAGGGGACGGCCTGTTGATCGCTGGGTCCAAGATACGGACTGCCCACTCTCTCGTAGGTATAGGGAGTCTTTTCGGCGCGGGTGCGCCGGGCCTCCCTGCTCCCTGGGTTATAGGGGCTACGGCTACTGCAGCAGCAGACAGACAACAGCCAGAAGAAAGCGGCGGCGACGGCGAAGACAGTGCCGATCCAAGTGACGGCCAGGGCCTTTGTGCCTACACTGGAATGGATGCCGTAGTCGTCCTTCAGGGTGTGGTTGAGTGCGGTCCGGAGAATGAGGAAGATGGCCGTGGCGGTGCCGGTGGCGCCTATGGTGGCCACGGCCATGGCGGCGGCGAAGAAGGTGGTGAAGAAGGATCCCCAGCGCGAGAAGATGGCCGAGAAGCCCACGAGGATGGTGAGACACGATGCGGCGAGGGCGGCGGCGTACAACACGAACATGGCTTTGCTGGCGGCATGGTAGCTGTCCAGGCCGTCGCGGAAGGATCTAGGGAGGTAGTCGTCGACGGAGATGCCGGTGTCGTTCAAGCCCCAGACTTCGATGGGGTTGAACCAGAAATACGTCTTGGAGTCGGTGCAGTTGGCATACACGTCATTGCCGTTCCAGCTGCAGTAACTCCTCAAGTATATGGTGTAGTAGTCTTTCATGCCCAAGGCCTGTTTGGCGGCCTGGAGCGCACCTCCGAGTATGGTGGTATTAGCGCCATCTATTTCGCTGGGAAGGTTTGCTGAGGTGCTTAGAGTGAGGTCCGTCAGGTTGATCTAGCCACAGAGTATTGTCAGAGGAGATATCATCGAGGAAGTCGGAATAGGGTCAGGTGTACCTTAAGGAAATATAGATCATTGGTTCCCTTGTCGCCGCTGGACGTGCCGGCGACAAAGAGCAGCACCATGCATACCAGGACGCCGACCGACAGGAGGAATGGCGCTGCTATACAGCATATTCGGCCAGCATTGACCATGTTGGTATGATTGCGAGGAAAGAGAAGGTGTTATGTCTGAGGGTATTTTGACCCAAGTGTAAGCGCACCGCGGTCTCAGCTGCGACGGTTTTTGTTGATCGGATCGAGGACCCTGAGAGGACCAATGCGGGGATATATCGATCGTCGGCCGATGAGGTTGAGGCGGTTCGCAATCAAGGAACAACCACTGTAGGTGAGAAAAGAGGAGGCCGAGTGATTGACAATGTTCAATTTGTTTCGGCAGAATCTCGAAACCGAACTGAACGAGGCCAGGGCTGTTAACAGTAAAGAATAAGTGTAGGAGGCCGAAGCAGTAAGTACTTCAAGTCGAGGGCCGTTTTTAGCTGCGGTCCGGCGCAGGGTCTAGGTGGTGCGGATGGAGAGGAGTGGATGAGCTGGACAAGCTGGCGCGTTTCAGATCTGTGGAAGCAGTCAAAAGAATGAGGACGAGAACAGAGACAGGCAGTAAGGAAAACAGGATTGGGAGTGCGGCTGCTTTATGGCTTAAAGTGAGGCCGATTGCGCGTTCAAAGAGAGCGTTGTCGTGGCACAGTCGAGCTGCCATGATGGCTGCGCATGAAGAGGAGTTGGACTTGGTCATTTCGTGGCTCAGCTCTTACACATTCGCCGCCCACCGCTGTTGCTGCTGCATCTTGTCGGTGATGGATTGCTAGCCCCAGGCGGCTATAATAGCACTTGCCAACTGCAGTGTATCGTGTGCTAAGGTCACTTACGTTGACACGCTGAAGAGAGGCTGAATCACTGATTGACGGTGCTGACTGACGCGGGTGAGAAGATCACCGCATTAGTAGTAGAGGATCGTGCATGGGGTTCCAAGCCCAAGTACATTCCCTCAGCTGAAGAAGCGGTCAATTTGTGGACAGTGATGGAATCGTACAGAGGCAGAGATGCTTAGAAAACCAGAGATATAATGAATGCGAAGGGAGCCGTCTTCAGGATGTAGGTACTAGTACTCTATATCCTCACCTAGTAGTACTAGACATATACTCTTCTGTATATTTCTAGGTACTGGCCAACTGGATCAAGCGTGTATTGCCTGACAATATCTCCCAGCCACCCTGTATCTCTCCATAGGTATTATTAGATACTGTACTCTACTATGCCCGAGTCAGTTGTCCACGCTCGTCACCTCGGTAGGTAAGTAGCGCCGCTTCAACAACCCGATTCGCCTACTTGACATGTAGACAGATACCTAGCTAGATATTGGGCTACGAGCAACAGAACACCATGCGTGTTTCGTGGACTGGCCAGAGTCAAGCAGTGCAGAGACGTACTAATGACTATACCGACACCGACCCAACGGCACGGCGGATACATGTGTGGACGAGGTACGTAAGGTAAAGTACTCTATCTGAGGGTTTCCTAGTACGTGGACGTCAGCCTTCATGTTGCACGTAACCGCATCCACAACAACTCGATATAAAAAGGACCGACGACGAATCTGAAACAGCACAGCCATAGATGTGACTACCTACTAGGTTATTGCGCAATCATCTCTGCTTCTATCACTCCATTATTACCGCTGGGTCTGTCTGTCTCCAGGATCGAAATACAAAAGAAGCCTCTTTTCCCTTCCCAAGTGTCTCGGCCAATGTGTTCTCCTCTGTCCGAAGAAAGCGTTCAAGAAATCTCGACGGGGTGTATTACGCGCAACCAGGTCGCCGGACTGTCCGTCCCTTTGGACACGATCACAACACAACAAAAGTGCGGGGGAATATGGCGAACAGGGCAAAGTAAGAACACAATGCAAACAGAAGCGCAACGTCTCACTCCCAAAGTCCCCGACGACGTCTCCATCGTTCTAATCTGCTTTCGTACAGCTCGACTCATCCGCGATTACTTATTTCCATTCCAGCGTCCAATAGACTGATGTATTCCTGCCTTGCGCCGTCCATCCAATGCCCAGGGGGGTATTCGTCGGGAAAAGAACATCCAGTCGCAGCATTACAGCGAGACTGCTTCACTTCTTGTGTCTCCGATCGTCCATCTAGGCTGGCACTTGGTGTTGTCCTGTACGCAAACATTAGCCAACTGGCTCTCCAGGCGAATCAGCGTATCCGGTGCCACAACTTACCATTGGTTCCAGCAGGAGCTTCTTCCTCTTCTTCCTCCTCCTCCTCTTCGTCTTCTTGCTCATACTCGCCGTGCTGGTCCGCAGGCACCCAGCTGTCACGGTCGCTCTTGAGTGGCTGGTCTTGCCCGCTCAAGTCAACACCCTCTCGCTTAGCGGCGTTGGACTTTCGTCTTTGGCTCAGGGTGCGCGCACGGGTGGACAAGCTAGCATGAACCTGGGCCTTGGACGACACCCAGTTGGTCAGGGCGTCTTCGCAGTCTTGAATGATAGCTTTGGAAGCCTCGTATCCATCATAGGCTTCTCGAGTCTCACCAGGAGTGACCGGAGTGTCGTCGATCAACTCAAGCAAGTGCTTCCCGTATCCGGCGATGATGGCCGTCTTCTCACAATGTTCGCGCACCGCGTCGAATTGGTAGTTGAACGCAGCCTTGAGCTTCTCTCGAGTGATGTTGGACAATTGAGCTTCGGCCACAAGCGACTCGGCCTCAGCGCGGACAAGTTCCTGCTCGAGGACCACGATCCGAGGGCTGTTGGGCTCCTTATACTTCAGCTGGGCGATCTGGTCGGTAATCTTCTGCTTGCGATCACGAGAGGGCTGGACGGAGGCTTCGATGTTGCGGATGGACTTGATCGTGACGCGGTATTGATCGTAACGGTCGACAAATTGATCTTCCAATTCACCAATCTCGTAGATGAGGACCCCGAGTTTGTCGGTCACATCGCTCACATCCTCGTCGCAGCTTTCGCCCCACAGGGAGAGTTGTTGCTGTAGCCAAACGTTAGCTTAGACCACGCGGCGGGGAGTCACGAGGGTGCTCTCGACATGGCACGTACAGCGACTTCCATCCGTTCTCGTGCCACCACCTCCATGCTGCGCATGACGTTCTTCTCCATCTTAACGAGCTGCGAGAGCTTCTTCGCCAGCTCTGGCCCGAAGGCTCCCGCAGTCGACTTTCGCAACGCATGGCCTACGCGTGAGGTCAGCATAGTTCATGTAGCAGGCAGTTGTCAACCCTACCGAAAGGCGATCGGCCAAACAGCCGGCTGCTCTTGGTGGATGAAGGCGGTGGTGGAGGGTTCTCGATCTGAGAAGCTGTGGGCGCGCGCGATTGGCGCATCGAGTATGTGCGGTGCATCTTGACGGAAGGAGGTTGTTGTCACTGAGTAGTCGAAGGAGGTCAGATGAGGGGCTCGTGCTCGTGCTCAGGGGGAAGGTCAGATGGTAGTAGACGACTGCGTGCGCAAGACGACGTGAGTACGATTGGGAGTGGGAGTGGGAGAATGTGATGTTGGAATGATTGGAAAAGACTCTGGAGAGATGCAGTTCTGAGGGAAGTCTGGAACTTGAAGGGGTAGAGACCAAGGTGTTAGGGGACTAAAAAGAAGAGGAATGATGAGATGCAGTAGTAGTGCAGTAGTGGCAGTAGTACCTATGTAAGTAGTACGTAGTAGCAGTACCTAGTAGTGTCATGGGCGCAGGTGGTGACGCTGATGCGATGACGTCTCGGATGGATGCGGGAGCTCCAGTTTCTACCTGGCAGTCAAAGTTGAGAGGTGGCCAGGTTCAGGTTTGTACGTACTACTAGTATACAGAGTAGTACTAGCAGCATCACTGGCACTGGTTCAAAGTTGTTGTTGTTCCTTCAACGCCTCGCACCCTTGGCCACTGACTGCTACTGGGCCACCACCCGTCCGCATCGGCGCATTCCAGCATCTGGTCTGATCGCTTGCCTTCCCTTCTCTGCCCACTCTCAATCCACTTCCTGCTCCCTGCTCCCTGCTCCAGGCTGAGAGAACAGTTCAACCCACAGCTGTGTTCCTGTCACCTACCACCACCTACTCAGCTGTGATACTACTATCGGACCCTTAAACCATGCACAAAAGACCTGACCCCAAAGCCCACATCAGCAACTCTCGCCTTCTGAACAAATAAATACCTGGGCATACTACCTACTAGTGTGGCCTTGCTGACATGAGACCAGCCACAGTTGTCCGTCTCAGCTCCACCGGCACACCACCCGAAGCCTCTTTCTTCTTCCTTACTCTCTTACTATCTCCTCTGCGGGTCGACCGAGCAACATGGATAAGCACGATCTGCATACCGCCCACTTGGGATTGAGTGAGGAAAGGAAAATGCTTCCAGCGGCGCAGGTACAAGGATAAACAGACGACGATCGCCTTCTCGACCTCTAGGGATTAGCTGCACCTAAGGAACCTTTCTGGGGGCGTCCCTAGCCCTAAACTTTGCCCCTAGGCACACAACAACGGACCCTGGACTGGCGCCAGCGTAATCACGGCTCACGATGCAGCCGGGATGCATCTGTTGGGTCTTCTAAGCGCAATTGCACGCAGCTTGTGGGCTCGGGTTTCGATCTCGTTGTCAAAGCAACAAGCCGCTCACGTCATTGACATGCATTTATTCACACAGATTGTCGTGGCCCAAACACTGGCAATAATGACAGCCACCTGAAAGGGAGCTTGCCGAGTTACGGGTCCCCGTCTCCATACAATTATTATTTCATCATCACAACTGGGGAGTTTGGATTATTGGAATGATTCGATAGCTCGGAAAAGGACAGATGCTGCACATGCACAGCCCCATGAAAGGCTCCCCAGGCTTCGACGGTGCATGGTCCCCTGAGATCGATCTGTGGCAGGCAGAGGATGGGAGGCTCTCTATCTGTACTCATCAGCTCGCCCTTCGTCATCTCATCTCCAGTTCCCCTGGTTTCCACCTGCTCTGCTCAACTCCAAACTCCACCAATTAATGCTCGTTAATAGTACAACAACTGGAGAAGCAGGGGTCTGTCTATACCCGAGAATCGAATTATGTGCAAGTCCTGTCAAGAGTCTTGTTTGCACTATCTGTCGTCAGATACAAGATCCCTGATCCACGTGGAAGTCGAACTGGGCGACATGGACAACCCGACAGACTCTCGAAGCCTTCTAGTCCGCCACGCCTGTTGCTGCGCGCGCCCTCCAAGCCGCTTGTCATAAGGCATGATCCTGCGTTTGCGCTTGACCGCTGCAAGCTCTTTCTTGTCCTTCACCACCACGCTGGAACTCGCTGCACCACGACTTCGGCTGTTGTCCTTATCAACATTCTGCCGTCTGCGTTCTCGCGACCTACTTGTCCCCGCGGCCTTGCTGTTAGATTGACTCCGCTCTGAACGACCTGCTCCGCCTTGTAGCGAACGCCGTGTAGAAGCTCGCCTTCCCGAAGCCGTCTTGGGCTCGTCGACGTCGACATCGGATTCGTCGTCCGGTCCATCTTCCAGATCGCCTTCGTCCGACACCAGACCATTGGTCTCGTAATCCGAGTCTTGGGAATCATCGATCTCGGGGACTGGTGCCGTGCCGTATGCAGAACTCTCAGAGTCATCGCCTTGCCGAAGAAGAACCCGGTCGAAACGATGGGTAGCAAGGGGACTCTCGACGACAGGTCTCTTCCTCTTCGGATGGCGAGACAACGGGGACTGGCTGCTGTCCACGCGGGCCAGCTTGCTGACTTTCTCATCCGCCAGCTTGTTCGCACCTGTGGTTCGGGCGAGCCGTTCGGAGCCGGCTGGAATCAGCCTCCGAGCAGTTGATGGCCGTTCGCCCGGTTCCCAGAAATTCCTCACTACCGACTCGGGGTAGTTATAGTTGTACAGCAGTTCCTCGCCTGCCTTGACAAAGCGCTTCGCGAAAAGCCCGACACGTACCACTCCGCTGCACAAGAGCTTCTTGGGTTCGACGTTGATGTTCTCTTCGAGTTGCGAATTGTTCATGAATCTCATCTTGTTGCCGTTGTTGGACGCATCGATCTCCTGGCCCTTGTTGATGACGAACAGATATTCCTGATTCAGGACGTGGTACATAGCCCCTCGTCGATCGCCCTCCGAAATACTGACAATCTCTCCTGTGTACTCACCGATGAATTCGCCGCTGGGGATGTCCGCCCTGCTGTAGAGGCCATAGCCCTGGACTTGGCTGGGTGCCTTGCTGGTCGGAGCTGGCAGACCCAGCTGAATCCGATTGTTCCTGCATCGTCCTCGCCGAATCTCATCTTTGTACTTATTGGCTGAATCGAGGACTTCGACAACGCCACATTTGCCACATAACGACGGGTCGCACTCGCGGTTGAGCTTCCAACATTCACACCGGCTGTCTTTGAAGCAGATCTTGCTCCCGCGCGTGGTGCAGCTGCAGCCGCGGAAGCGTCTCTTGCATGAATCGTCACACCCGCAGAACCTCTCACAGTGCACCTTACTTCGGGAGCAAGTGCAGGCTGGGTTGGTGTGGCAAGGTCCGTCATGGGAGCAGGGCATGAATGGCGGTCGTTGGTCCAGCTCGGCACTTCTCGACACATCAATCATCGGAAGCGGTTTCTTCTTTTTCCGCATAATATTGTGATGCCGCGGGGCAGCACTGCTGTCAGACGTCGCGCCAGAATCTGGCAGTGGATGTGGGACAGAAGCTATGTAGAAGATTGTATAGTTGAACACCATGAGACAGCTCACATCTTTGATGATGCGAGAGATGAGACATGGTCCTCGCTTGTTGTTGAGGTAGAATCCGATCAGCTTGTCGACCAACAACTTTTGTGACTGTGACATGAAAGGCTGAAACTTGACTTCTGATATCTTGATGTCCCGCCGGCTGGTGACGTCCCAAAAGCAGGACGAGCTGCAGAGCTCGTTGTCTGCCAGAACCTGTCTACCCTGGCTCACTAGGCGGCTCTCGCCCCCAATACTTCCATCACGCTGCCGTCCTATCAAATGGGACAGCTTCTGGGACGGATCAATACAAAACACCCCACAGGTATGCTTCGTGTTATCCTTTCGCGGACGAATCGGCAGCGACATGAACTTGCGGAGGTTGTGATCTTGCTCCTCATCATTGATATAGGCTTTGAATTCTTCGGCGTCTTTGGCGCCGTGGTCTTCATCGTTTGGCTCTTCGTATGAACCGTGATCTGGACAATGATGGCGGAAACATATCACACAGAAATTGGGAGATCTCTTCGCCATAGCCTGAGGATCCTCGTACCGTGGTTGTAAGAGGCCACCGATCGCGACGTGCCACAAACTCACTCCGGTCCGCTGGTGAAAAGCATGAGCGGCCAGGCCTGCAAGGGCAAGGCTTCGGTCGTCAGGCTTGGGTAGACTGTTGAACGTCTCGCTGAAATGGGTCCACCTGCTTTCCGGATCTGCAAGCTCACAAGTCCGGCATCTGCGCATTTGCTCCTCCCTCCACGCTCTGGCTGACTCGGCAGGCCATGGATACGTAAGTTCACGGTCCGGATCAAAGTGGTCCTGCGTGAAGAAGTACAGCACGTCGCTAGTTTTGATGCCCAGGCACACAAAGAGTTCTTCCGCCCAGGGTTTCCACAACCAGACCAGTTCTTGACAATGCCGTTGCGATCTCAAGCCAGGATAGTTGTTGTTGAATCTCTGCTCGAGTTCGGCATACTTTTCGGTCGCATCTGGATCTTGGATCTCATCTTCAGCGTCGTAGGGTCGATATTTAGCTGTACGATAGTTCGGGGCAAGAAAGCTGGCCGAGACACGCCCGATGGACTTGTACTTAGGCAGGAGAACGCCTCCAGTCCAGAAGGGGTGCTCAGATGCTCGTATCGCCGTCAACTTCTTGCTGTTTAGCTTGTCTTGCGGTTTTGCTTGCCCGTGCAAGTCTGGTTTGCAACTTGCATTTGCGGCAGACCTCCGCTCCGCAGTAATCGCCCTAAAAGGATCTTGAGCTGGCGATGCTAGCCTGGGTTTAGAGTAAGTCTTCATATCGATTGATGCCTGCCTCAGATCCCCCTGCACAGACATCTCTCGCCATGCCTGGAGCTGCTTCTGCACTTCCTCCATCAGGGATTCAAACTCTTCAACTTTCGCTTCAATCCCGGTATGGAGACGAGGTAAGTTCAGCAATCCAGATTTTTCGTTATCGTCAACAACTTCATATCCATGTTCGCTGGTATGCGCCTTCTTGTCCCAGCCGAGCTGGTCAAATAGGAAATCTACATACTCAAATATGGACATATCATCCGGCTTCGGCGATAGGGGATTGTCCCGACGATGTTGTTCCATTTGTTCCCTGCGCAGTAACGCCCTATCTCTGGGTTGTCCGTTAGGGATATAAGGTTTTGGTGTCGAGCCATCGCGGTCCGAATTGCTACGTGGGTTGTCATTGCGCAAGCCCGACTCTTGCTCGGAAGAACCTGCATCCGCCTGGGAGTCTTCCTTTACCATTTTCGCAGCTGGGAGCTTCAAAGTTATCACCATCGACTGCCGCTGTATAGTCTGTGGGATTTGTGCAGGCTGTGCCGATTGTACGGACTCAACCGGTGTTGCGAGTTGCGCGGGTTGCGCGGGTTGCCCAAATCGAACAGGACGAAAGGCTTCAGCACGCTGAAGCGAGTGGATCGAGTGGGCAGGCTTTCCCAGCATTGCGGACGATACTGGCATTGGATAGGCAGGAGCTTGCGAAGAGGGAGACGAGGTCATTGAATATATGCATCCCCGGTCTCCTCGCTGCCTGCACTGTCCGCAAGGTTTGGCGCCGTCACATTTGAGTTTGCCACGGATACAAGCAATACAGGTTGACTTGACAGCATCTGTTCTGAAATTCTGCTGCGGTTGAGGAGGCTTTAGAGGACTTCCGAGACTGTCTACTCGCCCACTCGACCTAGACTGCGATGTAATAGGCGGCGAGTAGATGGATGCTCGTGAAAATGTTGGAAAGACCACCCTCGAACCGCTTTGCGGTGGTGCGTGGTACTCATTCACCGCTGCAGCCTGAGACGTTTGACGTAATGGAGAGACATCTTCACTTGGAGTGGGGCTCGCTTGTGCAGGCACGGCCGGTCGACCGATGTACGGCATGACATGTATGATCGTCGACCGGACAGAGTCTCTTTCCGACCCTGACACTCCTTCTAGAGAGTGCGATGGTGAATAGGGTGGCCTTGGTGATGGCCTTGGTGGTGCAGCGAAGGGACCGCTTCTGCTGGCACCCGAGGATACTGACTCTCTTGTCAGATCAACAGATTGGCGCGGCGGCCCCGGCGGCCCCGGCATTCGGGACCTTGGAGCCTCATCCTCAGAATCGCTCAGAACAATGACCTCGCTAAGCCCGTAGGCGTGAAGCTGGCGAAGCGCTTGTGCACGAGAGGGTGGGCGAGTATGCTGAAAGTCATGTGCAAGAAGTCGCTGTCCAGACGTCCTGGGATTAGAAGCGGTGGAGTATCGATTGAGTTCGCTCATCTTGGGTCATTGTTATGGTGTTTCCTTGTGATACGAGCACGCGTCGTGTAACGCGGGTTCGGAGAGGTGATAGTGGTCTCCACGGGCTCCTTCGAGAGGGAAAAATCAAACGTATGCAATTTGATTGAATCAACAAGGCAGGTGAGTCGGCCAGCTACCGGAGGCTTCGAACCCAAGGCAGATTTGGCCAACAATATCCTGGCGGTAAATGAATGGCTGTTCCGTAGTAGAGAGCAAGATGAGGTTCAAGTTGAAGTTGCGCCTTCCTGCTTTGGGAAAAAGCTTGGCACCCGCAGCCTTGAGACCGTGACAGCCAAATCAAGCACAATTATGTGTCTGACGAAATCTACAGCCGGCAACCACCGAGATCTACCACCAAAAGCCGTCAGACAGATGTTGAAGGGTCGTCAGACAAAGGTAGATAATGAAATGCCGCTTTACTAGTAGTACTATACCTCTGTACCGAAGATTTTCCTTCCAGTCATAACACGTTGATTCTGTCTGGATGATCTCGTCTCATCAAGTCCCGTAACCTATGCTCGGCCCTCCAGTGACATGTGTCCTCGATGTAAGATCAATTGACGAATTCCGCAAAAGTATGGTTCCGCTAATTCAGCCCCTCAGTCCGAAGGCATTTGTCTCCCTGTCACGGCGCTCCAATGTGTTCAGCTCAATGGAACACTGCTGGTGCTAGCAGGCCAGGGACCCCATTTTCAGATCTATGACCAGCATGGCCAAAAACTCTTGTCTAGGCGGGTCTTCGACGCCGAGCCCGTACATGGCATTAAGGCCGGTGCAGACCCTGACGTACAAAGCAAAACGCACAGTATCACCGTTGTCCTCTGGGGCGGAACCCTAGTGAGGTCTGGATCTTTGACGCCCCTTGATAAAAACGACGGTAACGAATTGATGGAACTCGATCTCTCTTTGTCGGGTGAACTCACGTCGCCAGACTGGGTGCTGGATGTTGAGCTGCTTCCCTCGAGCATCCTTCTGCTGACGGCGCATAATGTGCTTGTCGAAGTGCCCACAACAGCAGAATCTCACCTCAAATCATTACGCCACGACAGTTTGCCCTTCCTAAAGGGACCTGGTGCCTTTTTATACTCGGGAAATCTATGCGTGGCCAACGCAGAGCTCATTATAGTGGCATCCGGCACGGTGTTTGGAGAAATCTTGGTTTGGACCTGCTCGAAGAAAAGCAATGAGCACGAATGGACACCCATAGTAAGACATGTCTTCCATGGGCATAGGGGCTCTGTCTTTGGCGTGGCTATCTCCCAGCGTATCGACCTGGAAGGACACTATGTACGTCTATTGGCGAGTTGCAGCGATGACCGCACAATCGGGCTCTGGGATATTAGTGACTGTGACGAGCTAGTCCAGCCTCCTTCTTCAAGCATCGCTTTGATAGAAACTGGTTTCGGGAAACCCACACGGGCAGAGCAATCTCAACTAGCGTCTGCCTGGGGTCACCAATCGCGTGTTTGGGGCGTCGAATTTGTCTCCCAAGAGACCACTGAAGGTCACTCTCGAGTACTCCTATCTTCCAGAGGTGAGGATGGTGCTTTTCAGTTATGGGCATATGACACCCCCAAAAGTTCCTCAAGAGGTACACAGCTGACTGGCTGTCTCCGGTCGATATATCACGATCGACACCACAGCGGCAAAAATATCTGGTCCATGTCACAGCTACGAGTTAAGCAACATTTACTAGCCTGTACCGGTGGTGCTGATGGGCAAATCCTAGTAAGACATCTACAAACCGATGCAGATTGTCTTACTTCATCTCTCACGGTCTCCATGCCTTTCAAAGTGGTGACGGGTTCTTCCCACTCACTGAAACACTATCTAATACTCAATCAACACGAGTGTCTCGCAACAACTGACCTTGGTGAGTTGTTCCACCTGAGGCTCGACAGAGGGCGGCTTGAATTTGATCGGATCTACAAAAGTCCTGCCAAAGGCAGTCTTATGCTTTGTTACGCTGAAGAGCAGGGAATCATTTTCCTGGCACAGCAGGTAGGCGGTCTATCGGCGCTGCTTCCAGATGGAAAGACAATCATACCCATTCCGCTGACCCTTGGATGCGGCATATCGTGGACGCACGTCGCTTCCGAGGTTGCCAGAGGTGTATCATCCCCTACGATCTGTCTGGTGACAGTGCTTGCGGACAAGCAATGCATTATTCTTTGGCTCACACTAGACAATATGACTTTTCGAGTCAAGCAAACAACTCTTCAACTGCCCAGCACTTTCATCATCACCGCCTGTCGTTATAATTCTACCGAGGAGGTCCTCTTGCTAGGTTCACGGGCTGGTGCGCTGGCAGTCTATGATCAGTTGACACATGAGGTGGTAATCTCCAGAGAGCCTTGCTGTCTTCGTCATCTGCACGGTACCGACGTGGTGACTTCGATCACCAGTTTAAACCGAAGCCTGGAGACCACAGCTAATTCTCAAAAGCCAATGATGTCCTTCTTAACCACAGGACGTGATGGGACGTATGCCATGCATGACCTTACCTGGGCGAACTTTCCTGGAGGCAGAACGCCACAGATCACCACCATCCACACTTCTTCACCACCATTTGGCCCTAACATTGAAGGCGCTTATTTTGCTCCTTCAGATCCAACCCTGCCAACAGGACCTCTAGATTTACTACTTTACGGTTTCCGCTCAACCTCCTTCGTCGTGTGGAACGAGACGCAGCAGTCTACAGTCCTGTCCGTTGAATGTGGCGGCGCCCACCGAACCTGGTCTTTCCAAGATTCCCGGGTCTCCATACATAAGACGCTGGACATAGGACAGCTCAATGGCGGAGCAAAGAATTTCGTTTGGACCAAGACCGGCAGAATTAATTGGCACTCAGCACAGGGCCCCAGCCACAGTGTGATCCAGAAGGGTGGACATGGGCGGGAAATCAAGACGATAGCTCGATGCCCAAGCAATTTCAACGGAAATATTGTCGCTACGGGAGCTGAGGACACGACCATCCAACTGTTTTCACTCAAAACTTTCGAGAAGTCACGAAACAGGCTCAATGATACGGGCCCAGTAGGCCAAGGAGACAATACGACGTTCCAGAGGATCGCAACACTAAGGCGCCATACCACCGGTCTGCGATACCTGCTCTTCTCTGCTTCGGGCGACTTTCTCTTTAGCAGCGCCGGTTGCGAGGAGTTCTACGCGTGGAAACTCACGCGTGACGCGCCAATTATCACCATTGGAGTCGTGCTATGGGACATCATGCCCACGACGGAAGAAGATTCAGATGCCAGGATAATGAGTTTCGATTTATTCGAGATACCTGGAGTTCGCATGAACAGACCCCATGAAGGTCATGCCGGCGGTGAAGGCATTCCCGAGGAGCATTCCCCAGTGTCATACATCCTGGGCTTAGCATACTCCAATGGTAAGACCAGGATTGTACGATACAATCCTTCTACGGTCAAGGGCCAAGGGTCATTTGAAACCCTCCGTGACCTTGTGTATGGCTCTTTTTGTGTGATGCAAGCCTTTTTCCTGCCGCCTAGAATGTTCAACCGGCAACCCATGGACATTCAACTGGATGTCTTGTCTGCGGGCACGAACGGGTTTCTGAATCTCAGCTCCGCCGCAGTCGCCGTGGTTACGGACGGATCAAAAGCTGACGGCGCCGTTTCTGTACCATTGCAGGTCCACAAATCACATCAGAGCAGCATTCTGTCCATGGACATTATCTGCCTAGGACCGCAAACATATTTTGTTGCAACTGGAGGCGACGACAACGCCTTGGGTCTTACACTTGTCTCATCAGGTGCATCCTCCACAGCCACTCCTGGCTTGGAAAGCTCCAGCAATAAGGCTGTATCACCTCTCTCTGAACAGCACGGGTGTTCTGGTCCCAGTGGAGACCGGCGTGCATCATCTATCTCAGACGAACAGCACAGGAACAAGACGGGTGCCCGCCGGTTCCGCACCATTATCATCCCACGAGCCCACGCCGCCGCCGTTACAGCACTCAAACTCAAGCAGCTAGCAAGGACATCGTCAAGGGTATCCATCGCCGTGATCACGGCAGGAAACGACCAGCGTGTGAGAGTGTGGATTGTTCACGTTGACATTGATGAAGATAACCCCGTATCTGCCGTACCCAACCCAGGAACTGCACATAACAGCAACAATGTCCATACCACCGGCGTTAACTGGGATGACCCAACATGTCAGGCAATACAGGTACAGCGAGCGGCGAGTTCCTGGACAGCTGTTGCAGACGTGAGTGGACTGGAGGTGGTGGCGGAGGAAGGCTTGACCAGGGACCGCCCAGCCTTTGGGGGAACCGACGGCCCTCCTAGGATTTCAGAAACGGACCGCTCAAATTCCACGGCTGTCCGGGATCCTGCTATAACAACAGGAGAAGACGTTTCCGGCTCTAGTCCGGCATACGGAGCCACTGCTGAGGGAAAACGCACCACTTGTAGTTACAAGATCCTGGTCGTCGGTGTTGGCATGGAAGTATTAAGCGTGAAGTGGAACACGACAGTTGCAAAGGAGGCGTAACTTCGATGATGGAACGATCGGAACATCTACAGTACTACAGTTCGACTGGAACAGTGGAGCTCTATCATACCATGGCGCTATTGAGAAGGAGTGCCTCTTCAGTCGCTCACCGCGGCTTCGTTATATCAATTGTCCTCCCGAGTTGGCCTTTCTCGGCGCCTGATTGTGGGCTACTTCAGAAACATCTCAACGCCAGTGTCTTGACGCGACAAATCACCTTTTCCCCTGCTACCGGATCCGCCATGGAAATCCCTAGATCAAATGATACTCGTGCAGCAGTGCTCCAACCTCATTGTGCTCGAGTTTATGAAGGATCCAATGGCGAAAAAAGTCAGGCAGCCTGGCATCCAGCTCGTGTCCGTCGCGAAGTCTGCTCGTGGCAGCCAGCAGTTTGCGGACATCGTAGGTCGACCCAAAAACTTCCGGTATGCCGCGCTCGACACCCAGTAGCTGATAAACAGCCTCCATTGGCGTGCGAACGGAATACTCGATGGTGAAGATTGTGTCGCGACAGGACTCGGCGAACTGGCCGATAAAGGCAAAGTTGATCGCGCCTTCAGGCACCACGGCAGGTCGATCGCCTTGGTGGCGCGGCAGAAAGAAGCTTGTCACGTAGGGCATCATGACCGGGACACATAGGGCGCCGGTGGCAGCCAATTCGGCAATATCTTCGACCGGCACGCCTAGGTGGTACAGCCATTCCTGGGTGATCTCCTCGCCTGTGCAGTCTTGCATGGGTTTCTTGATATAGTCGCCGGGCGCGTCGACCAGCAGCGAGTAGACCCAGACCACGATCTGGTCGCGCGGCTGTTTCTTGAAATGTGGCTGTCGATTGACCGTCCAGCTTAGCAGCCAGCTAGAATCTTTGACGGTCACAATGCCGCCGGTAACTACCTTGCCACTAAACGGATCTCGTTTGCATATCTTCTGTATGTATGCAGGAATCCGCGTGTCCAGCGTCGTCACTGTGGCCGACTGCCACTTGGATTCTGGAATATTTGCAGCAAACACGTCGGGTTTACCGAACGAGGAGTCCTTTGCCGCGATCCGCCGCCACAAATCCCAAGCCGGCGCAGGACCCTGGTTCAATTGGGAAGGTGTGTGATGGTCGCCGAGATCCGAGTTCTCCGTCAAAGACCCGATAGTCATGAAGACAAGGTCATTGGCTCCCAGATCGACACCGCCCTTCTCGTTGCCATCTTTGACCCAGTGGATACGGGTGGCTTGCTTCTTGCCATCTGCAGCAATGGAGAAATCCACGTCCACGACTTCGGTTTTGTACTGGAACTTGACGCCATGGTCGAGCAGCCACTTGTGCAGCGGTAGAACGAGCGACTCGTACTGGTTATATTTTGTGAACTTGAGGGCCGAAAAGTCTGGGAGGCCGCCAATATGGTGGACGAAGCGATGCAGATACAGCTTCATCTCCAGCGCGGAATGCCACTCCTGGAAGGCAAACATGGTGCGCCAGTACATCCAGAAATTGCTCTGCAGGAAATCCCTGCCGACGACCTCGTTGATGCGCTTGCCCTCCATCTCCTGCTGCGTGGCGAGGAAGATGCGGATGATGTCCTTCTGCGCGGCGCTCGTCAGGCCGAATTTGTTGTCGGTATGGGCGTCCTGACCTTGATTGGTCGTGGCCCGCTGCAGCGAAAGGTTCGGGTCGTCTTTGTTGAGCCAGTAGAACTCGTCGAGCACCGATGCGTCGGGGACCTCGAGCGACGGGATCGAGCGGAACAAGTCCCATAGACACTCGTAGTGGTCCTCCATTTCGCGGCCGCCGCGGATCACGAACCCTTTCTCCGGCACTTCGAGCCCGTCCAGCGCACCGCCGGGCAGGTCGAGCTCTTCGAGGATCGTGATGTTCGGGCCTGGCATCTGCGCGTCGCGGACTAGGAATGCCGCTCCAGCTAGTGCTGCCAGTCCAGAGCCCACGAACCAGGCTGTCTTCTCCTCAACTCCTGCGGGCTTGCGCGGTCGCGCGAAGGCTTCGTAGTTGCCGCTGCTGTAGTACATGATGGGGACTGGGAGGTGGTCTGTTGGTACAAGGTTGCGTCAATGTCGAAGGTTCTGATAGATGGTGGTATCACTGAGGAGGTTACCAATAGATATTGTATCAATGTTTAGGATCAGTCGTATATGCTGGCTTGGTATGTCTTCGGTCCAAGTCCATCAATTTCGTGAAATCGGTGTGTCAACCTTTATAAAGCAAATACCTGTAGAGCACAACAGGGCTGTGCAGACCAGTGCCTGTAGAGAAATAAGGCCCTCGTATCATACCGGTTTCTCAATACTGAGTGGGCTGTGTGAACACTATCGACATTTGCAAATACGAGCTGGAAACCGAGGTCTGGGAGGAGGGTGGGACCCCAGGATTGACTCTGGATCCAGCTCCCATCATTGCGTCTGGTCTTGCAGAATTGGTGCGTGTTGTAGTTCGATCAGTACTCGCTCCTGTGGCACAAGTCATAGCCAGGCTGCAGACAGGCTCAGTATATGGGTTGACGGTGGTGTGATGCTGCAGCCTTGCCTTGTATGATTGGTTCAAGGGGCGGCAATGGGGAGTCCAGACAAATAAAATCCATCTGACCACATGATTGCAATGCACTCGATGGATTTGTACACTAGAGATTGGAGGTTCGGGACCCTTTCAGAAGCCTGGGTCCATTCTTTATTGTTTTGTTCAAACCGGGGCCTTTGTCATGTATGATCCGAGGTTGCATGTGATAGACCAAGGTATGTTTTGATAGAAGTTTGAATGGTCTGATCAGCGCGTGTTCATCAGTAGTAGAGCACATGCTTTCCCAAGGTACGTACGTAGAGATAATAGCTCAAGTGTCGATATGATGCAAGTTTTTCTGGAAGACGCCCTTTGGCCGGGATGATGTTGAAGGGGATACTCACGATGTACAGAGGCTGTGGTCACACTTGATAGAGAGATGGGATCTCCAGCCTTGGATACTAGTATTGCTTACTAAAGTAGTCTATTAACACTACGATCATTATTAGAGATATTACGTATTGGGAGGCTGCTACGCGTGTCGCTCGTGACGTGCACCCCGCGTCTCAACGCGTCTCCAATTCCCATTCCACACGTGCCTCTCACTTGCATACTAATTAGGTAGGTTCTCTTGCAAGTGTCGAACATACAATAAGACACAACCTCAAACCCCACGCACAATACTCTCAGAGCTGGTATATTAAAACCATGGGGATCAAGATGGCAGACTCTTCGTCGCCCCGCGAGCATTCGCCTACACAAGACGACGACGTGTCATTGCCAGATGCACCGGCGCCAGCCAACAACGACGACGCCCCTGCACCAGAGAACACCAATGGTGCTGCTGCAAACCAACCCGGCGTAGCGCTGGAAGACCTCTTTGATGACGACGATGAGGCTCTCGCGAACGAACTCGAGGCATCGAGCGCGGCCAACATCCCTTCTTCACCACCTCAGACCGCCCCGAGCTCCTCGGCGCCCGAGATCGCCTCGAGCGCTCAACAGCAAGAATCATACTCAGACCCCAACCTGATGCGTCAATTCTACTCTCGACTCTTCCCCTTCCGCTCGTTGTTCCAATGGCTCAATCATTCTCCCAAACCCGGTCCAGACTTCAGCAACCGCGAGTTCGCCTTGACACTGCCGAACGATGCCTATCTGCGATACCAGTCATACCCTACGGCCGATATGCTGCGCAAGGACATCCTCCGGCACAATCCATCCCGGTTCGAGATCGGGCCCGTATACACCACCAATCCGCGAGACCGGAAGACGCTGCGGAAGAGCTCCATGTTCCGGCCGCTGAGCAAAGAGATAGTGTTTGATATCGATCTGACGGATTACGACGACATCCGAACATGCTGCGAGAAAGCGAACATCTGCAACAAGTGCTGGGCGTTTGCGACGATGGCGATCAAGGTCGTCGATGTGGCGCTGAGAGACGACTTTGGCTTCGAACACATCATCTGGATCTACTCCGGGCGGCGTGGTGTGCATGCCTGGATCAGTGACAAGGACGCCAGGGAACTGGACGACGACAAACGAAAAGCCATCACCGGGTACTTTGAGGTGTTGAAGGGAGGCGTCCAAGGTGGAAAGAGAGTCAATCTCCGACGTCCGCTCCACCCGCATATAGTACGCAGTCTGGAGATCCTGAAGCCTTACTTCGCTCAGGTCTTGGTCGACCAGGAGCCATTCCTGTCCAAGACCGGCCAAGACCGGCTCCTGCAGCTGCTTCCGGACAAGTCTCTCACCGAGGCACTGGCCAAGAAATGGGCCAGCAGTCCCGAGCGCCCGAGCCACAAGAAATGGGCCGATATCGACTCGATGGCAGAGACCGGGGTCAGCAAAACCCTGGACCGGAAAGCGTTGTTGCAGGCTAAACAAGACATCGTGCTGGAATACACCTATCCGAGATTGGACGTGGAAGTCGGGAAGAAGAGGATCCATTTGTTAAAAAGTCCGTTCGTCGTGCATCCCGGCACGGGGCGAGTCTGTGTGCCCATTACCGCTGGCGGGGACATGAAACGCGCCGACTCGTTCGATCCGCTCTCCGTGCCTAAAGTCAATGAACTACTCAGGGAAGTCGACCAATTTGGCGCCGGTGCAGGAGATGGCGACGAGCCGTCGAACGGGTTTGTCGAAGACGGGGTGACGATGCGGAAGTTGAATGATTGGGAAAAGACGAGCTTGAAACCATATGTCGAATTGTTCGATGGATTTGTCAAGACTTTGCTCAAAAGCGAGATGGTCCGTGTGAAGCGGGAAAGGGATGAAGACGGTGCTACTGGGACCGACGGGATGGAGTTTTGATGCATGGGAAGTACATGTTATGGTTTGGTAAATGCCTGGTGTTCGGGCGTTGGCTGCTACAGGGGAAGACTTAGGCATGTTCAGATACGCGGGACCAAAGTCCCTCCGGTTTCGTTATATGCAAAGCCATCCCAATGAACGATGAAGAATACCTTTACTTTCTCGCCATGCGTTTGGAATCCATGCCATGCTTGGAACACTTGGTGTCTAGCCTCATCGTCGAACTTGCTCACCGAACGGGTTTGACCTTCCACATTCGCATCCTCGATGATTGACCACATTGTTTCGTGACGGCTTGATCGAACTCTCCTGACAGGCGGTAGAGATATCGATAGAATGAGCACACAGAGGAGGCGGGTTGACCTGCCGGTTTGCCTCTGAGGGCTGTTCCATCCGCATCCAATGCCACTCAGCTCGAAGGGCTGGCGGGCTTTGGTGGTCACCAGTCCGATGGGATAGGTCGACCATCCTGATCTCCGGGAGATACTGGCAGGGAATGTTGCCAATAAAAGTGCTCGTTCGCACAGGGCTGATGCTGTGGTCTCTGGCAAGCAATAAGACACAATAGGCCCTGCGCACTCATATATCCACCTCTCGGATCTTGTATTCCAACATTTCATTCGACGGCACTTTATTCTTGTCGAGCATCTTGATCGAAGTTTCAATCCCCGCAGCCGGTACTCGATATTGAAATCCCCTCCCAGGACCCGGCCTGGATCCATCTGGAAGCGGATACGGAAAAGGGAGATATTCAGGCAACAGGCCCAGCTGGACGAGCACAGAAGCTTGATCCCATGCAATATGCTCGTGATACAACCGGTCACCACGCACACACACCACAGATGTGAAGGGCACCTGGACTCTTTTTCCAGTAGGAGGAATACCGGGCACCCTGGCAGAAGCTGTCAGCGATATGATGGAGAGTTATCAGAAGCAGGTCACCACTCACAGCCAGTCCATCTGCATGTCATGCGTAAACTTGAATATGAACTCGTCGCAGATACGATCAATGCCAACCGTTCGGCTGACTGGGGTCATCTCGGTGTCTTCAGTTTTGCTGAAGATGAAATGGTGCCGGTAGAAGTTGGTCAGTCTTTCTCGGCCAATACCGCCTGTCATCTGCATTGCGCTGGTCAGTCCTCCTGATAGTCTAGTCATCAAAAGAAGATGTCTTTCCGTACCGTGGGAATGTGATTGACATAAGGCTCCTGCACCATGGTCCCCATCGTCTTAGGAACAGAGCGTGCAGCAAATTCAAAGAACGTATGCTCCTTCCAGATGGCTTCCAGATCGAAATCCGCGCCGCGGATGTACTTCTTTAGAAATGTGAGGTTTCTTGTATGTAAAATCGATTCATTTCCGGGATCAAAGTCCTTAAGACATGGAATGGCGAACTGTGCCGACTTTACTGTTGGATAAGTGTATGTCTTCGTATCAGACCCGGCGGGGTTCGTGTTCACTCCTGTATCACCAGGCCCCGCGAGATGCTGGAGACATGGGATTGAGATCTTGAATTCTGTGTCTCCAGCCTTTGACCCGCAGACGACGAAGGCCTTAATCTTCGAGTCTAGCACAGAGTTGGACATATATTGTCCCACATAGACGAGTCGTCGACTTTAGCTACAGTCAGTCCCTGTGCCCTATATATGTATGTTCTTCAAATTGTTTGATAGTAAAAGAACATCACTTCCAGCCTTCACAAAATTCCGGCCTTATCTCGCTCCTCTGACATGGTCATGCTTGCAATAGAGGAGTTATGGGGTGAATTGAAGAAGGCTGAGGTCAAGATAGGGGTCCGGGATAGTTTCCGCATGCGGGACACCTCCCCAAAATAGTCCACTAGTCTATTTACGGCTAGAACCTGTTTATCGATAAGAGAACTTTTTTCGTCGGACTCCGTTGCAAGTTCAAGTTTCCCAAAGCCGGTCGCTGCGATTTTCTCGTTCCCTTCAATCACACCGCTCTGCACCTGACGTTCCCTTACTTGTGCGGACACAATGGCGCCTACTATCGACGCCATCGATAAGTCGAAGAAACGCAAGAGAAAGCACGGTAAACTCTCGAGCACAGCAGCGGTGGCCCAGCCTGCACCATCAGACACGAGCGAAAAAGTTGTTCCCTCGAAAGCACAGCCCGCAGAGAAGAGCCAAAAGAGGCGGAAAACATCTCATACTAGTGACGAAGAGAACGGCTCCGATGAGGAGGGTGTCTCAAAACCGGTCTCCCGTGCCGCCAAAGAAGATAGCTCGAGCGACGAGGAGGAGGAGAGAGGGAACGATTCTGTCAGCGACAACAATGATGATGATGCCGGCGCTGAACTTGAAGAAACGGTGAATACAGCAAACGGCAAAAATGAGGTCACTACCACCAACGGTCATTCAACAGACCTTCCCACCGATACGGTCCCCTCATTGCCCGGCACGGACGCCACGCCGCAAAAGTTCTCCGAACTAGCCCTTTCCGAGAGAACAATGCAAGCGATCGCCGAAATGAAATTCGAAACAATGACCGAGATCCAGCGCCGCGGCATACCGCCGCTGATGGCCGGCCGGGACGTGCTGGGTGCCGCAAAGACAGGATCGGGGAAGACTCTAGCGTTTCTGATCCCAGCCGTGGAAATGCTGCACGCACTGCGCTTCAAGCCGCGCAACGGCACCGGTGTGATCGTGGTATCCCCGACTCGAGAACTTGCGCTGCAGATCTTCGGTGTGGCGCGAGACCTGATGCAATTCCACAGCCAGACGTTCGGCATAGTGATTGGCGGGGCCAACCGCAGCGCCGAAGCCGACAAACTGACCAAGGGCGTGAACCTGCTGATCGCGACGCCCGGACGCCTGCTAGACCACCTCCAAAACACCAAGGGCTTCATCTACAAAAACGTCAAGGCGCTGGTGATCGACGAGGCGGACCGGATCCTCGAAGTCGGCTTCGAAGACGAAATGCGGCAGATCGTCAAGATCCTGCCCAAGGAGAATCGACAGACGATGTTGTTTTCCGCGACGCAGACGACCAAAGTCGAGGATCTGGCGCGCATCTCGTTGCGCCCGGGCCCGCTGTACATCAACGTCGACCACAAGAAGGAGCACAGCACCGTCGAGGGCCTGGAGCAGGGCTACGTGATCTGCGACAGCGACAAGCGGTTCCTGCTGCTCTTCAGTTTCCTGAAGCGCAACTTGAAGAAGAAGGTCATCGTCTTCATGTCTTCGTGCAATTGTGTCAAATACCATGCCGAGCTGCTCAACTATATCGACCTGCCTGTCCTCGAACTGCACGGCAATCTCAAACAGCAGAAGCGCACCAACACCTTTTTCGAGTTCTGTAATGCCAAAGCCGGCATCTTGGTCTGTACCGACGTCGCAGCGAGAGGACTGGATATCCCTGCGGTCGATTGGATCGTGCAGTTCGATCCGCCTGATGACCCGAGAGATTATATTCATCGGGTGGGCCGGACGGCGAGAGGCTCGAACGGCAAAGGCCGGAGTCTGTTGTTCTTGCAGCCCAATGAGGTCGGCTTCCTCAGTCATCTGAAGGAGGCTAGGGTGCCTGTGGTCGAATTCGATTTCCCGGCCAAGAAACTCCTTAACATCCAGAGTCAGTTGGAGAAGTTGATTTCGCAGAACTATTATCTGAACAAGGTGAGTCAAGGAGGAGTCCCAGCTCTGTTGTTCTCCATTCTCCGTTGCCAGTCACTGACGTGTGTTGCTTCTCTAGTCCGCCAAGGATGGTTACAGATCTTACTTGCAGGCCTATGCCTCGCACAGTCTGCGCTCCGTTTTCGACGTGAACAAGCTGGACTTGGTCAAAGTGGCCAAAAGCTTTGGATTCGCTACTCCACCGAGAGTAGATATTCAGCTAGGAGCGAGCTTGCACCGGGATAAAAAGCAGAGTGGACGAAGAAGTTATGGAAGTCAACCGAAGCAGAACGGGCATGGGCTTAAATTCAAGCGGAAGCAGGGTCATGACTGATGCACGAACTGGATCTACAGATCGCGATGGACGGTGTCAAAAGTAGTGTTTTTTGGACACAATAGTATGAGCCTCTGTAGCTCTTCTGCACCCTCGGGTTTCATCGATGGCTGTCCGTCCTAGTATCGTTGCGATTTCCGTGACCGATCAAAGGGTATGGATGAGTGCCATTTCCTTTCCGAGATCAACTTGACTGCCGGACTGAATCGCCTCCGTCTATATGACACGTCCTTATCCCACCATCTTGCTCAATTTCTCAAAGTCGGGCGTGCCGAAGCCAGTCACCGGGTCCCATCCCTTAATGGCCTCCCAGTGTGCGTCCGTGATCTTCCCGGCCGGTCGACCAGTGTAGATGTCGGTTCCAGCACAGCCACGCGAAGCTCCAAGCGTGATATCCGTAAACCCTTGCTGGCCCTGAGTGTACAGCCACGGATTGAGGAAGCCGAGTTTTGTCTTGCCGCTTGCAAGCCGCATGTTGTTGAGATTGCTGATGATGGCGGCAAACGTCGGAGCTGCACAGCTGGTGCCGTACACAAAATTGGGCACACCATTGGACCAGATGAGGTAATTGACAGATTGCGCTGATACATCTGGATATCCTCTGCCCGAGCTGTTGAAGTAACCCTTGTTCTTGTCGCCGAGTTGCTTGAGATAGCCTTCCATGGTAAGGAACTGGTACGCCGGACGAGGAAAGTAGAACGAGAACCCTCCTGAAGAGAATGCGGCGGCGATCTCAGGGTTGATAGCGTAGGTGCCTCCAACTGCGGTCACAAAAGGGCATGTAGCAGGGAAACTGGGTGAAAAGCGAGTTGTCTTCTTCCCATCATTGGATTGACATGCACTGCCAACGCCGGTGTCGCCACTTGCAAAGATGACGGAGACACCACGAGCACCGAGCTGAGCAAACAGATTGCACACCTGCACTGCATAGTCGTCTGTTATGTGTGTTAGGAGGACCTAGTTTCCATGGAAGGCAGCAAGCAGACTTACAAGGAACGCTCTCTTCGTCTTCCGCGTATGAAGTGGAGAGCACGTCTGGCAGATCCTTATCTTCGAGACTCAGCAGGTAGTGAAGCTGATCCAGGTACGGCTCGTTTGTGCCATTGGAGGCTGATGGCTGATCGAGATCAGGGACAATTGGCGCTCTGCCGCCGGTTGAGTAGTACACCACTTGCGTGCCTCGCACTAGAGCCACGCCATATTCGACCTGGCGCCGATTAGCAAGCATAATGAAGTCTGTTTGGGGAGCCGTCAGCAACTCACATCAAGATCTGCTTCCGCGGTTCGGTTGACATTCTGTTGATCAGTGACACCGTTCTCGATGCCAACAATGGAGAATCTGGCCTCGTTTAGAGTGGGCGCTGTCAGATCGATGAACGTCTTCAAGTCATTGAAGTAAGCGCCTTGTTCGATGTAGCCAGATATTCCCAGTCTTGTGGCTCCTTTCGGAGAGGCGGAGAAGTCGCTCATCTTGTAGAGACCTCGGATGCACTCCGGAGTAATGGTTGTGTTGCAGAAGACTGGATCGTACACTTGCAACTGAGCATTGTCAATGAAAGGGGACGGGATTTCATCTCTCTTGTTTTCCGTCAACAGGCTGACTTGTGGATGAGGTCGGCCAAAGCGAGTGGTAGGCTGGATCATGTCGACAAGACTTCGAAGGGATGGGGGAACCGAGTATTGTAGAGTCCGCAGCAGAGTAATATCCTCGTGGTGGAAGTAGTGGAATTGGGTGTTGAGCAAGGTCTCAGCCATCAGAACTGATGCATTGAACATGATCCAGTGTCCTTCGTCCTTGATCTTTACAGCAGGGATGCCTGCGCCCTCTAGCCAGTTCATGATTGCCTTGGATGTGTCCACATTTGGGCGCAACATATCCTCCACGTCACGCTTGGTGAGGTGTTGACCATAAGCAGAGTGATCAGGGCTGGAGATGTCGACGAGCAATTGATGAAAGTCACTCATTGCAGGCTGATGGACAGCGAGATGCAGTCTCAGGGCTTCGTTCGGATTTGCTCTATCGCCCTTCACAAAGTCAGCCAGGTACTGTGATCTTTTGGTAGACTTACTTGGATCCAACCATCTGGAATACCAGGTGGACACTCCACGACCACAGGTGCATCAGTTAGCAGCGCGAGGGCAATGCCGTAGCACCACCAGAGGATCAGCTGGAGAGTAATGAACAGCATTTTGGCGTCTCAGCGTCGAGTTCAGCTCAAGCTCTTGAAAAGAAACGTCACCAAGGAAAAAAGGTCGGCGATGCGAAGGAGAAGGAGAAGAGAGGAGAGGAGAGCTCGAATTAGTGCAAGGAAAATTCGTAACAGAGGAGTGAAGTGAAGTGAGGTGAAGTGAAGTGAAATACAGTGAATGTTAACGTGCACTTTCCCAAACTGGGACAATGCTATGAGACTGGCAGCATTGTGTAGGCAATTAAGCACCCGTCCTCCCTGTCCTCTCTGAGTAAAGTCGTCAGCATCATGTCCAGGAGGTCGCCGTTCCATCTTCCTTCCCAGAGATGAGGATGCGTCAGGTCAGAACAGCTTTCAACTGTCCTGAAAAGACATGACGGCCAACTCAGTGCCTGTGATCATTGCCACATGTTGGGCATTGAAATCAACACCATGAAAAATGTAGTAGAACGCGGTCAGCATAAGAAAGTCGTATTCAGCCTTCATTGTATTTTGATTCATCAATAGTCCCGCTAATTTCCCATCCAACCATTAACCAAATTGCCTGAATGGTCGTAACATCTATCGTCTCATCATGTCTGCGCCCGCTTGCAATTCATGCTCAAGGTCATTGCCAACAACAGCCCCAGCCTCTTGTGGCCTCGGGTCTTCGTGACTCCATTGTTTTGGATTGTCTGGAATCGGCAGAGCTATATTGGTCGTTGGGGTCTGAGAAGGTTGGTGGCGAACATGATGGCGGAATCGCAACACCTCATCGAGAATCATCTTGCGCATTTCTTGAACGTCGTCGACCACTTCGAATGCGAAGTCAAACGTCTTGGGGCAAGCAGGTTCATCGGAAGCATCATGCCAAATCTGGAGATACTTGTGCTCCAGGGCATCTTCCACTGTGATACGAGACGAGGGGTCGAATGCCAGCATTCGATCCAGCAGGTCAAGTGCATCGGGATTCGCTTGAGGGAACAACCTCTGGAAGGGGATCTTGGGCATGAAGGGAAGATTCCGAACATATTCCTGAGCGCGTGGCGACCCTATTCGCGACAACGTCTCCTCATTCGGAGTGCCCAAATAATGGAGGATTTGGTTGAGTTGGTCGACGTAGTCACGGCCCTTGAAGAATGGCCGGCCACCCAGCAGCTCAGCCAAGATACATCCGACGGACCAGACATCAACTACCAGCTGTCAGTACCTGTGTCGGTGGGGATTCAAAGTCATCAACATACTCGCTTTAGTATAGCTTTGGAAGCTGAGCATAATCTCTGGTGCGCGATACCATCGGGTTGCGACATATTCTGTCATGTATCCTGCATTTTCCTCGGGATCTTGCGAGAAACCTCTTGCCAGGCCAAAATCGCAGATCTTCAGCTCGCAATCGGCATTGACAAGTAGGTTTCCAGGTTTCAAGTCTCTGTGCAGGACGTTCGCAGAGTGGATATATTTGAGGCCACACAAGATCTGGTATATGAAGGACTGGAAGTGAGCGTCTGTGAGCGGCTGGCCAGACCTTATAATGGCAGCCAAATCGCATTCCATCAATTCTGTGTTGTGTCAGCCAACACCCTTGACAAATTCAGAGTCGCGATACACATACCTTCGTAGAGATAGGTCTCGTTGAAGTTATCCGGTCGCGGAATGTCCATGTCATACAGACAGGCAATCTGCCATCTTCAGCCGTGCGCTTCACAAGCAGGAGAGAGTAAGACCTACATTCCTGTGGCCGCGAAAGTGCTGCAGCAGTTTGATCTCACGCAAAGCTCGCTTTGCAAGGATCTTTTTGCTGAAAACATTGGTCACTTTCTTGATGGCCACGCCTTCCCCCGTCTGCGAATTCGTTGCGGCGCTAGGGCTGGTCAGCGACACCGCGGGCGGGAGGGTGATCGATAGCCACCATACCAAACAATTCCATATGCACCTTGGCCCAGCTCTTTCGTGACAGTATATCTCTCATCAACAACGAAATCTTGATTGAACACCTTGAAGACCTTGCGTCCTGGCAGATCCCCCATGGCTGATTGTGGTTCTTGTGACTGCGAACGATTGTAACTTTGCTCTTGATTTCGTCTGCGAAGGAACCACAACGTATGGACCCAGGAAGGAGAAAGTCGAGGAGATTATGCGCCTTATAAGACAGAGTCGACTAAGCTTAGTATAGATGACGAGAAAGGACCAACTTGTCCCAAACGCAGACTTAGTGGTGCGGCTGAACGATAGAGTTGCCTGGTGCTGACACGGCTACCAGAATGTCACGGCGAGCGTGATCGATTGAGGTTCGAGGTGGGGGCGACCCCAGGTGTAGCGCAGGAAACCTGTGTAAGACCTAGCCAGTAGGACGATCTGGCAGGATGCCAGATATAGAAAATAGAAGCCTCCAGGGTGATACGTGTGGAATGGAGGAGTAGTGCCCAAGAATGCTGGTAGCCGCCCAAGATGGCTGGCGCTTCGTAGCAGCCTGTTTCAATGTCAAACGCAGTTGTCGTGACCCGGCGCAAAGAAATCTGTTACGGCGGGACACTACCGAGAGTAGTACATAGGAGAGAGGGGTCAAGGAGGCTCCCTAGGCTGTCGATCCAGTTGGCAGCCCAGGTACACAGTGACCGAGCAGACGCCTGCGTCACCAAAATGGAGACGCTTATAGAGCCTAAGGAGCCCACAACAGCGGCAGTGCATGCCTGGAGCAGTTAGAAGCGGAAATGACAAGTGGCAGTGGCCGTGCGGTGCAGTGGGCGCCGGGCAGTGTGCAGCGGCGCCAGTGGCAGTGCAGAGCAGCCACGCCAAGATCGCATACCACGTGCCACAGCCTCGAGTCCGAGTCCCTCATCGTCTCACTGCAAGGCACTGACTGTACACTTGCAGTACTATCTGACCCCTGTCAAACTACCGATAATACTATCTTGAAACCAAACAACAGTCTGCCTCCAAGACCTCGATAAATCGCCTGGTACTAGGACAACCTGCTCTCAAAAGCACATACTTCATTTCAGAAATCGCGGAGAAAGCAGCCCACATTTTAGGCAACGCCTCGAGACTGTCTCGTCATCCCAACACAGGCCTGAGTACGACAGTGAACATCATGCTATTGACCAGGTGACACCGGACTCATCGAGATTGACTTTTGGGGTGTAGAAGAGATCACCTCCAAAAATGGAGGAGCTCCTGGCCCGGCACCGGAAGGAGAAGCGGGATCTCCAGGGCCGGATCACGCAGAAGAAAAAGAATGCCACGAAGAAAACGAGAAAAGGCGTTAATGATGAGTGCGAGAGATTAGAACGAGAGCTGGCCGAGAGACAGAAGGCAGAGCTTGACGCTCTAGAAGGCAAAAACGGTGATGGATTGGAGTCATCCCTGGATACTCTGGCCATCGAAGACACGGTCGAAAACGTAAACGGAGACGGAAATGCCGAGTCGGCGTCGGCGTCTGCTGAACTAAATCCAAGTCAGAACCCTGAGCAGGTCACCCCATCTCCAGATACCGACCAACAACCGCGCAAAAAGCCAAACAGGCAGAAAGCGAGACTGGCCCGAAGAGCAGCAGAACAGGAAGCTCAGGCCGCCGCAGCAGCCCTAGAAGCACAGAACCTGCCGGACCTTCGCGAACAAGAACTTGCATCTATGAAGGGGCAAATGGAGAGTCTAGGGTTATCCGAAACATTCATTCGGCCAGATGGACATTGTCTCTTCTCAGCATGTGCGCACAGCATGCCTCCCGAGCTGGTCTCGAAGTCCGGTCCACACAAGGAGCCGTATCAGAACGTCAGGACTGCCGCAGCAGAGTTTATGGCCGCGCACCCGGACGACTTTGGACCCTTCCTGGAAGAGCCTCTCGATAGCTATGTGCGGAAGATGAGAGACACGGCGGAATGGGGTGGACAGTTGGAGCTGCAAGCCATTGCGCGAACCTACAACATCGACATCAATGTACTGCAGGCCGACGGAAGGGTTGAGAAGATCAGCTCGGGATCAAGTACCAAAGACGACTCCACGTCGATCTGGTTGGCTTACTATCGACACAGCTTTGGGCTGGGTGAACACTACAATGCATTGAAGAAAGTGGATAAGAGTTGACACCACATTGTCCTTGACTGCGATGATCCAATATAGGAGAAGCTACAGTTCTAACCAGCCAAAGAGCTTCCCGCATTCAGTGATGTCTCCAGACAGACACATAATCCTCGACCTTCCCATCAGCATCTTTGCCTACTTTGTGTGTATCTGCAGGATGCCAGTGTCCGACTCTTTCGAGCGCGCCCGGACTAGATGGAGCCTGCGGATTCGGCACGACATTGCCCTCAGCGTCATATTTGATCTCTTCTCCAGGGTAACTCAGGTGTTCCAGATATGCTTTGGGGGAAGACGCGAACGGCGGACCGCCGGCGGCAGCGGGCTTGGTGGTGGGAAACTCCAAGCATATCAGATTGGCCTGGGATGATTTTCGAAGCAGCTCCGTCATCCGCATGGCCCAGGATGGTCTCATCTTAGGGTCCATCGCACAGAAGAACTGTTGGGGACTGTCAGTGACGGATGCCAACTTGTTGTACAACAATGTAACAGACATAGAAACAACAACATAGCAATTGGACAACATCCAACGGGCGACTCTGTGACTTGGGAAGGGCGGGCTGCATCGAACCGGGGTACTCACAGTATAATCGTAGATCAAGTCGAATTTTGCATCCTTCCCGAAGCCCGTCTTTTCCAGCCATTCATCGGAATAGAAATCGCCCTGCACAAACTGGATACTGCCCCTGCCTATCTTCTCGTCGTGCACAGGAAAGTCGTCGGCATGTTCTCTTGCGTACTCCTCGCACGCCTTGACCGCATCCTTGCTGTACTCCAGCCCCACGGCATCATAGCCAAAGCTCTGCAGCAACAACACATCGACTCCGCGCCCACAGCCGGGAACCAGTGCGCGTTTCCGCCGCGTCTGCCCGTCCTCATCGAGGATGGCACGGCCGATCACTTCGACATGGTTGATCAGCGTGTCTGCCAGGGCTGGAGAAGGTGCCATGCGGTCCCAGGGCAAGAACCCGCCGTCCGCCCAGAGCGCGGCCCAGCCTTCGGCGTACTTTGGGCCTTGGAAAGTGGCGAAATGCCGCTTGAGCCCGGCGTGGGCTTCTTCGAAAGGGAGGTCCCGTCGGAAAGGCTTGCTGTCGGACATGGTTTTGGGTGACCGGTGGAAGAAGCACGGGGACAGGAGGCTGCTCGGTCTATATGCAGAAAAATGGGCGTGGTTGTTACAACGTCCTTAGGTTGCAATTATATCTCATCACACCTAACGGTGGCAATATGAAGAAGTCTTATGGCTCAACCTTTGCCGTGATCTGTGTTGGTCAATAGTAATCGTGTGCTCGCATCACTGGATTTGTAATGGTTACGCGAGGCTCTATGGCTGTACAGAGTAATCACATCAACTGAGTAAGGTACTAGGTAGGTAGCAATCGATTGTATGGACCGGCATCGCAGATTCTGGCCCAATTGGAGAGCAGCAAGAAACACCGTTGAGAGAAGATGAAAGGTGCGCGCTGAGGGAAGTCAGGTAATTCCAGAACTGCACAGCTTGAGGATCGATGTCATTATTTGCATCGGATCGGGTGAGAGGATTGAGGAGTACGTCCACGGGTACTATGAATCAATTACAACTTGAAGTGAATGTGAACGCTGGAACCGACATGTACAGTGTCTGGTTTATCGGGCCTCTGCAGGCACCGCAATAGCAGCAACCCGCCATTAAGCGAGTCCTACTTCTCGCTCAACCCGAGACGACAACGCTCTAGGCACCGCCAGTTAGGGGCTTCAGGGCTTCAGGACTTCATGCCCGTTGCTTACCTTAGGTAAGCATAATTTGATGGCTCCTTAGCCCGGTGCCGATGTCGGCCCCCCGCGAATAACTACGAAAAATGACCACGATTGCCCCCCCGGCTTTTCAACCGTTTCCATTCAGGCACGCAGAAGGACCAACACTCAGGTTAACACCGCAAGGTAAGACAACACTGCGAGGACTACCGATGACTGACTGATTGTTGTCAAGAATGCCCCATCGTCATCGCAGCCGGTCTACATGCAAGGAGCCATTCCACTGGCCCGCTATCTATAGGTACTATGGACTCGCTAGATACCTAGGTACCTACTAGTACCACAGAGCAAGACTGTAGCGCAAAAGTCGGTCCCTTGCAACTTAAGTCGATAAACTTGAAGGTACCCAGCCGAGGCAACTGGCCGCAGCTTTCAACTTTGGTAAAGAGCGTCGAGTTCCGACTCCAACAATTTTGTCTCTCCCCAATTGCTTTTCTCCAGACGGCAAAAACGGCACATTAGGATCTTCTTCTCGATCCCATGATTGGCCCTTTCCCTCCTTATGGGGTCACTGCACCGCAAAGACGATTGCAATTCAGCCCTCTACCCACTGCACGACACGCTTGATGATGTCCGCGCCCTGTGTCGCTACCCTACTCGCCTCTACGATGACACTTTGTGCCATGTCCGTTCAATATAAGTTGAGAGGAAGACCGTAGGTTAGAGAATGCGGCCGGCCGTCTCGCTGACCTCCTCATGCCTGTTCGGCTGATTCCTCCTCCATCAAGCCCTTTGCGCCCTCCTACTCAACCTGAACCTGAAGGTGGGAGAGTAATGACTTGCACAGCAGTCCCTACGGCCGCCTTTTCTGTTCTCTCCTACATCCAGAGCCTCTCTATGCTCCTCCATGGCTAGCACATATCGGGAGAAAGACGCTGGCACATCGGAGACTTTGCATGTCCAGTCCTCGACGGAAGTGCACAGAAGCAAAGAGCAGGACATTGACCGCCGATCCGTCCACTCGACCGTCTCGATTGTCTCTATCACACCCTCCGGACAGTCGACGGCGGCAGATCCTCAAGATGTCGAAATTGCCGACGATGTGTTGCAAAGAACCATCACTCCGAGAAAGCCCATTGTCAAGGTCCCTCGAGCGAAGAGGCGTGGTCTCTTTGCACGGTTCGCCCTGGTGGCAGAGGTTACAGACCCTGTAGACTACAAGAATAGCACAAAATGGTTCATCACCTTGACTGTGGCCATTGCGGCTGCAGCCGCCCCGATCGGGAGTGGCATCATCTTGCGTACGCATTCAGCCCGGTCTCTTCACGCTCATGGCGCTCTCGTTGACTCTACTCTTTAGCAACCCTTGACCAGGTAGCAACTGACCTTCATACCACGGCCACCACGACCAATCTGTCCATTGCGATGTACATGTTGAGCATGGCCATCTTCCCCCTGTGGTGGTCCGCATTTTCGGAGGTGTCAGGTCGTCGCTCCGTATACATTATATCCTTTGCTCTCTTTACCTTGTTCGCAGTCGTGAGTGCGGTGTCTCAGTCGATCGCTATGCTCGTGATCATGAGAATGCTTTCTGGAGGAGCAGCGGCATCCGTCCAGGCAGTCGGAGCAGGGACAATCGCCGATATCTGGGAATCGAGGGAGAGAGGCAGGGCGATGGGGATCTTCTACCTCGGACCGCTGTGTGGACCACTCCTGTCTCCAGTTGTGGGCGGCGCTCTTGGAGAACACTGGGGCTGGAGGGCCACCCAATGGGCTCTTGTCATCTATGGAGGTCAGTCCAACCCTGAGTGAGTGGATGGCGCCGATACTGACCGCAGAATAATAGTCTTGGCATGGTTTCTGATCTTCTTTGCTCTGCCCGAAACTCTTCGGAAGAGGAAGGACATCGTTGAGGAAGTGGAGATTGAGACCGTCTCGGCAGGTGGCGACCTCGACCGACCTGGAATGAGCAGATCCTCGACCCGAGAAGTGGTCCAGCAAAGGTCCAAGCAGTACCTGACGGCGGCAAGAAAGATGCTACTGGACCCATTGAGTGTCATCTTGTACCTCAGATTCATGCCCGTGGCGCTGACGGTGTATTATTCCGCGGTCACATTTGGCTCGCTCTACGTACTCAACGTGAGCATCCAATACACGTTCGAAAGGGAACCATATGACTTCACAACCATCATCATCGGGCTGTTGTATCTGCCCAACTCGATGGGGTACATTCTTGCCAGCATCTTTGGCGGGCGCTGGATGGACTCGATCATGAAGCGAGAAGCCATGAAGGCCAACCGTGTCAACGAACAGGGAAAGTTGATCTTCCACCCGGAAGATCGCATGCGCGAGAATGCATGGCTAGGCGCCGCACTCTACCCGGGGGCCCTGATTTGGTACGGTTGGACCGTACAGAATGGCGTATTCTGGCTTGCACCGGTGAGTCACCCTCGAGGCATCAATGCCATACTAGTATGCAGGTACCAGAGAACTCACACATGCGGCAGATGTTTGCGAACTTTTTCTACGGAGTCGGCTCGATGCTTATTTTCGCCATGGCCACCACAATGCTGACCGAGTTCATGCCACGACGATCGTCGTCCGGGGTGGCGCTGAACAACTTCTGTCGAAATATCTTTTCATGTGTTGGCAGCATTGTTGGGGCGCCTTTGATCGCATCTATTGGCAATGGCTGGCTGTTTACCATCCTGGGCCTATGGGCATTTTCCAGTGCGACCGTCATCTGGGCCATGAAGCGATATGGGCCGCGGTGGCGAGAAAAGCTGAATCGAGAATTGTCATGATCATCATCTGGGACATGGACAGATAGAACAACAAAATAAACCGAAATGAAACGATGTTCTCAGGAAAGGATCTGCTTTGTTGTTTCCTATCGAGTCCTGCCATGCTGACCATTATGGTTCCTTTCGCTTTAGCTCTGACTGTCCCGGCTTTGGATCAATGCAGCATGAACTCTGACCACATGGGCGAAAGAGCCCTCGATCTTTGTCCTTGGCTGGAGTTTCGACATGGGGTGGAAGTGGTCGAAAGTGAGGCGACGGTACAGGGACAAGATATAGGTGACGAGGCCACAGAACAAGGGGAACTTGAGGAAAGGGGAAGCAAGCCAAGGCGGAGGGCGGCAATTCCCTCGGCTCGCTCCGGGCCTGGCAACTTCAACTTCATGTTTGTCTGCTTCTGCCTGCGCTGCGCTTCTTCTTCCCACCTCTCTCTCTCTCTCCCTCTGTCCATCCTGGGCATGCCTCAGATCCTTCTCGTGCTTCTATCTTCGACGCTACTCCAAAGCTGCCTAGCCACGTCGTCCTTCTCCCAGTCGCCGCTCCATCCTGAAGCACTGGCAGGGTTCAAGCGTGTCTTACAGGGTTGGCGAACGCCCCAACACCTGCTGATGAACTGGTTGCAGCTGGTACACGACAGTTTGTGGTTTTTGCAGACCCGAACCGGCCAGTACAGAAACAGAAACTTCCTCTCGACATGCATTGGAGACAACACCGTGCTTACAGTCCTGCAATACCTCCTGTTGCTGACCAGTGATGTCTACCTAGTAGTAGTTGGGCATCAATCCAAGCTCCGCTCCCGCCCTGGACAACGTCCAATCGCCGTCCATCTTATGCACATTTCAACCACTTGCGGTCGTTCGGTCTGCGGTGTTCCAGTCGTCGCTGAAGCTGTCTGACACTACTCGAGCCTCTGCTGGTCTCACTCTCTTTTTAGCTACACTGTCGATGCATTGCTTCTGCATTGCTCCAGCCTAAAATGTCCGTTCCTCAGATGTGCCGGAACTACTTGTCTACATTGACGTGGCCCAATTGCAAACGCTTTCCCCCCGAGAAGTGTGTGACTCTCAACAGAGTACACTTCAGGGCATCCCCTCGGACGCAGTGCGTTCCACTGGAACCGATCATGTTGCTGTCTCAAGATTCCCGTCCTGGGTTGGATACCTCTTGTAACCCGACGAGCAATTCAGCCATTCCCTTTCCCTCAAATCCCTCTGCCTGTGTTTCTCTGTCCTTCTTCCTCCTGACCCTGATGCATTGCTCCGATCGGTCTAAGTCACGTCATCTCTCTTCCGATTCCTCCACCACGTTTCTGATCTGCGCCCAAAGGTGTGACAGGAAGTACCAAGCGTTGGGCCACTCTCAAGACTGTTCTTTGCTCTTCCTGTCCACTCACAATGGGGAGACACACCAAGGGGAGGAAAAAGAAGAATAAGAATGCCGTAGCATACAACCCTCGGCTCGAGCATCCAAGACCGCTCATCGACGATGGCTCGGCAAGTACCTTTCCAGTATGCACAGCTCCCTGTCTATCAGTACAGAACTTTTGATCTGCATACTTTGACATATTCTTCACATCCTATTATACCACCAGAGCAAATCTTGTTCAGCAATCCCCATGCTGACGAACAACCGAAGAATGACCAAGATTCCCCGCCAGCTATAGATCATCCTAAGCTCCCAGACGCGGCGACCGAGAACATGGATGGTAAAACTCCACCCAAAGCATATGGGGATCTCGGATCTCTAACTGTGACTTTAGCACCCGCCGTGTCCGATGAGAAGCCGCCCGCTGGCACTCACGATGGCGAGACCGGCGATGGGGATACACCTCCAGACGCGTCGACGGGTTCAGAGGAACCCAGCACCAGCGAGGATACCGGTATGCTTGAAGTGGACCGTGCTGAGATTCGTTTCACTAATATTTCTGTAGTAGCAGCCGAACCTAGTCCGGATGTATCATCTGGAGACTCTGAAGATGCTTCAAGCAATACAACTACACCAAACACCACCGCCGATGATAGTAAACCGGAGGAGACAGCCACTGCTGCGGAGCCAGTGGAACCAGTGGAGGAAACGGCCGCCCCTCCAGACGACGATGGTGGAGGCCAAAGTACCGAAGAAACAGCAGATGCGGCAGGTGCGCATGAAGCTACACCTTCAGAACCAGAACCAGAGACGGTGGTGGAAATGGTCGAGAAGCTGCAAGAAGCAGATGCCTCCCCAGAGGAAGTGCTCGAGGTGTTAGAGAAAGCCATGTCTGATGCTGGAATCGAACCTGATACGGCTGGCCCAGCTGCCGATGCTGGGGAGGAGCCCAAACAGAACGACGGCGATGATGGCAAGGCAGGCGAAACCGAAGCAGACATAACTCCAAGCTCTGATGCCGACAATACAGGAGAGAGTGACTCCCCAGGAGAGGTCTCAGAAGCCAGCCAGGAAGTTCACTCAGGAGAAGCGGCTGATACAGTCAACGAGCCACCTGCAGATGCAGACTCAACGGGACCTGCAGAAGTAGCGGAGCCTAGCGCCGAAGCGGAATCTGATGCCACAGCTGGGAAACCCCCGCCACAGCGGTCAGAAGAGAGCACAGAAGACATCCCACCAGAGGCTTTACCAGATGAAAATGGTACAGAAGGCAATTCCGATACAGTTGAGCCTCATGATGAAAAGGAAGCTGGAGGCTCTGAGGAGCCATCTGGACCCGAGCCAGAAGCGAAGCAAGCTGAAGACAGCGCCCAGGGCTCCGAATGCAACGATGTTGCCGGAGTGGAAGGTCCGGAAGGAGAGGCAACAGGAGCCACCGAAGGACAGGCAGCAGAAGAAGATAAAGCGACAAGCGACGCCGAGAACAGCCCAGATCAGCCAGCCGAAGAGGGAGCTCCTTCTGGTGAGGATGCTCCCCCAGAAGAGCCATCCGGGGCCCCAGAAGCCGAGGAGCAAACAGACGACCAGACTGCTGAGGTCCAAGAATCTCCTGACTCGACAGAGGCGCCAGCAGATGATCCACCTGCCAATGAACCTGAGCCGGAAGGAGGAACACCCGATGAGGCTGAGCCGGCTCCTCAGGCAGACAGTCAAGAAGACCAGCCCCCAGCCGCAGACGACCCTTCCAGCGCTGACGACGCGCCAGGGGCTAACGAAGGAGACAGCCCAGACGCCGAAGCACACGAAACTCCTGCCGAGGATGCCACAACTGAAGCAGCAGAAGCCCCAGCAGCGGGCGAAGGTACAACTGCCCCAGTAGACAACACTCCTTCCACTGGCGAAGCTGTAGCAGAGGACGTAGCTGCTGCTGCTGTAGCTGCTGCTGCTGCTGCTGCTGAAGACTCGCCTGGCGAGGACAAGGAGGTGCCCGTCGCGGACCCCTCGACAGAAGACGCGCCGACCGAAGAACCCGCCACCGACGAACCAGCGGCAGAGGAGGCATCTACAGATCCGCCTGTAGCTGAAGAGCCTCCTGCTCAAGCACCACCCGCTGAAGAACCCCCTGCTAGTGATGAGGCCACCACACCTGAGGAAGCTCCGGCTGAGCCTGCCGCCGCTGAGGAGCCTCCTGCCACTACCGAAGAACCTACTACTGAAGAGCCTGCCGCTGCCGAAGAACCTGCTGCAGCTGAAGAACCGGCGGCCGAAGAACCTGCGGCTACTGAAGAACCTGCGGCTACTGAAGAACCTGCCGCCACTGAAGAACCGGCGGCCGAAGAACCTACGGCTAGTGAAGAGCCTGCCACTACAGACGAAGCTGCGGCTGAAGAGCCTGCTGCTACTGAAGAGCCTGCCGCAGCCGAAGAGGCTGTTGCTCCTGAAGAGGCTGTTGCAACTGAAGAGCCTGCCGCTAATGAAGAGCCTGCCACTACAGAGGAACCTGCGGCTGAATGGCCTGCCGCCACCGAAGAACCTGCTGCTGCTGAAGAGCCTCCAGCACCAGCTTCTGAAGTGCCGCCTGCTGCTGAGGATGGTTCTGGTGAAACCGAGCAGAAAGAGGCAGCGACTACCGCAGATGCTGAAGTTCCCGTTGAGGAAGCAGTTGCTGCTGCCGCCATCGCTGCAACGGCCGCTGCTGCGACATCTTCAGCGTCAAAATCTCGCAAGGAGAGACGGAGACATCACCGTGATGACGGATCGGAACACCATCTCAAGGACCCTTTGAACGGTCATAAAGCAAAGTTCGAAAGAAAAAAGCATGAGGGTGGGCTTTTCGATAGTGCCTTTGCACGAGAGTTTCACAAAGCGAAAGAGAAAGAACACATGCGCCACGAATCTGCAGAGTACAAGGAGAAGAAGGATGCCAGACGAGCCCAACGCGAGGCTGAGAGAGAGGAACAGAGAAGAGCGCGAGAGGAGCAAGAGGCCGCAGAAAAGGAAGAGCGAAGAAGGAGACGTCGAGAACAAAGGGACAGAGAACGACGCGCTGAACAAATTCACGCCCAAGCTGAGGCTGTAAGGGAACAGAGGCGTCAACAGGAGGCCTCTGGCGAACCAGATGTGGCGAGGAGCGGCAGCTCAAGGAGAACTAGGCGGCCTAGTCTTGCTGGCTCAAACAGCGGCAACAGTTCTTCTGGAGGCGGTATTCCGAAGCTCTTGAAGACGATCAGCTCGGGCGAGAGCGACACCAAACTTCTTCTTTTCATGCGACCGAACGATCCTGATCCACCCAGTCGAAGCCATGACCGAGAGCATCGCGAACGCAGACATCAACGGGACCGGCAGCACGTTGAGAGTCGGGTACAAGATGAGGCAGAGGAAAGCAGCTCCCACAGGCACAATTCGAATGAACGGCCAAGATTAATACGGCAATCGACGTCGAGAAGCTATCATCCCGACCATCGCCCTTCCAAGCCGGGGATTTGGGAGAAGACATTTAACACCATCGCAGAGCACACAAGCCTTCGGGGCTTCTCATGAACTGAGCGAATTGGAGCGTAAAGTATGTACACCATCAAACTATTGGTTGGATCGAGAACTGTGACAGTATACAAGGATGGGGCAAGGTGTTCAGAGTCCTTGAGCAGGCAAGGCATATGGTTGGACAGGACACCATACTTGTTGTGAAGCGGGATCTCATGATCTGTTGCCATCGAGTTGACCAAGGGCCCTTTTCATTACCTGTTGTGTTCTCCAAGTCTTTCTGATGTATAACGTGTTACAACCAACGATGTACAAGATTAGCAGGTTGGGAACAGGAGATACCATGGATACCAATATCTACGAGTGCCTACAAGTGCCGATAGGCACTGCACCTTATAAGGAAGGTGCCTATCGCGAGAGTGCCTATCAGAAGGGCGCCTATCAAGACAGCTCGGTCAAAAATCCTCTCAAGTAGACTCTCTCCCTGCTGGTGATGGTGATGATGAGCTACCAACTCGGATCCAGGTGCCGCTCGTTATCAAGAAAACTGCCTGAGCCCCCTGACACCGGAGAAGTCCTCCGTTTCCCTGCAGGAATGTGCGCATCCGACCTGCCCAAACAGCACAAGCCTGAACAGGGAGGGGCGTTGATTCGATTGTGCCCGTCGTTCTCACCGAGGGGACAAGGGATAGGGACATACCTTTCTACTCCACGATGACGGGCCGGAGGAGGGACTCTGGACTGTGGATTGTGGGCGGTGGATGTGGACATTTGTTGTTGGACCCCTCAGTTTGTCATTTCTCTATCTCAAAGGTCAAAGGTGACCTGGCAGAACGAATAACCCTCGAAAGCGGTGCCAATGCCTTCTATCAACGCATGACTTAGTTCAGAGGCTCAAGTATTTTGCTTCTGTTACATCTGCTCTTCTGTCTATTCATTCTCATAACAAGTAGACGGGGACCCTGCCAGCATCTTTTCCCTCATTACCCCTCCTGTCCATCCGATATCGCGAAGCCATACTGCCCGCAAAGATGGGGTCGACGGCCAAACACCTGAAGGCGCAAGCCGTATTTCCCATTGCCGATCCTCCGTTTATGCAGTTTGCCAGCAGGAGGAGTGTGGTCCACAGCACCAAGGGAATGGTGGCCTGCACGCAACCTCTGGCTGCGGAGGCGGGCCAGAGGATCTTGAAGCAGGGAGGGAATGCAGCAGTATGTACGACAGTCTCCTTGTACCGATGGAATGAGCTGACAAGATCGCCAGGATGCTGCGGTAGCCGTCGGTATGTTACCAACTGCGCGTGTCCCATGCCCATCTTCTGATCTGTCGCCATAGCCGCCGCCCTGAATATGACCGAGCCATCCTCGACGGGAATTGGAGGAGACATGTTCTGTTTATATTTTGATGCCAACACCAAAAAAGTGCATGCCTTGAATGGCTCAGGGAGAAGTCCAAAGAATACCACAGTCGAGCAGATCAGAGGAGAACTTGGGCTGTCCGGTTCCAAACGAGGCAAAATACCCACCCACAGTGCGCTCGCTGTCACCGTACCAGGTGCTCCGGCTGGCTGGGTAGATGTGGTGGAGAAATATGGTAGTGGCAAGTTGAGCCTCGAACAGATCTTGACCCCCGCCATTGAACTCGGGGAGGAAGGCTTCCCCGTCAGCGAGCTCTCGGCAAAGTTTGTGAGTGCCACGCGAATTACTGCCTGAATGAGCATGATCGATACTAACACTCACCGCAGTGGCAAGTTGGTGAAGAGTCCTTGAAGCGGGCCTCACCAAACTTCCGGGAGATGCTAAAGCGGGACAAGAATGCATCGCAGTTTGTGCGTGCCCCCCGTGCTGGCGAGATCCTTCGCAACCCGGCCTTAGCAAAGACATTCAGGACCCTGGCCGCAGAAGGCAAGAAAGGATTCTACACCGGCCGAATCGCCCAAGCGATTGTGGATGTCCTGAAGTTAACAGGTGGACACATGGAGCTCTCTGACCTGGAAGACCATATGAATCGAGGCCCACATGAGACCGAACCGATCTCATTGAAGTTCTGTGGCCAGAACATCAGCAACGCGGCACCACAAAGGGTGGCCAATGGTGCGTCGGACCAACACTTCGTCGAGCTATGGGAACATCCACCCAACGGGCAAGGCATTGTCGCGCTGATGGCTCTGGGAATCCTCGAAGAGCTCGAACGGACGAGAAAGATCCCCACGTTCGCCCTGGAAGATCACAACAGCGCGCCGTACTTGCATGCAGTGATTGAGGCTCTACGCATTGCTTTCTCTGATGCGAGTTGGTGGGTGACGGACCCGGACCACAGCCCGGTCAAACCGGACGAGCTCATTTCCCGAGCGTACCTGGCCGAGCGGGCCAAGCTGTTCGACAAAGATCAGGCCAAAAACCATGCCAAAGGGCAGCCTGGACCAAGTCCGGCCCAGAACCACAGCGACACAGTGTACTTTGCCGTCACTGACAAGGATGGCAACGGCATGAGTTTCATCAACTCCAACTATGAAGGATTTGGGTCCTGCATTATTCCACAAGGCTGTGGGTTCACCCTGCAGAACCGTGGCTCAAACTTCGAATTGGGCCCCGAGGACCATCCCAATATCTACCGAGGCGGGAAGAGACCTTACCATACCATCATTCCGGGGATGATTACCTGCGGTGAGGAGTCGGAACGCGTTCTACACTCGGTCTACGGGGTCATGGGCGGTTTCATGCAGCCGCAAGGGCATGTACAGGTTCTGCTCAACATGGAGGTGTTTGGGATGAATCCTCAGCAGGCGCTGGATGCTCCGCGAATATGCATTGGCGCCGGCATGCCCGAGGAGGGGGATACGCAGATGGGCACGGTGTTTATCGAAGAAGGAATCGACGAAACCGTGGTCAAGGTGTTGAAGCAGATGGGCCATGATGTACAGGTCATGAAGGGTTGGGAGAGAGGCCGATTCGGGCGAGGCCAGATAATCAGGAGACATGTGGATGAGGAGACTGGACAGGCGGTGTTCAGTGGAGGAACCGACCTGAGAGGCGATGGGTGTGCTATGCCTGCATAGAAAGGGCGAGAGAAAGCTGGGAACAACTTGAAGAATAGTGGTCACACAGCGCATGGTTGGAGCAATAGAGCCTCGCATATAAGCATGTACATGGTCGACAAGGCTGTGGGTATCGGAGGTGTATATGAGGCGTGTGTATCAAGTCAGCCACAAGACGGACGCAGCCGCAACCACAGCCACTGGATCTTGCAGATAGTCTCAGCAATTGGGAGGGATCTCTTTCTTCTCTTCTTCATTCTTGCAAGATTAAACTCGCTTCAACCACAGCGACATACCTTTCATGGACATTGGCCAGATCGAAAGGAAGGGATGCAGAAGAGCTGACTGAACCACTGCATTACACCAGTATGACACCAAGCACGGCTGCGACAACGCTCTTCCGCCTCGATATACCATACCCTGCGGCTCCTTTCACGCGGCTCGCGGCAAGATATCGATCGCGCTCTCCACAGTTACACTGTTATCTGGCGAGTTGGCTCCTAGGCTCCCAATCCATGTGCCTGATTGACCTGCCCTAAGCGGCCAAGTGGCCAACCAAGAGACAGCCGAAGAAAGAGACGGTCTTCTGCCTCACACTTCTCAAAACAAGCTTCGTGAAGCTCTGATCGAGGTTGCATTGGGTTGCCGCTATCTCTATGGAGTGGGTATTGCCTCTCATCCAACGGACCGGTTTATGACCAAGCCTTCCCGAGCTCGATACAGGTACAGGTCACTGGCGGCAAAGCTCCCTGCTCTGCGTACAGCGCATCAGGTCGTCTCTGCTCTCCCGATATCTGTGGAACAAAGTGCGAGGAGCTGAACACGGTCGGAACACCAGCGTTGTCATATATCAGGACATATGTGGCACCATTGTCTTTCCAACGGGCAGCAGTAACCGAGTTTCTTGTCTCACCACGCACGATAGAATGGAAGAGACAGACGAAGAACCGGCGCTATAGGCCCGCTTGCTGGGTGGGTTATGTTACAACGTCCATGCAGCGTTCTTTATCAATGTTCTCACCAGGTACACCACTTCTCGATTTGCACAAATCAACAGCTGGTTGTTGACTCCATCTGGAAGGCGAAGCTTCCCCAGACTTTCCTTATCTTCTGCTGCTTCCATGCTCGTGGACGTCATCGGCCTGCTTGCGTCCTGATGGTCCATGGACCTGCATGGCGGTGATCCGACAACGTCGCATTCGCAGCTTGCTCCAGCTCTCGTGGCAGTCATATCCACGCGTGTTCGGCTCTGGCCTGCGTCTACTGTCGACTCGATTTTCTTATCGTTCAATCGGCTCTTTTTGTTACCCTACACCATCCCACGATGTGGAGTATTGCTCGTCATGGATCATCAGGTAAGGTTGCGCGGTTCCTGGCTACGAGGAAGGAGCTCTCCCATTTATTTCCCTCTTTAGCCGTTGCTCCCCTCATGGCCTGTTGTGCTCTTGCGACTTTTCTCTTAGGTGTGCGGAATTACGGGTTGCATTACGAACATGAAGGTTTCAATCGTTGCTTTGGCCTCGGGCCTCATTTCACTCGCTGCTGCTGGCAGAAGTCCTCAGCATGTTGGCAAAAAGCTTCCCGAGGTGAAGAGGGACATTGCGGCTCGAGCACCTCCTGTCTTTACGCAGCCCGAGAAGAGAGCCACCTCTTCTTTCCTGACGAACGCGACAAGCAGTAAGTGAGGGAGGCCGCAAAGCCTGACGGTCTGGAACTGATGGATCCCAGAATACGTGGTCAACGGCAGTGCCATTCCTGACGTCGACTTTGACATTGGCGAATCCTATGCCGGGCTCATGCCCATCTCGGACGCCCCGAATGCGTCGGAGTTGTACTTCTGGTTCTTCCCATCTTCGAACCCAGCTGCTAGCAATGAAATCGTCATCTGGCTCAACGGAGGTCCCGGGTGCAGTTCTTTGGAAGGGTTTCTCCAAGGTATGTTCGCGGCGGTTACCTAGACGGATTGAAGGCCTTTGTTGACTCGGTGACTCCAGAAAACGGCCCCTTTTTGTGGCAGTACGGTACATACAAACCCGTTCCCAACCAGTGGTCCTGGACCAATCTGACCAACATGGTCTGGGTGGAACGTGAGTATCCATACTCCATCACTCTCTGTACCTCCAGCGCAAACTGATCGATGAATGTCTAGAGCCCGTCGGAACCGGCTTCAGCCAAGGCACCCCTACAGCCACCTCGGAGGCGGACGTGGCTGCTCAGTTCCTCGGCTTCTTCAAGAACTTTGTGGACACGTTCGCCATGCAAGGCTACACGGTCTACATCGCCGGCGAGTCGTACGCGGGCTACTATGTCCCCTACATTGCCGACGCCATGTTCAACGCCAACGACACGGAATACTATAACATCAGCTCGATCCTGATCTACGACCCGAGTCTGAGCTATGATGTGGTGCAAGAATATATCCCCGTCACGGCGTTTGTGGATTTCTGGGGACCCCTGCTCGACCTGAACGCCAGCTTTGTGGAAAGCCTGCATAACATGTCCGATGCCTGTGGATACACTGCCTTCATGGACGAATATCTGACCTTTCCTCCCAAGGGGCCGCTCCCCACTCCTCCGAATGTCGACCTCAACGACTCCACATGCCTCACTTTTGACGCGGTTGCCGATGCCGCCGCTTTAATCAACCCTTGCTGGGACATCTATCAAGTCGCTACGACATGTCCACTTCTCAACGACGTGCTAGGCTTTCCTGGATCGTTTGAATACATTGCAGAGGGCGAAAAAATCTATTTCAATCGGTCGGACGTGCAGAGAGCGATAAATGCGCCAGTGCAGGAGTGGGAGGAATGCACTAGTACGGATGTATTTGTGAATGGGACCGACAATTCACTGCCATCCACCCTCAGCGTGCTCCCCGGCGTCATTGAGCGGGCTGACCGGGTCATCATCGGCCACGGCCTGCTCGACATGATTCTGATCTGGAACGGCACGCTACTGGCGACCCAGAACATGACCTTCAACGGCGCACAAGGCTTCTCGGTGCCGCCTTCGGAATGGGACGATTTCTATGTCCCGTATCACACCGAATACCCGAATCAGTATGGGACTCTTGCCGGTGCCGGCGTCATGGGTCAGTATCACACGGAGAGAGGCTTGACGCTGGTCACAGTCGATCTGTCGGGCCATATGATTCCTCAGTATGCGCCGTCGGCGTCGTATCGGCAGCTTGAGTTCTTGTTGGGCCGGATACCGAGTTTGGGAACCGTCGGCCCCTTTACAACCATGCCGTATGACAGCTATTAATGAAGAAGGGTGTGGCGATTGGGTGTGGTGGTCGAGCTCCTAGGAGGACAGACCGATCACGGGGTCCGTATTTAATGTTTATATGAAGATAGTAAGCAGTAGCACGAAAATGAGTCGTGTTGTTGATCGCTCGTGGTCTGCCACTAGAACTGTCTATACAATTTACGGATTGTCCACGGTACCTACCAGTGGATCTCGGTGCATTCATGAGCGTTGACCCGGTGGAAGATCCTTACGGCGATATTTGCGGTGATATTTGCGGTGATATTTTTAGATAAGGTCTGAACAAGGTAGAGATATCAAGCAAGGGTAATGAATGGTACTGCATGTTCTACAAAAATCGAGGACAATGGTCGTCATCGGAGAATATCTAATCTTGAATCATCTAATCGTATCTTATCTTATCTGTATTGCGGGGAACATCCTCTTTCGACGATATTGTTTCAAAGAGCTACCGCGTTCGGATCGAGTGTTCGGTGTTCTATTCAGTTCCGCTCAGCGTTGGGTTCAATTGGTTCACTACCACTGACACTGCTCGCTTCTAACAAACATGTCTCTGCCGGTCTCGACAAAGTTCGCATTGTCCAATACGTGGCAGACATGAACCCTGGCCCGCTACGGAAAATGTCCCACCATCGATGGATTCTCCGAGGTTGAATCGTACGGGACTGTGCGACCCCACATACCAATACTATCTGGTCGAAATCGTGGGGCACTTTCTGTTGTATGCGAACAACTTATGGCGTAGGAGTTCGCCGGGTTTGGTGGCAGGCAGAGAGTAACACACCTTACAATGGTCAAGAGGAATCGCTGTCTCGGTCTTCTCGTCCCGCGCGCTGACTAGGTTGCTGATGCCCGATCAGCTTGACGGAATGATGCCCGCTGCTGATGACTGATTGAGCCGATGGTGGAACGGACAGGAGAGACAGACTCGGTTCCGAGAAAAGATGCCAACACCACAAGAGACATGTCGTCCACTGCATGTGGACGGTCAAACGCGGGAATAGAGAAAAGACCGTGCGGAGCATCTCTTACCACAGATTCCACAGCCAGACATCTTGTTTGTACGATGATCGTTACCTACATACACACACCCACCAAAAATGACCAGGATCCTGTCGGGCCACAATGTGTACTACCTATGGGCCTTGAAATCATGTGCACGTGGTCCCATCGGCAGGACAGGCGACTCTGACATTCAACTTTCAAGTCATTGATGATCTAGCAAATCCATCGATTGCCATCGTGATCTGCCACACTTCTGCAACCTTTGCACCGGCCACTGCTCGCTGTTGCTCCCTCTTCATGGCTGCTTTACGCTGACCCTGGACACGGAAGTGACAAGTCGATGAACAACTCCCCGCCGCCTGCACGAGGGACTTATTTCCGACTGCTCGAAGTCAACCCCGGGTCCCCGACAATCTTTCACCTGGCCCACCATCCGATTCCCAAATTGTGGGGTAGCTGGTCTCCAGACCAGACCGGATCGATTGACGTGGTCAACATATGTGACGGTAGTTATGTACCGGCTCTACCTGAGCTGATCGTCCTGGCCGTGGCCCATTTTGATTTTGTTGGCGACCATCGTATCCCCGTCTTCTGCACAACAACAACAAACTTCGCTGGCCCGTTGAAGACCGGAGAGCTTGCTGCTTAACGATTCTGTTACAGGGCACTTCTCAGATCTGACGACTGATCGTCCCTGGCTTACAGTCGGACACACAAACCTGAATCTTCCGGAAGACCGGAGCAACTTGTAACCTGCACGACACCAACATTGCAATACCTTTTATCTTTACGTTCACATACACATCCCACAACGAAGAGAACTCCTGTCTTGACAATCACACAATAAGTCGCTCTGATCGCCGCGAAGAAAGATCAAACCCTCGGCCTTCAAGCAACTGTATCTATATACTATAAACACCCCCACGACTGCAACACATCTCCCATTTGTTGGCGTCGACACCATGAATTCGCTAGCCGACCTCAAGCATAACCTCACAGAGGAGAAGATTCGACATGAACACCTTGAAAATGTACGTGTCTACTAATCAACCACTCAGTCAGCAATGCTCAGCATTTACGCACTGACTAGCGAAAAAGACCGTCCATTCTAACGTGTCACCTCTGCTTAGCCGTCCAATGGTACCTTCACGCGAGAACCATCGCCTAATCGCGGTGCCTCGGTGCGGGATGTCGATGCGATCGGGCCAGACTGTGAGCCGAAACGAGAATGGCAGGAGAAACGTGGCATCGACTCTGCGAAACAGGTCAAAATCACCAAACTCAGTCATATGCGTTACCAGCACCCGGATTTGATCAAGATCACGGTTTTTCTGAGAGGTGAGCTACATCTACTAGACTAAGACCATTACCACTCAATATTCCTCTACACCTCTCTAACCCTGTGATCTGTCACAGACTTCGGTATGCACGTTGTAAAGAAAACCGAAAATGAGCGATGGTATCGCGGCTATGGCTCCGATCAGTATGTATACTACGCACGACAAGGACCGAAGAAATATCTCGGAGGTACATTCGAAGTCGAATCGCGCGAGGACCTCGAGAAAGTCTTGAAGCTGCCCCGCGCCAAGGTGCTGAGTGATGGGATCGAAGAAATGAGAGATGCTCCTGGTGGAGGATATATCGTCACCGTTGCAGACCCGGAAGGTTTCCCCGTCAATTTCATCTCCGGCCAGGCCGAGGTCAAGGAAGAGCGAAAGAAACCGACCAAACTGGTTCTCAACGACGAGAGCGACAAGCCCAGGCAGAAAAGGTTCCAACGCTTTGCACCTGGGCCAGCGGAGGTCCATAAAGTGAGTTACTGTTCGTCTTGATGCTTCATTTTGGCCATTGATCAATGATCATCCAAGGATTTGGGGAGTATATACAAACACTTGTGCTTGTGCTTGTGCTTGCTGCATACCAGGATTTATTCCTGCAGATTGACCGCACCTGTGATTTTCTCGTATACACTTTTGGAACCAAACACAAACTAACCTTCTTTTTCTTTTTGCTAGTTGGGACACTTCGGCTTGAACGTGGAAAACTTCCCGGCCCAGATGGACTGGTACACGCGCCATTTCAACATCATCCCCAGCGACATCCTGTACGTCGCTTCCGAGAAGATCGACCCAGCCACAAACCGGCCCGCACGCAAGGAAGTCGCGCTATTCGCCTGCATCGACCGCGGCCAGGACTTGGTCGACCACCACACCATGTTCCTGACCACACTTAGCCCGGGGGTCGAGAAGCATGTCCACCACTGCTCGTTCGAAGTGCATGACTTTGACACGCAGGCTCTGGGACACCAGTGGCTCGCGGAGAAGGGGTACGAGTCGGTCTGGGGCGTGGGCAGGCATATTCTGGGCTCTCAGATCTTTGATTATTGGTGGGATATCAACGGATTCATGGTCGAACATTATGCGGATGGCGATCTGGTTAATGAGGATACTCCGTTGGGGTATGGGCCTGCTGGGCACGAGGGCCTGGCTGTCTGGGGGCCGGAGGTGCCGAAGGAGTTTTTGGAGTGAGCGGTTTGGGCATAGTTTGTTGGAAACAGGAGGGAGGCGATGTCGAGTCATGAATGGAGTGGAAAGGATGTTCCCTGAGGAGAGTACTGATGTGTCGAGACACGTGTTGAAGATGGGCAAGGACAGAGGAAGAGAAGACAATGTAAGAGGAGGTGAAGTTGATCGACCAAGAGCAGGAGGGCAGCAGGAAAAGCTGTGATCGAACAGGACAACAGGAAGGAGACGAAGGTATCGACATGAGGGATGTCTTTCTCTTTTCCTTGTGTGTGTAGGCCTGTCTCGTTTTCAGAGGAGCAGAGCAAACGAACAGAGCTAGGCTTGAGGAGTCGCTGCGATGCAGATTTGTACTTGCTCTGTAGAGCCTGCGATGCCCGGTGCTTGTTAATGTGTCATGGATTTCACTTATGAGCCAAGGTGTTTCTGACGGATCGGACATTGATAGTAGTTGTGTATGAACATACGCACGACAGATGTTCTGTTATGCTGGTTGCCGCCCAACACCTCACGTAGATATCTATACGCACCATACACTATATAACGACCCAAGAGGTTGGTATATCAAGGTCCTACATCGAGAGACGAAGTGCGTGGCCGCTACAGACTCTCAACGTCAACATCTTCATCTTCTTCAACTCTCCCCCTTCTTAGGATACGCGCGTGAGTGGGCCTTTGAGGACACCAGCAGGATCTCTGGTCTCGTTATCACCCCACGATCCTTCCCATCCATGCTCAGCAAGATAGATCTTCCACTTGTCATCCTCGTCGTCCAGATGTTTGTTGGCATCCTGCACGAGGAAGAATGCTAGGAAAGCGCCGAGCAGGGCGAAGCAGGATCCAATCAAGAAGGCTATTTGGTTACCTTTATCTGGGTCGTCGGTGTATGCGTTAAGAATGGCGGTGAAGACCTATTTACCATATTCGTCAGTCACTTGTTGAAGACCTTGAGTTCTTCTTCTGAGAAAGATGACTGTCAAAAACTCAAATTTCTTTGGGACAGATCGTACCTGCGTGCCGATGGCAGCTCCGGCCTTGGACCAAGCAGCAATGAAACCGGTAGTGTGGCCTCTGACCGAGGTAGGGAAGGGCTCCGATGAGACGATGGCGACGGTACTAAATGAAAGCAGGTCAGTAAGGTCCCCGAACGCGTGTGACTTGATGGGGGATATTGGTAATATCATAGTCAAAGTCATGATGGCAGACTCACCTTCCTGGACCGACCTCTCCCAAGGTCAAAAAGACACCATACAGGACGATGAACAGCGGGAAGACTTTCTGGATCTGCTTGTTTGCACCACCCAAGACGAAACCGAGGACGGCCTGAAGAGCAAAGCCCAAGGCCATGGTCTTCCTCCGTCCAATTCTGTCAGACAGAAGTCCTCCGATGAAAGCGCCTGGGATGTAGAAGGCGTTGATGACCACGCCCCAGCCTAAAGTCTTGACCAGCGAACTGGACGGGTTGACTCTGGAGACGATGGTGGAGCTGAAAATGCCAAAGGGAATGCTGATATAGTTGTATAGAAACCAGGTCGACGCGCCACCAAGCAAACGGCGCCAGTACCGCTTGCCGATCAAATGGTATGGGATCCTCTGTTTCCGCAGACTCGACTTGCGGTAGGCGGTCGACACGGCCATTCGGATGCGGAACCAGAAGATTGACACGGGCGGGATCATGCCCAGAGCAAAGGACAGTCTCCATACCACTTCATACTTGCTTTCCTTCTGGTTGACGCAGAGAAGGAGGAGGAGCGGCACCAGCGCGCCGAAGCAGTAGCCCAGCGAGGCCGAGAGGTCTCCGACAAGCGCGAACATGAAGCCTCGCTGTTTGCGGTATTGGGCTCCTTCGTCGGATGCTTCTAGTGCACCAGCGCCTGTAGACGACAATGTCAGCGACCACGTTTCGCTACCAATGCAAAAGGCCAGAGGAGTTGAAGCGAGCGTTGAACGGTGGGCGCTTCGACTTACAAGAAACAGGATACTCTCCTCCTGCACCAACTCCGGCAACTCCTCGAGCTACGACAAGCATCCACATCATCCCATTGTCAGAGGCGCCATTGGCCGCCGTACTCAATACAATACCCAGCACGAGCAGGGTCGTCGTCAGCACCGCTCCTGTCTTCCGGCCAAGTTGGTCGGCCACAAAGCCAAATCCCAGCATTCCGATGATCATGCCGACCAAGAATGCGTTGGATAGCCGAGAATACATGGCATCAGTCAATGCTTCGGGATATAGCACTGCGAACAGCAACTCGACATTGCCAATGACTGAAGCGTTACTGCAGAATCCAGATGACCTGGTCAGTATAAATCCTGAAAAAGGGGGGTAGACAAGGCTGAGGTCCAAGAGGGGCTTCAACCCAAACAAAGAGAAAACCAAGCCCCGGCCGGACCACAAGGAGACTCACTATCCATCAGACCCAAGTGCTAGACCGGCAAACAGCATCATCAGATAGACCGAGACCTTGCTGTAATATTTCTCCTCGACTCGGTGCACTTCCCCGGTCTCCATCTCTCCACTCATATCCTCACGACTGGAAGCCTTCATGACCGACTTGGTGCCATTGTTGTCTGCATCCTCAGCCATGGATTTGTCCTTGGTCATAGTCTCGACACGCTCGACGACCGACATGATGGCTGTTCTTGTTGTTTTTTGTTGTTTTCAATGATCACAGATGGAGAACTTCTCCCTCTGTATGAAGTGAAAACCGCAGGTTGACAAGAGAAGAGAAGAAAAGAGAAGATTTGCACAAGCCTGGAGGATCTCTGCCAGCCTTACATACTATCTGCGAAATAGAGAGAGGGAATTCAAACGATACTGTATCGTCCGACATCTCACAGGTTGATAACACAGAGTCACAAATCGGCCGGTAGAGACGGATTCAATCGAAGCATTCAGTGGACGGCGCCGTTTCCGATCACATGAAAACTTCCCGGGTGCTGGATCTTGCCGACGAGGAGATAAGGCTACTGGTGTCTACTAAACTCTATAGAACACAGATGGATCTTCTGGGGGCTTGGTAGACTCAGATCTCCGTCGACGAAAGGGATTTTGTTGGTCAATTGCTCTATCTTCTCACACCGAGACGATAACCACCGGACAGGGGTCCCGTCTCCACCCCCACTGGATATTATATAGGACCTATCACAACTCACCCGGCACGAGGCTCCTTCGGTGCCGCTTCCGTGTTGGTCTCCCAGCGTTTTCGGTCTCTTGAGAAAAAGAGGCCAAAGTCATTGAAGTCGCTTGAAGCCATCTCGAACAGCTTGGGAACTGGCAAAGCACAGTTGAGAGAGTTATCTCGACGACCTAGACTATCTCTCAAGTGGCGGTGGCAACGGTTTGATTCGGTTCGAATCGGTCCCTTTTCTTGCAGACCGTGAGCCAGACCAGGAAATTGTTATCAACACTACTACTTACCGATACAAAGTACATGATACTGGTAACTGGCTGGGCAAGAAGCGACCACCATACTTGCTTGTTACTTGTGATCTGGGACCATGCCACACGACCCAGTACCAATCCGGGTGGATGAACATGTCCAGATTCTTCTTTTCGACGGAATAGTGCTCTCATGTCAGATCTGGCGACCGGAGAAGTCGTCGTCTGCTGATCCCGTGCCGGCCATTCTCGAGTATCTCCCTTATCGCAAACGGGACTACACGGCCCCGCGAGATGCTTCGAATCATCCCTACTTCGCTTCGCAAGGGTATGCGTGTGTGCGCGTGGACATGCGAGGCTCGGGCGACTCCGAAGGCCTCCTGCGCGGAGAATACCTCAAGCAAGAACAGGACGACGCTCTGGAGATCCTGAGATGGATCGCCGCCCAGGACTGGTGTACAGGGTCGATCGGGATGATTGGAATCTCTTGGGGCGGGTTCAATGGTCTGCAGGTCGCTGCTCGTCGCCCTCCGGAGCTCAAAGCAGTTATATCCATGTGCTCGACCGACGAACGCTACGGCGATGACATCCATTATCAAGGCGGGTGTCTGCTGGTGGACAATTTCCTGTGGGGCGCCACCATGTTCAGCATGAATCCTCTGCCTCCTGATCCGGCGCTGGTGGGTGATAAATGGCGAGAGATGTGGTTGTCCAGGCTAGAGGCCGGAGGGCTGTTCATGGTCGATTGGCATGAGCATCAACGTCGCGATGACTTTTGGAAACACGCTTCTATCTGTGAGGACTATTCGTCCATCCAATGTCCCGTGTATTTGGTGGGCGGGTGGATGGATCCTTATTCCAACACCATCTTCCGCATGCTTCAGAACCTCACTTGTCCCAAGAAGGGCCTCGTCGGGCCCTGGGCGCATAAATACCCCAACTTTGCTAAGCCCGGTCCGCAGATCGGGTTTCTGCAAGAATCCGTCAGATGGTGGGATACGTGGTTGAAGGGCGTCGACACGGGGATCATGGATGAGCCGCCTCTTCGCTGTTATCTGCAGGACACAGCACCCCCTCAGACCCATTATGACTTCCGTCCTGGTCACTGGGTCGCGGAGAGCAGTTGGCCCAGTCAAGGTGTCACGCCGCGTCCCATGGGTCTGGCACCAGGTCGGCTTACCGACGACATCTCGTCCAGCGATGAGCACCTGTCCATCTGCTCTCCTCAGACCGTAGGTCTCGCGTCAGGCAGATGGTGTGTTTTTGGCATGGATGCAGACGAGCCAGGCGACCAGCGCCAGGAAGCCGGCGGGTCGCTGGTCTTCGACAGCAAAGCGCTGACTGAGCCCCTGGACCTTCTTGGTCCGGTAGTCCTCCATGTCCGCGTTGCAAGCGACAAGCTCAACGCCGTGCTGGTAGCCGTTCTGTCTGAAGTGTTGCCAGACGGCTCGGCGACGCGGATTTCATGGGGCCTCCTCAACCTCACGCACCGCAACAGTCATCTCGACATCGAACCGCTCGAGCCTGGCAAGTTCTACGACGTCACTGTCAGACTGAACGAGCTGGGCCAGCGCATCGGCGTCGGAAGCCGGATACGTCTGGCTTTGTCTACGACCTATTGGCCCATGATCTGGCCATCGCCAGAACCCACCACTCTGACGGTCGACTGCGCACGTTCCACACTGGATCTGCCCACACGACGTGAGAGCCCGCTTGACGCTGAACTGAAACCTTTCCTGCCTCCCGTGAACGGGGAGCCGTTGAAGACCCGCGTTTTCCGGCCAGCGACGTCCAGCAATAAGATCATCCAGGACCTGAATTCCGGCGAAGTCACCGTCCACCTGGAGGAAGACGCCGGGCTGTGGGAGAGCGAGACCAGTGGCTGGCGGTACGGAAGTGACCAGACCATCATCTGCACCGTTCATCCCAATGATCCCCTTACCGCACGTGCCGAACAAATCTTCAAAAAGGAGTTCGGCCGCGAAGGCCTGGATCTGGTCGTCTCGGGCTGGGCGAAGATGTCGGCGACCAAGACGGACTTCAAACTGAGTGCCCATCTTGAAGCGTGGGAGCAGAAAGACAAGATCTTTGATCGAGATTATGATTTCTCCATCCCTCGAGATGGTGTCTAGATGTATAGATGCCTTTCAGAAAAGCTGGAAAAGGTTTCTCTATCTGTATGATCCATCCTGGCTGGTCATTGTAGTCGCTGCCAACGGCCAGTGAGTTCCATAGATGGATGGAGTGAAAGGACTAAAATGCTATATCTCGTATGCCACCAACCTCGAATGTGAAAATGTGGAACCAATGCAAGATCCAAAAATAACGATAAGTAGAATGATTGGACTCCGACCAACCTTGAGGGCGCTGCCCTTGCACGCAATTCTGCCTCTATTTCTTCCGCCCTTGTGGAAATATCCCTCATATGGCAGGGGGTGCGTGATAAGCAAAGCTTAGGTCAACGTAGGTTCTCGTTCAAGCACTGTCCGATGTCACCGTTGTTATCTACTATTGTCAGCTCTCTCGTTGAAGTCCACTGCCAAGCGTGAGAGACAGCAGTCTAGGATCTTCCATCTTCCATCTTCCTATCTATCTGACGCAGCTTTCCGGTTCCATCTTTCAGGGGGGTTGTAGTCATGTGATCGGGTGGGACCCGGCCCGTCCGTCCGTCTGTGCATGGCCCTTGGGACCCAGGATGGACAAGATGCCTCAAAACGGTAGAGAAATGGCATCCACACAGTAGGGCGTAGATAGGAGCTACGGATGCCTATCAGCTGGGCAGCTAGACCCATTGTCACGGAGAAAGCACGGGGATCTAAGCGTCTAAGTATCTTATTTATGCTGCACACAGATAGAATCTACTTCGATCTGGGCCGGATATGGCCATGAAACGCGAAGATGACGGTAGTGGCAAATCCGAGTAGAGTTGTCTCACGGAGAGTCATGGATTTTCACTCGATAATGATGATAAAGTTGCGTTGTTCGATAGCAGACCAGGGAGGGACCAGAGGGCATCCCCTCGCGGCACGGCTTTGACTGAGGAACACAAATATACGTAGCAAGGCTTCTATGCCATGATCTGGGCCATGATGCCAGTAGCTAGCTACAGACAGCGTTTTCATTTGTGCAGGCATAGTCATCTAGAGAACAAAGGTCCAATCTAAAGATTCAGCTGGTGGTCTCGACTGTGGGATTGTGGTCGTGTGGATACGCCGTTTCCGGATACGGACCTGGTTGTTGTGACGTCCACAGACACCAGACATTCTCGTGGATCCGGCTCATGCTCATGACTTTCTGACAGGGGCGGGTCTTGATTCAGATCTGGCAAGTTGCCCCCCTATGGGGGAAAAGTAGGCAGAAATCGGATTCGGGGTGATCAGAAAAGAAACATACCCTTGAATCCATATACAACCCATGTGTCTGATATGATATCTGAATATCGTCTGTTAACCTGCCTCTGTCTACAACAACTGGCACCAATTGACCTGACCTGATCTGATCTGACTGAACCTGCGGCAGCATCGACAGTCGACACCTGATTGTTTCCAGCCATGGCTACCACCACCACCACCATGACAATGACGGCCCCCACGCCCGCTGCTCCCATGCCGGTAGCGCCCTTGCAATCCAGAGTCACTCGTCCAGACAAGCCACTCCCAGCTTATCTCTCAGAACAGGCTGCAAAGACAGTGAGGACTCCTTTCGACCCAGCCAAACACCTGGATTTCATTCCTCCCCAGAAGGTGGTCACCATGAAAGATATCGGGCTGGAGGGTCATGGGATCTCGCCTTTAGCAGTGTCGGAGCCTTTTCGTCTTTTCACCAACGAAGCCATCGAGCAATTCCGAGCAGAGATCTTCAGCAAGCCCGTGCTGGACAATTATCAATGTTCGTCGAGTTTTGCTTCGAATATGATCCGTTCATATGCAGCTGAGTATGTGTTACCGTTGACGGCCCCATCTCATCTTTTATCATACATATTTCGCAGCAACAAGAAGCAAAAAGAACTCAAAAGCTAACCAATCCCGTGTACAGATATGGTCCATTCGCGTATAGTGTGTGGCACCACCCGAAAGTGCTTGAGATCGTGTCCAAGGTCGCTGGCGTCGACCTCACCGTCGCGATGGACATTGATGTCGCGCATATCAATGTGGCTGTGAATGATGAGGAGGTTTCCGCGTCGGCAGCTGAACAACAGCAAAAAGCGGCCGAAGTAGCAGGAAATGAAAGGCCGGTATTTAAATGGCACTATGACAGCTACCCTTTCGTCATCGTCACCATGTTGTCCGACTGCACAGACATGAAAGGAGGAGAAACGGCACTGCGGACTGCTTCAGGCGAGGTAATGAAAGTGCGAGGTCCATCAATGGTTAGTGAAACAAACTCTAGCCCCCTACCTAATTATCCTGTCGGCAGTCGAGGATCTTTCTCTAACATGATTTCTTTTCTTTCTCGGTTCTAGGGCACTGCAGTTGTCATGCAAGGACGTTATATCGAACACCAAGCCCTAAAAGCGTGGGGAGGTCGGGAACGAATCAGCATGGTCACCTCGTTCCGACCCAAGTCGCCGTTCATCAAAGATGAGACAGTGCTTGCCGGTCTTCGCGGTATCACTGACTTGAGTCTTCTCTACCACCAGTATGCCGAGTATCGGTTCCAAGTGCTTGAAGCGAGATTCCGCGAAAAGCGTCAGATGCTGCTACAGAACTGGAACGATACAGGCAAATTTGACTTGGAAGACACGCGATCATTTATTGATGGGCAGAAGCGCCATCTGGAGGATCTGTTGAAAGAGCTGGTGCCTTACCCTCAATAGGGCCTTTTGGTCTGTTTTAACATTAATATCATACCACTGGAGCTCCATCTCATGTTGAGATGTGCTCGTGGGCAGACAACACTGGATTGAGTACGGAAGTCAACCATATAGATGACACATTAAACGACACCCTCAATATAATTGTTCTGAACCCCAGAAACGTGAACATGAAGAGAGATGGCTACAGCTGCGCAGAGTACTGTATGTTGGTCATGTTGTGAGGCTTGCGATAAGGGGGATCCACTCCAGCTTTTCCGTCAATTCCCTCCACACACTGTATTCAGTCACTCAGCGACCAGTAAACCTCGCCCTTATCAACCCGGAGATAATAGCCCGGAGTCTTGACAGCCAGTTTCGGGAATCGGATCCCTGAAAGCCTCGCCGAGAATCCACAACGTCTCGCTGGGCCGTGAGCGTCGTGATTGCTCGGTGGCCATTCATCCACTTTAGGTTGGTTGCTTGTTGCTGCCCCGAGGGTATATGAGAACTTGAACATCAAGGCTGTGGATTGCCCCAGCCTTCCGTCTCCGCCGATGTCTTCTTCTCCGGTTTTCAAAGTCATCAAACGGGTGGAGCAAGCTTGCGAAAATTGCAGGTTGGTCAAAGAACGCTGCTTTTCGAAGGCGACCAGCTAACTGGTAGTTGTAGGCGGAAAAAGACACGATGTCCAGGCCAGAGACCTGCCTGCTCGAATTGCACGCGGCTGAGTCAGCCTTGTGTATATTCGGGCGGCCAGACCTCGTCGTCGTCTGCGACATGGAGGGGACCAGGCTCGGGACGGGATCTCGTAGGTTCATGTTTCGTATCGCCGGTTAAGCGACTGCAGCTTGCTTAACAATATCAGGAACTTCGAATGGCTCAGCTTGAGGAGACGATGCGTTTGATGGTCGCTCATGCCGGGTCCGTATCATTATCATGCACTCACCCACGAGCTGTTCGTCAGGGCTGACTGAACGGCGCCTAGACACCATGATGGTCATTCTGTCTTCAACTTGACATCTGCTGATGCGAGGTCTGAAACTCGGGAGCAGTCTGAACGGGGGGATACGCCTGGTCTGTCGACGCCGTCAGAGGCAGGCGTGAGGCCTGTGGTAGCTGTCCATGAACGGTGACGACTCCTTCTCTTGTGGCTACGCTACTTCCGACCTCTCACTGACTAGGGTGCTCAGTCTACTTCCCCCTTCTGATTGTCTGTACGAAATGTCACTTCTCTATCGACGACATTGCCACCGACAGCCTCTTTGGCTGTTTGATGATGCAGAGCTAGACTCACTCTCCCAACAGCCAGAAGAGCTGGTCTTGTCCATATTGGCACTGACCACGAGATTCTCATCCCGGCCATATTTCGGAAGAGATAGGGACGACATGTCTCAAAGATACTGTGACGCGGCTCGAAAGCGTGTAATGATGAATATCGCCGATGCGGTCGTCAAGTTCAGCACAATCCAGAGTCTTTGTTTACTCAGTTGTACGAGCTTTGCAGGTCCGTCAACACCGCCCATCGCCTTCTCCCTGAATTTTTGGTATTATAGGAAGAAAATCTGACTGCTCACCATTCCACAGCAAGAGATATGTCTCTAGCATCGCTTTACTTAAATCTAGCCCGGGATTTGTTGAGGTCGGCCGGTCTCGACCTCCGCCAGTCCCATGCGCAAGCAAACTCGGCCGACCAAGCGAGCAAAAGACTATTTTGGAGCATATATATCCTAGAACAACTCTACGGCGCGCACAGCAACAGGACCATCTCCATGAAAGGCGGTCTAGATAACCTTCGTTACTGCGTCAGCGTCGGCGACCATGCCCGGCGCGCCTTAGCTCTAGAACCACCCGTGGTACCCGAGGAAGTCTCACATCACGGCGACGCCAAAGATCTCGGGATCTGGAACTATACAGTCTGCCTGAGCGCTTATTGGAATGAGGTGAGAAACTACATCTTGCTCTGTGCCTCCGACACCGAACGGGCACCGTGGGCCCCAGAGTCCTACTACACTCTGATCGTCTCTTACATGCATGAACTGGAGACCCAGCTCCCGCAACCTCACCGATGGGACTACAAGCGGTTTCTGCAATGGTCGCCAGATGCACTGGAGCGCGAACGCTCTTATTGGGGACCGTGGCTGTTTTTCCAATTCACCTACCATGCCATCTACACCATCATCAACCATCCGTTTCTACTGACCTCGCGATCGCAACCCTTGAAACTCAAAATGCCCAATACCTTCTGGAGAACCTCGTCCGAATCGGTGCTGTTGCATTCGACGTGGATCATACGTCTCATCACCATGACTCGGGACAAGGAATTCGACCTCTTCGACCCCTTTCTGGGCTATACTGCCGGCGTGGCTGCCAGCGCTCAACTGTTCTACTGTAGATCCCAGAACGACGAGCTGAGACGGTCTGCACAAGACAACTTTGAGAAGTGCAAAACATTCATTGAACGCCAAGCTCAAGTCTGGCCGTGGTGTCATCGAATTGTAGGTGTGCGCGCTCGGTGTCTACTTCCGCCCAGACTCAAGTTGGTTGGTCATCAGAGTACTAAGCTGACATGGTGTCGTATCTATACAGAAACAAAATCTCGAGAACCTCGTCGACCACGCCTTCGGCAGCAATGCGGCACACCAGCCCACCCAGACCATCTGTATCGACACCACCGCGATGCTGGAGATTCTCGACTACAGTCGGCCGGGGGCCCCAGGGGGCGCTACTGATGGTCCTGGCCGAGGCTTGTTCGACGGTAGTCTGTTACAGCTTCGCGACGACGGAGCTGGGGATCAAGTAGCCACCATTGAGATTTCCGAAGATATGAGCGAAGCGGCTGGCCGGCCGGTCGCACCGCCCATATGGAGACCTGCAGCTGCGAGTACAACGACGACTACGGCGACGACTTCTGCAAACGACTACGATCGGGGTCGTGGTCGTGATCAGAACCAAATCCAAATCCAAATTCAACAACAGAGCCAATCTGACATCTCTCTACCGACTCCAAGTGATGCACCTTCCAACACGACCCCCGTCGAGCCGCTCCATGATACGGAGGTCTTTTCATTGCCGGCCGACAACTTTACTGATGGCATGTTACAGGATATATTCCATCAAGACCTGCAGTGGTGGGATGTCGGCAATTCATGATCCAACAAGGCCAGGTCTACTCAAGACAAGACTCTCTTTCGGGTTATGACATGGCGCCCTACTTACAGTGTGCACATACCGTCACGGACCTCATTAGAGCATTGACTACGAAATGCGCGGAAACCATGCCCGCACATTGAGAACGCTCAATAAGGAGTCGTCGGGCCCAATGACCACAGTCAGCAAAGCATATATGTATCAGTTACGATTAGCAGTGGAACTTATCCTGAGTTACTCTCCTGCGTATCAAACAACAACAGAGTTGAACAAGCGTGTGGCATCCAGCCACAACACAACCAAGTACATCTCTACTGAACCCGGTCTCAACAGTACATCTCCCCTACAGTATGACCGGGCAAGGCTGATCGGTCTGGCCCAACGTGCCTGGCCATCTCCGTTGCCCGACATGGCACATGCTGATAAGAAGCGCCAATCGCCGCATACTAGCTCGACTCTAAGGGATCAGAACGTGGGTCTCCACCTGCTAACCAGTACCTTATCAGCATTTTATCGCTCCCCCGTCGTTGTTGTCCGTCCCTATCCATGAACCAGCCACTGGCGGCCATGGATTACTATCATCTCAAGATATGAGACGTCGGGGACCGAGACTCGTTTGTTTTTCTGGTCAAAAACCCCAAGCAAACTCCCATGAGCTTGTCCACGGCTCGACCAAAGACAAAAGCAAAAGAAACGCCGTCTGACAACCAACAGCGTGGAAACACCGTTCAACGAAACCGATCCAGCATACGAGACTACGAGAGCATATACGAACAAGATCAAGATATAGATTTCCTGCCACAGCCGAGACCATATACGATCAAGATATCTATTGAATTTCATTAAATCATGGCACCAGGTGCGATCTATGAGGAAGCAGTCCCAGCAGGGGTCACTGGATCCAAGACGGCGACGACATCAACAACTTCCACAGCCGCCGAAAAAGAACAACAACTCACGCCGCTCGAGTCCATGGCGCACCGGGCAAACAGCAAGCCCCTACCCAAGATCCCGACGTTCACCGACATGGCGGCCAAGCGGCAGTGGCAGCTCGAACACATGGCGGGCTGTTTCCGGGTGTGGGCGCGCGAGGGCTACGCCGAGGGCATCAGCGGGCACATCAGCGTGCGGGACCCGGAATTCGAGGACCGCATGTGGATCAACCCGCTGGGCGTGCACTATGGGATGCTCAAGGCCAGCGATATGGTGTGTATCAACTACATGACTGGGGAGGTTGTGGGGGGAAATATGGTAAGTTGTCTGCCATACTTGTTCCTTGGGTTTCTTCTTGTCGTCTTTGGCGACGAGACAAAGACGACGAGAAAGAAGCGAGAAAGCTCCACAAGAGAAGACAAAACAGGAAAGAAGAGAGACAAACCAAGAGAAGAAAAAACACCTCAAAAGAAGAAAAGACCAACCCATATCAAAGCAACCCAACCCAAAGCACACAAGTCACAAATATGACATACATACTTACAAATAATTTGTATCAGGACATCCCAGCAAACGCCGCCGGCGTCCAGATCCACAGCGCCGCCCACAAACGCCGCCCCGACGTCCACGCCGTCTGCCACGCCCACTCGATCTACGGCCGCGCATACTCGGCCTTTGCCCAACCCCTCGAAATGCTGACCCAGGACGTATGCAACTTCTACAACGCGCACTCGATCTACCGGTCGTACGGAGGTGTCGCGCTGGCCGCCGAGGAGGGCGACAATATTGCCAAGGCGCTGGGCGACGGCAAGGCCGCCATCCTGATGAACCACGGCTTGTTGACTGTCGGGCACACCGTCGACGAGGCCGCGTTCCAGTACATGGTGCTCGAGCGGAGCTGTAAGGTGCAGTTGCTGGTCGAGGCGGCCGAGGCGAATGGGAGATTGCAGAAGAAAGTCATCGGGCCGGAGGAGGCTGCTTACAATTTCAAGATGAACAGTGATCCGGAGACGCTGTATTTTGAAATGCAGAGTCACTTGAGATACGAGGAGTATCTCTCCGGCGGGGACTACAAGAATTGAATGAATATGAATATAGATATAGATATAAATATATCTTTCTCATCACATCACTTCAATAGAATACCCACCCCCCTTTACCATATTCAAGTGAGTGAGTGAGTGAGTGCTCGATGCTAGTTGTCCCAAGAAAACAACAAAGCCATCGATCGTGACCACTATGTCCCTCTTCGATCTCTCATCCTGTTGCTGTCCATCTATCATAGCTCGCTTCTCGAGAGTTTGCCGTTCGCAGAGCAGAGATTGTGTAAAGGCAGCTTGGTACTCGAGTGGAGAAAGTCTCCTTGAAACGAATCCGAGTCAAATATCTAGGTGACAAGACACTGATGGGCCAGGACGGGAGTTGTTTAGCATATCATACAGCAGTCCACAACAACCTCCGCCGAAATCAAATACATCTTTCAAGGTGGAAGGAATGGCACTCAAGACGACAAACATTCATGTCATGCCATGCCCTGCCCTGCATTCACTGTCCACGGCACATATATCTATGCAGATCGTTTTTCGATAAATCATACTTGTATGTTCATGCCCAGAAAGCGTCCACGGTTCGAGTCCTTGGAGGCCTTGAATTGATGCTGGTTTTCCAATGATGACGCCCATTCATGGCTCCTCTTTTCTTCTTCACAGAATTCCATTTGATGTCTACTTGGAGCGGCTCAATCCTGCTTCTCCTGAAAAACCGCCATCCACCGGCCTCTTCTCTTTCATATCGTCTGACTCCGTGTGTTCGAGGTCTTCCATCCACTACCACTCCTCATATCTCACCTTGTTGACCAACGTGCCGATCTTCTCGATCTCGACTCGAATGTCGCCACCATCTTCGAGAACAACGCGCGGCTCCCTAAAATATCCAATTCCTGCAGGTGTGCCGGTCAAGATGATGCTTCCACCCTCAATTGTCGTGCCTTGCGAGAGGTAGCTGATTTGTTTGGCGATGGGGAAAATCATGTCCCTAAAGGTAGACACGCAGAGTGTTAGAGAGGTATCAATGCAAGGCAAGCACTCAAAATCGCAAAAGTATTCCCCATCCCAGCATGATTGAATAATGGCTTCTGCTCCCAACATCGCATGTCATGATATCAAGACTTACTTGGTATTCCCATCCTGCACGGTCTGACCGTTATAGATCGCCTTGATCTTCAAACTTTGCGGATCCGGGATGGCATCCTTGGTCACCAAAACGGGTCCTGTTGGATCACCACGCTGGTCAGCATCACTCAACTGGTTGGGTAATCCAGGTCGGATGAAAGCGTTTGGCATCGTTTGGCTCGCGTCTCACGTACCTAACGGACAACTCCCATCCAACCCCTTGGAAAACGACCATTGTGTGGTCAACATCTGCATCGTCCGCGCAGAGACATCGTTACTGCACGTATAACCCAGGATGTACTCGTACGCCTTGTCTTCGGGAATGTCGCGCCCAGTCTTGCCGATCACGACACAAAGCTCGGCCTCGTAGTCTGAAGTCCCATCCTGCGCGGCTTTGGGAACAGGAATTACTGCCGGGTATGGATCGGCGAGGGCGGTGCGTGGCTTAGTGAACAGGATGGGCGCTTTTGGAAGAGCCATGTTGGCTTCCTGTATGCTCACAAAGAGTTAGTCCGGTCATCGCAGGTGTGGCCAAGGTCTTTTTCTCTTCTTGTCCGAAGAAGATTTTATGCTCCGAGTCTGCGTGGCTTTCAGAGTAAGGAGCCTGCCTGTCTCCTTGAAACAAAACCCGCAGATGCTACTCCATACAACACCGCTCGTGTCATCTCAGACGAAACCATCTCTTGCAAGGCACGGACGGTGGAGGGACATCAACGGCAACTTTATATCAGTTCTGACCTTTGCATGATCCATGTAATTCAGTCCCAAACAGCGGATGTAATTACAATCCGCCATCGACACAGGCGACAACAGCTGCTTGACCGTATACACGAGCTTTGTGACTTCGGGAGTGAAGATGGTCCCGTTGATCAGGTACGCTTTAATCTCCTTGCCCTCGAGGCTATCCAGGCCGACATCGCGACTCGTGTCGACCAATTGGCCGAGGTGGATTCGGTTGTCTTCGTTCGCAATGAAGCGGATGATATGAGTCGCTTTAGACATTGCGGGGGAGGTAGACGTGGAAGCACGCTTTAGAGAGTAATTGCGCAAGCACGCAGGGAGCGGTTCTATGAAGGGTTCAAGTGGACTCGACCAAGCAAGCAGAAGTTGTATGAGGAAGCAACAACAAGACAGAAATAGAGACAGAGACAGAAGAGACGCACAAAAAGTCCAATGTCACCCACAAGTCGCTCAAACACTCTTTCTTTGGGACTGTGTCGCCGGCGTCACTGTACCTGCCCCACGATTTCTCTGACAAGGGTTGCGGCCGACCCATGGTGCAACGGACCTAGCCCAGAGGTCGACGGGACTGATTCTCGGGGTAGAGCTCGCCATCACCATCGTACCGGAGGGCTCTTCTCCACTCACCGGAGCAAGGGTCCAACGGTGCGGACTCAGAATGTGGAAGGTTGTGTACGAAGGGGAACAACAGTAGGAAGTGAGGGGATTAGAGCGCCTAGCTTGCATAGAGAGCCCGAGGGACAAGTGACCGCCGGTGTTTGTTGAAATGCCGACGGGGTCGGATGGGGAGCTGACGGGACCCGAGGACAGAAGTCCTGAGGGCAACCGGAGGGTGAAAAGGGGGGATACCCGAATCATGAAAGATGGGGGAATGGGGTTGGATAAAAGGAGAACAGGGCGGCCACCGGAGACGGAGGGGTGTGATGTGATGGGGTTTTGGTAGGGGTCTGGTTTTGAGGGTTAGGGTTAGGAGTAGGGTCAAGGCCGGGCCGACTTCTTGCCGCTTTATAATCACCTGTGAGGACTCACCCCCCTGACACGCCCGAGCCTTGTCATGTTGGGCCTTCTCGAATCCGGCTGCTGTGACGGGGAATGGCAGGGTAAGATGGGGACTGTCAAGGCCGTAGAAACTTGAACTGAGCCATCTCACAGTAAAGTCTTATACAGTTGTCTATCGTTCTCGAGACACCACAGGTAGTGTCATTACTCGCGAGCCTCTAGACAACCACTGAAGCAGTGGGAAGTACTGGGCAAAGATATGTCCGGGGTCTTTGTTCTCCTGTCTTCGGGACCGAGATACCAGAAATCATCTTGATGGACAGAGTGCGGTGGCCCAATACAGATGAACTGTGGTGCGACCTCTGACCAACGTGGGAATCAAGTACCGGCAGCACTGTCAGTCACGTCCAGCAAATACCACCAGCTGTCTATCTCAAAGGCAGTCATAGAGTGACCCTCCCGTGTGTGCGCCTTCTTCGGCTCTCCCTTCGCTCAGAGGATGATGGACTCTCGACACTCGCCTGGAGCACACAGCCAGACACCAGGCTCGTCCTGCTTTTGTATTCGGCATACAGTACAAGGAATGACCCTGCCTCTAGACCTTGAGACCACCTTGCCCGTACGCAGATAGCAAAATAATACCACAGAGCATCGACAAGCACACCGGAGGATCTACCTGCCTTCTTTTCATCTCTTCAGACGCGAAATTCTTCCACTCTGGCCCTTGCATTGGATCCGGCCACACAGTTTAGTCCCTTGGTGTCAGCAAAATATGGTAGAACAGCCCGGCGTTCCCTCTGAACAAATTTCTGCATACTGAGCTGGACACGGCATCCGCCCATTCATCTTCCACGGTCCCGAACGAACTCCCCCTTTTCCCATATTTGTAAATCCCTTTCACTCCGAATACCATACAATCACAGTAGCCTTTTCATCGAGGTAGTACACGACCACAACAACTTTTTTCACTCCCGTGAACAAACGAGTTTGTCCACTCCTCAGGTGGGTGTTCTGACTCCAATCATATCTCCGGCGAATCTCTCTCCACAAGCAATAGCATTTTCACTCTCTCGAGTATTGTCTTCCCTGCTCTCATTTCTTGTTCCTTTCCTGTGAGTGTCTGTCTTCTTCCTCACTCTTTGTTCCTCTCGTGTAAGTGTCTGTCTTCTTCCTCACTTCTTATTTCTCTCCGCCGCCTCCTCGACCCTCAACCTCTCCACGACCCTCTCCCTCATGAAATCCGTCAACCCCAAAATCCCATCATTCGTACAGATCCTATACGTCCCACTCGGCTGATACCGCCCATGGCCATCGACGAACCTCCCCGCCCCATCGACCTCGACACTCCCAAAGATATCCTCCGGCTCAGCGATGCGCCCGAACTCCGGCACACGCCTCGAGTCCGAGACATGCACCCAGCCGCCGCGGCCCGCGCTGCCGTGGCCGCCTTGGTCGCTGGCCCCTGCGGACCCGGTCCTCTGTCGTCGCGCGGTCTGAAACAGCGATGTCCCGGACGACGAGATCATGACTGCGGCCTGCGACTGGACGTCTGGGTCGTGCGCCGCGGACTCTCCGATCACGGAGTGTAGCATGGGCAGGAATCTCGGGTTTTCGGTGAACGAGGCTGGTGTGGGTGGGAGGGCGGTGGTGGTGCCGATGGCTATTGACGGGGTGGGCGGGTCGGTGGGGAGGAGGGAGAGGAGATGTGATGATGGAGAGTCCGGGTCGGGAAATACATACTGTTGATTGCGGCGCAGATATAGATTAGCTATATGAACAAGGATAGAAGTGGTTCAGTAGGACCAGTCATGCCTAGTTAATCGTTGATGGCAGAGCAATAACTTACAATGTGAGGATTGTTGCTGAGGGTTGAGATGGTGCGGAGCTGGAATTTGAGTCGTGGTGGAATAGTCTGGCGAATGAGTCGTGTGCTGGTGGTCGTGAGGCCGTTCATGATAACTGAGAAATGTGTCTCTCCTTGGTGCTCGTCGCCGGTCCTGCGATCGTGTGTTGAGTGGTCGGACAATCACTGACTTTTTCCTCAACCGAAACAATTGACGAGATCGAGACTTGGATTTGAAATGACGTCGTTGTTGACGAGCGGATCAAGGGCTTATGTAATGCTCAGCCTTGCGCAGCCTCGTCGAGGTATTGAACTTATACTAGGATCCCTCTCAAGAACCATTAACCCTGGCCACGAAGTCTATGCCGTTACAGTAACGGCACTCATAGAGTCCATAGCACTCGGGTCATGTGGAGAGCCTCACAGCTATCCATATTCTAGCAGCCAGGAGACGGTCAACACGCTTCATTCAGCTGGCAGAGTTCAAACAGTCTTCATGTCGTGCATGCTCATTTTGTCCTGGGTCACACTGATTCCAACAGTCCCACACGTGTTATGGCCCTCATCGCCGACCGAATACCTGCAGAGTGTTTTGACCCTCTCTCACAAACCCCATTCAAGTGACAATACTGTCATCAAAATAGACACCCTACACCAGTCCCAAACTATAACCAAACTCACCAACCACAGCAGTTCCTTGACCTCACTTCTCCTGCTTCGACTTATCCTCCTCATCAGGAGTGGGCTTCTTCATATTCGGCATGCCAACCTTCTCAATCGCCGTCCCATCGACCCATGTATCCACTTTATCCGGATAAAAGCACAACATGCCAGCAATCAGCCCACTCTCCAAAGTAGGATTCTTGTACCACCACACCACATCCTTGACTTCCTTCCCCTTCACCACAGCATGATAATAGCTCGCCTCGCCCTTATACGGACACCCTGTGTGCGTGTCACTGGGGACCAAATACTCCCAGTTGACCGCCGTGGGCGGAAGGTACCAACGCCCGGGAAAATTCGTTTCCCAGAGTGACATGACGCCGCCCTCGGAGCCCGTGTCGGCGAGCACGACGCCGTCGAGTTCCACCCGCAAATGTCGGCCCGACGGGAGAATGTCGACGCGGTGGAAGGGGTCCTTGGGATGGTACAGGACTGGGGCTTGCTCTTCGTACCATGCGTCGAGGGCTTTGAACTCGATCTTGACCAGGCCTGCGAGTTCGGAGTTGAATGAGTCCGGAACGATTAGAGTCTGTACGGATTTGGAATTGCCGACAACGCTGAGTGTCGATGTCGACCATTGCGTGCCGCTGCCGGAAGTGGGGAGGTGGTCTGTAAAAGTGGCAGTCTGTAGGAAATCGGATTTGGGGATCCAGTATTGTGGGAAGAATTTGTGCTCCCAGACGAGTTTGGCCGCGGTGGTGTCGAAGATGTATTTGCCGTTCAGGACGCCGCGCACTCGTTTGGTGGTGGACAATATCTTGGGCTGGAAGTCTGAGTTGGGCCGGAACATTTTGGAGCCGAGATCTGCGAGGCTGGACGAGAGACACAGAGGACGAGGATTAGTTCTTTGGATCTTGATGCTAGAGGACAGACTGGGAAGTAGATGGGATATACTCACTCAGACATTTTGCGTGATTGTAGAGCTGACTGTCCTGGTGGTAGATGACGAGGGCTGGTCAGCCGTAGACAGAAAAGCGATTTGAAGGCCAGATTCAGAGCAGGGCAACGACCGGGTGTAAAAGAGTAAGGGATAAAGAGTAAGTCGTGGTCCGTAGATATATATGTGTCAAGGCCCGTCAAGCAGAGTCTTTAATGTTGCTTTTCACCCCGGCAAGAGTCCTCGAGGTGACAACCTACACGCGGTCAGAGACCCCTACTGACAAATGGATGATAAGTAATGCCCGAAAGAGCCAGATGATTACTGTGATGGGGTATTAGTGGAGGATGGGAAGAAGATGGTGTGCTAACACATCGACAAATGATATATATCTGAGATACTAGTATCTGAGACATCTCCTGCGGGGATGCGGGAACCCATGTTCTATGTTCTATTGTCCCGGGTCCCAAGTAGCAATTCATTCTATGCAATGATGTACTCGCAAATAATCATGATTGGGCACAAAGAGTCGATGTTTATCACATTGAATGCTATGTATCTCCCAGAACTCATCCGGTTGTTTCCTGAACCCGCTTATGCCATGAATGTGTCGTGTCATGATGGCTTGACACTCGTCCTCGTCAATCCTCAATAATCATCTGTTTGCTGTCCTTGTTGCAAATCCCAAACCTAGAGACATTGTTCGCAGCCGGTCTCGACCCTAATTCTTGTCCCATGTCTTTTCCATATGCACCTGGCATCCGTCATTGCCTGCATATAGTCGTAACCTTGTCCATGTCCTGTTCCTGCAGGAAGTTATGTTTGATCTCTGATCTCTGGTTTTCAATGTCGCTCCTCTAGAACGATCGCTCTCGCTCTCGGTGAGCCCCCTTCTCAGAGTCATAATGGCTGCTTCTGGTCCCGCTGGAAGCACTGGCTCTGCGCTCGGCAGTGCTCAGGCGCTGGTGGTGTTCCTCAGTCTCGTCATAAGCAATGAGGAATTCTCCATTCTTGCCATATCGTCGAGGTTCATCTTTCGCAATCGACACCACACTGAAGATACTCTTGGTCTTCCGGAAGATCATGTCCATCTCCTCAAGTGAGCGGTATGCCGTTTCGGGGAAGAAAAAGTATATGACGGGAACCATGAATGCGTTACTGTCACAAATGTCAGAAATGTGCTCTTCCCGCCCGATCAACAGATCACCACTTACATGACAGCGAAGATGATGTATGTCTGGTACCCAATCGACGAAAACGAAACAGGTGTAATCATGACCACCATGAAGTTGAACGCCCAATTCGCGCTCGTAGACAGAGCATTGCTCGGAGCTCGGATCCGTAGAGGCACAAGCTCGGCAGGAACGAGCCAACACCCTCCTAAGAAGCCGATCGCAAACGCAGTATTGAAGCAGAACAGGAAGGTAGCGGCGACGATGCCACAACTGGTGCCTCCAATCTTGTTCATGATGGCCAGGACCACCATCGAGCCACACATACCGGCTGCACTGATCAACAGAAGCTTTCGACGTCCCACGCGTTCGATGATGAAGATGGGGATCAATGATGCCAGGAAGTATTCGGTTCCATTGCAGGCAGAAAGGATACGAGAGATGAAAGGAGTCAGGCCAATTTCGTTCTCGTAGATCGTGGCAGCATAGTAGGTGATCAAATTGATACCCGAGATTTGCTGGAACATTTGGATGATATAGGCAAGCGCCACTCGATGGAAATGACGATCTTCATCCATGGTGAAGAGATCGCGGAAGCTGGTCTTTTGTTGCTCCAGAACAGTCTCTTTGATGGCAGCGAGTTCGATGCTGACGGATTGGCTCTCGGTCGATTCGTCGGACAAAGCAGCAAGTACATTCACTGCTTCACCTTCTTGCCCCTTTAGAACAAGCCATCTACAAAAGGTTAGCCAAGTTGCGGGGCATCAAAGGTTGTAAGTACTGCGTACCTGGGGGATTCAGGGAGTTCCAAAATGAATACAAGAATGATCACGGCGAAAATGATTTGCAGGGCAATCGGTAGGCGCCATGATGCTTGATTGTCGATGAATGAACAGCCAAAGTCGATCCAGTAGGAGATGCAGATGCCTCCTGAAACCAATGCGCCTTCGATCATCACCAGCTGGCCTCTGCGGTGCGACTTGGAGCATTCGGATTGCCATGTGGGCACCGTGGAAGTGTTGAGACCGTTACCGAGGCCGGTAATGACACGACCCACGATCAACTGGGCCAAGCTGAATGCAGAAGCCTGAAGTGTAGCACCAATGACCATGATGGCCGACCCAAGGACAATGGTCCTTCGTCGACCGAGGAAGTCTCCCACCCATATACAAATGATCGCGCCCACAAAGCAGCCAACATTATATGAAGCGACCGAGATGCCTTGGATGGTGGACTTGTGATTGGCTTGACTCGGGGTCAATCCAGCCACACCGTTGGCAGAGGTGTCAATCTCGGGGAACACAGAAGTGAAGGCTGGAAGAGTCAGGAGGCCTCCCATAACACCTTGATCGTATCCGAAGAGCCTTGGGAGATTGTCAGCTTCAAGGGTGTAGTAGTCTGGTTGGACAGCTGGTGCCTGGTGTGCTTACAAGAAGTCCATGCCGGCGATGATACTGATCATGATGTTGAGCTTCGTGCCCCGAAAGCCCAAGTAGCGGCTGTTGAAGACCTTCATCGTGTCTCGTGTCTCTGTTTCAGGAGGATTGGATACTTCGAGCTCGTTGTGTGGGAGACGAAAATTCTCCAGGAGACTTCCGCACTCTTATGTAGCCGTCTTCCCCTGCTCAGAACACATGAAAAGCTCACAAATCCAGGAGCCATTGCTGTGGACCGGTACAGAGATTGTGGCTCTCGGTTGTTGTCTTGTGGCTCTTAATTGTTTTCCAGTACCCAGTATACAAGCGGTGTTTGATGTCTATGGAGCCCCTGGTTGGTTCAGCCCTGCTTCATACTTGCCTGCCAGCCTTGCCCACAGTTACAATGACAGCGACTGACAAAAGGATTTGTGGAGGAGTGATCAGCATTCCTCCCCGCCCTGGTGGCCGCCAATATCATAACGATCCAATCATGACCGTGTCAAATATATTCAACCAGGGCCGGGATACCCGAAATGGAAGTCTGAGAGGAGTAGCGATGGTAGCGATGATGGCTGTGGCTGATCCAGGACGGAGCTTATTCTGTCCTCGTCGTCTCACAATGCAAAATGACATCTTTCGTGGGCGGGAGATGACTCTAGCGTTGCTGACTTTTCGTGGACCGTCCATCTTCCCCAGTCTAAATTTTGGGTATTGTTTGTATCCAACTTCTTCGTGCCTGGATCTTCGCGCCAGGGAAATTCTCAGTGGGTATACAGACCCTGAGAGACAGCCGCTGCTGGTACCGATCCCACGTGGTGGACCAGGTCAAATGTCCATCACTACCCAGAAAAATGAGCGGGCGCCGTCCGCTTAAAGTGGAGAGTCCCAGTCCTGGACTGGGAAGAGAAGCTCGTGCAAAAGAGGCGGTCAGCAATGAGGCCCATAGTATTGAAAAATTTGATTGTTGATGCCGAGTATGAACCTCGCTCGTCTGAACGTCAAGAGGCCTCACAGACTATGGGAAACTGTTCGAATTCATCTGTAGCGGCTCTGGGGCGGCGCCCTGCATCAGCCTGGGCTTGGTTACCCCGGGATCGCATACCGACCCCCTTCAGGGCTCTTAGAATGGTGCTAATCAAGAGGCTTGCTGGACATTTGGAACATAGATGAGGAAAAGTGCCGCGTATTCTGTGACACGTATGAGATCCACCGGATAAAGCCCGGACAGGTCCGGCATACCGAATCAGGCAATTCCGGGCAATAAGGCCATCCTCCTAAGTGCTTTGACCAGACGCAGTTGAAAGGGTGTCTTGACCTTCAGGCCTTCAGGCTTTCAATATGATATCTACTCTTGATCTGCGCTGTTGTAAAGAGAAGCGGTGTCAGTCATGCCGGTCGATGGCGGCCCGAGCAGGCACCGGGCCTGCCCTGCAAACTACCAAGTCTAGGGGGCTTCTGATCGTCGGGATCAGGTTGATGAGGTGTAGGCGACCTGACTTCGCAACTACGCGCGAGCTTTCTCCAGAAGCCATTCGACAAGGAGGCCGATATCTTCCGTAGCTGTCAGATTACGGACGATCTTGCTCCTTAGTTGAGAATCGTCAGTGTGCAGACCGCGGACGTGATTGACCTCGATTTCGCCGCCCTGACAGACATATAAAGACACCGAGACAAAGGGGCTCTGTTTTCCTTTCGCAAGGGGACCCAGCAATGGAACAATGATATCAAGTCTTGCCTTCGAGACATCAGAGATAACATCCAGACTCAAGTCAACCGGTAACACTTGGTCGTCCGTCAGGATTGTCTTCGAATTCGGTGAAGCTTTAGACTTGGAGCTCACGCCTTTGACATTGCTACGTTTGAGAGGACGATCGGTCGTTGTTTGAACATTCAGCACCGAAGACGCGGACTTGTTGCTTCGCTCAGTGGCTCCATAATCCACGAGACTTCGCATCATACTCCAGAGGAGGACATATTGGCGAAGGACAGGAATAACGGCCGCCAGTTGTCGCGGGTGAGTGAACTTCAGTTGTTTCACAGGATAACACCAGAGAGCGGCCGCGTGTTGGGCGGAATGTAGTGCATAGGAGTGTTGACGGAAATGCGACGACTCTTTCTCGTCTAACACCGGCAGGGTCCTAGGCCATCTCTCTTGCGAAGCGCTGGCGCTGTCAGTTTGGCTCGCATTGAAGTGTTTTTGTAGGGCTGCCTGATAGGTCACAGTGAGCTCTTGCTTCAACTCTACCATGGTGAGATCCAGATTCAGGCGGGCAGCAACATTGAGAGGGAGGTAGACTTCGGGCAGCAGGTGACCGACGAAATGCATGTCCAGAACAGTTGATGACAGATCAGGTGGTTTGTCCGAATCAGCCTTGGTGATTCCATTGGAGTCATTCATGTCATGAACGGCGTCTTGCCAGTCGGGTGTGACCAGCTCTGCTTCGTTGTCATCGACCGCGGGCCCAGTCGGTGCAAGACCATGGTCTGATACCCATTGCTTCGCCAGTACCGTCGATGGTGATCCTGGCTCGCAAGATATCCTTGCCGTATAGAGGTGGGAAGGTAAATCGTCGCCAGTTTCGGTTTCGTCCTCCGCCGACGCCTGCCGAGAGTCTTCTCTGGCACGCCAGTAATCCAGAGCCAGTCCAAGCATAGGCTTTCGGTCGAGGGATGGTCTGCCTACAGCACTGCGCCTGAGGTGCTGTCGAGTTGTTCGCCCACCAAAACGCTCTCGCTCAGCATTCCAGATTTTCTGAAAAGCATCATACAGGCCGTTGACGGCTTCGAAACACGGCGCCCCCTCTTCGATATGATCAAGTTGGCTGAGATACTGCAGGTTGGACTCAAAGGTGTCAAGGCTTGTCCATTGTGGAAACCCTTGAAGTATGTTCGAGGGTGTCAGATTGTCCTTCAGGATCTCCGAGGCCCGGTCTTGCGGTTGAGGTTCGTCGTTCTGGGGAGTATTGAGTTTGAGACTGACCTCCGTAACGCGGTCACGATCAATAGCATCAAAGATGACTTCCAGGTCAACAGCGTTGCCTGCAATTGTAAGATTCTCATCGTCCCACAGGGTTGTAAAGCCTTGTATTTGGGCTATTCTTTCCACTCCTTCACGTGTGATGCCCCGACCTGCCACCCGTTTCTTGAGCATTTCCACGACTAGCTGCGCTCGGTGAAAGCGTTCCAGATCTGGATGCACGGAAGCAGGCGCCCCTCTGACAGAGGTGCTATGCATGGTGGCCGTGATACCGAGCCCATCTGTACCACTGGGCAAGGGTGTCATACCCGTCGGACCCAGTGAGGCCATAAGTGCTGCAGCAGGTGAGTTGAGTGCGAGAAGGTCGTCTTGAATGGCTCCTACAGCGGCAGGGGTAGAGGAGGGTTGGGAGGAGACACTGAAGTGCTGGGCGTGGCCGTGAAGAGAGGCTGGAGTTTTGACTGCGGGCGACTTGTAGGCCAAAGGTCGACCAGAATTGCCAGAGGTCCCAGGACGGGGCGAGGCCATCAGCTTATTAGGTGTGGAGAGTTGTGGTTTGGGGGTCGAGACAGTCTGTGATCGCGTCGGCGTCGCCATAGTGTTAAGTCCTGACAATGTCGTCGTCGTGTGCAATTCGCGTCGCAGGTTGTATTGAATCTCCCTCACAAGGGACGAGTTTGCGGGTACTGTCAACCACACCCGGTGGGCATTGCCTAGAGGCTCTCTCGCTGCATTTTGTCTTCCTCTAGAAAGTAAGAAGCCGCGTTCGACCCTTCTGGTCTCTGGCAGACTAGCAGCTCGTTATTCGCATTTCATCAACTTAAAAGTCGCTGGACATTTATTAACACTGTGCTTGACACTTTAGACAATGAAGACTTGAATGGAGGAAGGTTTGCCGAAGCGCAGTTTCTGGTACTCCAAGGTAGGGAGTATGGCGACGACTGCAACGACGGCGATGACAGTGATGAGATTTCCTCCAGTTCACTCATCACATCTCCCACCCTCTCACCTCTCACCGCTCACCGTTTGAAGCTGCAATAAGCACTGCAGGCCCCTTGTCGATACGAGCGCATGACATGGCTTTCTTCCGTTCCGACCACTCTCCACATCTCTCTCCAGACATCGCTTAGAACCCCCGCATTCATTCAGCCTGTATCCAGAATGATGTCTTCTCGATGATGGAACAGTTACAACTCCGCGTTCGAATGCCGAATCCTACACTTCATGCAGGCACTTCGTGGGTCTGAAGATGAGGAGGCGACCGCGGGGTGAAAGGTGAGGGAATCACTCATGATGTATGAAGGAGAGTCCTCTATTCTCTCAAGTTGTGCTGTCCAACATCTCCTTTTCCTGCTTGACATATGATGTTAGGAGTGCGTACACTGTTCTCTCAGACCAAGACTCCTGCTCAGCATGCTTTCCCTGCTCAGTTTTCTGCTTTGCTTTCTTTGCGTTTCCGTTCACGGATGGTTGATTTCTGGGCAGAACAGCGCCCCAACAGCGACTACCAAGAATGGCAGCTATGTGGGCCTCTTCAACCCAACGTATAATCAGGACCTTTTCTTAGGTATCCCCTTCGCCCAACCTCCAGTGGGTGACCTTCGATTTCGAAACCCAGTGTCTCTCAATACCACATGGGAAGGCGCGAGGAGTGCAACCCAGTATTCGGCCGAGTGTTATGGTTATGGCAGCGATGACTGGGTTCTCGGAAACCCAGTGTCGGAAGATTGCCTGACCTTGAACGTCATCCGGCCTTCTGGCGTCGCTGCCGACGTGCAACTGCCGGTGGCAGTCTGGATCTACGGCGGTGGATATTTCAATGGCGGCAGCCTAGATCCTCGCTATAATATGAGTGCCATCATCCAGGAATCTGTGGACATGGGAAAGCCCTTCATTGGCGTGAGCATGAACTATCGTCTGCATGCTTTTGGGTTTTCATTTGGCACGGAGATCCTCAAGGCAGGGGTGACGAACATTGGCACTCGTGACCAGCGTCTAGCGCTCCATTGGGTTCAGGAGAACATCGAAGCATTCGGTGGGGACCCCTCTAAGGTAACTATCTGGGGCGAAAGTGCGGGCGCCAGCAGCGTGGCGGTGCAGATACTTGCCTATGGAGGACGAGACGACAAGCTCTTCCGCGCGGGCATAGAGGAGAGCGGAGGCTCCGTCAGTTTCTCACGGTATCTGAACGCATCGGAGTGGGATCTATACTACAACAATATCACGCGTGCCACCAACTGCAGTTCCGCCCCCGACACATTGGCGTGCTTGCGTCAGGTCCCAATCGAGACTCTGAGCGCCGTCTTCAACAGCAGCGCCACGGCTCAGGTTCCTGGGTGGGGCCCGCACATTGACAACGACCTGCTTCTAGAATCCGGGGTAAAGCAGCTTCGGGAGGGCAAGTTTGTGAAAGTCCCTCTGCTGCACGGAACGAATTTCGATGAAGGTACAGCATTTGGGGCACGGGGCATCAATACAACAGAGCAGTTTATTGCCATTGTCATGGAGAATGGCCCTGATAATGCCACTGCTCAGACCATCGCCGCACTATATCCTGATATTCCCGCCATAGGGATTCCTGCCACCCTCCATGGCCGCCCGCCGCCCTCTCAGGCCGCTCTAGGCGCTCAGTATAAACGAGCGGCCGCATACGGGGGTGACCTGATGCAACAGGCCCCGCGCCGATTCACTTCCCAGTCCTGGGCCTCGAACAATGTTAGCAGTTGGAGCTACCATTTCAACGTGCTGGTGAACGGAGTGCCGGTGGAGCTTGGAGCGACACATTTTCAAGAAGTCGCTTTTGTCTATAACAATGTCCAGGGCCTGGGATATGACACGGCAGTCGGGGTCAACCCATTTGCGAATGAGCCTGAGAGTTATAACAGATTGGCGAATATCATGAGCCGGATGTGGGTGAGCTTTATCGTGGACAGTGACCCGAACGGAAATAATGGTATGTCGGCGATACACGTTTCATCTCTCCATCGGATCTCTTTCTTGATCGCTGACCAAAAACCACGTTCTCTAAAACAGCCACCAGCGTCCATTGGCCCGTGTACACACTCGATTCGCCGCAAAACGTTGTGTTCGACACCAATGTCACGGATTTGCTGTATGTCGAACCGGATTACTACCGCGCCGAGGGGATCCAGTATATCATAGACAGATTCATTTCTGTCTATTATCGATGAGTGCTGAACTTGACAGTATGATCTGATTGCTTAGCACCGGGCCTTGGCTGGGGTATCTTGACATATCTCGACAACCCTACGCACAGTGTCTGGTGTTGGAGTTATACGGATCTGAGGATCTACAACATCTATATAGTGGATGATTATATAAGCTAGCATATCAACTATTGACCCCTTTGATCCTTGATCCTTGAGCCTTGAGCCTTGAGCAGCGCAACGGCTTCTGAGATATACTAGTATACTCATCAAATTGCCAATCACCTCTGAATGCATCCGTTGCCTCTGCGGGTCTGGCAGGATCGACCCCGAGTCAAGCCAGTCACCAGTTACTGGTTGCTCCTTACCTGCCCGTACCATGATCAAAGGCAAGCGCTGTTGATGTTTGATCTTAAGGCATAAAGCATGCCGTCGATATTACCGCCTTCCTTCTCTTGCACCTTCCCTGGGAACAGGGTGCCACCTGCCACCATGAATCCATGGTGTTTAGACAGATTACATGGCCACCCCTCTTCTCCTGGTTGAGAGGAGAGAGAATACACACAATTCATGCAATTACTGGCCTACCATAACAGTCGAGCTATGTCAAACTACATTCTATACCGGTAGCCAACATACACTATATCAGGGCATTTTAGTACTATCTTTATGACTTTCTGTCACTCTTTACATCAGCTAAGGATTCAAACCATCAAGACCACCTCTTGAAACACGGCACTGTTACAATTCACATCATCTGAGGACTAAGACCATCAAGAATGGCTATACAAACAATCCGATACGTCCCAAGCGACCAACAAGATGCTGCACGACAAGCACCAGTCAGCCTGGTTCGAGTTGTCAGTCATACACAATTCGATGGGAACACCGGCCCTACGAATCACTGCTGTTTGTATTTCCAGACTGGCCCGAATTCCTATATCCGCCTTGACATGATCCCGGGCAATGATCCGGGCACTGTTCTGCCTGGTGGCAGGAAAGGTGTTCTTGTTGTTCAGATTTGGACTACATTCCAAATGTCAGCAAGCAAGCCGCCAAGACCGTTATAATTCAGCCTGCACAAGGGCTCCGTGTCTTCGAAGTGATCGATGCTCTTATTAAGGCAGGCCATGACAGATACGAGTTTAGTTTGACCACGCAGGTCTAGGATGTCGTATGTGGACAAGCAGTGCGACAACCCTCCTCTAGAGGAGGAATTTGGTGAAAGCCCAAGGTATCGAGGAAGCAGAAGCCGCGATCCTTACGCTATGGCCAGATGGAATACCAAATACCCCACCCACTGGATGCTGGGGCTTACTACTCATTGAGATGTCACATCTTCTACACCACCGCAGATCGGCAAGACGAAGCCGCAAAGTCGCTCAGCAGCCTCGACTCGGAAATAATGATCATGGGCGGGATGGCATTGCCCACGTCCCAGATCACGGTTTCTTAACGTGCGCCATTTGACTCAATTGCTATCAGAAGGAAGGGAGAAAGATAATAAGAAAGAAAAATCATGTCATCCCAAATAGCGCACTGGCAGGCGCCGTCTTAACATCGACTTCTTGTAAGCACAACAGGCACCAGCTGTCCAACCAGACTACCACACCCTTGAAGCTGACAATCTCCCAAGGTTCTTAGGATGTGACGGCTCGAATGGTTACCAGCTCTGTGCACAGGTATCAATCATCTCTAATACCAAAGTCAGAATGAATACTGTGCGTATAACCCAATACCTTCTTTTCCAGTCATTTCAGAAACCATCAGGCTGATCAAGTACATATGATACAGCAACTCGAAGCCAGGCTTGAGCAACTCTCGCTCGAGGGCACGCCAGATTCATCAACACTGAAGACTGCTGTTGGGGTCACCAATACTAGTGCAGTCGATATACCATCCGGCATGTCCAGTCTGGACAAAGCATGGCCCGATGAACTTGAAGCCGACCACAACACCACTCAGACAAAGTCCCACTGCGGCCCCGGCTCCCGCTCCCGCTCCAGACCAGGCTCAGACATGGACACAGACTCGGATTCGCAGTCCAGAGCCAGACCCCAAGACACTCTGCTGGAAGTAGTCGACACGCCCGATCGCGGCATGGCCGTCTTCGCCCGCCGCAAAATCAAAGCCGGCACCACCGTCATGGCCGAACACCCCTTAATCCTCCTGCACAAGGACGAAGAGACCGACCCAGCCGCGATCGAGCGTGAGTTCGCGGGCCTTTCGCGCTCTGACCAGAAATCCTATCTTCGTCTCTGGGACGCCCAGAAGTCGCGCATGTCGCGCGTCGTCTCGATCTACTATAGCAACTGCCATAATTGTGACGCATTCATCAAACCGAAGTCAGAGACGACCGATGCCGCGAACCACGAACCAGAATCCGAACCCGAACTTCAACCCGGGACTAACCCCAGAGCAGACTCAGACTCCAAGGTCAAGACCAAAGCCACGCACGGAGACGGAGGGGGTGGTTCAGCAATAGGCGCCTTCTCCAGCCGCTTCAACCACAGCTGTGTCCCGAACGTGCAGTTCTCGTACGACGAGACCACGAACGAAATGCGGTTCCGCGCGATCCGCGACATCCCCAGAGGCAAAGAGGTCTGCACCAACTACGACAAGACGGTGTTTGAAGGCGCGGCCAAACGGCGGCGCAAACAGCAGATCTACTATGGCTTCGTGTGTGCTTGTGAGGCGTGCGAGCCGCGGACCGAGTTCTGGGCCAGGAGCGACGAGCGGAGACGGGGGATGTATGATGCTTTTCGGACCGTGCTGGGGTGTGAGAAGCGATATACTAGTACTATTACTATTACTAGTACTCACCAACAGCATGTGCGAGGGGTTAGGACTGCGACTGAGACTGCCATGCATGGCCAGCATCACTCCTTGCCGAAGAAATATGAGGCCAAAGATAAGTCCAATGGACAAGACTTCGAATCCGAATCAGAGTGCTTCTCAATTGTGGACGAGGCATTCGCCGCCCTGGCCAAATTGGAAGCATTGCTGCTCAAGGAAGGTCTCGTGGGCGGTCCCCTGGCGAACACGTACCGGAGTATGGCGAAATGGGCGGAGCGAAGAGGAGACATGACACAAGCAGCGCGGTGGAAGGGAAAGGAGCGGGATGTCTGTCTTGTCATCTTTGGCGAAAGTGCTACGAGTATCAGGACGAAGGAGATTGAGGAGAAGTTGAGGAAATTCGATAACACGAGCGACAAGGGAACAATGTCAAGAGACTCCCGGGTCTTGACAACTTTGAGATAGGTTGTCATCTGTCATTGAAAGCACGATTGCTTAACAAATCAATCACATCCCCGGTGATATAAGCCGCGCAAACAGACGGATCAGGGCTGTGTGGTTGTGTGTGAACAATAAGCAGTAGCAGCAAGCAATACCACAAGGCTGAGACAGCATCTTGAAGTGGCCCTGCTACTGCTACATGATCCCCGGTGTCGCACTGATCTCGCAATGCCATGCCATGCAATCCTCAAGCCCAACTATTCTGCCCAAACAGACCTCCCAGAAACCCGCCCTTTGCCTTCTTGTTCTTGGCTGCATTCTTCTTCGCAATGCCGGCGCGTTGACTCATCTTCTCCTCTCTGATCGTGGGTCGATAGTTGACTGCATTCCTTCGACCGCCGTTGCCTTTCCTGATAAACTCCTTTTCGTCGTTGCCTTTGCCCCGTTCCGTGCGGTTGGTCACTACCCCCGTCGCAGACACATTCTCGTCCCGGCCCGCCATACTGCCCAAGCTGGAATTCGTGGTGGCCCGACGGAGAAGAGTGGGAACCTTGCCGATCGACCGGTTCGCCGACGAGTTGGCGCCGTAGAAGGCCATCTTAGTGCTGGTGGATGAGCCTGACGATGACGACGATTGACGGAGCATACTCAATCGATTGACCACGTTTGGCCTCTCTTTCGTCCGTCGGTCAGAGAACGCTGCCCTAGTCTCACTATAAGGCACTGTTGGCTTCTTAAAGGCACTCTCGTCGTCAGCTCTTCCGTCGTCGTCGACGATGAAATCTCCGAGATCTTCGCCGTTGTCTGCATTCTCGTCCGCCTCGGCTGCTTGGAGATGTCGGTCCAGGTTGACGTATGCTTCTGGCTCGTCTTCTGAGTCGGACAGCCCAAGATCAATCGTGGCCGATTGGGAGTCACGTTCTTCGACAAGGAAGGACACGGATTCTCGGATCTCCGCAAGAGTTGTTGGTCTTCTATTTAGATGAGCTCTCCCGTGATCGACGGGTCGCCTGGCTTGGTTCAATCTCGATGGCGCAGTACTTGCAAAGGCACGTTTGTCGTTGTTGCTTTCCAGCGCAGAATCGTTTGTGGATAGGTCCCCAGGTCTGTCAGATTGCTCTGCTGCTTGCGCGGACGTCTGTGACTCGTCTTCGGTTTGAGTTTCGGGCAAATCAAAATCGTCTTCATCGTCGTCGCTGGCATTGAGATCTTCGATGCTTCGTAGAAAGGCTTCCTTTTTCTTGTCCTCTGCAATCTTGCCAACAGCCTCATCTTTGAGCAGTTCGTTGCGCATCCTCAGGAACTCTCGTCTCTTGGCCGCTCTCCTTCTCATAATCGCATCTTCCTCATCTGAAAGATCCAGATCATCGTTTCCTCGTTTGCGTCGCAGCGCACCTGTGGTAATGTCTTTGAGCAACTTGGAAACGGCCGCTTCATCCTGTTGCCGCTCGCGATCGGCAAACAACTTTGCCAGTTTGGCCTCATCCCCCGCTCCAACCTGGGTGTCTTCGTCGATCATGTTACGATCGTCTTCATTTTCTTCGTCATTGGCATCTTCGTCACTTGCGCCTCCAAGACCAGCATACTCATCCTCGGATTCTTCTGCAGCCTCGTCCACAATCTCTCGAGCGTTTGATTTTGACTTGTCAAACATTTCTCGCTTTTTCTGCTTTGCTGCCAGACGCATTGCATCGAACGCAGAGAAGGCTTCTGCAGTCTCTGATTTCTCGTCATCGCTTCCTGCAGGTTCAGGACGTCCGCGTTGAAGGCGAGATTTTCGTTGCACAATTGGGCTCTCTTGGGTGTCTGGTGGAAGCAAGACCGTATCCATGGTAGAATGTGGCGCTGGCTGTTGCGGAGTGTCTGTTGAGAATCGATTGCCACCGAACGGGGTCAGGACATACCCGGCGTCTTGAGTCGGTTCGAATTGCGCTTGCGAAGGAGTGTACTGCGGTCCATCAGTCGCTGATGCATTTGCGGGAGACTGAGGAATCCTCTGTGATTGCGAGAATGACAGATTGATGTTCAACGGTTGTGTTTGTGAGTCAGGCTGACTGTCGGAAATCATGTCGACAGAGTCAAGACGGTTCAATCTCGGGACCATGGCGATGTTGGGCGAAGGGAGGTCCACTGTCATGGTCAGACTATCTTGTTCCTGAGTAGGTTGACTCTGAGAATCGGCCATAGTGGCAGCAAATGCTTGCGTCAATCCCATGGGAAGGTCATCAGACATCTGGAGACCTGGGATCTGCTTTCTGGCAGAGCGAGAAAGAGATTGAGGTGTTTTGGCCAGCGATGGCAGTCGGGGTGATTCGTGTGCTTCCGGGACGACTTCTTCTGCTTCTTCATCGTCATCGCTGAGCACCCGAGTAGTCCGGCTTCTCCTCGACGAAGCTTTTCGGTCTTGCTTGTCATCGAGGTCATCTCCCGGCCCACTGGCTGTCTCTAATTCATCCTCCGAGACGGCTTCGACCGGATCCTCTTCAGCAGCTTCATGTTCGACCAGATTCTCGTCTTCGGTGCCTTGGGCTTCATCCATCTCGTCATCGTCATCATCTCCTTCTCCTTCACCGTCTTCTTCATCTTCATCCGAGAGTGCTATTTCGTCTTCGTCATCTCCTTCAAAATCCCCGTCGCTGCCGTCGTCGTCGTCGTCGTCGTCTAGATCGTCTTTGGAAAGAGTTCCCTCCTTCTTCGCCATAGCCTTTTCGCGTTTCTGGATCTCTACAGCTTCCTGTCTTGCTCGTTCCAGGAGATCTTCTACTTCCTGCTGTTCACGTTCTCGCTCTTCAGCTGTTTGGATCATGACCCCTTTGGCTTTCAGTTCTTGTATCTTTTCTTGTCTCTCCCGCTGTGCCTGCATACGAGCTGCTCTTCTCAAAGATATCTCCAATTGCGCGGCATTCAGTGAGTTCTTTCGTTCTTCACTACCAATGAGGTTCGCCAACGATCTCAATGCAAGATGAGACGATGACTCTGTGGCCTTTCGTTTCGGTAGATGCTCGAATACTGCGTATTTTCGAACATCTCCTCGAGTGGTGATAACTTCAAGCTCCGAGTCGGAGTCATCATCATCTCCTGACTTCAGAGCGGCAAGAGACCATTTGGGTCGAAATGGTTTGACGGTTGGCTTCAGTGGAGGTTCTGATGAAGCCTCCAGTAGTGAGTTAGATGTTTGCTGGTTAACCTGGTGGACCGCGCCGAAACGCTTGCGATGTTCGATGGGTTCCTCTGAAAGCGCTCTACCCTTACCCTTGTCGAGTTTTGGAAGGGGTGCGACAGAGTCCTCTTCAGTGTTGCCAGATTCACGGAGCAAGCCATCAACATTGCTCCGCGGGTTCTTGAAACTGTCGAGGGTTGTCGTTTCCCCCGCCACAGGACTTGTTGGCGGCGTATCGTGCTCCCTGACCGCGTCGGTGTCTGATCCAGCTCGAGAACTGGCTGTGACCGGAGTCTCATTGTCTGGTTCAGGTGTAGTTTTAATCTGCATAGAGCCAGGCTTGGGGAAATTGAACCTAGCCAAGAGACTGTCCTTGGTGATTTTCTTTTTCGTTCTGGCCTGATGCGCAAGCTGCATGTTCCGGGTGAGTCGCTGGGTCTCCCGGTTCATTTCCTCTATAGCCTTTTTACTGGCCTTGCGCGTAGGGCGAGCTTGTTTGGCCAATTTTTTGGCTGCGTCATCACCAGAAATGTCGCTGTCTTCATCAGAATCATCTGCGGGACTTGAACCCCTAGGAATACGAGCTTCCGCTTCCTGAGACTTGAGAGCTTCCACTCGGGCAGCCTTCTTTGCTGCTTCTTCGGCCTCTTTCTCAAGACGCTGTTTCCTATGCTTTTCCACCAGGGCCAGAAATTTGGACTTCCCGGTATTTGAAGGTTTGTCTTCATCCTCAGACTCTGACCCTCCGGAAGCATGCCCTGCACCAGCCGCGGGACTTATGGCCCCCAGCGAAGGCAACGTGGACTGAGAAGGCGATGGTGAAGCAAGCGATTGTGCTGCCTGTCGAATGGGACTGCTCTTCCGTTTGGTGAGCAATCTCCGCCTCATCGGTGGCCTCGCTCCTTTACCCTCGTCAGAAGCGTTCGATGTGTCTTCTTGATGTGGGTTGGAGCTGGACTGTTTCTCGATACCGTTCGAGACCGTGGAGATATTGATGGAGCCCTGCAGCCGAGCAGCGATTCTGGACCGCGGGGCTGCATGTAGGATATCCTCCTCTTCTGATTCATCCTCCATTGGTGAAACGCTATCTTGACCAGCAGGACCTCGGCCATTCTCGCGTTGATCTGACTTCTCAAGAACCGGCGGCCTTGAGCCCTGGATAGGATCGTCCGAGTCGGACTCGTCAAATTGGGCTAACAAGGCGCGTACTTTTCGACTGGGAGTGAGGACGTCCGACAGTGCACTTTGCAGTGAACCCGCTGGCGACGGCGATCTAAGTGGTGAGGACATATCGGGTGGTTGTTGTGGAATCAACAGAACGAAGGGAGATAGTTCGCAATCATATCACCTATGGTAAGAATGTGTATGTGAAAATGAACAGTCATGGATGAGCCGCAGAAAAGATCTGGTGCTGATGTCCAAGCACTTTACATCGAGTCCTGGTTGTCCATCAATACCTAAGGTATCAGGTAAGTCGCGGCAGGAAACACGCGTATCCATCGCGTATCGCATCTCGGAGAACGCGTTGTGACGCCTGTGCGGGGAATTGGTCTTGCATGTCACGTGCATGCGCGCTGTACTAGTACATCAGTCGCCGCTTTTACGACGCGCTCGCCGGCACCTCTATGACACTTCCAATTGCCACCTCAACTTACAATCGGACCTACGAGGCTTCACAGAGAGACAATATCGATTGTCAGTATGTTTCAGCAGACCATTCGTCGGTTTTCCGCCGACAATATCCTTCGAAGGCGTTACAGTCATGTCTGATCTCGAAAGCCTGCGCAAGCGGTGGACTATCCTATACTCCCAGACTCTTCCGCAGCTGGCGAAGAGTCGCAGTCCCGTACAAGCAAAATGGCCCGTATGTCTTGATCATTGCTTTGCCCGCATCATCCTAGATTACGTGGTAGGGCTCGGCGAAAGACAGTGGGATCAGGTCATAGGCAAACCCGCCATAAGGAATATGAGCCAACAGCAACTGCATGATGCGATTACCTTGGGCAACCAAATCACATCAGGCGAAGCTGACCTCTGTTATCTTGATGAGATAAGTTTGCAGTGTAGGGGGAAGCACAAGGACAAACATAACGGTACTGTGAAGAGCAACTCTCATGTTCAAGTGGCACAAGCACCTGCCGGGGAAGGAAGTAAGAAGAGAACGATAACAGATGCGACCGAAGGCACTGAAAGTGTTTCCGACAAAAGAGCGAGGCTTGAGAAAGGGCAATCCACATTGCACTTTGTCGCAAATGCACGGCCAGCAGTGGCGACAAGCCAACCATCCTCTGTCAGCCATGAGCTGAAGCAGATGGTCCACAGCATTCGTTCGCATCCTTCACTCACTCCGTATCGAAAGAAGCTGTACCTTACGCTGTTATCGGTGCCTGAAGGTCGATACACAACTTATGCAGCCATGTCAGACTACCTCAACTCCTCTGCCCGGGCTGTGGGCAGTGGAATGCGCAACAATCCCTTCGCTCCCGAGGTGCCCTGCCATCGGGTTCTCGCAGCCAATGGTACGATAGGCGGCTTCCACGGTGACTGGGGGAAGGATGGAAAGTTTGCTGATAGGAAGGTTGAACTCCTTCGAAGTGAAGGCGTCAGGTTTGACGGGCATGGAAAGGTCGTTGGCGAACCATTTCGACTTTTCCATTCCTTCGGACAAATCGAATGAACCACTTTCACCCGTAATCATCCTTGTCGCAACCTTGACACTTTCAATCAATCTTATGCTGCTTCCGGGAATGGAGTTGGTCTACCCAAGAACAGCGGTTCAAACTAGCAGGATTGACTTTCTATGCCACTTCTCGTTTCGTGGAAAATGACTCTTTCAGGCTGTTCGATGCGTGGTTGTCAGGTCCGACGTGGCGCCGTTCCAAGCATCGCCAAACCTACGCGAGGACGTTCTGGATGCGGTGGCAACCGTTCTCAACACTCATATATACTGACTCTTCTTCGCATTATGTTGCTGTTATGAGTCGCACCTACAGTCAGCGATGGGTGCAGTCGCGACCGCTTAGTCCATCCCGGCGGCCTACCATTTCAAACTAATCGTCTTTGCAACCTGCCTAGCAGCAAGCTTAAACAAAACGACCATACAGCCACAACCACCTCGACGGATGTCAACTCCCATTGTCGACTCTATGCGGAAGCAGGCGGGCTCCTCGAGACTACCATGGCTTCCCGACGAGATCCTAATTATGATCGTGTCGAACCTTCTCGCACCAGAGGTCGTTCTCTCCAACAGTTCCAAACGGCTCGGATTCCTACGTCAGCAGTGCTCTGTCTTCCAACTGAGACTCGTGTCCCATCGATTTCAAGCCTTGGTTGATGGTCTCCTGGAGAAGAACTTCCCGGAAGCCATTTGGTTGGTGGGAGCATACCAGTCACAAACCGCGAGAGGCTGGAGGGAGGATGCTCAGAACACATTGTACAGCCTACGCATGATACTGTCTCCGCTTCTCCGAAGCCGAAAACCATTCAGCATGAAAGTCCACCTTCTCCCAGAGCTGACGAGCATGCGAGCTGAGGTTAACTGGGACGTCTCCTACCAACCACCAAACCCTGAAAATGTGACGCAGCGGCCGATGAAAGACGATTACACTGCCGCAATGGCCATGGCTGCACATCAGGCATCAGCAATTGTACTTTCACAAATGTTGAGGAAGGTGTTCGATGAGTATGATGACGCTACTCAAAGATGCGATGTTCATGTGATATTCTATGAAATCGACGGAAGCTCGTTGGATGCGTCGGCTTTTATGGCGGGACGTGCTCAACCCCAACCTGCCGTCTTGCCTTTCTGGGAGCTTGATTCTGTGGAAACCATTCTTCGCCATTGGCGATGGATCGGCCAACATCATCCGTTCCGCAGCTTCGGCCACTATGTTACTCTTCCGGTAATCGCAATGACGACGGAAACTGCCATGTCTGCAGAGTATGCATCCGAACTCTGCTCCAGGAGACTGAGCGGTGTATGGGGGTCTGGCTACCCTTGGATCCAAGAGTATAGTCCCACCATCACCAGGCGCTGGGTTCCGAGGATGATCTCTGGTCCCAGCATGCATATGTTTTCGTTGTGGCTTACTACACTTTGCCCGAGGTGGATAAGCGTTCGGTGCTTCGCCGTTCGAGCCGCGAGCATGAATGGAGTTCGTCAGTCTCGTGCGCTTCTACTCGAACGACCGAGTTCACTTGTCAATGTTGCCTGATTATTTATTGGTCCTCACGGTTCTCAGCACTGTATATGAGGCATCGTTGGTGCTCCGAAGAGCACCTTAGGGTTATTGGGAGTCTCTTTATGTGCCGTAGCCTGGTACCATTTGAGGACTGTCTCAAAGTAACGAAGACGACGACCTGGGACTTTCAATAACGGGCGTCGCATGGCGTGAACCGGTATTGAGGTGCCGCGTTGGGGTATCAGTACTTGACACTGGTTAAAAGGAGAAAAGGGACCTTGGACCACCATGGATACTCGTTGAAATCATATCTTTGTCTTCATGCTGCATATAATGCTGGCCTCTCTGGCCTAGAGGTCGTACAAGAACCTTCCCTGATCATGACTTCTCCACTGCCATTTCACTTCCCTTCTCTGGGGCCGCTTATGGACCGCGGCCGTGTTGTGGCCACACTGACCAATCCCGTGATTCCTGCTCTCTGGAGGAGCAGTGACCTTGGCATATGGTCATCGTAGTCATTGTGTAACACCCTCCTCCGGGGCTGCTGAATTCATGGGCTGCCATAGCGTATTTTGAGGCCGTTAAATAGCTGGCGTTCTCAAACTCGGGAACGAAGCGTGGCAGGAAATCCCAGAGTTCGCCCGATTCCCTTGCCCGTCACTCGAGTGAACCTTGACTCTTGTACCGCTCATAAAGAAGCGGCCGCTGCGATTGCGCCGGCTCCTCTGAAAGCGGCCTTGTTCGTCACCACAACTTCGACAGGATATTTCCATTCCATCAGATTCTTCCATCCTGTGCACGGTTAGCCTCTTCAATATGCAGCCCTTTCTCCGACACATACCCCAGTATGCAAACTTCCTGCCAAAATATTTGCCCATGTAGGGCACGATCACCATTGTAAGCAACAGCTCCAGTTGCTGCAGACTCTCTTTCCACTCTCTTTCTGCGTCGGTCTCAGAAAAGTCCTCGCTCTCGTCGTCGGAGTCGGATTCGGACGGCAACGAATCGATCTCGTCGTCCTCATCGCCATTGGAAGGATGGTCGAGAAAGGAGGCTGCGGCGTCTGTGTCGGACATTTTGTGCTGGTGAACTCCTGCCCCGGCTAGCGACCTGCCATGGGATCAAGAGGGGCTATAACCCTGGGATCGAAGGTTTGTCAACACCAGCCTGGACGTCGTGGAAGTGTGGAAGTGTGGAAGTGTGGATTGCAGTCGGTCATCGATGATGCGAACAACGAACGAATCAAAGACGATTGTAGAGCCTTCCGTATAAATGCACAGAATGTCACAGTCTGACTCAAAATAAAGCTGTCGCGGAGTGGATTTGCAGGCAGAGAATGCTTAAAAATGTTTTGTCAGACTGACTTCACTTTGATGCTGAAGACTGTACACGTGACCTGCGTCACTGGGTTGACTCACAACTTGGCCTTCGATTTGACAAAATGTAATCCGGCTGCACCATCTCCTTAACATCTACCTCTTCATCAACACTCCGCACATCGAAAGCCAACTTACAATTACGAGTCTTCTGTTCCGAGATCTGCCTGACACCCGCACAGCACTGAAAAAGAACGCAAATATGGCAGAAGTTGTAAGTAACGTCAGAGACTCCCCACACGCACACGCCGCAATGGAGGATTTGCATCTGAGACCTGATGCACCTCGCCCCACTGCAGTGAAAACAACTTCCCTTCCCGTCTCACATCCTCTTCAGGAGAGCAGCGACACTGACGCTTCATTCACCGATCAGCAGGAACAACCTCTTCACGAACGAAAGCCTCGCAAGTCCGTCGCCTTCAGCACGGAAGACACCATCATGGACGAGAACGGCGAGATCTCCGAGGCGCCTCGAAGCGACTCAGAAGAGAAGGTGACGGCGCAAAAACACACATCGCGTAAGGCGCCCTCCACGAAACCAAGCTCAAGGGCATCAGCACTGGCCATTACAGAGACAAGACTAACAAGTTCTGCAGCGCCCGATGACGCAGCCGTCGAGGAAGTGACCGACATGTTCGCCGGGCTGAACAAGAAGAAAAAGAAGTCGTCCAAACCCAAGGCCGAGGACGGCGCCGCAGATGGCGAAGGAGCACCTGCCGCGACCGGCGACAGCGAGTTCGACCCGACGGCGCTGAAAAAGAAGAAGAAGAAGTCCAGCAAGCCCAAGACCGAAGGGGGCGACTTTGCCGCGAAACTCGCCAGCGCCGGTCTCGAGGGCCCTGGAGGAGAAGGCGAGCAGAACGCCGACGCCGTGCCGCAGGAACAGACCGGCGACATGACCGCAGGCACGGGCATCTGGGCTCACGACTGCCCCACCCCCATCTCATACGAGCTCCTGCTCAAACGCTTCTTCCAACTCGTCAACGAGCACAATCCCGACATCCTGGCGTCGGGCAGCAAATCGTACAAGATTCCGCCACCGCAGTGCCTGCGTGAAGGCAACAAGAAGACCATCTTCGCCAACATCGCCGAGATCTGCAAGCGCATGAACCGAAACGACGAGCACGTCACCCAGTTCCTGTTCGCCGAATTGGGTACCTCTGGTTCCGTCGACGGGAGCAAGCGGCTGGTCATCAAAGGTCGCTTCCAGCAAAAACAGATCGAGAACGTCCTGCGTCGGTACATCGTCGAGTACGTGACATGCAAGACGTGTCGCTCGCCCAACACCGAGCTGTCCAAAGGCGAGAACAGATTGTACTTCGTGACGTGCAACTCCTGCGGGTCCAGGAGATCAGTCACGGCCATCAAATCTGGGTTCACGGCCCAGGTCGGCAAACGTAAGAGGATGAACGTCTAAATCACGAGACGAACGCATTAGGGGCAAGGGATGAAACCGAACCAAACCTAACAGCTATGATATGAGGGCTTGCCTGCTTAGAGACCTTGAGTCTTGCGGGGCGGTTGAGATGAGTCAAGGCGAGACGCCGAGTATTGTACCTTAGAATTGGTATTGAATGGAACGGGAGAAGCAGAAAAGCCCGGCTTTTTCACAATAGACTCATATGTCATTCTCACAACGCTGCAATGCACATTATCAAGTATATGAAGGTCAGTCGAAGTAGCCCAGCTCCTGGCTTTGGCGACTGCGAATGCCAAATTCCGGTAAGCAAAGGTTGGTCTCAAACCGCCTGAGCAGCCTGTCCACTCATAAAGGCAGAAAAGGCGCTGGCATTCCTCGTTTGCAGGTAAACCGTGCCGGGCCCAGTGAACTTGCACACCAGGCCTTCCCCACTGGCCATGCCGGAGATGATGCCACCGCTAGCCACGCGTTCGAGGATGTATTTGCAGTTCCAGGCCACCAGATGTCCATTGTCGACAATGTATTTCTCACCGTCCACAAGCTAGATTGCACGTCGAGTCAGTAGGGATGCTATGGCCTTCAGAGGCTTGCTGTAGCACGTGGCTTCACTCACGTCTTTCTTGAGGATCGCCCCGAACGTAGATATCCACAGAAGGCCTCTTCCCGACATCTTGTACACGAACAGGCCCTCGCCGGAAAACATGGCCTTGCCGATCCCTTGACTTTTGTATTCCTTGATGACGCCCTGCGTGCAAGCTAGAAAAGCGTCTCTCCCCACACTCCAAGTGTCACTTCCGCCCAGATGAAGGATTGAGATATCGCCCAGGCTGCTGGGGGCCAGCAACAGCTCGCCAGGACCGGTGAATGTAGAATGGGTCATCTCGCCTCCAATCAGCAACTTCTTCATACTGAACTTGACGGCTCCTTTCAGGGTGATCGAGGGGGACATGGCAATCATGGCCCCCGGTTTGGCCGTCAAAGGACACCCCATCGCCAGTTGAACGGTCAGAATGGAGTTGGAGTCACGGTGCGAGATGCGGTACGAGCCTCCATTGAACGTCCCTATGTCGTCTGCCGCTGTGGCTTGGGCGCCCACGAACTGACTCCCCTCAGGGACGCCCGGCAGTTTCGGCCCGCTTGGGGCTCTCATCATATTGCCAAACTCTTGGGTAAGCTTCTGAAGCCTCGGAGAAGCCAGTGGTTGTTCTGGCGTCGGCGGAGCAGCAAATTGGGACGGGGGAGGACCGCTGTACGAAGGCTGTCGGTCATGGAGGCTGGCATGGTCAAAGGTTGTCCGGTGGGCTGGTGCAGATGCCGGCACAGCGCCGCCATAGTTGTACGGTCTTTGCGCCGTCGGTTGCTGAAGCGGAGGAGGGGACGGGGTGTGGGCAACATTCGACAAGAAGGGAGGAGGGGGAGGGTAGTCGGTATGAGGGCCTGGTGAGGGACCAGATGGAGGAGGCGGAGGGAAGTAGTTGTTGGCTGGTTGTGAAGGCGGAGGCGGAAACGCTAGATCGGGCGTATCAGCTGATACTGAGGATCAGGTCTTCAGATGAAATCATACAGTGACCATTCTCAGGAGGAGCTGACGCGATGGTTAGCCACGCACGGCTAGAACTCCTAGATTGTGTGGAAGAGAAGGCATACGAGGATAATATCCTCCTTGTGGTTGTCCCGACCCTGGTGGAGGATAAGACATGGCTCGAAAAGATTGGGGTTCCAGACGGGAGGGGCACTCTCAAAGGGAGCAGGACAGCGCAGCAGAATAGTCCAAAGCAGTTAACAGGCGTGCAGGAATTCAGGAGATTCAATCAAGTCATGGGTGAGGTGTTGAGGCACACGGCGGAAGCAAGCAGTGGTTGTCAGACCGTCCAGTATAGCATCAGAAGCTGACTTGACCGAGGCCAGCGACGGCCATGTGGAGGAACGGAGGTAGATGTAGCATCTATCCATCTCACGCCGCGGGCTGAGACGAGTGAGCGTTAGCCGCCGATTGAAGATGCAGGGCCTACTAGTAAGGCTCCCAAGGCCTCATCTCACCTGCTGAGATGCTTTGGTTCGTCGTTGGCATTCACTGCAAGTTGTATGGCAGAAAGCGAGGGAGCTGGAGATGGTTGGTGGGACGGCGGTTAGGATGGGCGCCTATTATTTATTGTACAACCTATAGTACGAGGTGGACTATAGGCACCTGGACCTAGGATGCCTTCCATCGGAATGCCTATCATACCAGCAGTTGCAGGTGGAGATGACATTGTTGGGCTTCCTCCAAATTCCCTTCTTAGGGGCCAGGGAAGCCAACCCCAGCTATATGTTTGGCCACTAGTAGGTACCTTATCTACAGTCAAGGACAGCTACTACTGTCCATAAGCGGACCCTCACTGTTGGTCTGCACAAAGATCAACACTCAGCCTGATGGGCCTCACCAGCCTGGGATCTGCGCCATGCAGTGCCGTCTCCATGCCAGCCTTGTCTACTCCTACGTAGTAGTGATACTGGTGTAGACTCCGAGTCTGATATATTCTCAGTCGCGATAGGAATGGCGTACCAGGTCTGAGACTCCCATCATTTCTGGAGGCTACTAGGTATATACTTCCCTAGGTACATACTGCAGCCACTCGTCTCGGTGGACTTCCCCCGCAGCAAGACGCCAGAAGCTCTAGGGCGGCGGCGACCCCGATATCCAACGTTTATTCCCTTAGGCATACTGTACTATCCGATGGCACGGGTGCCACTGGCAGAACTGTCAGGAGGTAGAGGAATCTAACGAGTCTTGTCCCTGGTGGCGTCTCCGCTAATCGACAATAGGCGACGGTACTTGCCTCTACTATCGAGCCCAAAGTGCCAATCAATAATGGCCTTTTGAGGCCGGCAGACAACTTCCGTCCAAGCATGACAGATCCTCTGTCCCTAACAATGTGAGCACGGGCGAAGCGAATTCCAGACTGGGTAACCTCGGAAAAGACTTCAGTTAATAATGTTATGCTGAAGTCAGTCGTCAGTCTTTCTTCTTCCGCAGACTGCAGTGGTCGTTTTCTTCCTACTAATCGGATTCCAACCACGTCCGTAACATCAACATTCCCGCCTTTTCCGTCCTGTTAGTCTCGTCGTTATACTGCTCTCTCGGCGCTCGCGGACGCCAATTGCGCATTCGTTGCCGCCATTTGCACCCAGTTCCTGCCGCAGCCCTACGTCGACCCGTCACTTCGCTCAATGTCCACATCAAGCTGTCGGAGACGAAGGAAACCCTTGGATAGCTAGCACAAAAAGAGGAAGAGTACGGGGAAGAGGACGGGGGAGAGAACGTTGGCGGAAGGGTACAACATCATGCTAGAGTCGCGGAGGACTCTGATCGATTCGACTCAAAAACAAGAACCTTGACGGGAAAGCCAGCCCGGCATGGCTTCAGAAACAACAATGGAACACGTTCCGCTCGAAGCAGCATTACGGCGCCTCGAGCCTCGGTGGAACTATACTCTGATCGCTGCGTCCATGGCAGTGTCACTGCTCGGCGCCTTCACAGCCACTCAGATGATGTGTCAAGCACGCACCGCTCGATACTTCTCCGGCGTCTTGGTATGGACAATTCTGGGCAGTCTGACTTTCGGCTTCTGCTCCATCTGGAGCTTGCACTTCATAGCCACCTTGGCTTGCGAACTGGATGTCCGTGTCGGCTTGAATGTCCCGTTGACCATCTTGAGTGCCGCGCTGGCAGTGTCGTTCACTTTCGCTGCTTTAGCATCAGATCTCCTTCATGATCGATATCAGGGCTTAGTGAAGAGAAGAAAGCGCAGTGCCCGGTCAGACAGGAGAAGGGATAGAGCAGGAGATCTTGACTTGCCGTTTCATGACACAAATATAAGTACAGATGCTCTGTTGGGGCCTCGCGCCTCAGACCTTACAGAAGACGACGATGAATTAGAGGACACCACCGCGCTGGAACGCGATCGCGCAAACGGACACCTGGCTCGACCTCGACGCGGACGCGGAATGAGTCTGGGCCCTCTGGAAGAGCATTTCACTGGGTTGAACGGTTCTATTGTCAGACTTGAGACTGGCACCCCTCCATCCGTCTCGCTGAGTCGCTCCCCCAACCCCGTGGGAAGAAAGCCAGTTGCTTCTCAGTCCGATCTGGCTCTTCATGAGAACTTCGTGGATGACACCGACAGTCTCCCCAGAAGTTCGGTGGAGGAAGATGCTTCGGCACGGTCTTCTGCGACCATGTACTCGGACGGCACGGGCACCTTGAGCCTCCTGGGATTCATGAACTTCAGGAGCTCAAGAAGTACCACTTCGTCTGCGACAGATGCCCTGACCGGCATTGCCGGATTGATATACAATGGCGCAACTCCGAGAACCTTTTGCAAAGGATTTGTGTGGTCTTTATCTATCACGACCATGCATTACGTGGGCATTTTCTCACTGCAGATACCCCAGGGCTATGTCACTTTCCAGCCCTTCATCGTGCTTCTGTCGGCATCGATCAGCTGGCTGGTGTGTACGCTGGGCGCCATTCTCATTCCGCAAATCGAGGTCAATCTCACCCAACAACTGGCCTTTTCCGTGGTTGCAGCCGCAGGAGTTGCAGCCAAGCATTTCACTGGCATGTTCGCAACCACATTCTGGTCCCGAGCCAGCCCGAGCGAAGATCGTGGCTATCCGCCAAACCTGGCGGTGGCCGTGAGTTGCATTGCGATTGTAACCTGCATATTTGCGAATGGCCTGCTGGCACATTCGGCCACCGTCGCGCGTAACAAGTTGGCGGAGATTGTTCATACGAAAAGGAAGCTCTGGGCGGCCCTCGCGCAGAAACAGAACGCAGAAGCCGCTGCCCATGCACGCAGCGAATTCATCGCATCGGCATCGCACGAGATTCGCACTCCCCTTCACCAACTACAAGGCTACAGCGACTTGCTATCTCGGACCGAGTTGAGTGACGAGGCGCGACTGTTACTGCTTGCCATACAACAAGCCACCCGGTCTCTGTCCATGATCACGGCCAATGTCTTGGACTGGTCACGGTTGGAGAAGGGTGAGGCGGTTTGCCGCCCGACGAGTCTCGACTTTCGAAAAGTGTGCGAGTCAATTCTTACCATTCTGCCCAACAAGGACGAGGAAGTGGGCACGGAACTGATGATTGTGGTGGCCCCCGAAGTCCCAACGTGTTTGTTTCTCGACGAGACTTACCTGCAGCGCATCCTGATGAATCTTCTAACCAATGCCCTCAAATTCACCCAGTCAGGATATGTGCTCCTGTTGGTGGAAATGAAAGATGAAGCTCTAAAAGTTACTGTCAAGGACTCCGGCTTCGGAATCCCCGAATCGTTCCAACCGCATCTCTTCGAGCCGTTCAAGCAGGCTCAGACCAGAGGTGCCGAGCGAGGCACAGGGCTTGGACTGGCCATCATCAAGCAATTGCTCGAAAAAATGCAAGGCACCATCGACGTCGACAGCAAATGCCGGCAAATGAACAACGTGGGAGAGGAACGGTGTGGGAGTACGTTCATCGTCAACATCCCTGTTTCTGAGCCTGCAGCCACGCCCCGGTTCTTGGACGCACTTGGATCGAAGCGGCGGATCGCATTTTATGGTACCTCGGACGCGCGGTTTTTCGAGGGCCTTCAGATGGCGTGGAGAGCATTTGGATTGGATTCGGTACGCGCCGACCCTGACGACGACATGTCTGGCTTTTCGGGGCTTTTCTGGACAGATGTCACGTTTCTGCAAGCATCCCCGACGCTTCTTCACCGCTTACTATATCAACAAACCCAATTGGTACTGGTATCATATGACTCTCAATCACTCCTGGATAGGACGATCGGATCCATACCTCCAGCACACGTGATCCCCATTCGGAGACCATTTGTGTGGCACCGCATGATCGAAAACATCATCTCGGTGATGCAGTCAGGGAAAGCATCGGTTGGTGACCGGACGGTCCGATTCGCCCCGGTGGTGGACGTGGTCGACAACGTAAATGGAAATCTATTGAGAGAGGACGACTCAGCCACGAAGGATCTGATCATACTTTTGGTGGAAGACAACAAGATCAACCAAAAGCTCGGAATCAAGATGTTGAAGACGCTGGGATACAATGTCATCGTGGCAAACGACGGACAGGAGGCGGTGGAGAAGCTTGTTGAGCACGATCAGGACATCGATTTGGTCTTGATGGACCAGTCCATGCCCCGCAAAGACGGCATCACGGCTACCAAGGAGATCCGAGAGATGGAGGTGCGTGGAACTTTGGCTCGAAGGCGTCCCATCATCATGGCCACTGCCGTGGTCGGGCCCGATGCACAAGCATTATGTATGTCCGCGGGTGCAGACGCCTTTCTCCCGAAGCCGTTGGCCTTGTCCAAGCTGGAGCATACCTTGAAGAAGTACTTAGGGCGCGAGTGAGTCGCTTGGTCTCGGGAGTCAGAGTCAGGATGACAGCGCAGCCATTTCTCGCTGCACTATGATGCCGTTGACCATACGCCGTGCTTCACCGGCTATGACGACTTCATTCAGTCACGTCTTCCACTTGCAGAAAAGGCCTCTGAAGGCCACTGATACAGTGGCATCATCTGTGCAAGTGAGAAGCCACGCCTTGGGCCCGTAGGACCTAGCATGGGAGGTTGTATACTGAATCAACAGCAGCGCCCCAGTCACCCGGCCAGCTGAACCGCGGAGAGCCGCAGCTGAGCAGACATCGTTGTTATAGAGTGGCATTTCCGGACGGCGGCACTTTCAGTTATACACAGCTTTTGAGGTGGCAGACGTCGGGTAGCGACGGTGGAAGTCAGGATCCAGAGTTGGGATGTACTCTGCATATCAAAATCGCGCCGATTGGTATCGTAGGCGAACCAGACGCCGAATGGAAGACTTTGTCCTTACGCAACGGAGTCGAATTCCTGGGTTGGCCATGTGATGTAGTGGGATTGATTGTAGCACGACATGACACGATTTCAGACTTTTCCCCCTCTTGCCAGGCCGGATCTCACGCCCTTTGAGCAGGAATTGATTCCTGTTAGCAATCGATGAAATTGTCTCGACAACAACTGTACTTTGGGGAAGTGGAGATGATAAGAGGACGGAGTGTTGTCACTTAACGACCTAGCCTGATGGTACTGCGTCCCACCAATCCGCGTATTCCTGCGCTTAGGGGCCATGCGTCCATCCGGCTGCTGGGTCAAGGGTCAAGAGTCAGAGGGGGTGGAATGTGGCGACGACGTCTGCGGTAGAGCCGGGATTCGATCAGTGGACGCAACCCCCACAGAAACAGCGACCGGAATCGTGAAGGGATGGTGTCAGCGACGAGCTGCCCGACATCGCTGCTGATCGTATTCGTGGGCGGCGATGGTGTGAGGGAGGAATCGAGGTCTTAGTCGGAGGAGTGAACAGATGTAGCATACTAGTAATACAAAGGAGTAAGATTGGGGGTAAAGAGTCAGCGCAGGCCAGTACTAAGTGGTTGGGATGATGAAATGCATCTGTACAGGGATGCGATGATGCCCCAATAATCCTATAGAAAAAGAATGCGATTTGCCATATTTGCTTGACTTCTCACGGGCCTACAAAACGACTCGACCATCCACTCTTTTCGGTCTCTCCTACATTCATTCATTCTCTTGTTCCTGTTCCTGTACATACTAGGGGAAAAACACAAGCACGGCTATTATTTGTTCCTAGTCATCCTTACTTCACTTGACCAGCTGCGCTGACACTGCTTCTGGTTCTGGTTCTGCATTCTGCTGGGTGGCCGTCTTCGTCTTCGTCTTCGGCATTCACTTTTGGGACAAAGAACAGCAACAACCCGTTCAACCACCGAGACCTACGTTCCCCTTATCCAGGCTTCTAGCTCGACATATCCTTCCGCCGGTCCGGTTCTTTCTATACCCCGACAAAACCTCGTCAAAATGCATCCCAAAGCGCTTGAAAAGACATCCCCCTCAGCGGCCAACGCCAACGCCAACGCCAATGGCCATACCAACGGCACCGACAATGGCCACACGAACGGGCACTCGTCCCCAGTCTACGACATTCCCTCTGCGCCGTCGACGATCCGACAAAAGTTCCTCCCGCACCCCTCCGACCTGGGCGTGGTATTAGTCGGGTTCTCCGGCGGCCAATGCAAAGAAGGCGTGGACGCGGCGCCGACGGCGCTCGTGCAAGCCGGGCTCCTCGACCAACTGCGCGACGACCTAGGCTACAAACTGCACGGCGACGCTTCAGTGCGCAACTACAACGAGATGAAGCCAGCGTCGGACGAGCCGCACCGGGGCATGAAGAACCCGCGGGCCGTGTCCGCGGTGACGGAGACCCTGGCGTCGCAGGTGTACGAACAAGCACGGCAAGGGCGGATGGTGCTGACGCTGGGCGGCGACCACAGCATCGCGATCGGCACACTGGCGGGCACCGCGAAAGCCGTGCGCGAGCGGTACAACGGACGCGAAATGGCCGTCATCTGGGTCGACGCCCACGCCGACATCAACACCCCCGAGACCTCGGACTCGGGCAACGTGCACGGCATGCCCGTCGCCTTCGCCACGGGCCTGGCCACCTCCCAGGAACGCGACATCTTCGGCTGGCTCACGGACGAGCAGAAAATCAGCACGCGCAAACTGGTCTATATCGGTCTCCGCGACGTCGATCGAGGCGAGAAGAAGATCCTGCGCGACCACGGCATCCGCGCCTTCAGCATGCACGACATCGACCGTCACGGCATTGGAAGAGTGGTCGAAATGGCCCTCGCCCATATCGGTGCCGACACTCCCATCCACCTCAGCTTCGATGTCGATGCCCTCGATCCCATGTGGGCTCCTAGTACCGGCACCCCGGTCCGAGGAGGCCTGACCCTGCGCGAGGGCGATTATATTGCCGAATGTGTCCATGAGACTGGCCAGCTGGTCGCTATGGATTTGGTCGAGGTTAACCCGAACCTCGAGGTCGCCGGCGCCTCGGAGACCGTGAGAGCCGGCGTTAGTCTGGTGCGCTGTGCGTTGGGAGATACGTTGCTTTAAATGTCAAGAGAGAGATTGTATGAAAAGAACAAGACAAGCTGAAACGGGATGCTTGATGGCGCTTCTTGCTTCAATTGTCAAAAACATCACGGAATGAAAGAGGGAGGAAGGTCTCGCTCGAGTCGGATGTGTTTGGAGTCATTCGACACGGGAAAAATGCTGCGCAATTAATGTAGTTACATGTAGGTATGGAAACGAAAAGCAGGAGCAAGTTTGCTTGGCCAGGCTGCGAAAACAAAAGGGTGTCCCTTAGAACTCAGTGCTGTGTATATGTATATATCATGGATATTGTGTTGGATAGACTAGGTGTGCTTGGGGCAGCCCATCGGCTGTAAAATGACTTCAATATTAAAACTAGGAACACATCTAGATTTGAAGCCCGTCAAGTGAATCTCTGCTCAGCCATGGGGCGGTCCCTGGCTGGAGATGAGGGCTTCCATTTCGATGAGCTTGGTACACCTCTGCAAACAGTCGAGGCAGTAGTGTATGAGATCAAGCTAGCTGGCAACCACTCTATCGGTGACTAGCAGACGCCGCGTCTTCCTTTCATGGCTTCCCCTGGAATATAACTTGGCGAAGAGCCTTCTCGACATCCGGCGCTCGCATGTCGCCTCTGCGCGGATGTCTCATCATCTGTCCCATGAGGAACTGCAGCTTCCCGGTCTTGCCTTTCTCCACGATATCCTTGACATGCTGAGGAAACTTCTCGACGATCTCCCTCGCAATGGTATCATACTCGTCGGCCGACATCTCCGAAAAGGCAAGCTCCTCCTGCCGCACGATCTGGGAGACCGGGCGCCTGTCCCCGTTAAAGACCAACTTGAGAATCAGTTTCGCCGAGGCCCCGGTGATCTGCTTCTCTCGGAGCCGGTGTACGATCTCGGCCATGGCATCGAACGGCACAACCTTGCTAGACCACGGCCGTTCGTCAGACGAGAACAGGGATCCGAGTTCATGCAGCACCCAGTTCGCTGCCGTTTTCCCGAGTTCGGCTTGAGGCACGGAATGCGCCGCGAGGCTCGCCAACTCTGCAACGACTCTTTGGAAGTAGATCAGTCGTTCACCATCGTCGAGCAACACCAACGTCCTTGCGTCGGTGGGCGAGAGACCGTAGTCGTCGACCAGCATCTTGGTCAGATCGGTGGGTAAGGGGGGCAAAGTTCGTCGAACATAGCCGATCAAGTCGGTGCCGATGTAGAGCGGCGGAATGTCTGCATCTGGCATATACCTGTAATCGATTTCGCCCTCTTTTCCGCGCAGTCTTCGAGTCTCGTGGGGTTTGGTAATAGACCAGCCACGAGTTTCCCCTTCCACGACTCCACCGCTTTCAATGAGGCTGATCTGACGATCTCGTTCGGCTTTGATTGCGTCCTCGATGCCCTTGAACGTGCTCAGGTTCTTGATTTCCGTCCGCTGCCCTAGACCAGAGATTCCCGCGTAGGAAAATCCTCCGTCGAGCACATCCCGACGGCGCACAGAAACGTTGACGTCGGCTCGAAGCCCCCCTTGTTCCATACCTGTGGTGACTGCGTCAACAGCATACAGCATTGACTGGACCTTGCGGACATAAGCGGCGGCTTCGCGTGGGGAGTGCAGTTCCGGAAGCGAAATGATCTCGATCAAGGCCTGACCGCAGCGATTGAAGTCTATCAATGTGGTGCTGCTGTCCTCTTCTTGACTTCGAGCAGTATCTTGCTCCAGTTGCACTTGCTTGATGTTGACCACGACTTCACGGCCATCCTCAAGACCGTCCTCGGACGTTAGGACAACATGGCCTTGCACAGCGAAAGGGGTGTAATACTGCGTGATCTGATAGCCTGCAGGCTGGTCGTGGTAGAAGTAATGTTTGCGATCGAAGGTGCTTTTGGTGAGTATCGTGCATTGCAATGCGATGGCTGCGCGAAGCGCTGGCAGAACAACGGCCGGCTGAAACACAGGCAGGCTGCCGGGCAAGGCTATGTCAAATGCAGATATGTGACTGTTTGGCTCCGATGCTGGGTACGTATCTGCAGCTATGGAGCGTCAGTGAGGAGTTTTGAGGACCAGAAGAGTAAAATCTGTTACTGACTTGAAAATAGCTTGCGTGCCGCATTGAGCTGAGCATGGATTTCAATGCCCACCGTCAATTCCCAGTCAGGGAGGATGTCCGGACTCTCAGGCGGCACAGCTGCGGCAGCCTTCCTCGCCGCCTTTGCAGCATCTTTCAGCTCCTTGCGAAGAGGCGCACTGTCGTCCTGCCATCGTGGCTCAGAGCAATGAAAGCTGCGCAAATGCACATTGAGCAAGCGTCTAGGCGAACTGAAATTCGAGGTGTTATAGCGATTTAGCTGAACAAGCCGCCCATGTCTGAAGCAATGGAGAGTCCGACTCATCCATCTTTGCTGCATAGGCTGCCGCGGCTCCCCAGCATCGACGGGATAGCTGCAAGGTTGAGAGAAGAAACTAGATATGCGAGGGATGAACCGACAATGGTCACGATGTGAATCTATCAATGGCGTTTGGAACATTTACTAATTCTCCCGCAGTTCTCTTGCTCTGCCGTATACTATACGTCTCTACCCTTATGCTCCGCAGTTCTCACATTCGACGTCAGTTGTTGTAAACATGGCACAGATGGGGATTCAACTCGATATCGGACGCGGATCGACCAATATTTTCCAGCCTTGACACAGATTTTATGCGACCAAGGGATCCTCTTCGAGATACTTCACGGCTGTGATGCTCTTGCACCAAGGATTGTATCTTCCGTCCAAAATTATGCTGGTGCTGCCGTTATCTCGTGACTAGAAGTCCCAGTCTTCTACACTGAACGAAACCCAAGGGGCTGTACACTATCATCTCCCGCTTGTTTCCTCGTTTCGTGTCCTCGATACGGACACCTCGCCCTTGCGGCTGCGGCTGCAGTTCGGATAAGACTCCATGTGGTGTGGGTATCAATAACACCAGTATTGATTCATTCCCCAGCGTCCCAGGGCTGGGCCGTTTGATCGGCCAAGGCAGGGACCGGCCATGGCTACGTCCTTCGCCATCGGCGTGTTCCTGGGTGCTGGTGCACTCTGCTTCACTGGGTCGTACCTTTTCATGAGCAGAAAGCCCACGGATGACCAGCGACCGTCAGAAGGCGACGCTCCTCTGTTGAAGGAGCACTCGAACGTGCAATCCTACAAGACGGACCACGTCGAATACCCTGCAATCAGGACATTCTATCACCCACACGCTCACTCCCAAAAGCTCCAGGCCATTGCAGACCTTCCCCTACTAGTGTTCATCCATGGACTGGGTGGATCCTTACCTCAATTCGGGCCTCTGCTAAACAGCCTCGTGAACATAGCGCCATGTTTCGGCATAGAGCTGCCTGGCCATGGCCAGTCCGAATTTTCGCCAAAGGACTTTGAGGCATACACGTTCGAGTCGTCCACTGATCTATGGCGGACGGCTATCGAACAAGTGTGCCGTGAGCACAACCATCAGAAAGTGGTCTTGATCGGACACAGCATGGGCTGTTCAATCGCCGCCAAATTGACAATTGACAAGCAACTCCCGTTTGCCGTGGAGGGAATGATCGGCATATGCCCGAAAGCCACCCCACCAACACAGTCTGAGACAGCTTCGGCTCGACGCCTACTGTCACTTCCAGACACGGTGCTTGACATCTTACGACTGCTGGATAGAAGAGGGGGCGTCAACTCCAGAAGTGTGGAACGAATGGCTGGAAAGACCGCAGGAGTAGACCTGCGACGTTTGCAGCTATCGTTCAACAAGAGCTACAAGACGCCGGTCTGGAAGAGATCCGCGTTAGGCTGCCTGCCCCAATATGATACTCATGGCGATCCACACGGCGGGCTTCCGGGCAAAGAAGTATGGGACAAGATAAAGGTACCCTTATTCCTCATCGCGGGGGAATCAGACACAGTCACCAAACCTGGCGAGGTGACGAAAATCGTTTCTTTTCTACAAAAGCCCATGGAGCAAAACGCGCAAAACGCGCTCAGCAAGAGCAAATCAGTACCAGTGGCCGAGTCGGAACCACATTCCCCCTCTGAACCCGAGACCTCTGAATCAGTCCCTCCAGGCCCACTCGACGATGCCAGAGAAGACTCTTCGCCTACTACGAAACACGAGCCAACAGCCAACGACACTATATACGGCACGCGCCCGTCAACCAGCGAAATGTCAAGCCACAACTCAACCATCGTCAAAACAGCGATCCTCCCATCCCCCGCGGCCCACGCCCTCATGTACGACCACTCCACCTACCGCACAGTCGCGGGCCTGATCGAAGACTTCCTAGCCCGCTACGTCTCCCCCCAACTCTCACTCGGCTGGCAACTGCAGCAGCTAACAACGTCCGGCAAATGGGACGTCAAGAACCTCGAGAAATGGAAGAAAGTCATGCCCGTGTCCGGCCCCATCGGCCCGGACGGGATGTTCCGTGCCCTGAAGACCCTGCGCGAACAAGACGAAGAACACACCCCATCCGTCTTCGTGCGGAGATGGCGGGACAAGATCTTCGCGGTCATCGACATCTCGCACGACAGTCCTGTGTACGACACGAAGGCCCTCGAGCGCGGCGGTATCGAATACCACAAGTTCCCGACCGTCAGCAAGATCCCACCGACGCTGGTCGAGGTGGCGGAGTTCATTGCACTGGTGGATCGGCTGCGCAGTGAAAAGGGCCACGACAAGAAAGCCATCGGCGTCCATTGCCATTATGGGTACAATAGGACGGGATTTTTTATCGCTTGTTATCTTATCGAGAGGATGGGATATAGGCCACAGGATGCGTTGGACGAGTTTGCACGCGCGAAACCGCCGGGGATTAGACATGATCATTTCATCGATACGCTGTTCATGCGCTATCATGTCGGGCTGAAGAAGGCGCCAACTATAAAGAGTTCGCCGTAGAAGGGAGGGAAATCTTACTGTATTGTCATTGCATTGATAGGAGACGGCTTACTTGATTCAAATCATCCAGATCAATGGTCGATGGTTGATGCCAATGTTTGATTGATCAGTGCGATTACTGCATGGCTATGCTTGCTAAAGGGGGTAGAACCATATCATCTAATGGTGCAGTACCTATCTCATAAAGCGAGGGCTCGACTGGCTAAGAAAAGGCTCTTCCGCAAGACACTGCAGGTGACTTCCAAAGCGCCGGTAGTGCTGTTCACCTCAGTAGTGAATGTAGCAAGAGTCCCCGTTGTCACCTCTGTTCGCACATCAACCCCGTACCAATTGTGGATCCAATGACCTCGTCGACGTCTTCTCGTCTTCTCGTCTTCTCGTCCAACCCACGCGCGATGAGCGTGACCTCAGACACGCCTGAATTAATCGCATCAGACCCCTCACGGCATCTCTACCCTTTCCACCTGGGGTTGGGCTCACCCTGGACGGCCTTACAACAACTTCAAGTCGATAAACGCCTTAAGCACGGCCGAGTCAATACGGCTGAGCCATTCGTGCTCAAACGCCGCAGGACCACCAGCCGATTCCATGGCATGCCGCAACCTGGCAGCGATTAAATGGCGGATATTGAAAGTGTAGATAGGATCTTGGTTGCTGACGGCTCGCTTGCGGCTGTCTTCGGGCGTCGCGTCCGGCCACTCGGGGACGTCTCCCGGCCTGTTATGCCACAGGTAGTCGCCCTCGCTGTCGTCGGCTGCCTCCTCGCGCAATTCGACGACAATGTCGGTCCAGACGGTGAGCAAAGACTGGAGGTGTTCGAACATCAGCTGCGGGAACGGAGGTGTTGTCACGGTCAGGAGGTTGGTCAGAGCGAGAACCTGGAGTTTCTTGCGCAGGATGTCGCCGATGCTGTCGATCTGCTGCATCCACTCGATCAACAACCAGTGCATGGGAGATGGTGGGATTGTTGTGGGCGTAGAGGTCGATGTTGAAATGACATTGGCTGCGGTGACGGCTTGTACCAGTTTGTCTGGAGAGAGAAGTGCAATGCGAGACAATAAGGTGAAGAGGCTCGTCTCTCCGGGTCCGATGATCTCCGGCGGTCGGACATTCGGTCGTGGGTGCTCATGGTATTCATATGCTCCTTTCACGAGCTCGAGAAGGGTTGCGAGATAGCCTGTGCTGAGCATCGATTCGAGAAGATAGTTCAGCGCTTGCTGCGGGTCTAGTGCAGAGTACGATTCCAGGGATATCGTTGCGACAAGATTCTCCAGCACGTGGGGCGCCAGAGAGGCGTCTCGAGCTCGACTGGTCGAAAGCATTGGTAGGAGGGATTTCAGTGACGTGAGAAGCGATGGCAGGAATGCCGGTGACAACACCGTTCCGGGGGACAGGATGATGTAGGACTCCACGATCTCAAATATCTGTCTTAGCAGGTCGCTGCCCATCTCGAGCAGTGGGAGGAGTGATTGTGACAAGGCAAGGAGCTCTGGCGACGCTTGGTTGGTTGGCGTCTGCTGGAGGATCGCTGTCCAGAGGTCGAGCGCTTCCTCCAGCAGGTACACAATGGCTTCTGATTCCGGCTGGACGGAGTCGTGGATGATTGGCAAGATGGCATTATGGTAAGTCAGGCTTTTCTGGCCGAGACTGTTGACAATCGCCGTAATCATCGTCAATATGGCTTGCTTCATGAGATGTTCCTCGCCCGACTCTGCCCATAGCGGTGGTAGCATGGACATGATGCCTCCCGCATATGGTTCGATGTGGCCTTCCAGCTTGGTGACTGCAACTCTCACGGTCTCTAGCAGTGCCATCTTCGTTTCTGACAGTTCCGTCTCAGCAATCAGAGACATCAGACTCTGCAACAGAGGCGTGGCATATGGCTGGAAGTCCGAGAACTTGAATTCGAACGGTTCGAGCACAAGTCGCAGTTGACGGCCGGCTGTGACACGAACAACATGGTCATTTAGCTGTTCATTGCTGGAGAGCAAGTGGGTGAAGATCTGGTAGACAGCGACGCGGTCGAGGGTTTCTGGTTTCATAGGTACCCATTGGCCTAGGAGAATGGCTGTGCGCCGTCGTAGGATGTTGTAGTTCGGGTGCTTCATCTGAACTTCTGGCACCAGTGTTGTTTTCAGGAACGTGTTGAAGTCGAGGACATCTTCCAAACACGCCGCAGCAATTCCAACCGCCGAGTACAAGCTGTCTTTGAGCAGGACATTGGTGTTGGAGGTATTTGCGTACTGGTAGAAGACTTGCAGTAACTGTGGCACGAGCAACTCTTTGTAGTTGATCACGAGGTCAAGGAATAGCTTCTCGGAACAGGATCGGATCGAGAACTCCCATGCATCTGCAATCTCTTCTTCACGTCTTTCCCACTCATCGGGTTCTTGCTCCCACTCCCGCAGGTCGGAGGGTCGAAGCACGAAATATTGGGTCACCAGAATCTCCATGAGTCGAATCACGAAGTCCTGCGTCAGAACAGTGTTTTTCACGTAGTCAACAGCATTCTTCCTGTCTTCTTTGTCTTGCGGAGTTTGGTATTTGAACGTCTGCACAGGATTGAATACCATCTTCATACATGCTCGAAACAGCAGGAGAGCTTTCAGTGAAAGCTTCTCGTTCGGCGACTCTTCGTCCGCGTCTCCGTTGCGATAGACTTCCCAGTCAAAGCTTCCAGCCAAGGCTGACTTGGCATCGCTTCTGCTGACGATGTTCCAGGAATGATTCAGAATGTCCATGCAGCCAAGCAAGACAAAAGAAGCCGGATGACTTCGAGCCATATCGAGATATAGCTTCGCCAGTTGTAGCAGATGCTTCAACAGCATGGCCTGCACCTCTGCAGGAGGGTTGCCGTTGTAGGCTGTCCAGAATAACTGCTGGTGTGTCTGCAAAAGTTGCCAAAATTGTTGAACATGCTGCTCGCGATGTGGGCTTTCGAAGCCTACGACCAGAAGCCGTCTCAGGGTCTTGAGGGCTGAATGGCTGTTGCGAGCACTTGGGAGGTCGGGCTGCGCTGAGTCAAGTTGAGCTCTCGCCACCAGGTTCATGTACAGGGTCCCAAGGACTTCAAGGAGTTCCAGAGATACTTGTTGTAAGCTCTTCTTTGTCCGCTGTAATCGCCCTGAGGCCAGTTCTTTGATGATCTGCAATGTGATGGTCAAGATGTTGGATGTGTACAAGCCTGCTGAAGGGTCTTGATTGGCAACACGGAGTTGCTGCGTGATGACTGTGATAACATCAGGCCAATCCTGGGGAAATTCGTACCGGACGATTTTCGCCAACATCAATGCATTCTGGAGAGCAAGAGCAGGAACCGGCTCGCGGTCCCCTGCTTCTATCGCTTTGGTCCGGATCTGCTCTTTCTCATGCTTGTCAATGGCATTGGAGGATGTCTTCCGCCAGTATTTATCAATGCCGTTCTTGAGCTGAATAATGGCTTGAAAGCGAACATCGTTGGGGAGTGATAGATCGGCATAGACATCTTGGAGAAGAGCATAGTAACCAGGTGTCTTTTCCCAATTCCCGATCTGCTGAGTGACCGCTTTTAAGGCGTGAGCCGTAGGCTGAGAAGCATTAGTGAGGGTTGAGATGACCAGATCTCTTGTCAGCGGGTTTCTTTCGCCTTCCGCCTCTATGGTGAAGGAGGGCATATCTGCTGCACCCAGTGCTAAGTGGGATATCTGAGCATGACACTGGAGAGGAGCAGGTAGGATACTGAAAAGCAGCACCTGAGGCGGTGGATGTTGCAACAACTCTTTCAGAAATTGATGCTCTGAGACGAATGGTGAGACAAAGGACTGGCCAGTCCTCATTGGCTATCACAAGGAGTGTTAGTGTTCCCTTTCATCTTAGTGTCATGTTAAATAAGTCGGGGACAATTAACAGCGTATCATTCCCGAATTGCACTGTCTGACCTGTATCTTATTCGCGTTCAAGCTGTGCGTCCTTGGTTCGTTGTTGAAACGGGCCCGTCAGACCAAGGCATATTACTTCAGCCTTGGATGTCAACTATCTCTATTCTTTAGAGCCTGCCTCGGCTGCGCGAACTGCCCGCCCTCTCGACAAACCAATTTCAACTGTTCTCACGACATGAAGTCACCGGGACGCTGACCTTGCGCAACCTTTCTTCCCTTCCTTATGCATATATCATGTCAACAGGCAGCTTTGCCGCTGCCCAAGAGCGAATCCTAGCACGGCAAGCTGCCCAACAACAAGAAGCTCGTGCACGCCAACAGCAAGTCGAGATCGCTGGTGCCCATGCTTCCCTATCCCGAGTTGCGCACTCCTTGCGGCCGGGACTATCCTCCCTTTGGTCGACTTTGGTAGACTCCGAGGGTACAAGGCCCGCCTTTCGAGTAGGCCAGGTCGATGCGGAACTGCTTGACGAGGAACTGTTAGGGCTGTTGAAGACACAGGTCGGAGATGCGCTCAAATATCTGGGGTCACATCTGCAGGATGACTGGTCGCAAGAGATTCTCCTCGGCCTGAGGGTCGCCCTGTTCAAACTCTCCATATGGGACAACGATGCCTCTTATGGCGCCTCCTTGCAGAATCTACGATACGCCGACGCTCGAAAGGCCAGTCTAGCACTACCGAAGCCGACAAGATGGCAGAAGGGTCTGTACGGGGTTATCACCATATTTGGACGATACGGTTGGGATAAGTGGCAGGACTGGCTAATTGATCAAGAGCGAGGTTATACCAGCCCTTCAGAGGCGGCGCAGAGGCTGATGCGCCTCACCTCTTTGGTCTCGACCACCCACTCCATCGCTGCATTCTGCTCATTCTTGGTGTTTCTTGTCAATGGGCGCTATCGGACCCTCACCGACCGTCTTCTCCGCTTGAGACTCGTCTCGCCGTCCAACCAAGTGAGCCGGGAGGTGTCCTTTGAGTATCTCAACCGTCAGCTTGTCTGGCATGCTTTCACGGAATTCTTGTTGTTTCTGCTTCCCTTGGTTGGCATCAGTCGGTGGCGGAGGTGGCTTTCCAGGGCATGGAAAAGGGCTAAAGATGCCATGAGATCGGAAAATTCGGAGGCCGAAGACCAAAAGATCAAGACCGGACCGCTATCATTCCTTCCGGAGAGGACATGCGCCATCTGCTACCAGGATCAAAACCCAACATCGACGTCCGAGGCCGAAATACTTGGGGCCAATACGGGAGCAGGAGGTGGTGTGATCGGCTCTGCCACTACCGACATTGTCAATCCCTACGAGACGATTCCTTGCAGCTGCCTCTACTGTTTTGTATGCATAGCAACGAAGATCGAGGCTGAAGAAGGAGGAGGATGGACATGCTTGCGCTGTGGAGAGACCGTGTACAGATGTCGACCCTGGAGTGGCGATGTTCTCGTCGAGAGGAGGACAAGCAACAAGAATGGAAAGTCGGTTGTTTTCTCTCTTACAGCCGAAGAGAAACCCGAATCACCACAAGATGAGCCTTCAGAGGAGAACCCCGATATGTTTGAGTCTTCTCTCACCTCCTCCCAGTGGTCCATGGCAGAAAAGGAGTCGTCCAATGGTTAACGATTGATCCTATGTGACCACTTTTCGAAGTCGAGCAACAGTCGACTGTGTGTGTCTATAACTCAGCCAGCGCCGATTTCATTGGAACGGATCCGTTGGCAGGGTAAATCTGGCAATCTGCCGCGAGCGGAAGCTATTACTCCTTCGTGTGCCTGAAGATCAAACGCTCGACATTATGGAGGATTCATCTACCAAAGGCCTCGGAAGCGACGTCCAGACAACCGGAGAGCATCAGCGTATCAATGTCGCTTTGTACTATGCATGTCATGACCGACTGGCCATCAACCTACACTGGCAAGATCAAGTATACGCGCTACCTTTGCTGACCAAGTCGAGGAATGTTTCCTTGTCATGTCCCGGGATCACTCGTCCTCTGGTTGTCCTCTCCAGCTGCTTCAGCCGTTGTGTGCTTTGGAACCATGCAGGGTGATCTCTTGCAAGCCAGCCTTGAGGAATTCCGTCGCGCCACTGTACTCAATGGTCAACCTAGGACTGCTGCGGAGGCTGTTACGCTTACATTTTCAATGACATGGCAATGGTCACTAATAAACAAGAAGGTGCCGCTGTCTGGCATGTTGATCTGCATTCCAATCAAACCTATATGGCAGAGTCAGATTTGCTCTGCTTTCAATCGTTGAGGTCGTCCTACCGTCAGTATGGCCCGGCAAGTGATGCAACGTGATGCCCTGGCAGAAGTCGAACGTTCGGTCATCGAAGGTCTTCCAGTTGCTGTTGCATATCAGATCACGCTTTCCGCCCTCTCGCCAGGACACTTACAAGCTCAGTTTCAGGTAATGCTCAAGATAGACTCCCGTATCTGCTCCCGTTGCAACGGACCAAAATGCCGATTTGAGCTCTTTGTCATGGACCCAGATCTCGACATCCTTCCTATCCAAGAACATGTCCAAGCCTCCAGCATGGTCGAGATGCAGATGACCAATGATGATTTTCTTGACGTCCTCGAGCTTGTTCCCCGTAGCTTCGACCGCCGCCTTAAGCTCATGTCTGGGCTCGTATTTGACGCGGGTGAAAACATCGCTCAAGGCAGGCCCCCAGACCTCGGGATAGTCTTTTCCACAGCCTGTCTCCCACAGAACAAGGCCTTCGTGGGGATGTTCGATCAGGATACAATACATGGGCAGCTCCCTCCGCTTGTTGACAAAGGACTTGCCCTCGGTGCTCTTCAGACTAGTGTTGCCCCCACGCACCACGAAGCCCTCGTCGCATTCCAGCCATCCAACTTCCAGCACATGAAACTTTGTGCCTTTGGGACAGACGTTAGAGATGTGGTTGGGGACGGCGCCACGGTTGAGCTGGTCTTGAATAGCAGCCATGATTACCAGCGAGAAGAAGCAATCCCTACACAGTACAGAGGGCCGGGACCTAAAATCGAGGACGAGGAGAAAGAGACGTCGTAACAGTAGTAGCAGGAGTAGGAATAGATTGGAGCGCGACGACTAGTCCGACTGGAAGCACCACTTGGGGATTGTGATGTGATTCCGGCATTTGAGGGGCTGCTCTTTATCCATGGAACTGGCATTGTGCTGCCGGATGTCGCGCATATATTGCGGAGGCCCCGCACATCTAGCACATACCAAGTACCAATTTTTGGACGAGAGGCTTACCAATCTTTGGACGAGAGTTTACCGATCTTTGGACGAGAGTTTACCAATCTTTGGACGAGAGTTTACCAATCTTTGGACGACTCTCGAGCAACTTCTCCTCCGATGCGGAGAAGATCCGAGCCTCATCCTCTTACGAGACTCGGAGAAGACGTCGAAACAGCAGGCAGCCGGCGCGAGACTCGTGTATCGAGACGTACATGCCACCGAGAGGTCGTTCCGAGATTGCGGTTCTCGAGTACGTTCATGTTCCCACGGGGTTATTTCGGCCATGCCCTCCTTTTCTGGGGAGACATTCATTCCCCAACAGCCATACCGAGAGGGGAACAGCCGGATGGCATCCATGGAAAAGGTGGAGGAACTCTTTGCCAGCTCCTGTGTGCCGCATTTGCTCTGCCTCGGATCTGTCGACCCAGATATCTGACCATATTTACCTAGGCATCTTGAAGACCTGATGCCTGGCAGAGGTTGTGGTGCCCATGCTCTATTTTAAAGTAATGGCAGAGGCATGCTTCGTTTCGCAGGATAAGTGGTGCTCACTCTGGCAGAACGGCGCCCTTGCAGACAGAGCTTGTCAGCCCTTCCTTTGGACACGGACTGCTCTGATACTTGAATCTCTCTTGCAGGTTGCACATTGCAAACCACTGAGTAGATGTCCGGCGCTTGATATCCCTTGGGGTCGAAACTCGTGGAGTGGATACTGTATCAAAGCAGCGGCATATGGCAGCCCAAAGCGGCAGTAAACTCCGATCGGGCCTAGCTACTTGCTAAGTTCACTAGCGTGTGTTATGTGGCTAAGTTGTGCCGAGTGACTGAGCGTCTGACTCCCAATTGTCGCTCTGTGATTCATCACTGACCCTTTCAGTCCATCATCACACAACCTCCCGCTTTCACCACACTTGCCATAACAGTTCCATGTGTAACCTCGGACAGAGTCATCCCTTTCTGCCTTTAACGACGTGGAACATTGATACTCAGCTACCGAAGCTATGAGACGACTCCCTTTACCGTCCCCGAACCCATACACAATCAACCCTCTGTAGTCGCCACCTACCAAACACGTCGAGAGCACGCCTCTCTCTCAACTTCATATGCCAGACGACCAAGACTCCCTTTCATGGGATCTCGGTTCCGCAATTGATCTCCTGAAAAGCCTAAGCCTCCCTAAGTACGACCCGACCTCAGCTCTCGAGCTCGTTACGCCTCTCGCGCACCAAGATGCAGACCGCGAGGAAAGAGCCGAGCACAGCCTCGGAGACTTCTCCACGCTTTGGGACTTCTTTGGCCTGCCTCCCACAACAGACGAGCAGCAAGACTCCGAATTGATCAAATACGAAGTCAACAACGAGCCCGTGGCCGAGGTTGAACTCGATCACCTGAACAAGGGTGTTCGGTGGCGGGATGAAGTGGATGGCACAGACCTAGAAGAGACCGTTGCATCCACCAAAGTTACCGCCGCATCCATTCGCAACAAGAAACGGACCGAAAGAAGAGCAAGGGCGAAAGAAAGAGCAGAGAAGCTTGTCGCTGAACCCCAACAGAAATCTGCCTCGGACACATCTGATCACGAGTCCGGCGAGGAGCTTGAAGCTCTCCGCAGGTCTCCAGACCGGAGGGGTGTTATCGATGATATTATCGGTCGCCATAGACCGGCCATTCGTGACAGCTATTCGCCGCCAACATCGCCATCGCCGCCCAAGTCAATTGTCAGAATTACGAAGCGGAGTGGGCCTATTTCCAATCCATTTCTTTGGACTGCTCCTGGCGTTCCTTCACCATCACGCCCGACAGTCATTGCTCCTCGCGATGGACTGTCCCCGAGAGCCAGGAAACAGGCACTCATTACGGAACTGATGCGTCAATTTCCTGACGAAAAGAAATATTTGAAGAACTCTGGACTTCTGGAGCCTGCATTTACACCTCTGAATGTATCCAAAATTGGGATACACGTGTTCGTTGACATCTCGAACATATCCATTGGCTTCCACGATTGCTTGAAACTAGCTCGTGGCATGCCCCGAGAGACACGACTCAAGCGTGTCCCGTTGTGTTTCCACAATTTTTCACTTATTCTCGAACGAGGCCGGCCCGCGGCCAAACGCGTTCTCGTTGGGTCCGATAAATCCGCCGTGGTCCAACAGGCCAAGTCGATCGGCTTCGAAACCAACATTCTCGAGCGTGTGCATAAGGCCAAAGAGCTGACGCCGCGGCAAAAGAAGTACCAATCCCGTTCTGCCGGGGAAACAAGTGGCTCTGAAACGAACACGACTTTCCCCAACACCAACACTCCGACGACGGCGGAGAAGTGGGTCGAGCAGGCTGTGGACGAAATTCTGCACCTGAAGATCCTCGAGTCATTGATCGACGCTGAGAAGCCCAGCACCATTGTCCTCGCCACAGGTGACGCCGCCGAGGCCGAGTACTCTGGCGGCTTTTTGAGGATGGTCGAGCGTGCATTGGAAAAAGGCTGGTCTGTCGAACTGGTCAGTTTCAGGCTCAACACTAGTAGTCTGTACAAGAGGAAGGAATTCCGGTCGAGATGGGGCCCGATGTTCAAATGGATCGAACTCGATTCGTTTGTTGAGTTCCTGATTGACGAGGAGGAGGACTTTTAAAGAGAAGTGATTGTGCAATCTTGCTCGGGAATTGCTGAGTATGTTGCATCTTGACCGCTCGAGTGCCGAGAGACTGGATGAGAGGATCATGAAATACACAGCAGGACCTAGAAGGTCCTGGGTACCAGCTTGCGCGAAGCATAGCGAGGTCTATGGACTTTTGGGTGCTTCTGTTGTTGTTTAGGTCTCTTGTCCGGTATCCGGTGTTTCTCGTCGCATGGTGTCCTTTGGCATTCCGCCGACAGGAACTTGCTATAACGATCCCAGCGAAAGTCTAGACACATCATACCTGGACTATTGCCAGGCACATTCTTGTCGGACAGCGATACTGAGTTCTTTGATCAATCATAATCATGAACCTCCCACATTTATCAATTTATCGGTACCTCATGGTTGAGTTGAGCGATCTCCTTCCGCCATGTCTACTTAATAGTGTTCATCTTCTTTCATCTCGGGCTACTACTCATTGTCATTTCGTTCCGGAAGCACAGTCGTTCCGAAAGCACAGGTATCTACGCAGAGAATCCTATCTACTTCCCGCGACGCTGTCCATACAACGCCATCAACGACCTCTTCATCTAGGAAGTTATGCAAAGTCACGGTAGCCGTTATTGCGGCTTCCCAGCAGTCTTGTTGCGCTTGGACGCGTTTTGTATTGGCATCGGAGCCAGAGATGTCGCTGCCTAGACGTATGATTGTGGTATCGTCCAAGATTGGTTGCCATATGGCGCGCCGCTCTGCTTAGAATTAGTTAGGTATAGGAGCGAAAAGGAAGGAGCCATACCGGTTGGTATTCGTAGTTACTCCTTCATTATGATGTTGAACGTTAGGGGGAATGCTGCCGTTATGATCTTAACAACACCTAGATCGTCAGAGTTTCGACATTTGATGAATTCCTCAACCCGCCACGAATGTATAAGCACATTTACTCTCTTCCGTTGAAGCTCATAGTCGGTCCAGTTGATCGTATAGACCTTAAGCACCTGCTCAATATGGGTTGAACGGGCTCGGGCCATCAAGGCGTCCTGTACTGTATGCGAGATCTTCTCAGCATTTCCTTGGACATCCGACCACATTTCATTCAAGATGGTCTTTGTGCCCTGCGCTAATGTGTGTAGACGCTGTTCAGCACTGTTGAGGTCATCCACTTGCTTTGTCACGGCAGCCTGCAATTTTTTGGAATATTCCCGTTGTGGTTCAACGGCTGATCGAAGTTCTTCCCGCCTCATATGCCTCTCTTGCTTAAACATTCTGGAAATTACCGAGACTGTATTCTCTGGTAAGCCCGAAAGAGTAAGACCCGAAGTCTCAATATCGTCATCCGTAGGTATGGGAATGTCAGGAGGGCCGGCGAGGAGATATTCAGGGATCTTATGGACGACTGTGAGCAGCGTCGAGGTTTAACGCCTCGATCTTCCCTCGTAAAGAGAGATGCTTCTTATCTGGTTCTTGTAGTACTTTTCTGAGAAGCCCTGCCAGCCGCGCATCACGTTTCGGATTCATCGTAGGGGCGGTCTTACGTACTCCGGGCATTAGGTAGGCTTGAAGTCCTAGATAAAATAGGTGTAAACCACCTCAGGGTGGGGTGCAAATAACTAGTGCCACAGGGTGCACGGTTAAGGGAGCCTTTGCTGCGGCCAAGCTGGCGGACCCCTGGTGCACTGGAAGGAACTAGCGATGCAGGGAGCAAACCAGAGCCAACCAGTCATGCTGGAGCCCGGTCACTTTTTTCCCTGGGGATGGTTTCATCATCATAATTTCCATGTCCTTTTGCCATCATATCTTTTTGCCATGGAGCTGCCAGCGTCGGTGTGAATACTCGGGTGTTTCTTTTTTGACATCAATGGAAAAGTCCATCTATCTTGGATGAGAAAATAGCTTCCTGGTTATTCATCCACACCATCATCGATTCAGGCGGTCGGACCGTTTGGGAAATCTCGGGACTACCAACTTCATACGGCTTATACGCGTTCGCCCAAGTCATCAGCATTGCTCTGCGCAAGCTTGACCTCATGTCTAGAGCACGGTCAGACAAGCTCAGGAGGCCAAAGGACGTCTCAGAGCATGCCCATGGCCCTCCGATCGGGACAGACGACTAGCCTGGCCCCCGAGTCCTCTGTGATGGCAGTGCACAAAGCCAAAAGACCCCGACCGCCCAGCCGACACTCCAGCGATCGGCTCTCCATCGAAGAGCTGTCCCCAGACGACATGGGCTATGATGGCGACGTCGAAGTTCTTCACCCGGACCAGTACGAGGAACCGGAGTCCGAGTTTGAGAGGGACAGCGGCAACGGCAACGCGTTGCTGAAGGTGAAGGTGAAGGTGTGGCCCGACACGGACGACGAACTGGCCGGCCGACTGCGCAGACTGTCATGTGAGCCTCATGGGCCGCGAAGCCCTGGTCGAGACGACAGCGATCGGGGACGCAAACGCAGGTCGAAGGAAATGGACGTCGACTCGGACCATCACAGTCCTCTGGGCAAGCGCACAGTGATCGAAGTGTCGGAGCTGGTGGACGCGAAGACCAACCAGCCTCCCCTCAAGCGAAGGAGGAAGAGAATTATCATCAACAAGGCCAGCATCGGTCACCGGCTGATGAAGAGGCAGGTGCAGGTGCTGGGAGCCTGGTCGGACAGCTCGGACAAGACGGACGACCTGGACGGCGGGATTTTGTCTTCGAACCCGGGCACTCCTGAGGCGGTGCCGACGCTGGCCCCTGAACAAGGGGAAGGGTTTGATGCGATGGACATGGGTTAGCACGGATTGCATTTATTGCAGGCTGGGAGTTATGCGTTGCTTGTTACGAACAAGATTGGATACCTACCTTACATACGGTATATGGATTGTGTTGCTCGAATGAATAGGGATATTTCGGCAGAAATAGACTAATTGCCTGAAAGAGCATTAAGGAGGTTTCGACTTGCAGCTCAGAGCGGGGTCAGGCAGTGCTAGCAGCCAGCCACTAAACCCGTTGCAGTCCCTCTCACGTCATTGGAGGTCCCGAGATGCAAGTTCCTGACTAGCATCGGAACAGCCAACAACCATTCAGTGTTCTTTACTCAATTGTCTCACTTCTGACAAACTTCAAAATGTGTCCATTCGATTCCGGAATTTGCCCTCCTACTCCTTACTTACATCATGCGCGGTGCCACCGTCCAGTCCCACTGCAGTGCAGTACTGCATGCCGCAGCTTGCGCCATAATGTGGAGGCGCGCTTGAAGAGCTGCATCCCTGCCTTACCCCAGTAGTACGTAGAAGACTGTCGTCGACCTCCACAGAACTGAAATGCACCCGTGGTCAGATCCAGCTCGTCCGTCTCTCAACTTCCAAACTTCCCATCCTAACCGTGTACTGTTTGCGATCGTCGACATCATATCTCGCGCAAATCGATTCCATCGTCTCGTATCCGATCGTTCCGTCGCACTGAAACACCAGTATCAGCCATCATGACAGGAAGACGCTCTTCCGCGCGAATTGCCGCTCAATCGCAGACGTCTTCGTCCCCTTCACAACCCAAATCGTCGCCCGCAGGGAAGAAGCGCAAGAATGAAGCCACGGGGTCTTCACCCACCGCGAAGCGCGGCCGCAAAAACGCTGCGCCGGAACAGAAGACCCTAGAAGAGACAATCCAGAAGTAAGAAGCGCTCGCTTGATGAATCGGTTGTAACGGGTTGTGCTGACCGTTATTTGTACTAGTGGCGGCCATGAACAGCCAGAACCTGCAAAGCCAACGGACGAACAAGAACAAGTTGACAAGACTCAAGACAAGCCAGAACAGACTAGTGCTCAGCAGACCAATGGCGATAGTACTGAGGCCAAGGAAGAAAAGGAGCCAGAGGCCCAAGACGGCGACGATGCCAAAATGACGGGCACCGGTGAAGAAAAGATCAAAGATGAAGAAGAAGCCACCGCTCAAAAAGAGGAGACGAAAGAGGACGAGGCGGCGCAAGAAGAAGAAGAAACGAAGAAAGAAGAGAGCGCGAGCGCTAAGCCGAGCGAGACCAACGGGACTAGTACCGCCGTCATCCCAGACGGCCGAGCAGAGGAGGATGTGCCGTCCAGCATCCTCGAGAAGGGCATCATCTACTTCTTCTTCCGCGCGCGAGTCAACGTCGACGACCCTCAAGACGTCAACGACATCGCGCGGACGTATATCGTGCTGCGTCCACTTCCGCTCGACGCCAAACTCGGCGATGGCCCCATCGGCGACCAAGGCAACTCGCGACTCCTGGCGCTTCCGAAAAAAGTCCTCCCGCGCAGCGGTCGGGACCGGTTCCTGGCCTTCGTCGAGAAAGCCAAGACGAGCTTCAGCGAGCTCAAGGATTCCTTCCTGCCGGGCTCCGACCACGTCACCAAGACCCAGGGAACAAGCCATACGCCGCCGGCCACTCCGCTAGCAGAGGGCGTCTACGCAATCACCTCGACCGGCCGCGAGTCGCATCTGGCCTACATCATCACCATCCCGGGCGAGCTGGGAGAAGTGCAGAAGGAATTTGGTCTGCAGGAGCGCGGCAGCTTCGTCTTGAGTGTCAAGAATCCCACCCAGCCCGGGCCCGGCAACACGAACCTGCCCAAGGGGCCGGAGTATCCGCAGGAAATCCTCGACGAGTTCCGCGATCTGCGCTGGAAGCCGCTCGACCCCAAGTATTTGGATTATCCTAACACCCAGGTCCTGATCATCGGAGGACATTGGGACAAGGCGACCGAGCAGAGACCCAAGGATGACCGAGAGAACAATGCTCCGCCGGAAGAAGAGCTGGACAAGTTGGAGGGTGAGGATGAAATCCGAGTCAAGCATCTCAATGGTAAGCCACACCAACCTTTTCTGAAGTTTAGATCCCGAGTGGCTGACATGCACCTCTTCCAAGGTGACGATGCCGTCTTTGCAGATCTGGGAGTCGCTTCTAAGGACTTTCCCAAGGTTCCCACGACCTGGTAAATGCTGAGCCTGCGAGCGGCCAGTGTGGTTACGATTGATCAATGGATTATCATGCTCGTGGGTTTCGGGTTCTTGCAAACTAGAACGGTCCTGCGAGCCTGGAACATCCACCTAGACAATTGCGTAGGGCGGCATATTTGAGTCCTTTGTCCGGTTACGACCAGGATAGTTCGTCAAAAATACGCAGAGACGTAGCTCAACTGTGGTATAAAAAAGACTGGATGGATTAACGGTGCTGTATTATAAAACTGAAAAATGATTGATCCGAACACCCCAGAGCAGTGTTGTTTCTTGATAATAAGTATACAATAGTTCTTAAATTGCCTGTGGAGCATGACGACCATGAGCCGTGATCAATCATACCCAAGGCACCCAGAGACCCTGTACGTACAATCTTCGATACGGGGCGAGATAGAAACATTCTGTTGCATTGGCTTGTCAGGGGACATGGTTGCCCACTGAGATCATCGAGGGAAGCAGTGTAACATGATCAAAAGCAAAATGAACTTTCACATGGTGAGAGGTTGTAGACACAAAAAAGATGGACCGCTGCATCCACTAGCCCCCAAAGAGAGGCTGGATGCCGCGGTGAGTAGAGTGTCAGAAGATTGTGGTTTGATCTTCTTTGCACCAAAATAGGCCCATATCCTGGGATAGCTCCGCATGGAGGGATAAAGGCCAGAGTGTTGGCAAAGGTCTCCATTCTCCACTGGAAGAGAATTGAGTGGGAAGTTCGGAGGGAAGGTGAAAGGCAACAAGAGAGGTCGTTCACCAAGGATCCGAGATGATCAAGTAGTTGTTTCCACACAACACCATGAGAGAGATGAAGATGCACACTCCCACTTGAAATTAACAAAGAATGACAGCAGTGTAGTTTGCAGAGCGCGACCAGAAGAAACGAGAAAGGAACATTCCTGACGGTTTTATTTCGAGAGATCTCTGATTCCTCTTCAGTCAGGAACATGATCATGGGTATCATCGCACTGAAGTTTTCATTTTTCGAGGAGGGTTGCCCGTGCTGTGCAATAGCAGAAGACTGGGAATCTATTCTTCGGGGACTGTACACATCTGTTAGCATTTGCCAGAGAAAAACATCCTGAGTCTTCATCATGAGATCAGTCACTCACCCTCGATGTTGCCTTCCTTGATGTCGTCGCTGATCTCCTTGGGCGACCGTCCATCAACCTGGCATCCAACGCTGAAAGCAGTACCAAGGATCTCCAACACGGTACCCTTCAACTCGCGGGCCAACGACTTGTTGGCGGCACGCATGGTCCGGGCAATCTCGATGATCTCATCAAGAGAGATCGACTTGTTGTGCTTGATGTTCTTCTCCTTCTTGCGGTCCCGCGGTGGCTCCTTGAGAGCGCGGATGACAAGGGACGAGGCGGATGGCACGACCGAGACGGCAGCTTGTCGGTTTTGGATGGTGAGCTTGATCGTCACGCGCAGACCTTTCTGTTCCGATTTGTTAGTCGATTGTTGTCCTTTGAGCCAGTCCCGACTATTGCCATTTTGCGAAGCAAATGCAGTGTCGAGGTCGGCGGAGAAGGAAAACGTACCCAGTCGCCGGTGGCCTTTGCGATATCTTCACCGACCTTCTTGGGCGACAGACCCAGGGGACCGATCTTGGGAGCGAGTGTTGCGGAGGACCCGACCTCACCACCGGTGGCACGGAGGTGGCTACAAAGCAGATTGTCAGCCTGGAATTCTTGCTGAATCGATGGATAGACTGCGCAGGAATTCAACTTACATGATCTTCACCTCATTGGGGTCAATCTTGGGAGCTGAACATCAATTATTAGCCGCCGAGCCGAAGCTGCTCAAGAAGACGATACTTACGCATGGCGAGTGCGGAAGGTAGTCGGTCTTTCTTGAGATGTTAAGGACTGTCGCACACACTGGAGGAGGAAGAATAAGTTCGTGACTATCTGGCAACGACTTCGAGGATACCCAAAAACATTTTGGGGGATGCCAAGACCAACCAAAATTGTGCGATACGCCGCCAAACCAACGCTTGACCTAATTGGGCAGATCATGATACGGCGGATCATAAAGACGCAGTTATCCCCTGGCACGACAATCACAATTCAGCCTTGATAGCAACAAAGCGACCATGTATCGAAGGCACCCAGAGAAGTTCCGCACGCAAGTTTCTAAGAGTCTCATCTCATTGCATCTCTGTGGATCTACATGGATTTCAGTACCCGATCTCAGCGGGGCGCCATGCAGAAAGGTCAAGACGCTTCGAAGATTGCAACGTTTGCTAGCGTTTCGAGTCAATCATGCCTTTGCTTGGTGCTGTCAGGGCTTGCCAAATCGTCTGTCCTAAGCAAATCGTCGTACACCTGGCCGCATCTAATGCTTCTAACTCGAACCAGACACCGCAAGTCTAAAACAGTCAGCACAGTCTACGGTAACGTGGAGGAGATACTTACTTCATGAGGTGGTCCATGAAGGTCTGGAGCGACACATCATCGGTGAAAATGGTCTGTGCAGTCTGAGAAACTCCTCCATACCCTCCTGTCGCGTGGGTGGTTGAAGGGTTCAGTTTTGAGAGAAGGAAACGGGCCTGAGAACCGCCAGCGTCGCAGATAATGAATCTAGGCAACGGAAATCGATCCTGGACAAGTTCTCGGGCATCTTCTTTGGGCGCCTCCAGCAATGCTCGGAAATTTTCATATCCTTCCTGATCCTGATAACCGGCCTTGCGCCATTCAGCGATTGTCTCGCCATGGTAGATGAGGATCTGGAAGAAGGTATCGAGGAGAAGGATAGTGTGCGGCTGGATGGATGCAGAATCGAGCAGGACCGGCTGTCCCCCTTCATTCTCCAAGCTGTAGGAGTCGAGCGTTGGCTGAATCATGATCAAAGAATCGCCCACATACTCATGATTGAGAACATGTCGATAGAAGGCAGTCTCGTCGGGCGAGTTGTTGAACACCTGTAGAAACTGTGATCTGCGCAAGTGAAACATGAATTGAGGATACAAAGTGAAGTTCTTGTCAAGCCGGAAGGAGGTCGGATCATCTTTGCGGTAATCGGCAAAGCGCGAGCACAGTCGAATTAACATTCGGTCGACCCAGCGCAACACATCTGGACCATCGTCAACATCCGCTTTGAAGACCGCGATCCTAGCCATAAGCACGGCAGCTGCCTCTTGATCAAAGGACTGAGCCAAGGCTGGGTCGCCCGCCGGGCCACTTAGGTTTCGTGCCACAGTTGTGACACGGAGATGATATTGTCCAGATGAGTGTTGGTAGTATGTCAAGAACTGCATCATGCCTCTCTGAGGGCCTTGTTGGACGGGCGTCGGTCCACCTTGATTGGCGACCTCGAAATAGATGCCGTAGCTGGAAGTAGGATCAATACCGCACATTTTCCACAGTGACGTGTTTCCGATACCACATTCCGTTTCGCCAACAGAGCTCGACTTCTTGTTTTGTGAGACTGCATGGCCGATTAGGCCGGTCACCTTGAGCTCTTTGGTGGTGATAACTTCCAAAGACGCATTGAAACCCATGAGCAGATTATCGGTTTCATCTTTGTCGAAGACTCGCACGAATGACTGCTTGAACTGAGACGAAGTGAAACTATCCGTTAACACCATGTGGCCACCAGTAGAGTTTGCCAGTCCCTTCATCTCGAGGAGGCCAACTTGGTCAAGACAGCCAACATAGAGGTCGATAATATGGCCATTGTGGGCAGTGCGCTTCGCCAGGTTTTCATAGAACTTGATCGCCTTCTTAAAGTATTTGACATTGTCGCGGTCGATATCGTGATGCGAGCGGATAGGCTCACGAAGTTCGGGGCCGACCACCATACCTGGTCCTTCGGTGGCAGGACCGCCAGCGAAAAGCATGATTCGTGCTCCGGCATTCTGAAAAGAGGTCTCCAAAATACTGACTGCGATACTCATTGCCACACCAGTGCATCGAAGTGGCCGTCGATCATGGGCCACTGGCCATGGGTCCTTTTGCAATTGCTCAATCGCGCTTGTGATTTGGAACTCGGCTTGCTGGACAGGGAGGAGGAAACGAGCCGCAGGGCCCATGGGTGGAGGGGGCCGTCCTTGTTGCGGTGGAATGTTGGGCCTCAACCCTGGGGCGGCTAGTCCAAGCATCTCCTGGACTTGCTTTGAGGCATAGTCTTTACTTCCTCTGAAGACATATGACTTTTGGCATTCCGTATATCCAATCTCGTGGACAGCGACGTTCGTGCCAAAGGTGACCAGTCCCACAAGAGCGTTTGCAGGTAGTAACGATAGGCTCATGACGAGGGTTTCTTTCAGCGCTTGCAAGTCATTGTCCTCAATCGCAGTATCAACCACATAGACGAAGATAGGCGGGGCGGGCGCAGGTCGTGCAAGCTGGTATTCCACGGTAGTGTTCAGACTGTGCATTTCCGGAGGAACATTCTCTGCACTGATATCTCCATAGTGACGGGGCAGTTGATTTCGTTGCAGACAAAAAGGGCAGATCCATATCTTCGCTCGCACATCAACATTCGCGAATGGATTCAGTACTGCTCGGCAAGGTGGTTTGCATGTAACGGGCTCGTAGTTCAGTAGAGGTTTGTTGAGTTCCTACATATCCGTCAGCATAAGCGTAGGAGATGGACCATGACTTCGAGTACTCACTTTCAGAGGCGTGAGCATAACACTCAAAGGTACCACCAATCTGTTCGCTTCCTTCCAGACGTCAGCGGAGTCGTGCGAATTTCCCAGCAAGACCTACCATGCGCGACGATGGGATGATATTCCAACTGAGCCTGACGCCATCTCTGTCCTCAACCTCCGCCCAATTGTCCTTGATTGCGTCGTACTGTGCTTGATCCATCTTCGCGATTATTTGGCTAATACTCCTTCAACAACGCATGCTGTGGTGTGGTGATCGTACTCTCTTCGCGTTTTCAACTCCGGGAATTAGAAAATGACCAACGCCTCGTCACACTCAGCGGTAGGATAATGCTCCGAGAAGTCAAAGGAAGCGCTGGTGCGGTGCAGCTAGTACTTTGGATCGCGAGATGTGCTGGGCCACTCTGGCAAGATCACGGGGAAGTTGAGGTCGAAATCGACAGCCAAGTCCTCGGAGCGCAGGCCACTGCGCCGTATCGGTCAATGTGCCTCGCCGTACCTTCCCTGCGAAGTTGACACGAACACCGCGCAAGCCAAATTGACCCCCCTGGCACAGAGCCACCTTACCTTTTCGAAAGCGACAACATACTACTTCAGACAAGACCTGTCGCGTTCGGGATCGGACCTAGGAAACACACTTTGTGACAGTCTATGATGAACAGCACGTAGTCCTGGGAATCAGCAGCTGAGCGTTCTTGGATTACGCCAACATGGCGTCCCCTTCAATGCTCACCAAGGCAAGACAAGTTCCTCAAATTTGCAATGCAAGAAGACTAATGTGCCATGCAGTTTGAGAGCAAAAGCAGCCGGGCGAAGGGCCTAGCATTCCATCCTAAACGACCATGGATTCTGGTCAGCTTGCACAGCAGCACGATCCAGTAAAGTACCTCACGAAAGTCGGTCGCGATATAAACTGACCGCGATATACAGGCTATGGGACTATCGAATGGGCACACTTATTGACAGATTTGAAGAGCATGATGGACCGGTTCGCGGAATCGATTTCCACAAGACACAACCCCTATTCGTTTCTGGTGGTGACGACTACAAGATCAAAGTCTGGTCGTATCAAACAAGACGTTGTCTCTTCACGCTGAATGGTCACCTCGACTACGTTAGAACAGTCTTCTTTCACCATGAATTGCCCTGGATATTGTCAGCTTCAGATGACCAAACGATCAGGATTTGGAATTGGCAGAACCGGTCGCTGAGTATGTTCATTTGTACTTTTGTCAGGCTTTATCTAACAGGGTTGCAGTCTGTACCATGACAGGCCACAACCACTACGCCATGTGCGCACAGTTCCATCCTAAAGAAGACCTCATCGTTTCCGCTTCACTCGATCAATCCGTCCGAGTTTGGGATATATCTGGGCTGCGCAAGAAGCATTCAGCACCGACTTCCTTAAGCTTCGAAGATCAGATGGCACGCGCGAATCAGCAACAAGCTGACATGTTTGGAAATACCGATGCTGTTGTTAAATTCGTTCTGGAAGGCCATGACCGAGGGGTGAACTGGGTCGCGTTCCATCCAACTTTACCTTTGATCGTTTCTGCTGGTGACGATCGCCTTGTCAAGCTATGGCGAATGAGCGAAACCAAGGCATGGGAGGTGGACACCTGTCGTGGACATTTTCAGAACGTGTCTGCATGTCTGTTCCATCCACATCAGGACCTCATCTTGTCAGTCGGTGAGGACAAGACTATCCGAGTATGGGACTTGAACAAGAGGACCTCCGTTCAGTCATTCAAACGAGAAAATGACCGCTTCTGGGTCATTGCAGCACATCCTGAAATCAACCTCTTCGCTGCAGGACATGACAATGGTGTTATGGTGTTCAAGCTCGAACGAGAGCGGCCGGCATTTTCCGTCTATCAAAACCAATTGTTCTATGTTACCAAGGACAAGCATGTCAGATCCTACGACTTCGGCAAGAACGTCGAATCACCCTCGCTGTTGTCACTTAGAAAATTTGGGAGCAATTGGGTGCCTCCAAGGACTTTGTCTTACAATCCCGCAGAGAGATCCATTCTGGTCACGTCGCCCACCGATAACGGTACTTACGAGCTCATTGCGCTGCCCCGGGATGCAACTGGTGCCACGGATCCAACTGACCTCAAGCGTGGCTCCGGCAATGCTGCGGTTTTTGTCGCGCGAAACCGATTCGCAGTGTTTACAGCCTCCACGCAACTGGTCGAGATCAAAGACTTGAGCAATTCGACAACAAAATCGTTCAAAGCTCCATCTGGCACGACTGACATCACCTACGGCGGGCCCGGCTGCCTGCTGCTCATCACTCCCACCAACGTTGTACTCTATGATATTCAGCAAAAGAAACAACTGGCAGAGCTGGCTGTGACCGGCGTCAAATACGTGTCGTGGTCCAACGACGGACTCTATGCTGCTTTGCTCAGCAAGCACAACGTGACTATCGTCAACAAGTCTCTCGAGCAGGTGAGCACGCTACATGAAACGATCAGGATCAAGAGCGCTACTTGGGACGATTCTGGAGTTCTTCTCTATTCGACGCTCAACCACATCAAGTACAGTCTGCTCAACGGCGATAATGGCATTGTGAGAACCCTGGACCAAACTGTGTATCTCATCAAGGTCAAAGGCCGCAATGTCTACTGTCTTGATAGAGCTGCCAAACCAAAAGTCCTCAGCGTCGATCCTACGGAGTACCGGTTCAAGCTTGCACTCGTGAAACGCAATTACGACGAGATGCTGCAGATCATCAAGACTTCGAGTCTTGTCGGGCAAAGCATTATTTCTTATCTCCAGAAGAAGGGTTATCCCGAGATAGCATTGCAGTTTGTGCAAGATCCGCAGACTCGATTCGAGTTAGCCATCGAATGCGGCAACCTGGAGGTGGCCACAGAGATGGCCAAAGAGCTTGACCGTCCAAAGATCTGGACCCGCCTGGGTTCTGAAGCTCTGATACACGGCAACCACCAGACTGTCGAGATGGTTTACCAGAAACTCCGCAATTTCGACAAGCTTTCGTTCCTGTATCTCTGCACGGGTGACGAAGAGAAGCTCACACGGATGTCCAAGATTGCCGAACACCGTGGAGACTTTGTTTCGCGGTTCCAGAATGCACTATATCTCGGCGATGTTGAGAGCAGGATACAGATGTTCAAAGAGATCGACCTATATCCACTTGCTTATTTGACCGCCAAAACTCATGGCTTGACTGAGGAATGTGCTTCGATACTTGAGCTATGTGGACTGACCGAGGACCAAATCTCGATGCCCGAGCCAGGTGATGGTCTTACGAAACCGAATGTTATTGTTCCAACTTATAAAGCAAACTGGCCAGTCAAAGAGGCGTCTCATTCGTCTTTCGAGAAGGCTCTGCTTGGTGAAGTCGGCGCAGCAGATGAAGATGCCGGTCCTGATCTCCTCAATGAGGACATTCCCGTTGCTACCGACGGCAATGGACTCGCCGCGGAGGACGATGCAGATGTCGTGGAAGGTTGGGACATGGGCGACGATCTCGGCATCGATACAACTGGAAATGACTCCGACTTCGTCAATGTCGACAACCCTGATGCGCCCGCTGAAGCCGCCGGTCCTGGAAGTTCAGAGGCCGACCTGTGGGCCCGAAACTCTCCTTTGGCTGCTGATCATGTTGCTGCAGGATCATTTGAGAGCGCCATGCAGCTGTTGAATCGTCAAATTGGTGCTGTCCAGTTCGAGCCACTTAAGCCGAGATTCCTGGAGATCTATCAAGCTTCCAAGACCTATCTTCCCGCGAACACTGGGTTGCCACCGATCGTCAACTATGTCCGCCGGACGATCGATGAAACCGACAGCAGAAAATTGCTTCCATGCATTCCGAAGAGCCTTGACACCTTGGCTACCGTTGACCTTCAGGAAGGCTATGCGGCAATGAGGACCAACAAGTTGGAGAGTGGTGTGGTCACCTTCCGAAACATTTTGCATTCGCTGCTCGTCAACGTCGTCAGCTCCGAAGCGCAAGTGGACGAGGCTAAGGCTCTCATTGCAAAGTCGATGGAGTACACACTTGCAATGAGCATCGAGTTGGAGAGACGTCAACTCGCAGCTGCCGGCAGTGATTCCGAGGAAGGGCTCAAGCGACAGCTGGAACTTTCTGCTTACTTCACTATGCCCAAACTCGATGTTTCCCACCGACAGTTGGCTCTTATGGCCGCTATGAAGTTGGCCTTCTCGCAGAAGCAATTCTCGAGCGCTTTATCTTTTGCAAACCGAGTTCTAGCCAACGGCGGAGCCTCCAAACTCGTTGAACAGGTTAGTACCCTATCTATATCTCTCCCCACAATTCTTACTGACCCGTTGCAGGCGAAGAAGGTCAAACAACAAGCAGAACGGTCTGGATCTAGTGACAAGATCGACATTGAATATGATCCGTTTGCCGACTTCGATGTGTGTGCAGCCTCTTACACTCCCATTTACACCGGGGCGCAGAGCGTCTCCTGCCCCTTTGATGGCTCGAAATACCACAGTCAATACAAAGGTCAAGTTTGCAGAATTTGCCAAGTCTGTGAGGTTGGCGCGGCAGCCAGTGGACTGAGACTATGGGTCAAAGGATTGTGACAGCCTGGGATGAGTCTACGATCATGAGAAAAAGCGATATTGCCCGATTGGCTCGGTGGACCTTGTCGGAGTACAGTTTCAGGTTAGAGCTCTGGACAGTAGGAGTTTTATGCTCACGCACATCATGGCAAAGGCCGTTCAGCCGTGTATGGCTGGCTCAATTCTAGATCTGAGCCGAGTATGCATCTTCATGTTGTAGAGGCGTTTTGCCCTTCTTCTTCTTATGCTGTACTGCGGCTCAGTGGTCCTGACCGTGAGCTCGACGTGAGCGCGGAATTAATCTCCACTGCGCGGGTGTAATAATTAATTGCCAAGGGATCCAGGATAGGTAGGTATTCAGCAACTTGGATTTAAAAAGGTTCTTGGGCTCTTTATGCCCACTCCCTTCACTCGATGAGCTATGAAGACGACCGTCCCTACTCTGGGCAATGGTCGTTCTTGCTCCAAAGTCTTTTCGGATGAACCAGGGTCTCTCGTTGTGCCGATCACTGTGAGACTTGTCTCGGGGCAAGCGTTGAGGTTGTCGTCCCAGTTATATGGCATACATACCTAGCCATGGTTTGCAGGTGAGCTTGTAACACGGCACCCTGATCCCTTGGAATGTCCCCTTTCATTGTTCTGTGTCTGTAATTGTCATGATGGAGAAGGTGGCAGGTAGGGTCTGAGGGCAGACGGCGAGCGCGTCGCGGTGCGGACGAGCCAGATGCGATGCCCTGCGTCGGCGTTTCGACATTGAGCAAGCGGTAAGTCTCCCCATATAGCTTGAATCCCATGCGATGGGCACGAAAGGTAGGTTATACTGCTGTTGAAAGCCCAACGGTGTAGGTATTGGTAGACTCGCCTCATCGAGGTGGATCTGCTTTCATGCCATTAGCCATATCACATGAGTCGAAACTGTTGGAGTCTCGGTGCGAAATGGTGAAAGGCATATCGACGAGCTCGACTGGCATTTGGAGGATCTCAATTCTGGAGAGATGAGTTGTTCGGATGGGAAGGCTGCTTGTCGTTGCGAGGAGAAGGACGAAGATAGTATCATGGTTATAGAGCTCGAATGAGTGAAGGAAGGAGACCCAGGTGAATCAATTACCTCGACCGCAGTCTTGCGAGATACCAGGAAGGTGTGTTGAGGAAAGCTCCCGCAAGAAGAAAGACCCAAGATCCTAAACACAGTGATTCAGTGAAATTTTCACAACAAGCAGGTAAACACAACAACTACTCGAGGTTTGTTCTCGATCTTTGTGACGCGTCTCTCCTGCGATTTCCTCTCATTCCCATCCACCATCCACCATCCACCACCCTTTGCAAGATCATCAACCCTTGCACCTCTGAGCCCTCGGCTTGTTCATTCTCATTCACAGTCAGTATTCCGCAAGCTGATAGCCAACTACCGGTATGTCGACTTCCTTTCCTACCAGAGACGTGACTGACTTTCAAGAGCAGGTAAGCCCTGCCATTGTGCTTTCTCACGCCCTCGTCCCTCTTCTGTTGGCCTGTGTCTCCCCTCCATCTCGACTCTCGTCCCTCGCAGAGCAATATGTTACTCAAGAGATTGGCTGTAGCTTTATTCTGGCGTTCTGCACTTTCCTCCAGGCCTAACTCCTTCACCTCCTTGTCTCTCACCTGGCCTCTTTTGGTCAACACCTCTGCAGCCGAACTGGGCCCTAGTACTACTCTTCGACTCTGTTTGAGATCTCCAACTCCTCGACCTTCAGCTTTCAATCAGCAGACTGTGTCGGGTCAAGAGAAACAATCCAAGCAGGTCACCTTCTTGAGAATCAAGCGCAGATCGAAAGAGCTTCATCTTCACCACAAAGTGACTGAGTGAGCCTGACCCTAACTTGTGACTCTTTTTCTCAAATTAGATCGACAATTCACCATGAGTGGCTGGGGCGCTGAACCTTCGGGTAAGACCATTCCCTTATTCCCCAGAGCACAATACCGTCTCCTTACCACAAGTGTCCTCCACCATGACTCTAATGTTGTCTCCGGGGAGGGTGATATCGCGAGCCACCGAACCTTGTTGGAAAAGACCTGAGCTATGGGTGGTCGAGGAGCATCCAATGGCCTGTCTGATCACCCTCCCTGTCCCTTGAACTCATGGTCAACTTTAAGTGAAAGAAGCAGATTGACTGACGGTTCTTAGGTTCCAACAACTGGACTGACGAGGGAGCCATGCAACCGGAGACTACAACTGACAACGCAACCAACAACGGATTTGCTGAAGGCTTCGCTGCTCAAGAGGGTGAACAAGGAGACTCCGGTGGTTTCAACGGTGGATGCCACAATTGCGGCCAAGGTAAGACCTGACCGCCACAATCATTTGCCGCAGCTGCTGACAATATTCAGAGGGACATATCGCTCGTGAATGCCCTGAGCCACGAAAGATGGGAGCTTGTTTCAATTGTGTACGTATTGATTTGTGACCTATCCTGTGCAAATACTGACATCTACAGGGTGAGGAGGGTCATGTACGGACAAATCTGCCAAATGCTCGTCCCCTTTCTCTAATCAACCCTTCATAGACCAAGGCCGAGTGTCCTGCTCCACGCAAGTTCAAGGGTGAATGTCGCAACTGCGGACAAGAAGGTGGGCAACAACCATGAAACCACAAGATATCTCGGTTGACAATCGTTGCAGGTCACATGCTCTCCGATTGTCCAACTTTTGTTGAGAAGTGCAAGAACTGCCAACAAGAAGGTGCGTGTGGCGGCAATACGATCGTCTGCATTGGACTGACACAGGCTTGCGAAATAGGTCATAACGCAATCGACTGCAAGAATCCGAGATTGATTGACAACCATCGCATCGCTGACAAGTCGGAGGACGAGGCCTGGGCACTTCTCAAGCAGGCTAGTGACGAGAAAGACATTGGCGACTTCAAAGAAGCTGTCCAGATCCTCTCCAAGGCTGCCCCTGATCTCACCTATGCTCGTCTCGAGAAAGAATTCCGCAAGCGCGATTTCAACATCTACCTCATTGCTATGGTCAGCTCCACACTGCTGCCACAAACATCCATATTTGGGAAGCTAACCTTGCCCACAGGAGAAGGATACTGGTGAGACCTGGACCAATGTCAACCTTCAGGGTGAGACTGGCAAGAAGTATGCTGTGAGCTACTTCACATCCGGTAAACCTCAGCGTCCTACACTCATCGAGAAATGGCCTGCTTCTCCTGAGGAGAACATGGATCGCCTTGCTAATGCTGGCATACCCCTCGACCGTGGTGTTGATCTCTGCCGCAATTGCGAGAAGGTCGGTCACAAGTCCAAGGACTGCCCAGAGGAGAGAATTACACGTGAACAAGTGGTTGTTATCTGCTATCTCTGTGGAGAGGCTGGTCATCGTGTTCGCGACTGTACTCAGGAGCGACAGAAGCCCGGACGCGCTTGCAGAATCTGTGAAGCCGTGGACCACATTGCCAAAGTAGGTCATTGGTGTGTCTCGGTACCTCATCCCTGGCTAATCTTCCTGCAGGAATGCCCCAATCGCGAGAAGCAGACTTGCCGTAACTGCAGTTCTGAAGATCATTTGGCTAGGGTACGTTACCCTCGTGCGGTGCGCAAACATACCAGTACTGACATAACATAGGAGTGTCCAGACCGCGAGAAGCGTACATGCCGAAAATGCGGTGAAGAGGATCACATTGCCAAAGTATGTTTTGACAATCCTCGTCCTGGCAGAAAAGTCTTCGTTCTAACGATGGTTTAGGATTGCCCGAATGCTCCGAAGAGAACCTGCAACATCTGTGACGCTGAAGACCACATGGCTAGGGTAATTTGTCACTTGAAGTCCTCTTAAGGTATTATACTTTACTGACAAACATGCCCTCTGCAGGACTGCCCCAAGAAAGATGAAGCGGGACCACGCCCTCGGAAGGACTATAGCCAGGTTGTCTGCAGTCTCTGGTAAGGGCAGAGCTGACCTCTACACATAATCACACGTTGCTAATTTGTTGGTCTCAGTGAGCAGAAAGGACATGGTCGTGCCAGATGTCCCAAGGCTGTGCCAGGAGCAGGAGAGAACGGTGCAGTCAAGGCCGTCGATGAAGCTCCAATTGGCAATGGATGGGCGGGTACTCAGAACACCGGCACTGCGCAAGCAGAGTGGGAAGAGGGTGCAGCATCGACCGTTGCGGCTCCAGCTCCAAATGCTCCCGCCTGGTAGGTGCAACAGGGTATTCCAGAGGATCGATATTTGGTTGCCAAAGTCGACCGAGAATGCCACTGCATGACCCCACAGCAGAAGAAGTCACCATCATCCTGGGCCGCTGTCGACAACGGAGGAGAGTGTGACCCGACCACAGAGCTCTAGTATGAGGAGAGAAAGACACGAGAAGTAGGCCGAGCATCCTAGACGGAGCTATCCAAACAAGACTGTCCACAGATTCAGTCAGCTCTTGACATGGCAGGAATGAGACTCGGCTCCTACGGCTCAGATAGCTATCAAGAAAAGAAACACAGATGCTGTATCACAAGTCCTAAGTCTTTTCTACCAGTATTCACATTCAAACGGGACAAAGACATCAAACCTGCAGTTGAGGAACGCCATCGCTTTCAGTCCAGTAGACAGACTTACGTCTCACAGTTGGGTATAATCATGTCTCATAGTTCTGTTGAACCATCTATCTTGGTACAGAAATGCTGTATGCTAACTATTGGAACCGCCGCCTCCTCCCCCCGTCGACATGACCCATCAAGCCGCGCCACCGCCACCGGTCTCGCTACCGTATCCTTGGCCGCTGCCTTTGATGGGCGTCCACGACAGGACCCCAACCTCCCCGAAGCTCCCCTTCCTCCTCCCGCTCCTCCTCCGGACGGGGAGGATAGAGATACCCACCACCACCGTCGACGCCGCCGCCACCGCCACTAGCACGACCAGCACGAACAGTCGCCCTCGCGGGGGACTTCCCACCGGCGACCACCGCGGTATGCACATTGCGGATATGCTCGGCGCGGTGGTCCTTGCGGGTGAACCCATTGGTGCCTTTCCTATTACACTCGCGCACGACGCAGTCGAGGTAGACGCCTTCGTGGCGCGACTTGATGTGTCTCTTGAGGTCGGCATTGCGGCTGAAGAAGTGCGTCGGGTTGTTGTGTTCGTCGCGGCACTCGGGGTAGAGACAGCATGGGCGGTCTCGGGGTCTGTATGAGAAAGTTAGTGATCAGTGATCAGCCAGCCGAATTAAAAGAAAGAAGGAAGGAAGAAGAGAGAGGGAATAAAGAAGGAAGGAAGAAGAGAGAGCCCTTGATGCAAATAGGCTAGATAGAGCACGGGAAATGCGAAAGTCTCGCAAGAGGAGAAACACGCGTCTGTAAGGGAAAGAGGAGGGTATGGTTGATAACGATAGAGATAGTGGAAACCCTCCGCTGTAACGAAGGAGAAAGAAGACGAACGAGGGAGGGAGGAATAAGAGATTAAAGACGACGACGACGGCCACCACCACCACCACCACCACCACCACAACGCCGCCGCGAACCGTGACACCCGGGGGATACAAGACGAGACATAACAAAACACTTGACCTTTTGTTGCGCACGGTACTCGACCCTTCGTCCGTGGGGCCCACGACTGTGCTGCTGCCAGGCACCACCACGTCTTGCTCGTCACTGGAGCTTGCCGTGTTCGGCAGCGTGCCCCAGGCAGGCAAAGGGAGCTGGCCCATGGCGGGCAGCATTTCTGGTTGGGGGGCATATGGATGTTGAATCCCCCTCCCAAGATGGCCATTTCCTATCACATAGGAGGACCCCGTCGCCATCGCCGGCATCGCCGTGCTCGCCGTTGTGTATTGGGGATGATACACCATCGTCTGGGCCGGCATGGGACCCCCCATATACCCCATTTGCCCGTTGAAGGGCGGCGACGATGTAGACGAGGTCGTCGTCGAGTCTGAGTGGTAGGGCAGCTGTGTTGGTGAGATCTGGCCGTAGGCGTAGCCGCAGCCGTTACCGCCGTTGCCACCCACCGCAGCATCGTAAGACCCCGACCCGGTAGGGCTGATGGTCGTCGTTCCCTGGGGCCAATATTCCATCCCCATCTCCATTGCCACTGCCATCCCCTTCCCCATTCCCATCCTCATTTCCATGCCCACCCTCATGCGGGACACGCTGTCACCAAACCTTGGTTGTGCGTCAAATGGCAGCGGGGAGGGTTTATAGCCGCCAGCGTATTGAGGAGCGCCTTGCTGCTGAGGAGCTCCTGTGGCAGGTGTGCTCCAAAAGGTCATGTTGGGATAGTCCACTTCCTCCTGGCCATATGTCTGTTGAGGGGGCTGCGCGTAGACGAAAGTGGCGGTTGAGAAGTCCATTTCGCGAGAGGAGACGACTTCGGCCGAGAGCGTAGATGTAGATGTAGATGTAGAGGGAGGCTAAGAGAAGGAGGATTTGAAGCTGTCGAGGGAGTGAATGTGCATATTGCAGGGCAATAGACGCAGGATTCAGGATGTTGTCACATCTCTAGCTGAGGGGGAGTTGCTTTTGAGGTCGAAAGCCGGCAGAGAATAGTCGAAAAGAGCGAGAGATGTACTGGAGGTCCTCGCCGCTCGGACTGTGAACCAGTGTATGTTCGAACGGGCGGGCTGTGGCGAATGACGAATGGGAGACGATCCAGGATGAGAAACTGTGTTGTTACTACCGGAAAGAGACTAGGACATCAGCACACGGAGAGCCTATTAGACAGGAGCCATGGGAGAGGTGACAACCCGGTCGGGCATTTGAGAGGATAACGTGTCGCTGACGGTGTCGGTGACGGAAAGAGCAAGAAGGTTTCTCGAGATTAGCTTTGAGGATCGGGTCCCGATGACTGATGAGGACTCAGAAGTCGGTGTAGAGGTCTGGATTCGCATTGCAACCCGGATGATGCGCCGTGCAGCGTGCAGTTTGCAGCGTCGATGAACCTTCGAGCAGGCGGAACCGGTTCGTCCAGTATTCCATTCCACGTGTAGAAGCAGCAACCTGACTGCACGAGGGAGGGATGTCACTTGGGGAGATAGAGGATGGACATACATACGGACCAATCGATGACATCTTTGGGGGCGAGGCTACTTACAAGGCTCACCTCTTTACAAGAACCATCCATCGGCCAGTAACGTTGTCGACCTCGTCGCGATTCGCTGCCCTCGGGTTTGTAGTTGTAGGTTGGTGGTCCCGGACGGACAATTGCAGCTGGAATCCGTCCCAAAGCGTAATCAAGGAGGAGGGTGCAAACAAAGTCACGTCGACCTGTGCATGGGACCTTGACAGAGGCTCTGGTGAATGTGACCAGTCAGTCGACCTACAGCCTCATCCGTCGTGTAGGAACCAGGAGCTGGTCAAGGACGTGCACGACACTAGGAGAAGTCAATAAGAGGTCGATCGTAATCCATGGGAAACTATGGTCGGGATACAAAAGTAGGCATCGGTCAAGGTGTGGTCCATGGCACTGCAGTTGGACTGTAAGGCTGTTGTTTCCAGTGGACGGCGGGAGCAAGGTCGGCAGTGTCTGCAGGTATCATGGCTTTCTTTTCTGCATGGTTGCCTTTTCGATTGCAGCCATGGGAATGCTTCTGTATTCACCTAGCCTAGGGATGCGCCGATGCTAATAGAGACTGTGGGAAGTGGGAAAAGGCAGGACCTTGCGTTCGTTGGAGGCTGATGAACAAGCAAGCGAAGTGACCAGGGTCCCTTGCCAGCGTTGATACTTTGAGGCGTCGCCTGATTGGTGTTAGCCAGTGCAATATCATGAGGACCTACCCAGTACTGCCCAGTCTGGTTGCCTTTCCTAGCCGCAAACAACAGACTCAGCCCCTCTCGCTCCCTCTCTTCCTCTCTTTCTCGACACGCCTCGTCGCGAGCCGCCCGCCGCGAACTGCTGAGTGTTGCGTGCTCGGGGTGGTGATCCTGCTGTGACACAGAAAGTGAGGCGGAGCGCCAGGGTGCCATCCGCGGGCGGAAGAAATATTAGTCAAACCGATGCGTGCAACACTCGGCGCGCAGATTGCGCGAACTGGTCTGTGTGTTAGACGGAGACGAAGTCCGAGTCAGAAGCAAATACGCAAGGAAATAAATGACAGGGAGCAAGGCTTTGAAGTCTGGAAAGGAGCTCTGTTGACTCAGACAGTCTTCGACAGGTACGGAGGAAACCCTCTTGGTCTGCGAAGAAAGATTGCATGCATGTGAGCATGCAGCAGGTCGTCGGACAGCGTGCTGCCACCGAACTACCCTACAAGTCGTCTTCGAGGAATTTGTACAAGAACTTGAAGTCCGCCTTCCGCCGATTCATCCTGCAGGATGTTAGCATAACCCGACCAGGGACGCGACCCAGAATATCTTACCAAGTACTCTCATAATCGAAGAACCGATACGTTCCCTGTTCGAATTCTTCCGTGATCTGTTTGGGCTCTTCATGCCGCTGGAACCATGTTTGATATTGCTTGTGAAACCGCCAACTCTGGTTTTTCAGGGCGCGCGCTGCCAACCACTGCTGGTATGTGTTCTGCCGGTAGTAGAAGATGTAGAACAGGGTGTCCGTTTCCAGTCTCTGGTTGTCGTACAAGGCGGGATCATCGAAGATTGGAAGTACATCCTGAGGATAGTGCGCCGGGGTATTGTACTTGAATGTTGGTCGGTAATGTTGAGGTCGATCGCTATCCGATGGCTCGGGACATGTCTCTTGCGAAGCTTGGAGCAGGCGGGCCAACTGAGAAGGTGGTTGAGCGGCTCGACTCTTGGTCGTCTCAAATGAGTCGAGGAGGTCTTGGAGACCAGGAGGCAGGTGATATATCGACTCTACGGTAGAAGGGTCCTCGTGAGCATCACCATTTGTCGTCGGCAGTTCATCCGCTATCACAGGCTCTTGAACTGCCACCGAGTTCTCCATTGCAGGCGTGGGAGGAATACTACTGGGTACGCTAGCAGCCGGGGCACTGGTGGAGCTGAGTGTAGGCGACTTGGAATGGCTGGAGTGGTCTTGCGATGTTGCCGAAGACTCCACGGTCACAGGACCAGGTCTGGGCGAGGCTGTCTTTTCCACCGGTTGCGCGGGCGCTGGGGCTGGTGAACTGGTTGCAGACGTCTTGTTCGGCGCCGGCAGGGCGTGAGATGCAGTGGTCGAGTTCGCGCCCACTGGCGGAGGAAGAGGAGCAATGCCCACTCCTGTCTTGTCGCTTGCTGCGGCCGCGGCCGCGGCTGATGCATACTTTAATGTCTCGCCAGGCGGTCGATTCGGTATTGGCGCCGGTTTCATCGTGGTGTCTTTGGGTATTGATGGTGGCGGAGGCATGGTGTTTAGAGTCGCGAGGGCTGGGAGTGGTGATTTGAGCTGGGTTGATGGTCGTCGGGTCGCCGGATGCTCGACTTTGGGCTTCTTGATCGGAGCGGGTTCTGGTTCATTGTCTTCCTGCACAGACTGTGTGTCCTGGGAAGACATGTGATCCACCTCGTTACTCAGACCAAACTGCGCCTCTTCGCCGTCAAGGTTGAGGTCGTCATAAATGCCTTCGTAGGCCTCAGCGTCGAAGTCGGGCTCGCGGCCTTCTCTGACCACCTCTTCAATCTCACCCTTGATCACAGTCACCAAATCATTGTCCAGGTTGCCATTCTGAAGTGATCGGAGGACCAGTTGCAATCGGGATTCGTGCCATTTGTACGTTTCGGTCACGGCCTCAATCTCCGCAAGTCGATCGGCCTTACTGTTATCTCTTTGTTTCTTCTTGAGAGCAGCTTGTAAGATGTTCGCTTCCGGTTCAAGTTCCTCAGTCAGGATCCGATTGATTTCGTCCAGTTGCTCCGACAAGAAGTCGCAGAGTTCCTCCCGTTCCTTCTCCTTGGGATCTAGTTTGGCATTTTGTGATAACCCCTCTTTCGAGAATGCTTTCGTCTTCATCTCCTTCTCCACGGCTTTGAAGATTTCCATACACTGTGTAGCCGGTCAGTGGTGACATGGTACGAGGGGACGTTGATCTTACTTTCTCTATCCGCTTCCGCTGTTCGAGTAAGGCACTCTTGTCTTTGATCTCGTTGCCGGCCGCCCAAGTCTTTATCTGATCTCGGGATCTTTGTAATTTCTTGATCTCTTTCTTGAGGTTGTCTTCCAGTTTCTCCTTCTGCGCCGCATTCTGTGAGGAGTAGATCTTCTCGTAAATGCTCTCGAACGCTTGGATTCCTTCATCGACCTTCTTGAACGTCTTGTCGATCTCTTGCTGGGTCTTCCGGGACGCCATGGCGGTCTACTGGTCGGATGTGTCTCCGGAGGTATGGGAGGTGTGATGGAGAGGCGGACGAAGGGTTCAATGGGTAGGCATTCGCCAAACTATCGTTTGCAACTTGAAACCAGCCCTGGCTTGCCGCGCGCCTCGATGGCTGCGATTCCAACTGCGGTCACATTATCGATCTGCACTAGTCCATTTTAGGACATATTGGCTTGGCAGCTCGATCCCAGCCTCAACAATCATGTGATCGACGCCAATTCCAATACTTCAGGTTGTCTGTTGGACTACGGCTACAATTTGTGGAAACCCTCCTGCTTCTGCCTGTCTCAGTTCTGCCAGAGACATGTTCAGGAGAAAGAGTGCTGGAGATAATCTCTTGGTAGGCAAACGCGGCTAGCCAATGTAGTGGTTGGGATGTCGCTACCATGGTCCGCCGTAGGTCAACTATAGTACGGAGCACAAGAGCACATCACGCACCTTGGCGTTCTAGATTCCCGCCGCTTGATTGAAATGTGAGCGAGGAAACCTCTGAACAGCACGGTACCTTAGACGACGTTCCGCATTGGCTTCGCCCGGTGGCTTTGGGTTTCAGGGCTCTTAGAGCGTGGCACCAGCGGTAGAAGAGTCTGTTGTCACGTCGAAAATGAAGGCGATATTGCAACGGGTGCTATCCAGTTCTGTCACGGTCAACGAGCAAGTTGTCTCGGCCATCGGAAAAGGAGTGCTGGTTCTCGCCGCGATCGGCCCCAACGATACCAAGAAAGATGCCGAGTCAATGGGATCGAAGATCTTGAAAATGAAATTATGGCCCGACGACAATGGAGTCAACTGGAAGAAGAGCGTCCAGGACATTGAAGGCGACGTCCTTTGCGTTTCGCAATTCACTTTGCTGGCTTCCACCAAGAAGGGCAACAAGCCTGACTTCCACGGGGCAGCGAAGCCGGAGGTCGCAAAGGAACTCTATGACTATTTCGTGTCTCGCGTCCGCAGTCAGTATCCTGCTGGAAAAGTGGAGGACGGCGTCTTCCAGGCTATGATGCAGGTCAGCCTCGTCAACGATGGACCAGTATGTCGAAACCACGCATGGATATCATCTGGACCGGGCTAGCAGAAATGCAATACTAACTAGGCCAGGTCACACTCGAGATCGATACCAGTCCTGCTAAGAAGGATTCGGTCGCAAGTACCAAAGTCACTAATACACCAGCGTCAACTCCCACACCACAAGACCAGGACTGAACTGGTCAGACCTAGGATGCCACATGTTTGAACGCTTGGCCGGAGCCGCTTGGTTATGTCACTCTCGTGTCGACAATCAAGTTCCTCGGCCTTGGTCCTTGCGACCGTGACGATCGAGCAGATAAAGGAGAAGCCCGTCAACCACGATAAAGAAGACGTTTAGGACCAGCGGTGTTCGACGCCAACAATTTATTTATCCCGTACGTAACGCGAGCTCATCTCAGGAACAGCGGGGCAAGACGTCCGTTCGTCCTGGGACGCATAGCTGCCTCTTCTGGCCTAAAGGCGCGCTGTCGTCACGTCTGTCATTGGTGGCAGCGCCAGAAGCCTTATCATCGAACACCCACCCCAGCTCCTATGCGACTCTATCTACGCAAATCCAATTGCCGGAGACAAAATCGAGGGAACACCTTAGACTAAGGAACCCGAACTTATGCCTATCGCAGATCCCTGAGGGGTAACCTACAACGGGCATGCCCCGCAAAGCCATAAACAAAGGAACGATAGGAGGATATGTTGATGCCCGCCGGCCGCGAAAGCAACCACTTCTATGATCTTTGAACAACCATCCTGCCTTGCAAGTAGTTATTACTACAGCTTGCTGCCAGTCCGTCCGTAAATTCCGTCTTCAAAAGCCGCTCACGGAAAGGGAAACATGCCTGGACCGATCAGAACCGCCGTGAAAGTCGACCTTGACAAGCCGGCGAAGGACCAGCCTTATCTGCATGTGAGAACGGCCCAATATACCTTCCAGGACATGTGACTGACTGCCCTAAAGAACAGATGGCATCCTGATGGTACGCGGTCTTCTGGATAAGCCGTCACCTTTGACTGAGATCATGCCTAGTACCCTTCTGCGGAACCATCAAGAACGGAGAGACAGTGAAGATCGAGTGCATCGACTGGACCGGAGGACAGATCAAGGACAACGACAGTGCCGACGACGTGAAGAATGTCGACCTGACCCAGATCCACTACCTGTCCGGTCCGTTTGAAATCGAGACGGCCGAGCCGGGCGATGTTCTTCTCGTGGAGATCCAAGACGTCCAACCGTTCCAGGACCACCCGTGGGGGTTCACGGGGATCTTCCACAAGGACAACGGCGGCGGGTTCTTGGACGAGCTTTACCCTGAAGCGTAAGGATTCCTTGCAATCTACCTTTCGTTGAGAACATGAAAAGAAAGAAAAAGAACAAGAGAAGGAAGATCTTGAATATAGTCTTGTCCATCGCTTATACTTTGGTGTGACACAGAGCCAAAGCAATCTGGGACTTCGAAGGCATCTTCTGCTCATCACGCCACATCCCCGGCGTGCGCTTCGCCGGCCTCATCCATCCAGGCATTCTGGGATGTGCACCATCGCCCGAGATCCTAGCCGAATGGAACAAGCGGGAAGGAGAGCTGATTTCGACCACCTCGCTCGAGCGCATCGTCGCGCAACCCCCCAACGCCACGAACGTGCACGCCGGCTCAGCCGACGACGAAACCAAAACCAAAATCGGGAAAGAAGGCGCCCGCACCATCCCCGGCCGCCCCGAGCACGGCGGGAACTGTGACATCAAGAACCTGTCGCGCGGAAGCAAAGTATACTTGCCCGTGCATGTCAAGGGCGCCAAGTTCTCCGTGGGAGACTTGCACTTTTCTCGTAAGTTTGGAACCCCCTGATCTGCTGGCCTTCTCTTGTGTTTGTGTTCTTTCTTCTCCTTGCTCGCCCAGAGACCCGTCAACCCTCCAACTGACACATTACATCACAGAGGGCGACGGTGAAATCTCCTTTTGCGGCGCCATCGAGATCGCCGGCATCATCACCGTCAAGGTCGAAGTGATCAAAGACGGCCAGGCCAAGCTCGGCATGGTCGGCGGCAAATCGCCCATCTACATCCCCGGCCCTGTCCAGCCGCAATTCAGCCCGGGCCGCATGCTCTACTTCGAAGGCTTCAGCGTCGACGAGCAAGGCAAGCAGCACTACCTGGACACCACGGTCGCCTATCGCCAGTCTTGCTTGCGCGTCATCGAGTATCTCAAACGTTTCGGCTACAGTGACTATCAGATCTACTTGATGCTCAGCTGTATCCCGATCGAGGGTCATGTCGCTGGTATTGTCGATGTGAGTGTTCCCCCTTGCTTGATACTGTGTCGTCTACTTGTCTTGCGCCTCGCTGTTTATGACAATCCTTCCCACATGCCCATCACCCAGGACTGTTCATGTTGATATATAACTAATCAATGTCGATGATAGATCCCCAATGCATGCACCACCATCGGTTTGCCAATGGATATCTTCTCGTTCGACATCTCTCCCTCGGCCGAGGCGAAGAAGATGGACTTGGGATCTTGCGCGATGGCCAGCAAGTAACCCGACCGATGACACCTGAAGCACCAGCATGTCATGGCACAGATTGCCGCTATGATATTGTCTTTGTGAGAGTCGGGATAGCATCCAGGAAAGGATGGGAGAGCAAAGAAAGCAGAGAAGGGAAGAGTACATCTTACCATTTCACGGACTTGAACAATTCTACAATGTCATTTACACTATCATGTTGGAGAAGACTCTCAGCTCACGAGTCACGCGTCATGAAGAGAGATGACCGATTCAATGATAATAAGCCGATGAGCTCAACAAAGGACTAATTTTCCCGTTGGTGTTGGTGGACCTCTTGGGTTCTGCTTTGTATAAAGTATGTGATTTCGTCCATCTTGATGCTACGCCGGAATCGAAGCGGCCTCACTATTCTAAGAGAAAACTATACTTCCCGACGCTTCTCGCATAAGATGTCGGTGGCAGCCTTGATATCGAAAGGATAGGCACCAGACGTCCTAGAGCAACTTTCCGCGATATGTAGATATGCTCTGCTCGCCCACTTCCTGTTGCTGCTGCCCTAGTGTGCCCGAGCCTCTACCCGAAAACGATGTGCTGAGATATATGTAATAGGATAAGGAACTCGTGGTCACTTGCCTCGTCAGTTCGCGCGGCAGGGCACTGCGCTGCACAAAATATGAAAAGTCGGCATCCTACCTCTCAGACGTCTTTCACCACGCTCGGTAATCAAGGGTGAAAACTCCATTGGCGCCACGAACGACGTTCCCATCGAGGCTTTTCTGCCACTGGGATGTAGTCATTTGGGAATGTGAACCTCACGAATCATTTAAACTCCTTGAATCTTCTGAACGCACCGAGCGTCAGGGTTTGAGTCACCGGATGAGGCTGCAAGCCTGGTGCACGGCGAGGGAGGCAGCTGGTCTCCAGACAGGGCGGTCCAGTAGAAGGAGTAAAGTGGCACGCCCCGGGTAGAAGCCCAGACTTTTTGCTGTTATAGGAAGATCTGCTGTTGGGTCGATTTTCAAGGTGTTGTAGGTCTGCCAGACCGATAGAGCCTACCCATTCGAGATAAGCTCCCAGTATGCAGCCACACAGACGTCACCGAAGGTGTTATCCAGCTGAAGAGGCCATCTTGTAGCTTTGCCTTTGAGAAGAATACGTGAGCCCGTGTGCAGCTCAGGCCATGTGGTCCTTAGGGTAGTGAATCCCTTCTGATGCTGTTCCGGAAGCAGCCATTGCGAGGCATTCTCGTCGACAACAATAACGAAGCGACCGCTTTTATCCTTCACCACCTTTCTAACATTGATGGTCAGCTCGGGGTTCGTCGCGGCTTGTGACTCCTGTGCGGCAACGTGAAGAACCCAGTTCCGCACCAGGTCTGCACTGCCGCCAGAGACGTAGTCACCCTTCCCCTTACGTCGTGACGGGGAGAAGACATCGGGTAATACTGGAGCACTTGTAGCTGGCGTTGGTTGAAAACCGTCCGAGGCAGACTTAAAGACCGTCCTAGAGAGCGGGGTCGCATCTGCCATGGCGGTAGTTGTGCCTCGAAACCTAATTGCTCTGTTTGACTCGTTCGTCTCAGGCGTCTTCGAGGCGAGATCAATGTTGTCTTCCAGCTCCGACTCCGAAGCAGGTATTCCCATATCATCATATGCATCGTCTTGACTAAGATCGTCCACCTCTGGAGAGGACGAGATAGTGATTGTCCGGACTGGCCCAACCTCGGGATGGGAGACTTTGCGTCTTTTGACAACTGGGGTGATAAATCTGTTCCGATGCAGCAAGGGTGACGTTCTTTCGAGCTCGTCATGCTCGACCTCAATGGCATCTTGCGCATGGGCACCGACGCGACCCTTTGGCAGAACGGACGTATCGTCGTCGTCATCATCATCGAAGGTTGTCTGGATGTCATCTTTCTCTCCACGAATCCCTAGATGAAAGCGTGGTGTCGCGCCAAAGGGCGAGGCCGCAACAGGCTGCGTCGATCGCGAGGGCTGAAATACGTTCCTCTGGTTTGAGGAACGGATGGAGGACGTAGCACCAGAGGAGGATGGAGGGAGAAAACGTCTGGTAGGTGCGGGAGTCTGGAAACCGTCAATGCAGGCCTCAACTTACCAGAACGGCGAGTATTACTTTTTGAGCAGGAGCGTTGTCCATGTCTGTACTACTGGTAGACGCAATTGCCTCGCATGACTGGCGAGAGTATTTTTAAGGCCCCTCGATACAACCCAGGGAAGAATAGGAAGATGTTGAGCGCGAGGAAGAGTTGCGAGTGCGATAGAGCTCAACTTGAAGCGGAAAGCGTGGAAACACGATTTGAGCGCCAAGGCCGCTGGACGACGCGCTCAGGCTTTGGAGTTGAAGTGACAAGTTCGAGCTCAACTGCAGCGTATGCTCAATGACTGCAATGTCTGGATCCTGGAGATACATGAATTGGCTGTTTTCAAGCCATAGGCATCCAGAAGCCTCCTATGCCCACCAGAAGGTCTGGACACTGCCAGTAAAGACTACCTACGAACGGATCATAGCAACCAGAAAGTCCTGCACATGCCAGTACCTCGCGTCCCAGCGGAGAACGACGAGCTGGCCAGTCAGGCGCCCTCAGATCCACGATTGACGAGGAGAGATCCGTCCAAACGCGATTCTGCCTGCTCGCAAGCTGGGGAACGAAGCGTGACAATGTCCTGTCCACCTGAAGATCGTCGCGGGGCTTTACATAACAAGATGGACGAGGGAGCCACTTTAGTATAAAGGGTTCAGATGGCGTGTTCAACAAGGTTGGTGGCATCACTGGGATCTGATCTGATTGCTGAGTACACATTCTCACACTCCAATATTCATCATACGACAATCATTGGGAGAGTGGAAGCGAACTAGCCTGAACGTTCCCTCCGCTAATGACGCCCCTCAGATGCCACCGCGGGCCGATCTACCAGTCATCAAACGGGGTGGCTTACACAGTACTTTCGTCCCACCAGTTGCCAGCTCGTGTGCTGGCGCCATTGCACGACCAAAGCCTGGGGGTGGCCGGTGCCATATCTCACCATTCACCAGTCTCCCATGTACAGCACAAAGCAACTTGATCGGCGGCCTAGGAAGCCCCCTAAAAGTCTCTTATCGGAGCCGGGGAACGAGCAATGCATCTTGTTGGGTACGCGGTTGGCATCTAGTTGCCTAGTGTAGGTGAAGTATCAAGAATAGGTGTGTGGGTGGTAGTGCTATGTCATGGCGATACGCTCGTCTGTGATCAGGCTACCCGCGATGCAACAATACAAAGCTGTTGCAAGTATTTCTGGATTTTGTTATCATTTATTCCTCGGGACCCTTCCTACTACTCTGTATATACTCGGCCAACCGTGATCGATCCTCCCGCGCCGCAGAATCCGGCCTGTTTCCTTCCTCCTTCGATACCTCTGACCTGAACTGAAACCCTTGTCACCATCACCATGGCAGACGATAAGCAAGTCATGGATCGCACCGACGACCCGACCGACTACCGGGCTCGTCTGGGAAGCGAGGTGGCCATTGGATACGATGACCCCAGTGCAATCCCCAAGGGTTCGACCGACCCCGTGTACGAGGCCAAAGCCAGAGTCTTGAACCGCGCAATCCAGGACATTGGCATGGGATGGTATCAATGGCAGCTTTTCATCGTCGTCGGGTTCGGCTGGGCGAGCGACAACTTGTGGCCGATTGTGACCTCGTTGATCTTCACGCCCGTCGCCAACGAATTCGGTCCCTCACGTCCCCCTCTGTTGACCTTGAGCCAGAACATTGGCCTTCTTGCCGGTGCGGTCTTCTGGGGCTTTGGCTGCGACATCTTCGGCCGCCGATGGGGTTTCAATCTGACCTTGGGCGTCACCAGCGTGTTCGGCTTGATCGCTGCCAGCTCGCCCAACTTTGCAGCCATCGGATGCTTCGCGGCGCTCTGGTCCTTTGGGGTCGGCGGCAACCTGCCCGTCGACTCTGCCATCTTCCTGGAGTTTTTACCAGGCAGTCATCAGTACTTGCTCACCATCTTATCGGTCGATTGGGCCTTCGCTCAACTCGTCGCCACGCTGATCGCCTGGCCCTTGTTGGGCAACTTGACGTGCCAGGAAGGGGAAACGTGCACGCGGTCGAAGAACATGGGCTGGCGGTACTTCATGATCACCATGGGCGGGATTGCCATGATCATGTTCTTCATTCGATTCGTGCTCTTCACCATCTACGAAAGCCCCAAGTTCCACATGGGTAAGGGCCGTGACGACGAAGCAGTGCGCATCGTGCACGAAGTGGCGCGAAGAAATGGCAAGACCTCGCCTCTGACCATCGAGGACTTGAAGGCCTGCGAGCTCCTCGCGGAAGGAGGTGAAGCCGGCCATCAAGCAACCAGCGCCGCAGCACAGCTGAAGCGACGTCTGGAAAAGGTCAATCTGACACATATCCGGGCGTTGTTTGCGACCAGGAAACTGGCCCTGAGCACGGCTTTGATCATGCTTATATGGGCGTTTATCGGCTTGGGATATCGTACGTTCTGACAACTCCTTTTGCGTTTTGCCCTATCTTGCTCCTCTTCCTGTCAGCTTCAGTGACCCTTGTTTGATCTAGTACTGACTTCTCCTTGCTTGGTTGCAGCCCTTTACAATGCCTTTCTCCCCTACCTCCAAGCAATCAAAGGTGCCCAGTTCGGCGACAGCAGCACGTACATCACATATCGCAACCAAGTAATCATCGCGGTCCTCGGCATTCCCGGGTGTCTGCTGGGCGGTGCTATGGTCGAGATCCGCGGCTTCGGCCGGCGTGGGACCTTGTGCGTGTCCACTGTCATGACCGGTGTCTTTCTGTATTGCTCCACCACGGCCACTACTTCGGACGCCTTACTGGGCTGGAACTGCGCTTTCAACTTTACCTCGAATGTCATGTATGCTGTGCTCTACGCTTACACGCCCGAGTGTTTCTTCACCAAGGACCGTGGAACGGGGAATGCCCTGACGGCGACAGCCAACCGAGTGTTTGGCATCATGGCCCCTATCATTGCCATGTTTGCGAATTTGAAGACCAGCGCGCCTGTCTACACCAGCGGGGCGCTGTTCATTGCAGCGGGGCTGGCAGTTATCGCGCTGCCTTTTGAGAGTCAGGGCAAGGCCAGTCTATAGGACTACACGGGGCTACCGGGACTGGAAGATGCAGTCATGTCTCGAGATTTGGTTCGACCTGTGGAGTATGAGGTCGCAGGAGATGCAGACGGGTGGTATTGGTTGGGGCATAGACTTGATCAAACACGATGATAATCATGATGATGATAGAGAGGATTCGCTCTCAAGAAATGACATGACATGAAGCTGTAGGCAAAATATGCCCATATACTTACCTAGGTAGGGTACCTGAGGTACTTGACCACAATCGACTCCTTCTCAATGCCATCGTCGGATTACATCAGTATGAAGAGGCCAGATGGTCTGCTACCAGATACCCGCGTGGACGTAGCAAGGATGAATTGGTGTCATCGCAGAATGCCATATCTTCGATCTCCCATCATCTCGGTGTAACGCCCATATCAGTGATATATCGCCAACATTGTGCCTTTCAGTCCCGGCCACAAAGACTCTGGCTGGCGTGATACAGGTACAGTCTAGTCTGTCTTATCTACGGCAAATGCGGCAATCTTTTGGTCTATACCAATGATGACCACCACATCTACTAACGTTGTACTCGGTGTCACTCCCCCTCCAGTCTCCAGTCTCCAGTCTCCAGTCTTCTCTGTCCTCTCCCCTCGACCGCTCACTTCAAGTTCCCGACACCCTTGTACGAGGCTTATCTCGCTGCTCCACCGACACAAGCTACAGAAGCTTCCTCGGTCAAACAAGCCAGACATCCTCCCATCCTACCATCGTCCGCCACTCGGCACCACTTTTCCATTGCTTCAACCAGCAGTTGATTGTAAAATCGTCCAATCGATCTTCTCCGACCGACGGCCGCTACCTTCCATCCATGTCCTAGACCGTGTTCGCATATACCTAATGCAAGGGCTCATCAAGGCTAAGCATCCACCGACGAGCTTCGATGTGACCTCATGTCGTCTGTCGATAGGACCTTCGTCCACAAAGGCAGGTTGCATGGAAGGACAAGGACCACAGGTGCAAGGATCGACAATGTCGTCTTGAGAAAAGCAGGAACAGAACTGGACAAGTGACCCTGCATCTCTGATTACACGGTAGTATCAAGATCGAGTATGTATTAAAGGTGAGAGCATCCAGCGGGTTCAGACCGTGTCCTCGTAGCCCTCGCAGCCCCAATCTCTCGTTCGTGTCGATTTGTGGTATGCAAAGAGGTTCACTTCCCCGTGTCCGAGAGTATGGCGCCCCTCCGTGCTTCCACCGTGTTGACCTCTGTTCTGTCACTATTGAGCTGTTTTCAAGCTTCCCTCGTTACTGCCGGACCTGTCAATCGACGGTCAGATGTACTCGTTAAAGACTATCATCCAGCACCCCGAGCATGGGCGAAACAAGGCCCTGCCCCCAGCACTCACTTGATCCACCTCACCATTGGACTGTCCCAAAGTCGATTCAACGAGCTTGAACGGCATCTGTATGAAGGTACGACACGGCACCGTCAAGAGACATGCTGTCTAGCGGCACTAACGAGCAATGACTGCAGTGTCTGATCCATTTCATCCCCGCTATGGACATCATTTGTCCGCCGAGGAGGTCCATGAGCTGGTCAAGCCGTCGGACAAAGCCTCTGCAGCTGTCCATGAATGGCTGCAAGAGTATGGGGTCGACCCTGACCAGCTGCGATACAGTCCGGCCAAGGATTGGATTTCCGTGACTTTACCTGTCGCCACCGTAGAAGAAATGCTTGACACAGAGTACTCGGTCTACGGACACCAGGACGGGTCGACCGTGGTGCGCACCGAGGGATATTCGCTTCCTCTCTATGTGCATGAGCATATCAGCACCGTCCAACCGACCAACTCATGGGCCAGACTGCAACGAGACCAGCCACGAACCGAGATCAAGCAACGAAGCACGATGGTGAAACGCTCGTCGCACGTCGCCGAAGTTGCTGACGATTGGGCTCCTCCTGCTTCGATCCCTCTCCCGGCCAACTCCACGATCGAAGCCGTCTGCAACTTCACCGCCGTGACGCCAGACTGTGTGAGGACTCTGTACGGGACGATAGACTACGAGGTAAAAGCGGCCGGCAAGAACAAGATGGCGCACACGAACTACCTGGAGGAAGCCACCAATCGGTCCGACATCAGTATCTTCCTGGGCAAGTATCGGCCAGAAGCGCGGGCGTATGCGTATGAATTCGAAGCCATTTCCATCGCCGGCGGAGTGCTTGACAACGGCACGAATGTGGCCGAGGAAGGGCGTGACGAAGAGGCAAACTTGGATGCCGAGTACATGATTGGCGTGGGATATCCGACCCCTCTGATCGCCTACCACACGGGCGGCCGGAACCCGACCTATGTGCCTGACATCCTGACCAGCGACAACAGCGACGAGCCGTTCTTGGTGTGGGCGAACTACATGACCGGCCTGCCTGACGAGGACATTCCACAGGTGGTTTCCACTTCCTACGGAGATGACGAGCAGACCGTGAGCCGAGCATATGCGGAAGCGGTGTGTAATCAATTCGCCCAGTTGGGAGCGCGTGGAGTCAGCTTGTTCTTTTCGAGCGGCGACTTCGGCGTGGGTCAGGACGAGACGTGTATTTCCAACCTCGACAACTCGACCTACATGTTCATGCCTTCTTTTCCTACGGACTGTCCTTATGTGACCGCCGTGGGCGCCACCACCAACTACCCCGAGTCTGCGGCCTGGAGGAAACTGAGGTCGGGATTGTATTTCACCAGCGGCGCCGGCTTCAGCAACTACTTCGACCAACCGGCGTATCAGGCCAAGATTGTGGACAGTTATGTCGAGAGTCTCGGTGGACTTTACGACGGGTTCTACAACAAGTCAGGTAAGCTTGTCTTTGTTTCCAGTCATCACAAGATCTGCCAGCTAACCGGTATTCTGGCAGGCCGTGCGTATCCCGACATTTCATGCATTGGACAAGTCTTCCCCACGATCTGGAACGGCACGACGACAGGTCTGGTGGGAACTTCTGGCTCCTCGCCCATCTGTGCGGCGGTCTTTGCTCTTTTCAACGACGCCTTGATCGCTGAAGGTCGTCCGCCCATGGGCTTCCTCAATCCATGGCTCTATTCTCATGGACACAACTTGTTCACCGACGTGACGAACGGGACTTCTGCCGGTTGTAACACGACCGGATTTCCCACCGCTCCGGGCTGGGATGCGGTGACTGGGTTTGGAACGCCATATTTGCCCAAACTCCTTGATGCATTTGGGTTGAAGAAGTAGAGAAGTGGTAGGTGGGTGATTATACCTATACATACATATATACACATATATATATCTACACACATACATACATACGGTATCCATGAACAGACAGACAGTGAATACTCGCTCAACGAGTGGGGATACGTAGTTATCGAGATTGGAATCCCCAGTCACAAAGTCCCATCCACCCTACTACTATCTACTATCTTCCTGCCCCGGCTCCACGAACTGATAGTACGAGTTTCCACCGATAACCACCTGCCACCTGCCACTTGATCCTGATAGCCAAGCAAGCCGGGGATGGGGATCTCGAGATTGTGGGCATTTATCTATCGATTGGGTGGCATGTGGGGAGATGAGATGATCTGACAGCTCTGATAACCAAACCAACCGACAGACAGAGACAGCGTTACATTCAGTTTGACCCAGGAAGGGAGTAATTCTTTTTCTCTTTTTGGGCGTTTCCCATTCTCTGCCACTCACTGCAGTTCAAGTTGTGCAAGAGAATGAGCAGGGCAACACCTATTTAAACATAGAAAAGAAAAAAAGCAAAGCTAAGCAAGTGAGAGAGTGGACTTTTATTCGGATTGTCTGTCTCACTTATCAATCGGCTCAGTTGCTTCTCCAAGTATCCTAAGAGGACTTGTCGAAGTATCGAAGCACTCACTCACTGCAACGAGATACGGACTTATTTTCGAGAAGTCGATCCGATTACTAACTACTACCTCAAAGCACCAGACCAGGTCCTATCTATCTATATCATATATCGACAATATTGATACAGAGAGTCAGAGACCAGCCATCCTTCTCTCCCCTCCGGGCAACCAAAAGCGAGAGAGTTGAGGAACGAGACTCTGCTCGACGAGGCTGGATCACTCGCCTCTTCCTCCTCCTTCTCGACGCCTGATCATTCATTCGACCAAGCAAGACTCTGCACTTCTCACTTCTCACCTCTCACCCACCTCATCCATCAAGGGCCTCCTCTGTGTCCACTGTCCAGCATACGTCGGTCTACGATCCAACACTTCCTTTGTCCACGACTACCCGTGGTCCATCCTAGTACGTTGTAAGTTGTGACGATACAGCACAGAATGGTCTCCAAAATCATCCACGCCTCTCCCGCCACCGTCTCCCTCCACGACCTACAAACCAACACCGTGCCATTCTCGACTCTCGTCGCCGCCTTCGGCCCAGACAGTCTAGGGATCCTAGTGGTCAAAGACCTGCCGTCTGAATTTGCGCGTCTACGGACCAAAGTCCTCTCCGACGCCTCTCGACTGGCGGCCCTACCGGAGGAGAAATTGCAGCAACTAACGAATCCGACGGCAAAGTATTTGGTCGGCTGGTCGCATGGAGTCGAGACGTTGAGGCCTGGAGTGGTCGATACCGCCAAGGGGAGTTATTATGTCAATTGTGCTTTTTATCAGGATGGCCAACATGGCCTGAGAAGGGATGAGAAGGAGAAGGAGAATGAGAAGAAGATGGCCAACTCAAGTTCAGTCTCAAACTCGGACTCAGGGTCAGACCCAAACTCAAGTCCAACCTCAAACTCAACCTCCTCCTCTAACCCCGGTTTCAAAGAATATACCGCCCCCAACATCTGGCCTTCGGAAACCGATATCCCAGGATTCCAAACCGACACGCAAGCCCTGATCACGCTCATCATCGATACTGCAGTGCTGGTTGCGCGGGCGTGCGATCGGTTCGCCGCGGCCCAGCAGATCCCGGGGTATGAGGAGGGATATTTGGAACGGGTTGTGCGCGGGAGTACGACGACCAAAGCGAGATTGTTGCATTATTTTCCTATGGAAGCCCAATATGAACCACAATCTGAATCCGAGTCTGAGTCTGAACCTGATGGCAAGTCTGAGTTTGAATCTGAACCTCAACCTTCACCACCAGCAGGAGAAGACAATGACGACAGTGACAGCGACAACAACGACAAAGAGATCGCAGATACATGGTGCACCACGCATCTCGACCATGGCTGTCTAACAGGTCTGACTTCCGCCATGTTCGTCGACGAAGCGTGCACGGCTGGCTCGCAGCAAGAGATGATACCAGAAAGAAAAGAAGAGAAACAAAAAGATTCTTCTGATGTCAATGGAAGACCTGTCCAAGAAACAATCAACTCCTATCCCGGTCCCGAACTCCCTTCATCCCCAGACCCCTCGTCAGGCCTATATATCCTCTCACGCACCGGCCAGATCTGCAAAGTCTCCATCCCGCGCGACAGCCTGGCATTCCAGACCGGCGAGGCATTGGAGTTGATCACCAAGGGCAAGTTCAAGGCCGTGCCGCATTTCGTGAAGGGGGTTGATGTGAAGAATGTTGACAACTACAACTACAACGACGACAGCGACAGCGACAGAAGGGACAAAGGAGGTCTTCTTCGATCGAATAATACTACGAAAAGCAAAAGCAAATACAAATACAAACCCAAAATCGCTAGGAATACTCTGGCAGTCTTCACGCAGCCGAATCTGAATGAGTTGGTCGATGCCGAGACAGGCTTGACGTTTGGAGAGTTTGCGAGGGGCGTGGTTAAGAGGAATACGGCTGGTTGAGGATATAAAGAGGAGAGAAGAATGGGGAGATGGATAGAAAGAGAGAGAGCCGGCAGACAAATACTTCTGCTCCCCCCTTCTATTCTTTTCGATTCTAGCGACTATGCCTCTAGAGTTGAGAACCCACCCTGTCCTCCTACCCGGATAGATACCTACCTAGGTATGGACGATGGAGATGGGGATGGGGATGGAGATGGAGATAGAAGAAGTTCAAGTCCAACTCCAGTTCAAGTTCGTTCTTATACGCGGCTATTAATGTCAACAGCCCAGCTGTACGTATTTGTTTTCATTTCCAACGAGACGAACCTCCTGATCGCCGACTCTGGAGATGGAGATGGATACAAATCCGAATCCGAATATGCTTCCTCTACTTTGACGACTATGACTACGACTACAAGTTTGAGCATGGATCTGGGCATAGGCATATGTATGGGCAAGCCACCTGAGCCCCCAATCCAGAAGAAAGAAAGCAAGGCGTACGGAATATCATTGAGGAGGAAAGGTGTATGACACGGCGGGCAGAGAATTGAGATACATGCAAGGCATCAAGAGTCAAAGGGGGAGAGTGAAACATCGTTGTTCGTTCGTAGGGATGAAAGGCTGAGCGGAAATCCATCCGGGAATGTCCAGTTTGAAGAATGAAAAGGAATCCATATTGGATTTTGGATTTTGGCTCTTGGCTTTTGCTCCTTCTTGTCAGTCTATTTCATGCTTTGCTTCGTTCGAGTGCTATGCTCGTGGCGAACAATCAGACTGTGCTCATCCAGCCCATTGGATTGTTGAATTAGAGCAGTTGTTGCCCTAAATCCGTCGACGAGAACCAGGTTCCATACCTTGTTGTTCATACCTGTTGCGGTTCATTACGTCTGCGGAATAATGTCCATCCCTTGCCCATATCCCTTGCCCATATCCCATATCCCATATCCCATGTTCCATGTCCCGTGCCTTTGCCCTGCTTATATGTCGCCTCCGAGAAATCCCATAAACGCCTCGCTAGTTAATAATGCAGATGCCACTGCCGTGCTCGATGCCCCATGCCGTCGAGAACGCAAACAAAGTAAAATGCCGTGCTTTTGGTGAAAAAGACAAAAAGACACACTCCTCGAACAAGGCCATTGCCCTCACAAGGCCAATGCTCTCAGGATGCCCACCCATGATAAGAGTCGGGACACATCCGCGACTGGAGCACAACATGTTTTGTCTTGCAGCTCCCCACCCTCGTTGGATTTCGTGTACTGCTATCTCGAGCCTCCCATCTTTGACATAACATCCTCATGGCCTGACCCTATCTTGCAGCCTCTGGCCGCGTCCGCCTAAGGTATAATAGAGCAGCACCGTAATCGGCAGCCCGTCTTGTGCTGTTGGACTGCAATGACGGGGCGTAATCTGGGTCTTCTGCCAGCGGAGGCAATCGAACTGGCGGGCCAGCCCAGCTACTATTGTTTGGTTGCTGAGGTGGTTCTGCTTGACCAGAAGAGATCCGCGGAACAGGAGGTATCTGTTCTCCATCAACCTCTTCTGGTTCATTGGTGTTGTCTCCAGTGTTGGTGCTGATGCTGATGCTTGTCGACTCGGCTTCTACGCTCCGGATAAACTGTATGGCAGATTCAAGATCCATCTCATGTCTTTCTAATGCCTCTTTGAGCCATTGTTCCAAGGCATGATTGTCTGCCGAGGGATCCCCTTCCAGTCTTGCAAACATAACATCACGTAGAGCTTCCAGGACAACATTTGTAGGCTCTGGTGACTGACTGACCGTAGACGGGTCGGTCTTGGGCCGGTCTAGGTCTTCACGGTCTGCCTCTGCGGCAACTGTCTCGGCGTCTTCGGATTGGTAGTCACAAACAGGTCGTGACGGCTGCTCAAACACCGCTCTTGGTCCTAATCCCACAGGTGCTGCCGCGACATCATCGCCAGTGGTTGTCTTGACTTTTGTTTCTGCGTCTTGTTCGTATCTTTCCTTGGCTGCGCGTGTTCCCTCCCATTTGCAAAGACTCAGAATCTCATCCTTGGTCACGCCAAGTTCATCGAACACGCGGAACAATCTTCGGTGCCATGTAAATCTTGACAAACGACGACGGTGAGGAGGGTGGGTATAATCGAGACCGGGATACTGTGCTTCCAACGTATCGACCGTTCCATAGTATGTCTGGACCTCTGCGCGGATCTCTACTACAATATTCCGATGCACATGGGCATAGAAAGAAGCGGGATCGGTGGGCTTTGGTTTAGGGAATGTTCTCTGGTAGATCAGGTCTGGAATGGAAGGCTTCCGCATGATGGACTGAAGTCCTCACGCGTCGGCGGCACCAAGGCTCGGGTTCCCTCTTGATGAGGTCGGGTTCGGATGCCGTAGGAAAGAAACGATGGTGATGGGGAGTAGTCGTTGAGAGCAAGTCAAAAGCTGTGAGGATGTCTCGGTCTCAAAGCGTGGGCTGCGGGTTCGGCGTACAACAAGGAGACATGGAAGAAAGAAGCACGAAGCAAAGAATCCCGAACGTGATGGACGAAGCGTGGTGGTTGGAAGTGAGGCTAGAGTTCTAACAATGCTGGCAATGGCAGCGGCAGCGGCGGCCAAGCAACTTTATGACGAGGTCGAGCCCGTTATATTGAGTTGATTGAAATGTCAATGCTGGCGGGTGGCAGCGCAGGGATGCTTATTAGATGCTCCCGTTTGGGTCAGGTACCGCTGTCGCCGTCTTCTAGCCTTCGATTTCGGCCTTGAGACACCCAGATTGGACGTCAAGCACAAGAGATAGTGAGGAGCGAGATCGTTGATCGCTGCTGACGGAGAGATTGAAGGTCTTCTCACCAACACCAACACCAACAACAGAACCTGTCGAACCTATATCGCCAATTGTTCAGTCCGGATCTGCTGTTACTTTCCTCGCTCCTCGTCAATGCTACTTCAGCAACGACTATTGGCCGGCGCCAGGCTCTGCTTCATCCATCATACAAGCACTTCTCCTCTCTTCAGGTGGCCGGCCGATTGTATATGACCTCTCGCTGACCCGACTTTCAAAGCCAATCAATAGAGGGACAGTTGACGAAACAGCCTGGCCCTCTCCTTGTGCCCGAATTCTGCGTTGGTTCGTCTTCCGCCAATCGTTCTAGCCAGCAGTTCCGATCGGACGATCCTTTACACCCCTGAGCCTCCCTAGCCCCTCTAACTGACCCTAGTATAAGATCATGACCTTTGTTGGCTAAGGGTCAATCTGCTGCTGCGGGTGGCCCAGGGTCTGGCTAAGGAGGCTGCATCTCTCAACCGCGTCTTCCCACTTGGGAGGGGTTCCAGGGGCAAGGATAGTTGGGCAAATTCTTCCAGCCTCGTGTGCGATCACCCACCAGCTTGGGGAAGACATCATATCTGGGTGAAAGACCATATCCTCAGACACCCGATCATCATGTCGACTTTCAATGGCCTGGTCAGGGAGTTTCCCAATATCAGGATTGATTACTTTCGGACACATTCAGATAAACCTCCACCCGCCGCCTTATTCCTCAGCCATGTCCACAGTGACCATTTACTGGGCTTGGAATCAGTCAAGATGCCGTTCGTCTATTGCTCGGCCACCACCCGTCGAATCCTCCTCAAACTGGAGAAATATCCTCATCGCATCAACTTCGCCAAGGGTATCCTGGAGTCTCGGAAACAACATTACCGATATCTGAGGACACTGCTGCGACCCTTGCCATTGCATGCCTCTACCGAGCTTGAATTGGACCCGAAATCTACCATCCGAGTTACTCTACTCGATGCGAACCACTGCCCTGGAGCGGTCATGTTTTTGATTGAAGGCGATGGAAAGGCCATACTCTATACAGGGGATATCAGAGCCGAACCATGGTGGGTCAATTCGCTTGTGCAGAACCCCGTAGTACTACCATATACCTGTGGTTTGAAGACGCTTGATTGCATATACCTTGACACGACATTCGCATCTCATGACGAGCCATACAGGGTGTTCCCCACAAAAGCAGAAGGGTTGAGAGAACTGCTAGAGAAAGTCGGTGAATGCTCTTCCGATACCGTCTTTTACTTCAGAGCATGGACTCTGGGATATGAAGATGTCTGGATTGCATTGTCCAACTTTCTGAACTCTCGCATTCACGTGGACGAATATCAGCTTCGCATCTTCCGATCCTCCGATGAGAATGGCGGAGATTCCTACCGTAACGAAAGTGCATCTCTGACCGGCTTCATGGTGGGAAACCACAAGCGTCCAGGGTGCCTGACTGCTGAAAGCAATGTCAGGGTCCACAGCTGCGAGCCCGGATCAAAATGCCATTCTAGTATAAAGAACTCAAAGAATGTCAAATGGATCACCCCTATCATATCTCGACTGAAGGACGGAACCGAGGTTAGAGAGCTTGGGGCAGGAGGCGGAGGCGGTGATCTTTATCAGACATCCGATTTGAAGCTGGACGATCTGGCATCTATCCAGCAGCTTGCCGCTGTTTGCGCCGAGTTCACGGACGACAAAGCGGTCAGCACCATTCTCAAGGAAGAGATTGCAAGGGCCGAGAAACTCCAGCGTTTCAGCATGACTATCGAGGGGATCGAGGATTTTTACTCGGAAGAAAACCCCATGAAGCTGAAAGATTTCCTGACACTGCTGTCGAAAATGCGCCCATCTATGCATGCAGACAGAGGACAGTCAATGGGTGGGGAGGAGAAAAGGCGGATTGGCGACACCATCCATTTCCCATATTCGCGTCATTCGTCGCATAACGAGCTTCGTCATCTCGTGGGGTTGTTCCAACCAAAAGACATATGTCCTTGTACTGTGGATCTGGAATCCTGGACTGAAGACCTTAGCATGGAGGCTCTTTTTGGTGATGTCTGTGCAGAGAAGGTGTTCTTCTACGACCACGAAACCAGACAGCAGGTCCAGCAATGGACAGAAAAGGAGGATCTGAGTTTGGGAAGCCGTCGCAAAAGAAGGCGAGACGATCTGGACTCTCAAGAGACCGAAACGGATGATGAAGACCATGAAGAGGAAGTCTACCGGGGTGCTCCGATGAACTTTGATAGTGCAAACATCGAGAAGAAGGCTTCCTCCAACCAAGTTGTGGCTGACAACCCGACAAGGCAAGCACCCGAGCAAGAAGATGATGGCAAGACATTCATCATTCTCGACGATGATTCGGAGGATGATCGCGTGTCCCTTTCGGTATTTGACGGTATCCCTGAAGAGCAGGTGCCCATGCCGGCTGACGAATCGGCAACGAAGCCATCCAAGGAGGTGCTGTCACAGGCTGCCGGTGACAATGAGATTGATGAGCAAGAACAGAAGAGGAAGTACGCCAGAATCGAAGCATACCAAGCTGCAAGGCGCTGTCTGATCAGGAACGACAGCAGTCAATGGGATGACTTATCTTTGAGGAGCCTAGGAAGTCGTGGTGACGACGAAGAGGAACTCGAACTGTAGCGGGTGCTTTGTATAACTATATCGATACGTACATACATGTGTACGTACATCTCTAGGATATAAAACAAAAATAAACAAAAATAACTGGAGAATTTGCATGAACATGAGGAAAAGGAGTGACCCCTCGACCCCCTGCTATCACCGCAGCCTCGTCGCCGAGATGCCGTATTAATAAGCGCTGCGTACGACGAACCCCAAGGATCAAGACAAACAACGACGTCATCGCGGTACGAGTCCGTCAATGCCGCCGCCGGACTTACGTTCTAAGCTGCTGCTAAACCCACCTTCAAGTCAATATTACCTGGTATAGTAGGCCCTAGGTGCGTATATCAGGTACTAGGGAAACCTCTACACTGCTAGCTGTACCTGAACTAACGCAATGCCGTATAAATCGTCGAGCTCCATATCGCTAGTACTAGGTAACGTAAGATGCTTGCTGGAGCTTCACCCGAACACTCAACTATTGACGCCATCGCCGCGACTTAACAAGAGAATATCTCCGCCATCTCACGCCGTACTCTTCTTCTCTTCTTTCTTTTCCACACTCTCTCTCCCTTCGCACCCTCGACACCGCCATCAACATGTTCGCCCGATCAATGTTGAGGTCCGCCGGACCACTCCGCCAGGTATGCCGAACCCTTCACCGTCGATATCCGAGCTGCTTTACAAGCTGTTCCGACCGGCTGCGTTCCACCTGTCCCTCATTCCTTTCTCGAGCTCCGATCGATTGACTAACCTTCTTATATAGAGCATCCGGAGCTACGCGACCGAAGCACCCAGCAAATCCTCCTCAACGCCGTTCATCGTCGGTGCCGCAGCCGTGGGTACCGGCATCCTCGGCTACACCTTTTTGGGCAACAACAAAGTCGCGGCTGACGCACCCAAGCCGTCCGACGACGCCAAGTACGGCGCTTCAAAGATTGGAGATGGGTCCAAGGCCTTCACCGGCGGAGACCAGGGATTCATTAGTCTCAAGCTCGCCGAGGTCCACGAATACAACCACAATACCAAGATCCTCAAGTTCGCACTGCCGGACCCTGAACAGGTCTCCGGATTGAGCGTTGCATGTAAGTTGGAGCTTTGTGTCAGGAGGATATGGCAATGGTCTAGAAAAACAGTGTCTGACCTGGTCACGCAAAACAGCTGCCGTTATCACAAAATACCAACCTCCGAATGGAGAGAAACCGATCATTAGGCCGTATACGCCCATCAATGATGAAGGTATGGAACAGATCAGAGAATCCGGACTCGCGGCAGACAATTGACCAGAAGACAGATGTCAAAGGTTACTTGGAGCTCCTCGTCAAGGTCTACCCGAACGGTCCGATGTCTGAACACATGCACTCGATGGTGCCTCCGCAAAGACTTGACTTCAAGGGTCCTATTCCGAAATACCCCTGGGCGCCCAACAAGCATGATCACATCACCCTGATCGCCGGCGGCACTGGGATCACGCCCATGTACCAGCTGATCCGGACCATCTTCAAGAACCCCGAGGACAAGACCAAGGTATCTTTGATCTACGGCAACGTGACAGAAGCGGACATCCTGCTCAAGGAGGAGCTGGAGAAGATTGAAAACGAGTTCCCCCAACGGTTCCGCGCCTTCTATCTATTGGACAACCCCCCGCCCAGCTGGCCGTACGGCAAAGGCTTCATCAGCAAGGAATTGGTCAAGACCGTGGCCCCGGACCCGAAGAGCGGAAACATCAAGATCTTTGTCTGTGGCCCTCCAGGCATGTACAAGGCCGTCAGTGGCAACAAGACCAGTCCCCAGGACCAGGGCGAGTTGAGCGGAATCCTCAAGGACCTGGGCTACACCAAGGACCAGGTGTTCAAGTTCTAGACCATCGATGGGATAATCCCAAATCGACTCCGGAACTCGAGAAAGCTGAGAAGAAATAGAACCTTGAAGACGAAGATAAAACTGCCCCTGCCATTTGGTAAGGTCTAGACAGCCCGCGCGCACTTCTTTCGTCCTCGATTTGGGATTCAGCACCTAGACAAAAGCACTTCGCCGGGGACGTTTGGCCCAGCATCTGTATTTGGTACCTGTATATATCGATCTACACGAGAGCCACGTCAGGTTCGGACAAGAAAAAGAAAACAATCAGCTCAAGCTTTTAGACGAAGAGACGTCTCTGTCTCTGCCGTGTCGTCTGCGTCGTTCCATAATTGTGTGGTTCCTGTTGATATATTACACTTATTATACTCTGTGTACCTAGGTAGATAGAAGCGGCGAGGCTGAAACATCCAGCAAATGAACATTCTACGGCACGACCTCCCATGTGTTGTGTCGGACCTTCATTGACACAGGAAATAATAAACACCACCCTCTGCATTGTAATCATAAGTATAGATGGATCCTCATATCAATTCCAAGACATGGTTCTTTTATAACGATGAGTAGTAGTACATACGGTTCGACTGGTAGATAGCTAGATAGCTAGATAGATAGGTACGTTGGACTTTAGGAGGTACCAATGCTCTACCCCGGTCTGGTCAGCCTCGCGCTGTCATCAGTGCACCAGTCAACTTGAGTTTGAGTTTCTATACAGAGTATACTGGGTACGTAGTAGTGTCTACCTACCATCCATAGGTACACACAACCTCCTACGCCTCTAGGCCAGTAAGAGAGGGCCAATACTGGAGAATCTCGTAGACCATATCCCTCAAGTTCAAGGAACTGGAAGTTGCCATGAAGGCATTATATCGAGTTTT